TATCAGGGAGCGGCCAGACGGGTTCCTGCGATTGGCGGCTGCTGGTGGCAGGTCCGAGTTGCGATGAGGCGGTGGAAACGCACTCTGATAGGACGGCCCTGTCATACACCGCATCAAGCATTGTCAATCAATGCACATAAACACGGTCGATTTCGCCATGGAGTGATGGGGATGCACCGTATTGCTGTGCTCCGCATGGTGTGGCATTAGGGGGTGTACGCTCAGGTTTTGGGGCATCGGCCCGATCACAATTGGCAATGCAAAAGAGTTGAAACTAATGGCACACATCGATTCCAGGACAACATTAGGTTGCACCAGACGCGATGCGGTGAGTGCTTCAGGATGCTTGCACAAAATCCTGATGGCGAGCACGTGTCGAGTCTTCTTGTCGGTGTGCTTGTCTCCCTGAGGATGGACAGGGATCTGTGCAACCATGGAGAGGACGGATTCTATAGATTTGGGTGCTTGTCGAACGATGAGAGGTATGTCTTACTGGTGCTCCCGTAAATAGATGTGCCTTTGCTAAAGTGAGTAGGGAGTGCGGAATTGCCTTCCAGGGTAACCTATGTAGAGCCTGAGCCGACAGGTTCCGGGAGGGTCGGGTGAAAACGGGCAGCCTTGTCTGGAGGTCAGACCGAGGCATATGGATCCCTCTCGCCCTTCCTGAACCCCCGACTAACCAAGTGATTGGCTTTCTGAAGTCTCACCCCCAGTTTTCCGAGAGACATTGCTGCCCAAAGGTGTGGATGTTTCAACCTGCGGGAGCGGGGGTCGTGGTGGTTGTGCAAGAAAGGAAGTCAAGCGTGAACCTTGAAGGTGCCGAAGTAGGAGTGCAGAGTAGGGGATGAGTTGAGCTAGCTACCCAGGCTTGCTATTATCAGGTAGTAAAGGTAAGGCACTTACCGTGCACTCAGGCTCCGGGGGTGGCACCTTGCGCGGTAGTTAGACGAGCTGGTTAAATGGTGACTCGGGAGGCTAGAGATGCCGAGGGAATTACTTAAGTCAGTGGCTCGATGGGCCATTGCATGGTGCCTAGCTCGGTGGTGGGTGAACTGGTGGCACTGGCACCAGGTGGGCGGGCTGCTCGGTGGGTACCGAGGACGGCAATCAAGCATCATCAGGCTGACGACTCAACCGGGGGGTGCTCGGTGCTCGGTGCCAGGTGCCAGGTGCCAGGTGCCAGGTGCAGGCGCCAGGCGCAGAGCTGCTGAACCTCTATGAGCCGTGAGGCGTGAGCCCAGCAGCCCCTCACCCGCGCCCGCGTCCTTCCCTTCAGGCGTTGCAAGGTTTTGTGGGGTCGCTTATAGTTAAAAGAAGCCTAGCAAATCACCACCGACACTAATCTAATAATTGCGCGAGCGAGAGTGCTTTACTCGCACACTCTTGGGACCAAGAAACTCTCTCACCTCGACGCTCCTCCCTCCCCTCTGCTCCTTACTCCCGACTCCCTTTTCCTGCACGTCGCAGATGAAACTCCTGCCTCTGCGTCGGCGCGACGGCAGACTTGTTGCATTGACAGCGCCACATTAGGCCGCTCTGATATCAGCTACGTTTCTGCACGCAAAACTGACTCCGCATCCCGAGGCGCGGCCGAAGCCCTGGCTGGAGGGAGGAGACTGGAGACTGAACCCTTGACGCTTGACGCCGCCCGCCCTCTCTCGGCGATCACTCTGCTGCCCGCATTTTCGATCCTGTTCAGTGCTCGACTCACTCGACCACCCGCCAACCTCAAACCCAACCTGAACAATGCTTCAGCCCTGCTGACACCTGTCGCATCAGACGCTGGTGCTGAGAGCGACGCCTTGCATTCGTCCTGACGACCACTATTCCTCTGCCATCCGGTGCTATCTGCGCCTCTCCGCTGCTTGTCCAAGCCGCCTGCGCGACCTTTGTCCTTCCCGGCCCCTCGAGACGAAAGCACCAGAAAAAAAAATTGCTCCTTTTGTCATACCTGGCAGTGTCGCACCACCTCTGTTGCCAACCTCGTTACGCAGCCTGGCTGGCTGGAAAAGCAAAAAACCATTTGCCGTCAACCTCCAATCTTGCGCCATCGTCATACACAATTGTCGCTCTGCTTCAGAGGGAGCTGCTTCCTACGATCCGACTGCTTGGTCCCCATAGGGGGCTCGCGTTCTTGCTGTGCGCGAGCTGAGCCGACGGTGGACCTGTAAGGTAGCAGAGGCCTGTTTCTGCGAAACTGTCATTCGGTCGTTGTTCCTAACCGGGCAAACACATTTTCGAATTCCCGTGCGACTCTGGCTGTTCTTGTGCAAGCCATCTTTTTGCATCCTGCATTCTCTGGCATCTCATTGATGGTTTCGTTATAACAAGATGACGGCCTCAGATGTCGAAGATGGCCACTCTCGTTCGGCCTCTCCTGACGACAGTGGGACCGAACACGTTCAAGTGAATATGGCCGAAGGTCAGAGTAAGAACGACGTGAGAAGCAAGCAGCAGAATGGAGCCCAACCGACCAATCCAAAGGATCCTTCTCGCCCCCGTAGAAAAAAGGCACGTAGGGCATGTTACGCTTGCCAACGTGCCCATTTGACCTGTGGTAGGTGGGCTCTCTAAAATATCCCCAAAATATAACCCATCATTCTCCACTGCTGACACCCTTTTGTAGGCGACGAGAGACCATGCCAAAGGTGCATAAAGCGAGGCCTACAGGATGCGTGTCAGGATGGCGTCAGGAAGAAGGCAAAGTATCTGCACGATGCGCCCAACGAGGCCCTGATGCCTGGGGTTGGAGGCAACCTCTACAACCATACGGCGGCGAAAGCAAACTCGACTGTGGGCAATGAAACCCCCCATCAACAACCCTTCTTTCAACAAACGCCGGCGTACAACAATTTTCCCACGCCCTCGCATATGCCTCCTCCACTGCTCCACGAGAGAAGTATGAGCACGACTAGCTTCACTCAGCAGTCACCGCTGGCCACCAATTTTCCAAATGTCGCATCGCAAGTTCCGCTGCAGAGCCCTGTAATTGGTGCCGATCAATCGAATTCCACCAACGTGACTGCCACCGGCTGGCCAGGGCAGATGTATAGTGATGATGCCATGTTCAACTTCGACATTGCCAGTATGAACTTCGGAAACCACTATGGTGCATTAGAGTTCGGAATGCTCGGTCATATGGCTACAAATGCGGGAGATACTCCTCCTAGCGACACGGCGACACGAAGCGGTTCTATCACACAACAACAGCAATATCGTATGCCCTTCAGCTTCAGCGAGAGTCCAACGGCCCGGCAACAGATATACGGCGAAGCAATATTACCAGATTGGTCTAATGGCGCTGACGCCTATAGCGGCCATGGACACGGTCGCCATATGGCTCCCAACGCGTTTGCCATAGAATCTAACGCGGTTAATTGGACCTCCCCGGACACGAATGGCACGCCTAATAATGCGGTCAAATTCGAAGAGTCACCGTTGATGACCAACACAGGTCTCCAGGTTCCGCCATCAGCCCTGGATGGCGGCCCGGTCATTCATTCAACCGGACCCCTGGATGGCAGGAACAACCGGGCCCCTCCTTCTATATCGACTCCGCAATTGAAGGCCAAGTCTCAGCTGCCCGTCAAGTCTTTGAAGCGGCCTAAGGATCCGTCATCGATCTACACCTCCGTCACCCAGCCTTATCCTTATACGGCAGGGTTCCACAGCTTCATCGCATACCTTCAGAAACGATTTGCCGCCCATCCTTCCAGGACACTTGCCATAGCCAAGTCATTGGCGTCGATCCGACCATCATTCATTGCGACAACCAAGACTTTGAACAGGGAGGACCTGATCTTCATGGAAAAGTGTTTCCAGCGGACATTATGGGAATATGAAGGTTTCATTGAGGGTGTAGGTACTCCAACAATTGTGGCGAGGAGGACTGGAGAAGTTGCAGCTGTGGGCAAGGAATTCCAAATCCTCACCGGGTGGACGAAGAATGTGCTGCTTGGTCGGGCCCCCAACCTGAATGTGAATCGCGGTCATTCCGGGCAAACACCCGGCACCGGGTCTGGTACCAATACTGCTCGACAAACGGGGACTAACACCCCCACGCAACGATTGATGTTTGAGACCGAGAACGGCGAGAAACGACCACAACCGGTATTTCTTGCCGAACTGCTCGACGATGAATCTGTGGTTCAGTTTTATGAGGATTTTGCGAGACTTGCGTTCGGAGACAGTCGAGGTAGTGTTTGTGGCAGGGCCAAACTCCTTAAATACCGGACAAAGGATGATGAAATCGCCCAGAATCTCAACGTCGAGGCCGAGGCTCGGACCGAAGACGGCCGTCAAGGTCAACCAGAGCTGCGACGGCAAGACTCCCGCCGTCAGCATGAAATGAAGCGGGAGCGTGATGGTATTTCTGGCGAAAAAGGTATGCAAAAACTGGGATCCGCCGACGGGAAGGTGGATTGCACATATTGCTGGACGGTGAAACGTGACGTTTTTGATATACCCATGCTTATTGTTATGAATGTGAGTTCTCCCTCCTGCTTCGTCCCTTCATGGTTGGCACACTAACATGAGACAAAGTTTTTGCCTTGTATATAGGCGGTCCAAAAGTTTTGCGATTCACGACTGTTCTATGTAACAACTGGAGGGGTGTGGTGAGGTTGGACACACCGGGCACACCTTCTGGAAGACTGGGCCAGGGTGGTTGACGGAGTCTGACCTGGCAATGGAACCGACAAAGGACGTTTGTGGATACCCGGCAACTGCGTGTGAGTACATTATATAACAACGGTCCTGTTTGGGGGGTCAGGAAACTTGAACCGGGGACCGTAGCGGGACCGTTGCACAAGACTCGGTTTCCCGGCCTGAGAAGCCTGGCATTGTCTATGAATTCAAAAAAATTGCGAGGCAGAACTACTCTCTATTTGAGCGCGAAAGTTGACCAAAGTCCGCCTCCTTCTCCGAACCAGGCTTTGATGTCTATACGATCGTCCCCCCCCCTTCACGTCTTCCTTTCTTCAGTCATGGATGTCGTAGTTTTACTCCTTCTGGTTCAGCATTTCCCTCTCCAGCTTGTGTGTATCGACGTTGTCCATCCACGAGAAATCCGTCAACCAGGCCTCCCACTCGTCGCGGCGGAAGCGCTGGTACGTTGCCCGGTCCAGACTGCGCGCGGCAACGGCGCAGTCGATCCTGATATCCTCGACAAGCGCGTCGACGCTGACGTAGTCGTACTCGGGCCGGATGTAGCCCAGCACCAGCAGGTTGAGGGCGGCGCCGTAGAAGTCGCGCGGGAAGTCGTGTAGGATGTGGATTTCCACGCTGCGCACGGTGTTTTTGTAGAATGGGTTGTACCCGATGGAGAGGACGGCCGGGTGGATCGAGATTATGGGCTCTACCGCTGTTGATGCGGCGGGTGTCGAGGAAGGGGGTGACGTCGTCGAATCTGAGCCGCTAGTGCTGGAGCTGGCGCCGGTGGCAGAGGGACAGCTCTTGAGCGATAGGCCCACGAAGCCGTAGTAGATTCCGCTCGGCAAGTCTGGGTGGGTGGTCGAGAGGCCTTCGGTGGGGATGTTGGCCGTGGGAATGCCGAGCTGGATTTGACCCGAGGGGAGCAGAGGTGGTTAGTGTTTTCCTTTTCTTCGGTTTTCCTCTTTGAATTCTTGGGTTCTCTCTTGTGCTGGGGGGATATTGAGTAGAGATTGAGGAGGAGAGAAAGAACATCGGAGGGGAGAGGAGTGGAGAAGAGGAGCCCGTGGAAGAAGAGAAAGGGGACGGGGTGGAATTGCGCCGAGATAAAGCCCCAGGACCCGGGCCTTGGTGCTGGACTGCCTTCCTGGGGCAGCCTCGTCTTTTCGTCTCGAGGCTTCTTGACGCAAAGGTTGCTCGGAGAATCTAGCGGAGGATCTTCCTCATGTTCATGGTTCGGGGATGCCAGAGACGCTTGTGGCTAGCCCTAATAAGTTCACTTGCACGGTACCCCGGAAGCAATTGACATTATTGACGTAGGCAGCCTGGTTGTTTCCTCGCTCGCTCGATACGAAACGCAATTCTTCTTCTCTCCTCCCTCCCACTCCGGGGCCCTCAAAAGCACCGTAGACAGATGGCAAGATACCCACGCACCAAAAGTCCAGCGTCGACCAAGACAAGGTCTTTCCTTTTTGTTTTTTTTGTGGTAAGGCCGTTGGAAGGCAATAGAGAAATAAGAGAACGACATTCAACGAAACGAAAGCAAACGGTGAAAAAGATGGCACACTGCTCGCTCACCTCTCTACTCCCCCTCCCAAACCCCTTGATCACCGGCCCGCACAACTTGATGGGAAACGGCGCCTCAGGCCCCGCCTCGGGCCCGGCGTATGGGTCGCGTGGACCGTCTGGTCGCATATCTTCGGTAATTTCTCTCCTGCGGTGGGAAACTGGGCTGAAGCGGGTTGGGGATAGCGCTCTGGAGCTGAACTAGGTAGATGGATGGATCGAAGATAGATAAACGAGATCGGGTGCGATCGGACGGACAGGGTTGGTTGGCTGGCGAACTGATATGTGCGTAGACGTACTATGTGCCTCGTGTTTTTGTTCCCGTTTCTGTTGCTTCTGTTGTCGTCGTCGCAGTCGTGGTCGTAGTCAGTGCCGTTGTCGATATCGGATCTCGTGTAAGGGTTTTTCTTTCTTTCCCCTCTCACTCGTGCGTGCTTCCCATCGGCGTTATTGTCTAACTCACGACCTGTCGCGGATCTAGTCAACACCCTAGAAACTTAGGTTGGAACCGCAGAATGCATGGACTCAAAGATCAAAGCCGCCTCGCTGAAACTGGTGGAATTCCGAGAACGATAATGGATGGATGGAATAGTCATCAATTGCGGAGCGGAAGAGGAAGTCTTGGATGCAGCCGGCCAATCGGGTCCAGCGCCTTGAGTCAGCCTTGTCCGCCGTGTCATGCACATGAATTCGAAGCCGAAATCGGCCAGGTGGTCGCCATCGATACGAGAGTATTGAGGGCACTCAGGGATGAGCCGAGTGAAGGAGTATTCATCGTTCATTCACGGCTGCTTCTAATCTATACACCACCTCGACTATACGAACCGGACCACCACACATCCCCCCCCAGCTCTATACATTGGCCGAATACCCAACACTCGGCATGCGTCCAGAACTCCTCTTTCTTTCGGCCCATTTCCTCAATTCGTCAACCCAAAACACGGTACTGCTGATGCACACCAGCGAGATCAGGTCCCACAGACCCAGCGCCTCGGTCTGAAACACCCGTTGCAAAAATGGCAAGTATATGACACAGAGTTGGCCCGCGAGACTGCCCGCGACCGCATAGTTGAACATTTTGTTTCCAAAGAGCTTGATTTCGCCAAACAACACCGACTTGGATTCCGAGCGGCAAGTCAGCGCATTGAACATGTCAAAAAGCACAAACGTCGTGAAGGTCATGGTGGTGTCGCGTTTGGTCACCACCCGCGTGCGGAGAGGCGTCGAGTTGACCACCGACGGGTCGACCGACGGATCGTCAATGTCCACCATCTCTCGGAGATAGATGAAAAGAGTGCCCATCATGATGAGGGAGGCGGATGTCAAGACGCGGCGGATGAGTCGTTTGGTCAGTACGTTCGCATTTCGAGGTCGTGGTGGCTGCATCATCACCAGGGGATCGACTGGTTCAACCCCGAGTGATTGAGCAGGAGGCCCATCCATGAGTATATCTGAGACAAATTAGTCAGTAAAGCGGGAAGTAATTGTTGCAGGTGACCTACTGATCCAAAGAATCTGCATGGCATTGAGCGGATTCTTGAAACCAAACATGGTACTGAGAAGGACCAAACTCAGCGCCGCGACGCTCGTGCTCAACTGGAAAGTGATAAAGTTCTGAATATTGAAGAAGATGCCCTTTCCCTGTTCAATGGCTCGGAGAATGGTGGAGAAGTCGTCGTCAGTCAGGATCATATCGGCCGCCTCCTTGGCCACATCTGTTCCTAGCCTTCCCATGGCAACTCCAATATCGGCCTTTTTGAGCGCTGGAGCATCATTGACCCCATCTCCGGTCATGGCGACCACGTCTCCCCGCGCTTGGAGAGCTCGAATAATCTTCATCTTGTGGTCTGGGCTAGTCCGAGCAAAGATATTTGTCTTGCCGATAGCTTCCGACAATTCTTGCTCTGACAAGCGATCAAGTTCATCGCCTCGGAGCACGGACCTCGAAGCTGAACTTGCAGGGTTGACTGGCATTCCGAGGTTCTTCGCGATCGCCACCGCAGTGGTCTCTGCATCGCCAGTGATCATAATGACTTTGACTCCTCCATTCATCAACCGTCGTATAGATCTGTTCACATGTTTTCGTGGAGGATCATTCATCCCAACAAGCCCAGCAAAACATAGGCTGGTAAAGACATCCGTTTCTAGCTCGACGGACTTCTTATTTCCCGAGGTTGGCGTGGAACTTCTGCTGTTCTGCCATGTCTTGTTCCTGAGGACGCCACTCGCAAATCCAATCACCCTGAGTCCCTCCTCAGCCATTGCTTGCGCCGCCGCATGAGCTTCTTTCCGACGACTCTCGTCGAGGACGACTTCTTGACCATCCTTGGTCAAATACGTGTCCGACCTGATCAAAATTTGTTCCAGAGAGCCTTTGATGTAAGCCGTCTCCGAACCTAGCCCATAGCCGTTGGTCATCTCGCCTAGAGCGCTGCCAATAACGACGCCCATCCACTTTCTCTCGGAACTAAATGGTGTTTCGCTCGTTCGCGGCCCAATCTTTTCACGAATATCGTCTTCACCATGCGCATCCAACAAATCGAGCATGGCTATGTCGGTGGGCTGGCCCAGCCATCGACTCTTGGTGACTGTAGACGACCTATCTCTAGTAGAGGACAGCACCGCAGCAGAGGCAGCAGTAGCAGGGGTCCCGGATGCATTCTGAGAAAGTCGACCATTGTTTGCGATATTGCCAATTCGGAGAATGGTTTTAGTGGCGGATGTAAGTACGGCTGTGGGATCGGCAGAGAATGGCTTGCCTACGTCGAAATGCCACAATTTGGTCACGGTCATGTGGTTGAGGGTCAATGTCCCCGTCTTGTCGCTGCAGACCACGTTTACCGAACCTAGTGTTTCGACGCTCGGCAGCTTCCGAACGATCGCTCCGCGTTTGGCCATTCGTAACACCCCAAGTGCAAGAGTGACGGTGACGATGATGGGCAAGCCTTCAGGAATTGCGGCAACGGCCAAAGACACTCCGATGGTGAACAGATCCAACAGCTTCTTGCCTTGAACAAGACCAATGATTATAATTACTCCGATGACGACAAAGGACATGTAGCTGAGTTGCTTTCCCAACAAATCCATCGATTGCTGCAGAGGTGTCCGAGGGGCCTCGATTTCCTGAAGAGACAACGAAATCGTCCCGAACTCGGTCTTTCCTCCGGTTGCAATGACGATGCCCTCCCCGTGACCTGACCGCACCAGAGTTCCCATGAACGCAATGTTGTGCTGCTCATTGAGGCGCACGTCAGCGCCCACCGTGCCAGCTGCATTGTATGGTTCGGGTGTGCCATGGTGCTCTGACCTCTGAATTGTTGGGTCCAGAGCGGTAGGGAACTTTTCCACGGGCTCATTTTCACCGGTCAGATTGGATTCGTCGATTGTCAGCTCGGCAGCGTGAGTGATTCTGATGTCGGCAGGTATGCGGTCGCCGGTGGCAAAGATAACTAGGTCTCCCACGACGAGTTGGGATGCAGGGATTGTGGTAGACGACTTTTCCTCAGGTGGAAGCGCAGCACCGTTTGCCAACGGCTCCATTTCAATTGCTTCATTTTCAGCAGCTTGATTCCTAGTCGTGTACGTGGTCGACCTAGGTGCCGATCGTCTGACGTGGGCATAATGGGGGACCAGGCGATGCAGGGCCTCCAAGGACTTCTCCGACCGGTACTCCTGCACAAAAGCGACGGTGACAACGATGGTGACCGCAAGAGCAATACTGACAGCATCATCCTTGTTACCGATGAAGAGTGAGATGGCGGCAGATGCCAGGAGCAGAAGGATCAGCGTCTCCTTGAACTGCTTGAGAAACCTCAACCATAACGGCTCCTCCTCTTCATGGGGCAGTTCGTTGGGCCCATCCTTTGCCAATCGCGCATGTGCTTCGGTCCGTAGCAAACCCTGAGAGACGGAAGTCTTCAAACGCTCGGCGGTCTGTTGGGGGCTGAGGAGGGAGTAGGAGGACGTTATCGAGGAGGAGGTGGAAGCGTAGCGGGCTGGACTCCGTGGCCTGTTTCCTTGCGATTCTGCATTGAAGACCGGCAGTAACGTTGACATGATTGCATGGTAGCTATACTGATTGTCGCTCCATCCTCTACAAATAGTACCGTGAGAAAGAGAGTCGAGTGGAAAGGCAGGTTGCAACGCATGCGCTGGTGCAAGCTAATGTGAGTCTAAACAGATACCGACACTGAGAATATTAAGAGGGTGAGTGTTGTAACACAAGGAAGCCTTGAGGCGCGCAATGGGTCGGTCAAAAAGAAATGGGATCGCAATAAGATAGGGCGAGATGGATCCTCTCTGATCTCCCAGTTCTCGAAATCTTGCAAATTGCAGTGACGCTTCGGCAAGGGATTGAAGGGAAGGTGAACCGAGAAACAATAAGACTAGCGCTCCTAGTGCCACTAATTAGTTATGGCCTTGGCAGGCCCATGTCGCTCAGGTTGTGCAGTCGCGCTTTCGCTACCGCACCTTGCACCCTGCACCCAGCCACTCCTTGCACTCCCCTCCTGCTGCGTCCTCTTCTACCGATCATTAGCATTCCCCCAAGGTCGCACCAACCTCCAATCTCCCTTTTGTCGAGAATTCCATCATCACTCACTCGCGTTCGTCGTCCCCAGAGCGCAACCTCCTCCCAGGTTGATTCCCTCCAAAAGAAAATCTCCCTCTTCACCGTCGCGCCGCCGCGCCGCTTCAAGTCAACATCGTTACTCCCTCGGCGCGTCGATCGTCGTTTGCACTCTCCTGCAACTGACCCTCCTTTCTCCTCACTTGTCCACATGTCCCTGTGAACAGTCACGCAAATCTCAACTTCTCTCTCGCCCTCAAATGTTTTACTCAGAACAACTCCTGGCCAAGACCGGGCCTTTGGCTCGTGTCTGGCTCGCCTCCAATGTCGAGCGCAAGCTCTCAAAATCGCAAATCCTACAATCAGATATTCAGAGCAGCGTGGGTGCTATTGTTGACCAAGGACATGCCCCGATGGCTCTTCGTCTAAGTAGCCAGCTTATGCTGGGCCTGGCGCGGATCTATGGCAGAAAAGTGGTCTACCTGGAGGATGATAGTAAGGTAGCCTTGACTAACCTTAGAAGGGTACGCCGCTTTGCTTCCCGTGTTGGTGCGATGCTAACAATGACTAGACATCCAAATTGACTAAGAATCATGATTTGCCTGCTCATGCGACAGCCGCCGCTGATCTGGATCTGCCTGAAATACTCACCGTCGATGATTTGTTCAACATGGACTTGACATTCACCATGACCCAACAGCCGACCACCACAACAGGTCAGAGCCAACAGCTTGAGGAAGATTGGACCAGCTCTCTCAATCCCCAGCAAGGTCGCACAGAATCGATGCTCGCTCCGGACGAAGGAGCTTTTTTCAATGACGACGACCTGAATCTCGACTTTGGAGAAGACGACGGTATGGACATGAATGATACCACTGTCAGCATGAATGTAGGACGGAATGCACAAACTCCGAGTCGCACTGGTGATGAGGAGGGTCTTCTTTTTGACGACGACGCGGGCCTCAACCTGGATTTTGGCGAAGACATACCAATGCCCGATCAACCACATTCACCAATCTCCTCTGTCGACGATGATGAAGTGCCTGCGTTTGGAGGTGATGAAACTGTGCATCTACAAGAAGCGGCCGCTCGTGGTCGAGATTCGGAATCTCCCTTGTCAGAAGCTGATCCCGAGGTGCTTCGCGAACTCGATCAGACGTTCCAGGAGCAACGGGAGGAAGACATCGAAGAAGTGGCGGTCCAGCAGCGCCAAAGGAGTAGGAAGCAAAAACCCATCGCCCCCGATGCTGAAACCATTCTCCCCCATTCGCAGTTCAAAGCCCCAGCAGAGGAGCGATCGAAAATCTTGCGCCCTCCGTCACTTCTTCCTCGGGACCCTCTTCTACTGGCACTAATTAACATGCAGAAGAATGGCGACTTTGTCTTGAACGCAATGAATGACGGACGGTCAAAGAATTGGGCGCCGGAACTCCAGGGTCTTTTGTCGTTCGAAATAGTCACGAAATCCGGCCAACTCAAGCGGAAACGAGACAGCGGCATCGCTGGATTGAGCGAGGATGAGCACAGTGAAAAGTCCCCACGACTTGAAGGCCCAGGTGATGACATAGAGGACGAGGGTGTCGAGCTCGCCGATGCTTATCGCGACATCACCCTGGAAGAGGGCCCACAACCCATGAGTGAGGGAGGCACAGCCTTGGATGATATAGTCCGGGACAAAGATGATGGAAGTAATTTTGGTGGTGACGACACCTTTGACGATACAACCATGCCACTTATTCATCCTGCAGACAGTGGTCCTATCTCAGTTGGCACGCAGCATGCAGTCCATCTCCTGCGTGAGCGACTTGGCGATGCTGGGGGTGTCCATCCATCCTCGCCGACCAAGAAATCCGTGCTTCTACAAACTTTGGTACCAGAAGGTCGAACAAGCAAAGAAGATGCCACCAAGATGTTCTTCGAGGTTCTGGTGTTGGCCACCAAGGACGCAATCAAGGTCGAGCAGGGCGACAAAGCAATTGGATTACCTGTGCGTATCAGAGCGAAGCGAGGACTGTGGGGATCGTGGGCAGAGACAAGCCCAGGCGATGATCCTGCTGCCACCACAGCTTCTCAGCAAGTGGCTACATCGGCCTGAGTTGACTGGATTTTTGAATGATTTAGGCGTGGGTCAAGCATACTGCAATTCTAGATGGTCTTTTGTTTTTGTTTTTTTGGAAAACTCTGATACCACCTGGGACCCGGACGGATTGGGCTGGCGAGACCTGTATTTTTAGCGGGTCTGGAGGAGGCCCAGGTTGACGAGAGAAACATTTGGATACAGGGCTTTTATGGAAAAGGCTACGAGCATGAAAGCGCAGGCGCGTGCAGGGCTCGGCTGGTGTTGCGCAGCCATGGATGGACACCCCGGTACTCAGTACACTGCAGATAGTGTTTAGGTCTAGATTGAAGACACGTCTCTGCCTTCAAAGGAGGTTGCTAGACTTTCAACTTCTCCATGGAAACATTCGTCGGATCGTACTTGGGTGAGTGAATGGAGCCTGGTGGCTCGAATCCTTCGGATCCTGCGACTTGGGCCTTCGGCGGACTCGAAGCTTAAATCTACTGCTCCCTCATCTCTCACTATTGCTGCCACCAGGAGATAACACATTAGCAGTTTGCTCATCTGCCTTCACCAACGCAGCCTCGAGGCGACAGCCTGATGGCCAAAGTAATGGGTGCCCTGATTCTGTGTCTGTATTGTAAGTCAGGCAAACCATGGTAACTTTACTAACCACTGGACCTGCCTTGACAAAGCCGACCTGTACAATTAAGCCACCAAGCTCGACCTAGCCTTTCGGATGCCATTGTCCTCCTTAATCTCTCTGTCAGTTCAGATATTGACTTTGCGCCGAAACTCACTGAACCCGATATACCAAGGGATGATGGGAGCAGCATCGTGTGCTTCGAGCTCGGTCGCACTGCGTTGAAGTGCAAAAGACGGTTGGGCACCTTCAAGTATCGCTGTAAGCGAACCGAGTTCGGATCAGCAGCCTATCCAGCCCTTGCCAATCAGTCCTACGCCTACGACGACGTCAAAATTTCGCGAATGGACGAATACTTCGAGGCGCAGGCTCTCGTATGGAAGAGGGGTCCTGACTGACACCTGGTGGCTCCAGTTTTTAGCCGTTGCGTCCGGTTTTTCTTGCTTGGTCGAAATCATCATCACGCTCAATTACTTCCGTGGATACCCGCTCTCTTAAATACCATGGGGCTTGACATTGAACTCGATACTTGCTGGCCTTGCTGCAGCTTCGAAATCATCCCTAATATTTACTGTTACGGGCACGGTGAGCCAGTGCAAATGGTGCTGGCTCAAATGCCACCCAGAGCGCCGGAGACGGCCGGAAACCTCCAGGAAGTGGACGAGGCAAGTCGTGATCCTTGGTGACACCATGGCATCTCTCTACTATCTGGGAGCGATCATTATCATTCTTGGATTAATCTACGAGCCCTTCCTTCATCAGATTATTAGCTTCCCTGTGGAACAGACGAATGTCACTTCTCCAGACGCAACAATAAAACAAGTGCTCGGCCTTGACTATTTCAGCTTCTCCGACTACCTGAGAGACTTCACAGTTGGCGGAATCTAGGGTGGTTCCTTCCCTCTACCCACGCCGTCCTGTCCTACAGGAAATTGCACCTGGGAACCATTCTGGTCAGTCGGCTGGTGTCCAAAATGCGAGCAGAGCCAATTCCACTCGCAGTCTTGCAAATATACTCCCTAAAAAATTTGCTGAGCAGTGTGAAATCGTGCACAAATCGTGCGATTTCTCCTTTCCCAAAGGCAATGCTCTGCAGGCGACCTTCGAGACCGGTACCGATGACGACTTTGGATGTTCTGAGACATTTGTGGGGGGCGATGTCTTTCTGTCTCTGAACTATACTCCCATATGGCCACTATCGGTTGACACTTACAACTACACTGATTCAGACGCCATCACTCGATGCTTCTATCGCTCCAGAGAGTTTCTTGGAAAGACCAATCCTCTTCTCGCTCCAGGCTATGCTGCGCCGCTGGTTTCAACTCCAGATAACGAGACATCTCCACCGCAGATCATGTCGCAGGCTGCAATGTGCATTCCGACTCCCTGTGGTAGGAAATACAATGTGTCGGTTATCAACGGGCGTATGTGACCGAAACACTCGAAGACAACTATGGTTCAATATCTCCAAACGAACAGGCTCTGAGACCGGCAACTTCATCCTTGACGACATTCCGCTCGATTTACACACTGAGCCGAGCGGATTCATACTTAACATCGATAGTGCTCTCACGTATCTCAATACGAACGCATCTTACACATCCTGCCTCAAACCGCTCTCGGGGACCACCTTCACCGAGAAGACGTTATCGACGTACGCTAGATCTAGCTATCTCTACCTCTAGGTCCGAATGCTATGGCGCTCATTTTTCTCCTTGTGACTGCAATCTACACTAGGCGGAATCGGGTGCCGCTATGGAAATCATCGGCTTTTGCACCCTTGTATTGTAACAGAGCACTTCAGGGTTCGGCGTGCACGTGCAACAACGCACAGAGGCCTGTCCAGCAGATCGGGAATCGAGAACGCGTTTCTGGTTAATACTGACAACAACACCACCAACACCACCCAGAGGGGCAGCGGCTAGGGCTACGAATGCCTAGCACAGCGGCAGCATCGAGGAACAGGACAGGACTGATAAAACACTTAGGAATTAGGTAGACAGCGCCAAAAAGCCATGGAATTCATGATACTCTGCTCAAACTGTAATGAATGGCACACTGCCAGCACTGTAAACTGTTCCGCACCTCCCTCTCTGCCAGCCCATTTAGGTTTGACATGTGACTAGACAACTTTTCCTCCCTGCCACCGCTCTACCAGCCCAGCACAGCCCATCACAGCACAGCCACCTCGCCTTGTTACAGTATCATGGCCTCGAAACTCCGGATGATGAGAAATTGTACGAAACCACTAGTGCCATGGAGAAAGCTGCAAGCTCGACATGGGTCACGCTAGATGCATCTGGTCCGGGACGTAAGCGATTGATTTTACGCTCTGACGACCAGCACCGATATATAACAAATTAGCGTTTGGCTCTCGACTTTCCCATCGCCAAAATCGTTTTGGGCCCCATCATGTCCCTATTAATATCTGGGAAGGATGTCTGCAATGGAATCGACTTGGCCGGAGCAGGTTTGGTGGCGCCCTCCCTAGTATTGTACTCGCCCCTGCCAAGGAACCCCTATTCTAGCCTTGTCTGCCTTGTCTAGACTACATTGCGCCAAAGGGGTGGGCAGAGGCGGCTTCCACCCCCTATAGGCACGAGTTCCAACCTTTCTACCCGCCCGATTTGTTGCAACAGCGGCCAGGGTGAGGAGTGCCGAGAGGGCGTCAACTGTATCTAGTCAGATCTCAATTCCAAGCAATATCAGAACCCGTTGGCGCTAGTCGGCCGTCTCTCAACATCGATCATGTCCCAGGTTCAGCCCAACAGTTACCGATTTGGGAGAGTGGTTTGCCAGTTTCTTTGCTCGATATTCTTTTCTTCAAGATCAGTACAAGCCATTCGCAATGCGACTTTTGAATGCCCGAACACTTCAGTTCCTGGAAATCGATGATCCACGCACAATTCCCAAGTATGCCATCCTTTCTCATACCTGGACCGACAAAGAGATAGTCTTCTCTGACCTTAAGTCCTCACCTCAACTTGCTCATCAGCGTCCCGAGTTCACCAAAGTCAAGTTCACAGCACAACAAGCACTCGACGATGGACTGGACTACATCTGGGTCGACACCTGCAACATAGACAAATCTTCAAGCGCTGAACTTTCCGAGACTATCAACTCTATGTTCATGCTCTACAAGAAGGCCGAAGTTTGTTATGTCTATTTGGCAGACGTCACAGAGCCACCTCCGGCAGGATGGACTGACGACGGGCAGAATGACGATGCTTGGACGGAGACATTCACCAATGCTAGATGGTTTAACAGAGGGTGGACACTCCAAGAACTGATTGCACCTCGAAATGCAGTCTTCTACACCATGGATTGGAGACGCATTGGAACGAAGCGAGAATTGTGCCAGACAATTGCACGAAGAACGGATATTCCCTCAACGATTTTACTTGGAGGTGACTTCGGAAGAACTCTAGTGGCTGAACGAATGAACTGGGCAGCAAAACGAAGAACTACTCGAGTAGAAGATCAGGCCTATTGCTTGCTCGGACTCTTTGACATCAACATGCCACTGTTGTACGGCGAAGGCGAACGGGCATTCCTCCGCTTGCAACACGAAATCATCAAGAACAACAATGACAGGAGCATATTTCTCTGGATAGCAATAGAAAAATCGCGCACCTCTTTCCGTAACCTCTTTGCACGTGCTCCAGCAGAGTTTGCCTCATTCCATGACTACGATCTTGAAGCAAAATATGGTCGTTTTGAAGTGACTCAAAGCGGCCTGGAGATTGATTTGCCGTTGACTGAAGTACCTGGCAGCCGCGGACGTGAGTTCTTCGGAATTGTGGTCGACGCTGGCCGAGGGTATCATTGCGTTCGTCTGCGGAAAATCGGCCCCAATGAGTACGCCCGTGTTGATGCGGATGAGGTCTTCCGTATTCTAAATCCCGACTACAATCCGTTCGCAAGGGAGAATCTGCATGCACACTCGCAGTGGATTACGGTCCCAAACAGATTTGACAACTTTAGCTACCAATCCTATATGGACTATCGTCTTGGAGGCTTCTATGTTGAGTGCTGCCCGATCGAGTTGCAGATCCACAGCGTCGTACCAAGCTATGCTTGGGACCAGGAAACAAAAATTCTGGAGTTGGATTGTTCCAAGAGCCTGAAGCCGTTTGAGGAAGGAGAGGATGGCTTGAAGATTGTATTCGGTGAAGTTTCACATCCCGAAACAACATTCGAAGTCAAGCTCATAGACTATATGCGGAGGCCTAACGAATGGACGAGAATCGGGTCCTCGCCGTCGAACGAAAAATACGGATACATGCTCCGCATAACTAAGCGATTTGTTGGGGATAAGTTAATGAATGTTGTTCGAATTGATTATCAAATCGAAGAGGAAGGTAAGTGGGAAGCAAAAGCATGGTGTTTAATGGGGCTATGTTTGTTGACTTGGGCTTTGCAGGCGGCATGAAGATCTCCAGCGAGAAGAACCCCCTCCCTGGTCGGTACATTTCGTACAGAAACCCGTCAAAGGAAGAGCACGCAAGGTTGCTTGAAACCTTGGCCCGAGAACGGGAACCGGACCGGGCTACGGGTTCGGGGGGAGTTGTAATAGAAGAGGACCTATCAGGCTCTGAGGATGACCATGTCGCCCACATGCCGGACATTTCGACGGGAGATGGAGATCGTCAAGGAGATCCCTGAGTAAGTCGACCTGATTCTCTTGACGGTGTTCATTGAAGGCGTTTATGATTGAAGGCGTTTGTGATTGAAGGCGTTTGTGATTGAAGGCGTTTGTGATTGAAGGCGTTTGTGATTGAAGGCGTTTGTGATTGAATGCTTTTTCAAGGTCCTTTCCTCATCTCCTATGCCACATTTTCCTCTCTACCATGTCACTTTGGATTGCCAGAACATCACGGGACATGCCCAACCTCTTCGTGTATGGCCTCCAGGTCCAGGTATATAGGTAGTTAAGCTCGCCCTCAGTCAGATAATCCACAAGTTCGATTTCCTCTTAATGTCTAACACGAATATGCTGGACGGTCATCCACCTTGCGCTTGATGCTATGATAACGTGATATTATACATCAGCAGAGGCTTCTTAATAGACACACACTCTCTCTGATATCGGGCGCCGAAGAATTTCTTCCCCTGGGTCTTGGGACAGGTGGCTTTGCCCAGCTTCCCCTTTTCTCCTTACGTGGTGTGTAGTCGATGTAATTGTATACTTCCAAACCTCACTGCATAGAGTAGTACCGCCCGAGAAGATTCGGGTTCTCGGACTGCAAGGCACCATGTTATATAAGATACATTACTTTGCGTATAGCTTGTTATATATATAGTGTGACCACAATCATAATCGTTGAGTCCAACAAACATTGGTTTAACTCTCGTTCATCGACCTCATCGTCGCCCAGGTCTGGACTATCGAAGTCACGGTCGACACTATCGTCAACATGAAGATTGCCAGCGCGATCCAGAAAGTCCAGAACTTCTGAGGGTCGCGCCTGTCTAACCAAAGTTGCGCCCATCCTTCTGCGGGTGCCAGAAAGACATCCTCGTTGAGTTCCAGTAGTCGATCCATCCAGATTTGACAGATCCTGACCATGTTCGCGGCTGTGAAGTGAGGGTGCAGGCGGCGCTGGCTCAACGTCAATTCTGTCTCGGATCTGCCGAACACGCCGTTTATTGTCTCACTCAATGTGGTCTCATCGTCCCACTCGACGCAGCTCTGGCCTCCAGTTACACCACGATGTTTTGGATTTAGGAAATTAACCAACAGCCAAAGACGTAGTGCTGCATCAATTATGGAGTTCAAGACCTCAGGACGAATCTGTATCGAGTCCCACTTGAATTCGCTTTTGATGGTCTCGCGGATCTGGGGTCGTCTCATGGAAGCCCCGTGCTGTTGCAGGATTGTTATGACCTTGAGAAGCTCTTGATGGGTCTTAAGAGGGAGAAATCAAGCCTGTTTGCCTCCTGGCCCATACAACCTTTGAAGCCAAGTCGTCTGCTCTGCCAGGTAGACGGAGAACTCCTCATATTCCGCCTCTTGGAAGTGGTTCTTGCCCATGTCGATGCCGAAGCATGCTCGCACGATGTCAGCCTTGTCGCTTGGGCTGGGTGTATCGAGAAGATGAGTAGCATGAGACATCGGGGTGATGAGGTAGAGAATTGGTCAGGATCATGATCAAGACACTTGCGGTCGCAGCGTGACGTGGGGCATGAATATATGATTGTCTAGCCGTAAGGCTGGCAAGGCTGGCGAGGCTGGCAAGGAGAGGGCAAAAGAGGGCAGAAGGGGCGCCAATGCCAAGCCGTGGTGGGTCGCAGCCTCCATGTCACCAACACACACCAAAACACCATGGTTTCTGCCTCGTCTAATAATCTTCACAGCCTTCTACATGATCGCCGCAGTCTTCTACTAACGAACCCGTTCTAGACCAGCCTTGCCACTTGTGTCCTGGGTTAGTGGCTGAGACATGCAGGCTCCTTTGGCGTTGTCCCCGGCCAATTGGCAGGGAGGCTCTTCCGCGACATGCAGCTGATTGATCCACCCATACCCAGTACACCTTCAGCTTTGGAAGGCAGTGCTGGCAACCATGGCGCCTTTGAGCGTCAGCAGTGCAACACTGGGCTCGGCCATCTATATGCAGCAGCATTGTTGGGATCATTAACCTCTTCTCTTTCCTAACCTTCACCTTGATGCAAGTTACACCTTCCTCTCTTCAGCCTTGCCTGGATGAGCGGTCTCTGTGGCGTGCGTTCAGACTGAGAACTCATTTCGACTCATTCTTACTCAATACCTATGCTCTCAATGCAATGACAGTGGCTCAGACCCCACGTCTCTTTGCGAGCGCCTCTGCGCCGGATGGGGTTTCTTTAGGCCAAAAGCGACGGGCTTTTGACGACACCTCTTGTCTGGACGACCGCTTAAGGCGCGGGCCAACACCTCACGTAGAAATTCACAATGTAAAAGCAAATCAATAACACTCGCTCATGAAATCTCACGATGCCGAGCAAGAAACACCACTTTCAGTCAGCCGAGCGGACAGCGTGGGAATGCTCAAGACTACGACAATTTGCTCGCTACTGGTCAATGGTTCAGTGCATCTTGCTGAGCGAAGAAATAGCCTTCCGATGGAAATAGAAGAACTCGCAATCACGGGGCATTCTTGCGAAGAAGCTGATATGACTCTTCCTGAATCGCCGCCTTGCTCAAGCCGATCAGGTCCACCCGTTTCAGGAGTTTCATCGATCCTAGAGGCGCCTGTCGCACTGCCCAAAGATTCAGGTTCGTTCCCCAAAGATCTTGTACTCGTCGTCATCGAAAAGATATACGTACGACGGGACAGCTTCGATCACCTGGACTTTTGGAGCGAATCAGAAGAAAGCCTGCGAATGCAGCTGGATCAGGAGATAGACCTATGTTTCCGGCATCGGCGAGGCTCGCGGCAGCCTCACGACTACCTTCTACAACTCACATATGCTGGTACCAAAAAGGAAGAGCTGCGTCCCTCAATTGTCATCACAACATCCAGTCCAAAGACGAGGAAGCTGATCAAAAAACGTCTCGCATCCGAACAAGTGCAGTGCATCTTGCAAAGGCTGAGGCGCGATCTTTGGGTACTGGTCGACTCTAGCAAACGCGCCGGGGGGGCTGACACACAAGCCTGGCCCAGCGATGATTTGCGTATCTGGCTCCGTTACCATGTACCTGGACCCTCATTTTGCGGCTCAAAGATTGAGCTCGTGCAGAGAGGGGCGCAAGTGTCAGCGTGTGTCTTTGGAGGCACAATTCTCATAGGGGACAGATTATTCGGGCTTACCGCGTCGCATCCATTTCCGCAAATTAACCCTGATTTGGCCAATGAGTCCAAGCAGGGTGGAAGCTTAGATGAGGATGAAGACGAGGCCGAGGACGACACCGCAAGTGAAGACGAAGGTCCATTTTATATCCCATGGAACACGAATGGCAACGACGGATACGAAGACTCTGTAGACCCTGAGATGGCGAGAGAAGTTGTCCTCGACGCTTCAGATGAAGATATGTGGATCTCTGGCAACTCGCCTCCCAAGAGCTCCAAGAACCGAGGTCGCTCTTTCCAGGCTTCGTCCCAGTCACGCAAGTTTCCCGTTGGGTCATGCCTCTTATGCGATAGCAATGACATTCGTTCCGACGTATGACGGCCCTGCTGCTGACTGGGCTGCGTTCGAAATTCCCAGCGAAACGGAAGCATCTATCAAGGCATTTTTATCTCGCAATGAAATCGGAGCGAACGTTATCACTGACTTGTACAACCATGTCGCTGGTGAGAGTGTACCCGTTGTTATTGCTCTGCCAGATGGGGACATAGCTGGCACTCTCAGGTCTGGACCAGTCATTCACAGGGTCGGCACACAAGTATTTGATCTACTTCTAGTGACAGTAGATCAACCTATTCCGCCAGGATGCTCAGGAGCATGGGTGGTCCATGCGAATCAACTTTGTGGTGTAGTGCTCGTTGTGAGGGAGGATTTGCCCTGGATATACATGCTGCCGTTCGACACGATTAGGCGAGATATTGAAAGACCTGTGCTCTGCCAGTGCGGCTGCCACGAATTGACGAGGACCAGCATGAGGCTGTTGCGACCGCCAGCCAGCCTCCCCTTACGCAGCTATTCACCAACAGCATTGACAGTAAAGGGCCAGATCTCTCAACTGTCCTGAGTCCTGCAAGCGCCCCGGTGATCCCACAGGGGCGTTCGAAATACTCAATAGCAGTCCAGGGACGAAAACGAAACAAAAAGAGACTGTCAGACGACGGAGAGTCCCACGATTCTGAACCAGGAAAGTCTCGTCGGCGAAAACAGGAACACGTTGAGGCGGCCGAAGCGGAGATCCGCCGTCTCAGGGACCTCATTTACCATCTTGGAGGTGATCCCTATGCGGACAATCTATGAGCAGTGGTTGTCGATGGGTAATGGTATCCAGGGTAGACTAGAATCGCCTTTCTTTGAATGGTCTCGCTTGGCCTAGGCTCCCAGAGGTGCGTTATGAGTTCCAAAAGGAGGAAGTCGGAAGCTGAAGCTGTTCCCCTGGCTGCTGCGAGAAGGATTCCTGGCATTCCTCAACGGAATGTGGATGGAGAAGCTTCACATGGACAATTTCATTCACCATGTGCCAGTGGGAGCCAGCAAGCTACCGGCTTGCCTACAAGCGTTGTCGAAAAAACAACAGTGTTTTCACACACAATCACACATTTCGTCGGTGAAATCATTTGGCCTCCACAGGTCATGCGAAGAAGGAATCTCCAGACCACACGAGGCTCTCTCAACTGCAATCCTCCACAACGCAGATGCGCCGAGCTCAAAGCTCGAAATGAAACAGAAACATCACCTGAATCTAAGGAGTCGTTTAAGATCGAAGCAGACACGGGTGGGACTAAGTATTCTCCACGAGTGGAGCAGGACGACACTGCGAGGAGCAGAGAAAGAGAGCTCTTCAGCGCGAAAACTTTGAAGAATACAAAGGGGTATGTGACAACTTCTTTTTGGCGACGTTGAAGGACAACGTCACCTGGAGGAAAGGAATGACTGGGTCCGAGAATGGTTGGCCGCATCGACCACATCTTCCGAGGACGCTTTTCAGGATCAACGGCAGGCGGACATCAGCAAATGGAACCAGAAAGAGAGGGGTGAAAGTGAAGCCAAGGCTGGGTGGTTCAATTGGGCAGAGCGCGTTGAATTCAGCCATCAGCGCCGTCAGCAGGGTTCGGCGAAAGTTGAGCGAGAACAAGGATGCCGTCATCTAGTCACAGCCTTGGATGCACCATCTCTGTTCGGCCCATGGTGTACTTTTACAAGATTGCCTAGTACTGTTGGGTTTAACAGTATTCGAGATAATGTACTGCAAATGTAGATGGACGAGAAGATTCGAGGAGCCACTCTTCCTAAGGGGGTATTTGTTTCTAGCAGTCAAGATCGAGCGCGTGCGCCCTGAAGCTGTCTATCTGCGTTCGACGGTCTATGGGGTGGAAGGCCTCCGGTATCGAAGATTAGAAGGATGGACAGAATATATGCATTGAAACGGGGCATGTCGATGGTTCTCCCGCCAGTCGAATGCACGTCGCAGTCAGCCATCCATCCACAAATACCGCAGAGGCCTCCAACGCGCCATCTCTACCTCTAGGCATCTTTGACCCAAGTGCCATCATCCATCAGCCCTTCACGCTTCGGTCCCTCTCTCGCCCAGGTCTCAACCACTCCGTTCTTTGGGTCTTCATCCGGCCAACCCCTTGACCTTCTGACCTCGAGAACCGCGTCACGGACACGTTTTGCACACTCCATTCTCAATTCCACGGCCTCGGGGTGATTCGCCAAGTTCTCCGGCACAAGGCCTAAGATCATCTCGTCCCATCTAGGCAGTCCGGCTTCACGGGCATGCCGGTCCGCCAGATCTCTCCAGCGCTTGCGCAAGTCGCCAAAGACGGCCTCGACATCCAATTGGCGCCCGATCGTCAGAGAGATTCTCTTCCCGATCCGGGGCACGAAGCGTGGAAATGACCGGCTTTCGTGCATGACCTGATCGGTCCCTTCGATGAACATGGGCACCACGTCGGGGCACTCTGGCGGCTCGAGAATGAGTCGCGCCACACCCCACTTAAAATAGCGCATTGTGTTGTCAGTGGCTTGATGGATCATCCCCTCGGGAAAGATATGTACCCAGCTGTAAGAGTTGCTTGCGTAGCGGGAGGGGGCGAGGTACCATCTCGCATCGGAGGGCTGAGACGGGTAGGAGGGCGGAGGAGAGACGTCGGAGAACGGATCCACGCAATCCCAGGGCCACTGAGGAGGTTGCCAATCCTTGTGAAAGCGCGGGTTGCTCAGCGGACAGAGCGATTGGCTTTTCGCCGAGATCTTGGACAGGAGGCGGACAGCTTCGGTCATGGTAGCCTGGTAGGGTCCGCCGAAAGGGGAGTGTGCGCCACGGTGGATGGGGAGGACCTGTCCCAGCGTGAAGAAGTGAGAGGTAAAGGCATTTTTAAAGCAGATGTCATGACTACCCAAGCTCCAGCGGTGGTTCATGTAGCCGTGGAAGGCGGCGAAGGAGATGGGGAGGACGCCCCATATCAAGGGCTCGTCGAGGACCGAGATGTGGTTCGAGACGGTCAACAGTCCGCGGCGACGCGTTCTGTAGTCGACGCGCGATTTCAAGAGGTCGAGAAAACGAGGTAGGCCATGGACTTCGGTTTTGTTGAGCGTGTAGAGGAACAGACGCGACAGGGTGGCGACGGCGAGGATTGTCTGGTATGAGGCACCGCGCCAGAAGTAGCTCGGGGCCTCGAGGTTTTGGTAGAGATTGAGGTCATCGCGGCGGAAGGGCATTGGTGCTACAGAGCGGGAGGAGACTGGTGATGAAGAAGTCCATGGAGTCTTGTTGAAGAAGGAGGAGGAGAAGGAAGTCAAGCAGCCCCGTAGATTTCTTTCTATTCTCATCAATCCATGACTTGCTGGAGGCGTCGTGCCGGAGGTGTTGGCTGCGGCGCAGTTCGCAGTTCGGCGGGATTTTTTCTGAAGCTGCGGAGCGAGACGCGGCAACATTTCCTCCGATTTCTCCTGCTGTACCTCTTGCAACACCCCAAACTCACCTTTTCACTACATCAGTACGGAGCAGCTCAACCAGCTCACCTTTTTCCTGGGTCCCGGCAATCATGTTCAGGCCGACTTCTCCCCTGGCAGGAGGCCTTCTATGGTGCGTCCTTCACGGGGTTGGAGCTGTTAAGCTGTCCGCCAATGCTGATTGAATCTTTCTCGCTTGTAGGAAAATCCCCTGGCGCCTCTCTTCGATGCAGAAAGCACGCCAGCGAAAACGGTTAAAAATGGTCGACAAGGTCGTCGACACGGTCAGCACAGCACTGCAAAACAATGGCGGAATGACGGCGAAGGCGGTCGAGAGATGGTATCAGGAGATGCCCCGAGAGGAAGAGATGCTGCCCAAGGACAAATACACAATTTTTGATCGCAAGGAAAAGAAATACAGAAAGGGCATTCACAGTATGTCTCCTGACGAGCTTCACACCTGCTCGTACGCATTGCTGACCAATGTTTTCAGAGCTGCCGAAATGGACAAGAGTCAGTCAGAGACTCAACCCGCCTGGCTTCTAGAGGGGTCAGTTCGACACTTGTCATTGTTCATATACGCCACGCCCGCTTCGCCCGGTCTCAGGAAAACATTCCTTGCCTTTGCAGCTCCTTTTTACAGCCAGCAGAAAGGAATGTTGGCATGGGGAGAGCCCAGATAACCTCCTACCATCAATTCAGGCCCGAAATTCGCAAGCTCAGGCGCTGAGCAGCTTGCCCTCTCATCACAATTTCAGAGTCAACAAGATACAATCCGTACCATCGCGATCCAAAGACCGGCGACGTGAAGAGAACCACACCAAGGTCCTATCTCGCACCGCAGCCCGAAGAGAGATTTTTACCAAGCCGACTTGTGACATTGGAGCCCGTCTGACCGGAACGGGGATGGAGGAGTCTTCGGAGTCACGGCAACAGAATTTTGCGAAAACACGAAGCGTTTCTGGGGCGGAGAGGGATACCCTCGTGCATTGAGATTACCTACGGGTTCCCAGCGGGCACAAGAACCCTCCTAATACTCACAGCCCCGAGTCACGTCCCAAAGGGGCACTGGCGGAATACCGCTCTGTACAAACAGCATTAAACTATGACGACTCTTGACTCTCACTCTTCCATCCGTTACTCTCCTCGATTGTTCCTCCCTATATTATATTCGTCGTGCACGAAAGGCCCTATCTACCAGGTAGAGAGTAGAGCAGGGAGCCTCTGCAGGTGTCCCCTGCTCTATTGTTTCTTCGGAGAGCGCCGAGGGTTCAACTCCCAATATGTTATTTGCTCCTTCATAACTCCTCGATCTCCCTGTCTGTTTGTTGGCAATGGAAGAAAGACCTGACGAGGTACGGAGCCCTATAGTTTGCATTGAGCCTCCTCGGTGAGTGCCGATGATCTTCATCGGTTCGTCATAGCTACCTACATAACATAACCACGGGACAGACAATGCCTAGGGAGGTATGTATTACAGCTTGGACTCCCTCACGAAACCAAATCTTTGCCCTCCCTCCACAGTCAGCGCTTGCTTCTCCACCTTCCCCGTCGGTGTCTTTTTGATGACTGGCACAATCTGGATCACGCTGGGCACCTGGAACCGCGCCATGTTGGCCGTCGCCCAGCGCCACAGCTCCGCCTCGCTCACCTTCGCAGCAGCGCGCAGCTCGACCGTGACCTTGACATCTTCCTCTGTTCCCGCGCCCCCTAGGGCCGAGGGGATGCCAAAGGCCGCTGCGGCGGCTACGGCGGGGTGCTTGAGGAACTCCGCCTCGACCTCGGCGGTGTTGACGTTCTCGCCGCGTCGGCGGATTACGTCCTTGATGCGGCCCAGGAAATAGACGTTGCCGCGCTCGTCCACCTTTGCCAGGTCTCCTGTGTGGAACCACAGGTTTGCAAACGACCTGAGGGTGCTTTCGTCGTTGCCGTAGTAGCCTTGGAAAAATGCATTCGGCTTGTCGCTCCGCAGCAAGAGCTGGCCGGGGGTGTTTGCCGGAAGTGGCTCGTCAAAGTCGTTGGCGATCCGAAGGTGAAATCCCGGTCGTAAGCGTCCACAGGAACCGATGGGGAGGGTTGCTCCCTTCTGCATGATGGGCAGGCTTGTCTCGGTGCTTCCATACAATGTCAGCAGCGGATGCCCGAATCTCTGCTCGTAGTCCTTGCTGAAGTCAGGAATGGGCACGCCCCACGCCAATCGCACATTGTGATTCCGATCCTGAGGGGTGGGTTCCTGCTTGTAGACCAACGCGAGAGTGGCCCCCATGAAGTCGTAGACGGTGGCTTTGCTTGCTCGGATCTCGTCCCAGAAGCGGCTCGCGCTGAAGCGGACAGAGAGCGCAGCCGTTGCGCCCAGGAGCAGGGCAGGAACCGTAGTCAAGGCGGTAGCGTCGACGTGAAACAACGGGAACGGGCAGTAAAGCACATCATCCTGACGAAGACCAAAGCCTTCGATCAATGCCGTCGCCTGCAGGATGAAATATTGATGAGATAGGATGCAAGGCTTGGATGGCCCAGTTGTACCACTCGTGTAGAGGAATGCTGCGGGAGTCGACGGTAGGACCGGCACAGCATCCTCGGCTCGACCAAAGTGATAGAGAGCAGACAGGCTGTTCTCGTCGCTATTGACCCCGTTCTTGACATAGATCTGACTCTCCGAGAACACTTTGGTTCCCTTGATGTGTGAGGCAAACTCGGCATCAACAATGGCCAGCTTTGGCCGAGCCGAAGAGACGACATGCTGGAGGGTAATGGATTTTAGCTCCACGTTGACTGGAACCCAAGTGGCTCCCAGTCTATTAGTGGCAAACCAGGTATGGACCGTCTCCAGGCTGTTTCTCATCATGACCAGGAGCCTGTCACCCGGACCGACACCTAAATGTCTCAGACCACCTGCGAGCTGGGCGACTGACTCGTCAAATTGTTGGAAGGAAGTATCTCGACCTTCGAATCGAATGAATGTCTTTTGCGGAAACTCTCGAAGGGCGACCTGCAAAGCCGTGTTAAGGTCTTTCGGCAGCGTGCTACCACCTTCAAGAATTGGACAGGTTCCCCTTGGGCTCGCCTTCACGTCGCCCTCAGCCGCATTACGCAAGGTCATCTGCTCTGCGTCAAAAACACGCCTCTCCCGGAAATTTTGAAAGGCTTGCTGTGCGTCTGGCTGGGCGAAGCAGAGGTTTGCGGCTTGCACTTCGTCGCGGAGGACTTCCTCCATGTTCGAAAATACCGCTTTCTCTAGGCCTATTTTCGAGCAACTGGATGCTTTGGCTGGTAGCTTCTCGAGTTCTAATGCGAGTTGAACTGCTCTCTCCTTTGGATGTTCGACGAGCTCGGTCAAAAGTCCCAGTCGAAGCGCTTCTTGGGCATCAAGGAGTAGTCCACGAAGCAACAATTCCTTGGCTTTAAGTAGTCCGACCATCTGGCACAGCCGAAGTGAGATCCCACCGGTGACTGCATGCCCGATGGTGACTTCTGGAAACTTGAATTTGGCATTGGGGCCTCCAATCACGAAATCAGCGGCCAGGGCAATCTCTGCACCTCCTCCGACAGCATACCCCTGGACAGCAGCGATGATCAGTTTGTTAGTGCTCGATGTATATCGAGTGATGTCTTGGAGCTTCTCGAACGCAGTCTGAAGTTCTTCGGGAGACCCTCTCCCGGAGACAAGGGACTCCTTCAGATCTTCACCCGCGCAGAAGGATCGCGACCCTGAGCCTTGAAGGACGATGATGCGCACGTCAGGGTCGTTGTTTGCATTCTTAAGGCAAGTCACAAGCTCCTCGAGCAAACCAGCGTTGATGGCGTTGAGTGACGCAGGTCGATTGAGAGTCAACTGAAGGATTGCTGGAGAGATACGTGTCGAGAGCACGGTTGGTTGCGACATTTCTCGTCAGAATCAATGATGAACGAGTCAGGAGGGCGATGTGTATCAACTTGAATCCGAGCTCATCCCATGCTGCCTTCAGGGCGGTATATGTACTTCGTCACGAAGACAAGCTTGATAGCTGGGACTTACCACATTGCTTCACTCAGGCATGTTATCCCGGAAAGCACCACTACCCAACCGGACTTGGGTAGCGACGGCAGGGACTTTTTGACAGGGACCGTTCTATCACCCTTGATGCCCTCGAGGTGGCTATCGACGACGCACAAAAGTATGGCGTCCTGAAACTATTCCCGATTTGGATCGAGATGCAAGTTTCGCCGACTCGGTAACGGGGAGAATTGCACCAGGAGAATTAGTCGAGTGGCTTTGCACAGGCCTGCACCTATAGGGATGCAGACGGGGAATCTTTAGACATGGTAGGACCAAGGCCGTTTTGGAGCCTAAGTGTTACTTCCGAGACAAACCTACCGGGTGATCCATATCGACATCAGACCAGAGGTTATAAGATTAGCAAAGAGATTCCAATGGTCACGCCGGCCACCTTATCGCGCCACGGCTAGAGCCCTCCTTGAGCCCTCGCAACAGTCTGTTACGGACTTTCTCCCCACGCAAGAATAGTCCCGGGTCGTCCCTACAGCACCCTTAGATGATTGTATGAGACGGTTTTACTTCCCTGTTTCACCGCAAATCTCAATGAGAGGTTCCAAGGCCGGCCACAGTTGATGATATGGTTGCTTTTTATCAGAGCCTGGACTGGCGACCTTCGAGGAGGATCGGCTTGTGCAGAGACTTCGATCTTGGATTGTCGGGCGCGAGGTTTTACCAAGGCCTGAAGATCTTGGAGAATTCAGCGAACCATGTAATGCCGCATGATGGTCGCCTTGACATGACTGAGCACTCTTGGGTTGAAATATCTCTTCCTGGACGTGTTTAGACCAATAAGACGTCTACGTCCCAGTCCTTTATGACTCGTCTCCAATCTACCGCGACGAGGCCCTTGTCAAGGCCTATTTCTCGCGAAATGATGTCTCTTCTGCGCCAGGTCTCTTCAATAACCTTTCTCACCAGGACTCGACTGCCAAGGCCAAAGCTCATGGCAGTATCTAGCCACTCTCCCACCATGGACATGGTTTCGTCCGAGTATGCTTCGACAGCAGCGATGAAGGCGGGCCAAAGAGAGAAGTTGCCGTAATTTCCAGAAACAAAGCAATTGACATAATCAAAAGTCTCGACAATATAAGTGTGCAGCTCCATTGGAGACAAGTCGAAGAAGCTCCTGTAGAAGTAAATATAAGTGGCAGCGACAAAGGCTCCAAGTTGATAGTAGGCAGCGTTGTTCAAGACACCACAAACTCTTGATGACTTGTCCGCCAGGCTTGCCCGACAGGCATCTAATCTGCCAAGTAGAGTTCGATAATTGTTGTCATTTGGTCCGGACCATTTATTGACCCGGTTCATGTCATTAATGCAGGATATGCAGTCCAAGATCTCCTGTGTTGCACCAATCGTGAACCCGAAATCAAGAGTGGATTTGATCATGAAGATTGACTCTTGGTCTTGCAATGTGGCTGATGACGCGGTGCCTGCTTCTATTATTCCGCTATCGTGAGGTAGAGATGTTGTATAACCAGATTCGCTCTGAGCAAGTTCTCCTTGGTCAGCCACGAGGCCGTTGTCGAGTCGGCTCGTATCTCCCACGAGACTGATAATGAAGAGGCTTTGCAGCGATGCACAAGTGAGTTCAGAATCTTTCCACGGGCTTTGAGCTCGGAAATTCCGGAAAAGATCCCATGCCCCTTGGAGGTGATGTCTCCAGCTCCTAGATTGGCCGCTGTAGACCTACCAGGCCAGTTAGATCAACGAGATATTCTTTGAAATGACTTTTTCATTACCTCGGCCATCATTAGGGTCAATACCACCGTCAAGGTGTTGGTGCAAAGCTCTGAGTTTATTAAAATCTCTCGAAGTTGCATTATGGAGGAGCCATAGTACTTCGATGCCACCTCCATACTCTTGTTTCTAGAAGCAGTGAGGTGAGCCATATTGAAGGCGGCCTGAGCTAAAAGGGCATTGAAAAGGGGTTTTTGTGTCTTCAAAGTATGGTCAATGGCCCTTGCAGGGTACAAGGACTTCCACGGGTTCCTTGGATGCTCAAATGGCATCATGATCACGGCGACGTGTTTGACATAGTGATCAAAGAGCATCCTTTCTTCTCGAGTGGGAGACATCCAGCTCAGAGGGTCATAGTCGAGCCTCCTGAGAGGGGTGAGAGGTAACAGGGCATCTCCAGAAACTGGGTCATCAACTCGAAAGGCTGTAAATGGGTTATACACCGGAGTTTGAGAGGAGGCTTGGAAGACCCCTTCAGATTTCACGGCTTGGTCCAGATCACATTGGGATATCAGACAGTCCACCAGTTTTAAATCGAGAACGGGAATACCTTTCCAGGTCTCCTCTATTGCAGTCAGCACACACTCGATTCGCGCGAGACATCAGCAAACCACAGCGCCTGTAGCGTCTCCCAAATGACACGTCGTGACTTCCATCATCCTTGACCCAGACAAGAGTTGCTGCGTAGTCACAGAGCAGACTCTTATGGACACAAGTGGAGCATCGGGGCTGTTTCTCGTCACACTATTGTGGACTTTGTCAGCCTCGGAGTGAGCTCTGCTGGCCACGCCGGGTCTAGACTACCTTCACTTTCCGTTGACGGCAATTCCGGCATCCCTGAACATTGTCAACCGGAACTCTTATGCGCGGGCTGTTCTCACAGCGGTCCTCTGCACTGACTGTGAACGTGCGGTCGCGCTGTCGATGCCGACTCTGTCTGTTCTGCATCTCAAAGCTCCGTGTCTCTCTCCTCCATCAACTGTTTGCAGTGAGAGGAAGTTGCGCCTAGACAGAAGGGGGGCGAGGACAATGTAGTTGTTGAGATCGAAGGGGACGCAAGTCGGGCCGCTTGCGCCAGTCATCGCTCATTGAAAAGGGAGACGCGTTATGTTAGGGGCTTGGCATGTTCTTGATCAAGGATATGTTGTAGTATGTACATATGTACCTCGTATGTAGCAGATATGACGGAGCAAGACGGAGATATCAAATATCATCAGTCATAACCGAGTGGTTTTGGCATGGGCAAGCATGGGTAATACTGGCGATTAGTCACAGAAGGGTGCCCACCGAGGCCGCCTCGCTGGTTGCCTGCGCTTGGCCCGCACGTGATATGCCATCCCGGATGAAATGAGTGGCAATGACTCTTCGCCGTCATGACTCCATAGCACTGGGTACTACTTGTATGCTACTTGCAAGCAGTGGGATATGTACTAGGTATTCTATCTTGCCTTGTCTTCGTGGATTCCACTTGTCCAGAATACCGTCAACATTGAATATATGCCCAAGAAACACCAGAAACGAGTACTATTCATCAAACCGCAATCCAGCAGTCCTCCGACCCTTTCCCTCTCAAAGACCCAGGCCTCCAGACCTCAAAATGGAGCCACGGAGCGCACCGTCAACGACCTCATCCGAGAGTCTCGCCGCCAGCAGTTGAGAAATGACACGAGAACTCCTCCGCCGTCCACCAACGCACCCTCTGTTCATCCCTCTCTAAGGACAGTCCTCGACCTCCCCATACCACCTACACCTCTCCCGCGATATGGATTTGGTCCTCGTGCAGCTGGCAGCGGTTCAGGTCCAAGTCGACTCCGGCGCATCCCTGGGCCTCCTCCACCACAAAGTTGGCTCACGGACAGCATCCACGCCCCCGCCTCTGTCCGCTCGACGTCTCTTGCCGGTGACACGGACACAGGAAATGGTCGCATTCAAGTTCGGTCGAGTAAACTGCCTGAGGGAGCATTTCCTTCTACCACCTCCCTCTATCATCTCGTGTTGAAGAAGATGGCATGCAATTGGGAATGGCATGCAGAGAATGACCTCGACTATTTCGAGTGTCTGCCTACCTCACTCAAGGAGACGCTATTGAGTTACATTGCTGTATATGGCGAAGAAATTACGACTAACCCCTTGAGGGTCCTATTTCTACATGAAACAGACAGCGAAGAGATGGCAGACGTGAGGAGGCTAGATTTAAGCAACGCCTTGGGAGCTTGGACGAGTTTTAAACAACTAGAAAAGGATCTACTAGTGAGAGATACTGGTCCTGTGTCGGTTGAGGCGATGATGGACACTCAAGGTGCAACACCGGATACCACGCCCGACAGCTGGGACGCTGACACGGCCGGTAATGCCGTTACAGACACTCCAACAGTAGGTTCACTTCCCAAACCCATCCACAATTTCAAGAATTTGAGGCATCTGTCCCTCGCCCTCTCTCCATCAAACGCCAAAGCCGCGTCGTGGTCTTCTTTGCTGTCCCTCGCCACTGAACTGAGCACTTTGACCTCTCTGTCGCTCGCATACTGGCCTCAACCTACATTCACACCAAACGCCGCATCAACACGAGCCGTAGTCAAAATACCCGGTTCTAGATCGGTTGTGTACGGCGGATCGGATATGTACACATCGTTCGACAATAACTGGCGAGAAGCCGCAGGGATACTCCGGACACTGAGCCGATCACTGTACTGCTTGAGATGGTTGGATCTCACAGGTTGTGGGGATTGGTTTGGCGCGTTGGAATGGAGTCCCTCCCCGGCCACCACTACCGGCTCCTTGTATTCTCCCTTTTACACCACTCGAACAATGCAACCATTTGCTCCTCATAGGGAAAAAATTGGTCCCGAATGGAACAGCGGCTGGCGCGGGCTAGAGAAGCTGATTCTAGAAGTTGGATGGAGACCCGTTCGTCCTTCTGCAATCGGACCCAGCTCCCCTGCAGGGGACGACGATGTAGAGGCCGAGCGCAGGCTCTATCGGTACAAGAAGGAGCGAGAACGCTTCGATCAGATCCGAAGCACTGCGGAGTCTGTGGCGCGATATTTGCGGACTGTCCGTAAGGAGGCTGGCGGGAAGTGGATTGACGTCGAACTCAGCGACGATATGGCAACATACCTGGCGCGTGATGAGGGCCTTCTAGAGGAATGATCAGCCCTCATTGAGGCTCGGATATATTATTACTTGGTGAAGAAATTGGTGATTCGTTGCATTCCTGGCTCGACTTTCTTTGCCGGGCTCGTTTTCAATGTCATGTCCTTGTTACTAGTCGCACTCTTCGGCTTTTTGCTGAGAGTCGTCTTGGGCGGAGGAGACTTCAAAGTCTGCGTAAGGGAAGAGGAGAGCTTTGCTTGTTTTTTCGTTGGACTTTCCTGGGGTTCATCATCGTGCTGCCTCTTTTGCCCTTGCTTTTCTTCAATCGGTGTAGTTGTTGCGGGCAGTGGTGCGTCTTTGTTTTCGCCCTCAGTATCTTCAACGGCAGCTCGGGTCGCTTCTGGTTTCTCCTCGACTTGATCCTTGGGCTTCTTCGCACTGGCGTTGCTGAAGAAATTCGCAATATTCTTCTTATTCTCCTTGCTGTCGATCGGAACAATGAAGCTGGGTGAATTGTTTCCTACTTTTCCCACAGCTGAGTCCACCTGGTAGCATTCCAGTTCGCCCTCATACGGCTTCAGAATCGCCTGGAGTTCCTTGCTCCATTTGTTTCTTGTCGGATCCAGCCACAATTTGACTGCTTCTGTCCCCGGATCCAGAATGACAGGCATTCGATCATGCAGAAACTGTAACTGCTTGTTTGCATCCGTAGTGATGATAGTGTAGGTGTACAACTTCTCCTCTGTGTCCTCGTACTTGACGCAGTCCCACAGTCCAGCGAACCACATCAAATTGCCGTCTTTTCTCTTGACGAAATAAGGTATCCTCTCTTTTCCGCCTGGTCCCTTCTTCAACCACTCGTAAAAGCCCTGCGCCATGACCAGGCAGCGTTTCTTCTGCTTCATCGTGTTCCACATACCCCGGTTCTCCAACAAAGAGTCGTCGCGGCAATTGATGGTGCGCAGCATAGAGCCGTAATCGGGTGCGCGTTTGGTCCAGAATGGAATCAAGCCCCATTTCATGACCTTGAGCTGATAATTATAGTGCTTCGGCTGACTGGGCGTGGGTGCAGTTGACTCCTGCGGTTCTTGTTCTTGTTCCTGTTCCTGTGCTTGACCGTCATCTTGCGGAGTATCACTAGTTTCCGCCTCTCCAGTGTCTCTGACGCCTTGGTCGGGAACATCTGCTCGGTAGACGAGGCCAAAGGATCCGGGAGGGAAATTGTAGGTTTCGCGGGCTTCATCGTCATCGGGGGCATCGTCAACGGGCATGCCCTGTTGTTGAAGATGGTAGCGGACAAATGCGGCACGAAGGCCTAATGCGTAGCGCCCGCACATTTTGGCACTGCAAAAGTATTAAGGAGGGTATGAAAGGTGCAGATGTGCAGATGTGCAGATGTGAGGGTGCGGTTCATAAATACGGAAATACGAATGGTGGCGGCAGTTGGAGCGCGAGGCTGGTGACGTCGCCGCGATCGCGAAAATCTGGGGTAGAACTGAGAAATTTCGCGTCAAAACTGTAAATCATCAATTCGTCCTGCCGCATCCCCTGTTTGACTTTTTCTTCTTGCTCTCCACACCCACGTTACTGCTGCCATCGCCAATATGAAGTCCAGTCTGCTTACAGGTCAAATACTTCGCAACTTCAGACCTGCACAAACCGGTCCCTCTCGAGCTTTCATCAAAAGCTTCTCCAACTTGTCGCAAGCACGGCCTCTCGTTCGGAGCACGGCCTCTCTCAACACACGAATTCAGTTGAGAAATGCCAGGAAATATGCTAGACCTCCGAACCGATTCGAACAGGCAGTCATCGATGCTCGAGTCAAACACCCCATCCTCTTTCCCTTCCTGCTCTTTGGTTCGACGGCATCGGTGATCTTGCTGATTATCATGGCATATGATCAATGGCGAAGAGAGAAGAAAGGCACCTCGGTGTATCCTCCCGCTGTCGAAGATCAACTACGACTAGCCTTGCACTACACCCACATCTCCCCAGCCCCAGATACTGCGTCACAGTACTTCATGCAAGCTATCAAAAAGGCTGAGGAGGTGGGGATGGACCCTTACAGCAAAGAGACGGTGGGTATTCGAGTCCGCTTCTCCCAAATGCTGGAGGAGTTCGGGCACGTGAAGTCTGCCATCGAAATTCTGGATGGCATCTCCGCCGACCTGGAACAAAAACTGGCTGAACTTGATCAAACACGGCCTGTCAAGACAGATGCTCCATCGGGGCTGGACCCGGAGACTGCAAATTTTCGTGCGAATCTCATCAAGGGAATCGTCAAGTTGAAGATCAAGATATCGTCTATGTACGAAAGCGACTATCTCCAGGACCCTGGCATGGCCAAACAGGTATTGTCGGATGCGGTGGGCCTCGTTGTGAAGGAGACCAAGAACCCTCAGGTCAATACGTTCACGGAGGACAACGGTGCGGGATTGACTACTGGTGAGATTGCTGCAATGCTGTCTCAAATGGGCGATCTATATGCTACGTCGGGAGAAGAGGAAAACGCCGTTCAGCTGTATATGCTCACTCTGCAACCGCTGAGAGCGTCGTGTAATGGCACTAGATCCTGTAAAGAAGTTCAGGTTCTCAGCAACATCGCATCTACCATGGACATGGCATTGAAGAAGCCAACAGCGAAGGTCAATGGGAAGCCAGCATCCAAAGACACGCTAGCGGCTGGAAGGCGAGCAGCGCTGAGATGGGCAGACCAAGCGATCGCAACGGCTGACATTATCAAGCCTGAAGACCGCGATGAAATTTGCACCGCGGCCTTGATCTCCGCCCAGATGACCCGTGCCGATTTGTTGCTGGACAATGGCGACAAGGCGAAGTCACGCGAAGCATTTCTGAGTCTGCTGCCTACATTGAGGGAGAAGAATCTCCTTCCTCTTATCGAGACTGCAGAGCAAGGGCTGAAGAGGGCTTCGACTTGATTCGATAGAGGAATTGACGTTCAGCCGAAGGAATTTAAGCCCGTCTACACAACTGAGAGTTTCAATTTCGTCGCGCTTTGCTTCTAACCCTGATTGCAATAATCGCGGCAGGCGTCTCCTTCTACAGAGCTATTTCAAGGAGCCGATCCCGCCCTGTGCGACGAGCGTATAGAGTTCCTAGGCATGTGGCAGTGCCTGCCATCTTGGAAGTAAAGAGTTGCTGCTCATCGGCCGGATCAATGGCATGAACGTTATATTTACCACCCCAGCATGATAGCGAGAACCCAGCCACACAAATCAACGCCATGTCATCGAAGTCGTCGTTCCATGCTGTTCGATGTCGGCTCAAGGGAACCACTTCTACTTCTCTAAGTATGTAAGCGAGACAAATGGCTTTGAGTAGTCTCCTAGAAGCATGTATCTACTGCTCTGCAGAACAAACTCCGGATCGAGGATTACGTGAAGGGAGAATCACTCTAGCTGGGCTGGCGCAGGCACTTCACCGCATGCAGTTGTGAACGGCGTCATTCCACAATGCGACTTCTTCCGACACGAGCGGTCTTGTTAAGGGCCTGCTGTGTCGAAACAATTCTGCTACCTAGGGTATCTGTTGAAGAAAAATGTATGATGTGCACTTACACGGACGTAGTGTCGATATGGGAATCAGGCTAGTTGCATCGACGAGGCTGACCAATAGGAGACCTGATATTGTTAGGAGGGACCTAGATCTGCGACATTGCTTATTGTTTCAACAGCCGCCACTAGACTTCTTTACTTAGCACCGTGGTCTCAGGCTCTTATGTCGCTGCCGCAGCATAGGATTTAGTGCTTGACCTTCAGTGGATAAACAATGGTGCTGTTGATTGACTGCATCGGGCCGCAGACTTGCTTGAGATTGCGCGAAACATCCTCATCGGAGATGGAACAAGTTGAAAACGAAGACACTTGCGCCATAATCAGAAACTCAACAACATTGGAAGCTGTAGCATCAGATGGCCACTATTCTCATATGCCGAAGCAGCGGGAAAGAGATCCAGCTAAGCGCCGGCCAAATCATTGGCCATAGCGTCGATATACCTTGGACACGAGAGAGCACTCTCTCCCATCTCAGCAAATATACTTTGGCAATGTCCCAATAATCGCTCCGTTCTGTACGGTCGCAGAGCAAAGATTGTCCAACTCTTTCCTTTTGAGATATCTTCCTATTTTCGGCATTGTGTGCATGAAATGCCTCAGCACTTTGTGGACTGGGCTCGGCAACAGCTCCTACATTCATTGCTATTGAGATCAGACTCTCATTCCCCAACCCTGGAGGATGCTTTACGTACCCAGCAAAAAAAGAGCACCACCTCCGTGCAAGCTGAGCTGGGAGTTGCTTCTGCCGCTTCAAAATCGAAACCATGGACATGGAACCCGATATGGCTACGTACGAGCTTCCTCTCAGCAACAGCATCGACCTTCTTTGCTTTCATTGCGGCCTTGCTGCTCTTGCTATACTTTGCCAAAGCAGATGACGGCCTAATCCTCCGGACCTCAAATCATTTCACATGGACATATGGGCCGACCGCAGTGCTCACGATAGTCGTGGCTGCCTGGCGGCAGATCGATTACTACTGCAAGGCCCTTGCGCCGTGGGATGAGCTGTATCGAGGAAACGCTCATCCGTCGAAAAGTGTGCTTCTCGACTACAAGTCTCCCTTACAAATTATAAGCTTCTACAACGCAGCTAAAAACAGACACTTCACTGTTATCGCCACCATACTTGGTTTCGTTGTTCTCAAGTTGATCACTGTTGCCTCCACGGGCCTTCTTTTTCCGAGCTCCGTGACCGTGCCTAGCAGTCAAGTTGAAGTCTCAAGAATCACAAAGCTGGACGGTTCACTGTATGATGCGTCAGCCAATCAAGGACTTTTCGACCCGTCGATCGTGTATACTGCCTATGCTGCCATGAGCAAGGGTCTACCTTATGCAGATGGGACGACAACTGAAATGGTGTATGAACAAATTGGCGCATTCAATTTACCGCAGCAGACTCGAGACATCAATGGAACGGTTAGCGCAGAGGTTCGTGCCCTTGTTCCCACATACCACTGCGAAAGTGCCCCCGTGGCAGTAAATCTTCAGCCGGCAAATGTGACAGATCTACATCCCGAAGATACTCTCCAGTTACTATTTCCCGAGTGCACTTTACGAGCCGATGGGAAAGGGACCCCCGTCTATGCTCTCAATCCCCAGACATTCGTTTGTCCAGAACGTCAGCTGAGTCCTCTATTGCAGCAAATTGATTGCAACACGCAGACCTCTCCGGGGAGCCAAGATAATTGGCAACTTTTGACCTTGACGGACTTTCGCTACAATCAAACGATTGCCAATGCGAGCGGCCTGACTTTGGGAGACCCAATCTCTGCAACGGCTTGGTCTACAGGCGTGGCACAGGTGGTTGGCATTGCCTGTAGATCGGGGTTTTCAATCGAAAAGATTCAGTTATCCTATGATTTCCAGAGTGTTCCGCGAAGCCTTCGCGCGGCTCGTACAGGGGACAGCAACAGAACCGTACTTGGAAATTTTACAGGCTTCGACCTCGGTGTTCTCACTACTTCGGCTCTGAGTGCCAGCGCAGATATGTTCGGCAACCTGGTAGATAACCAAGACGTTCTTGAGTATCCGAATGTACTTTTCAAAATGATGGCTGCCATGAGTGGTGGCACTTACGAAGATTTGTTGAATGAGAAGACCATGATCACAGCCGCGGAGAAGGTTCTTCAACAAGTTGCTCTTCAATCAGCTGCTAAGTACATCGTCAGCGGTGACAACACAACGCTCCCAGGCACCTTCCTCCGAAACGAAGAGAGGCTCCAGATCAGCGATTTTTCACTCTGGGTGATGTTCTCGGGAAGCACCCTAATGGTTTTGTTTACGTTATTTCTCCTCTGGAAGCGACCGAAAAATCTTTGTCCCTATAATCCCGAGTCCTCGAGCAGGACTGCAGAGCTCTTGGCCCATAGCGTCGAGTTTAGGGATACATTGAGACGGGTTGGGCTCAGTGGGGATGATGAGGTCAATGCCAAACTACAAGACTTTAGATTCAGTGCGGAGCGTCGAGCGTTTGATGACGATGATCATGTCGTCTCTCTCGCGCTATCATCCTCGTCCACACGGTCTCAGGATGCCACATACGACAACGATATATCTCGAAATGATGGGAAGGCGTGGTGGAGTCCCCTAACGCTGAAAACTCCAATTCTCGTCGTCAGCCTCGTCATCCCACTGGCAACTGTTGGAGCTCTCGAAGCGGTACAGCAAGTTTCCGATGAACGGCATGGATTCGTTGCTGTCCCTGATTCGACCGACACTTCCATTACCATATATACCCGGTTCCTCCCAGCATTGTTGATGTTGCTAGTCGCCACCATGATCAATGTTCTCGATTTCAATATTGCCGTTTTAGCCCCATACAATGCGCTCCGTTCCGAGGATCGCCATTCGTTATTGAGAAGCATTACAACTTCGAATCTAGGTCATCCCCCTCCGCTTGCTATTTGGAGGTCTCTGCGACACCGCCAATGGGGGCCTTCCCTATCTGGGATTGCCAGCCTTGTCGCAAGTGTTCTGACTATTGTGGTTTCCGGCCTGTATACTGTCGACAGGTTGTCTTTGTCTCAGACAGTCTCTTTAGATCGTTCAGACATTTTCAATCCTAATTGGATTAACAGTGTCAAGGGCGATGGCTCGGCTGCAGTTATAGCGAGCTTGACGGAAAGTTTAGGTCTGGACTATCCACAGTTCACATACGGAGAACTAGCCCTGCCATCCCTGAAGCCCGTTATGTCGGCGAAAAGCGATAGTGAGCCCAACTCAACTGTGCAAATACGACTTCCAGCGTTGCGCAGCGATCTGCAGTGCGTGGAACTGGCTAGTGATATGGTGAATGTATCGGTAGAATATAATTTCAGGATCGAGACGGCGCAGGCATCAGTGTCTGCTGTGGCACCGTTGCCACCAACGTGTCTGTTCGGCGGCACAAATGGAACGGCAAATTACATTCAGTTCAGTAACACCTTTACACTGCGTGGGAACTCGAGTTATGTCGGGAAGCTCCTGGATCTGCATGTGGGCCCATTCGATCCCATACAGGATTCTAGCTTTGGCGAGCTCTCGCCGAACACACAGGCGGACAATCCTCCTGGATGCCCTTCTCTAGCATTCGCCTATGGATATGCAGATGCCAATGCCCCATCGAGGACAGCGATGACGACCTTGATGTGCTATCAGTACATTGATCAAGTTTCAGCGAATGTAACTTTCACCTGGCCCGATCTGGCTATTCCCACCACTCAACCCCCCGTTGTGAATGAATCTTCCGCAGAACGACTCTTGAGCAGTGCAGACGGCGAGACAGCGTTCCAGTTCCGTCTACAACTGCACATGGACGATGAATTCTCCTCTTTCAACCAGACTGCGAACGGCACTTCCACACTCGCGGAAAGCTCAACCCCATTGGACAACTTTTTTCAAGGCGTCCTCTTTGGCAAGCAGCCGCTGGACATTTCTCTTCTGGCGAGCAGCCGCGAAGCAGACATCTCACAGGTCTTTGGTGGCATCCGCGGGTTCTACCGTCGGTACATGGCACAGGCCATATCGAGCAACATGCGAGTGCCCACCGAGAACCGTACAACAACCGTGACAGGCACACTCCTGGACGCAACAGTCCAAGCCCGCATCGTGCAAGATCGTACCGCGAAAGTCATTCTCCAGGTCCAACTGGGGTTGATCTTCGTGCTTGCCTCGCTCGCCACATACTGTTCCAAGCTACGTGAGATATTACCCTTCAATCCGTGTACTATTGCGGGCGTGGCGGCTCTGTTCGCGTGGAGTAGAATGTGCGACTTGGACGATCCTGTGGGGAAGGGAGTCATGGAAAATAGTGGAAAGGGACTGTGCGACGGGCGATATAGATATAGGTTGGGATGGTGGAATATCGCGCAGGGGGGAGGAGGAGAAACGCATAAGTGGTACGGAATTGACGCTATAAAGGTAGAGGAAGAGGACGCATAGCGCGACTTTGTAATGTTTTACATCTGACTGTCAGTATGTTGGGCAAAAAGGATAGTATTAGCCCCATCTGAAGGATTCGAAAATGCTCACATTTAAATGTGAGTACACAATATATAAAAGGGAAGCAAGGTAGTTCAGAAATGAGAAGAGAGATATTTTTTGAAAGTTTCTTTTCGATGGCTTGCTTGATACGATTGATGATGTTCTTTTCGTTAAGCCGTTAAGAGGTCGTCGTGAGATGACAATGTTAGTTTGATCTGATCTTTCGATTTCTATCCAAAATATGCTCTGCTTTTTCTTTCCAGACAAATGACCCGTCATGATGAAGCTCCCTATTTAAAATGTTCCTGTGATCCCAAATTTGCCGAGTGAGTACATGTATTTCGGTTCCTCACCGCGATGGTCCCATCAAATGGTGAGTTCCGTCAGCTCGAAGTATAAAAACAAATCGACCCACAAGGGTTTTCTCGCAAAAAAATATATACATAGAAGGATAAAAATTCAACTGGGGGCGTGAATGCTCGAACAAAGTTGGAAACACGCAACTTTGTCAGAAAGGAATAGCGAAACATTATGTCCTATTTAGGCAGCGTAGGCGGCGCCCACGGGGGATGAGATCGAAGAGCCGTCAACGAGGATGCCATCTGAGCACATGAAGTAGGCGTACCTCTCAACGGCATCAGTCGAGTCGAGGAAATCCATGGCCTCAGTCAGGAAATTGGCAACGTCACTGTCTGAGCCAGTTGCACCGAACTCAGTGAGCCAGACCTTGTTAATGCCATTAGCTTTGGCGGCGGTGATGACATCCTGGACATGGCTCTGGAAATAGGCCATGTTGCTGGCTGAGTCGTACCAATGGAATGCAACAAAGTCGACCTTGCATTGGCCATTGCATGCCTCAAAAAATGCGTTGAGCCAGTCGATGCCCATGAGGGGGCTGGTCCCTGCACCATTGGTGATGGCAGGAGAACCGATTTGAACTCGGCCAGAGAGTGGGTTCATGTTGGCGATGTGCAGTTTGGCAGCTGTGGCAGGATCAATGTTTGATTGGGAGGCGAGGTCAGGTTCGTTGAAACTTAAGGCGTGCTTGGATCCACTGGCGATGGCAGCCTGGGCAGCGCTGGCCCAACCCGAGACAGAGTTCTGACCCCAGAGCAAGGGAACATACTCTGCACCGGAGACAATTTGGCCGCCAGGCGAGGCGTCCCAGTTGTAAGCCCAGCTCATGCCCTTGCCAGCGAAGGCCTCAGTCAGGGAGGCATCGTTATAAGAGAGACCACGTTTGCCAGAAGTCGACCCAGTGTTCGGGGAGGAGCTGGGACTTGAGGTGGCCAACGACGAAGAGGCACTGGTTGCAGGGCTTGAAGCCGGAGACCCACCGGTCACAGTGGCGAAGGTTGTTGGAACTGCAGATGACGAAGGGCCGCCATAGGATGGCACGGATGGGAAGGATACAGAAGGGCCACCGCCGACGGCCGGGGCGCTTGTACTTCTTCCTGGGTTGGGAAAAAACTCTCCAGCAGTGGGGGTACCAGCGACGAGGCTGATCGAACTTGAGGGAGAGAGGCCGTCTGGTCCACTGAGCGTGGTAGACGAGGCTGGGGCCGAGCTTGAAGCACCGAAAAATTCCCCTGGGCCGCCACTAGGAGCTGCTGCTGCCGTCGAGCTTGAAGGGCTTGAAGGAGCAGCGCCAAAAGCCTGGCCTGCACCTCCAGAGGGAACAGATGCTACAGAGTTCGAAGGGCTACCAAAGTTCTTGCCTGAATCTTCTGATCCATCAACGCCAGCAGTGGCTGTTACGGTGATATACTGAACAGATGTGGCAGTTATGGTGGAAGTTAAGACATAGCAAGATGATACGGTACTGGAGGCTGGAGCAACGCCTGTGTTTGTGTAGTCGTTGTTGGATGCGACTGCTGCGACTTCGGGGACGCTTGAGAAGCCCGTAGCTGTATCGGGAGAAGATGACTCGAGCGGGACGGGCTGGACGGTGACAGTCTTGACGGCCGTGGCCACGATAGAAGATGGGGGCCCCGCTGAGGCACCAGAGTCTGAGCCCTTGGTGTGTGTACCATTCATGGGGTACACCCCACCAGTTGGCATAGCCCAGCCAGCCCCTGTGCCGCTGCCAGCACCATAGTGAAATCGATCGTGTCGTTTGGGGTGAGCCAGGACGGCTGTAGCAAGCAACGCCATAGAGAAGAGTTTGGCAACCATGTTGGACCAGATGACTAAGCTTGGGACGGAGATGGCGTCTGACAGATACCCTTGCAGAGAGGCAGTGGAAGTATAGTATATGCGTTGTTTATAAGCTGCCCGCCTGGGGAATTCGGTAGCGATTCAATCAATGAAGGACCTAGTTGGGTGAATGGGCGGCCACGAGCGTAGCTCCGGCGTTGGCGAATGATAGAACGAAGGACTAGCCTTGCTGAAGGAAAGACGAAGTGCAATGTGTCGCACAAAACGTGTCAGGGAGCCTGCGAGGACGAAGAATGCTGGGTAGAAAACAAAAGGAAGGGGACGCAAATGAAGCGACAAGAACCTCAAAGTTATAACTCCGCTAGCAGAGGGGTTGATGGAGCACATGGTGGAAGGGGTTGAGAGAGAATTGTGAATACGACAACAAAATGGGTTGGCACGTTTCATGGTGGTCTTTCGTGCGACGATGACCCCGGTAGATAGTTGACTGCATGTTCCCCACTGGTATAAGAGACGAGTCTTTTCAGGACCCTCTTTGCTGGTGACAGGAAGAGAAAACGCATAAATGACTGGTATCAGGAGAGCAGCGACCGTGGGCCTGGCTACCCTGGTGCTGGAATGGGGTCCCACGATGCCAGCCCCGGACCAGAAAAGGGGAAAGCGGCATAACAAGCGAGGTCAGTTGGCGAGGAGGCCATCGCCACAGGGACCTTGTCATTCCGAAGCCAGTCAGCGTCCAGATTGGTAGGATCTGGCCTGAAACCACCCACTGGGGCCGGCAATGCAGGGGAAACAGCCACAAAAAGGAGCACCAGCAAACCGGGGAGCTGGCGAGACCGGCTAGGCTATCGAAAGGCTCGATAGGCGTTAGCTTGGCCGGCGGCCACGCTACGTACCCAGTACTGTCAGGTACCCGCAAGCCACGCAGCCACCCTTGCTTAGAGCTTTGCAGAAAACGGAGAACAGTCCAGATCCGGAGATCGACTTTTGCCATGGGGCGGGGCATCATCTCAGCATAGAGAGAAACATGAATGTTGATGTGGGCTGATAGATTTATGTACAACAGCGATGGAGAGGTATCTCAGCATGTAGTAACATGAGAAAGTTGATGAAGGCGAGGGAATTCAAAATGCAAATGTGTGGTGGGCGACTGGGGAGGGGGGGGGGCTTGGCATCGACACGTCATCGCCTTGCTACCAACTTAAGCACAGAGTAATACCCTGTAAGTACCGAGAGTGCCTACAAGTTACTAAGAGGCTTGCACTTAAGGACTTACCTAGGGCATACCTACCAAGTACAGGATCTACTAGTGATGCTAGTAATTAATATCCACGGAGTATCTCCATATCCGGAGTAGCTATTCTGTATCTATTAATTCCCCAGTAGTAAGTACTGCCGAGGCTCCTGGATATATCAACCCCATCATCCTCGCCATCTCCACCGATTCACTTCTCAGCCACCATCATCCCTCCGTCGTCTTGGAAATCTGACCTCTCTGCCATCCCGGAATTCCGCACGATATCAACAGGGAGAAGAGAAATGATCCAGCACTCCGTACCCGCCGACGGGTCCTAGATACGTAATCTAGCCCGCCGTCGGTCTCTGGGCATCCTACCCGGTACGGTAATACGGACTGCTTCCGACAACGTCCGCATTGGACGGAGAACTTGTCATTGTCGTCTAGCTTAGACACAATTGTCAAAGGTCATTTCGTCTAACAGCCACGCGTCCAAATGTCATGCAGAAGCGAAACTTTACGAGGTTCGGCAAGGATGTCATGTCTAGGTACCTAGGTGGACTGTCTTTCAGATTTCAGGCTTTCGGGCTTCTTCTCACGGCCTTGAAGCACTGCCATCACGTCGCTCACGTTGTCTTTATTGCCCTTGCGTTTCTTCGGACCACGCTTCCGTCCACTTTTCTTCCCTGACCCTTCGCCCTCGTCCCAACCAGCTCCGTCCTCGTCATCCTCATCGCCAACCCGACTTTCACCAAATCCTAGATCCAGATCCGCAGCATCTGCTCGGTCCCTTTCTCTCAGCCGCGCCAGCAATTGCTGCTGCCTGGCGGCTTTGTCGGGATCTGACTCGACAGCTGCGACCCCACCAGCCTCCTCATTTCTTCGTAGGCCCGCGGCCCGCTTAAGAGCCGAAAGGAGTGTGGGATCTTTCAAAATCGGATTGGTGCGATCCTCGGCTGCTTCCTCTTGATTGCTTGTTGCGAAGTAATTTCGCGGCTTGTCGCTCGTCGATGCAATGGTCTTCTCGGTGGCGTTAACCGTTGCTGCTGTCTCCTTGTCGCCGGCCTCATCTTCTGACTCGCTGATAATGCCGGCGAGGGGATTGTAATCGGCCACGCCTTCAAAGATATCGTCGTTTTCATCTTCAGCCGCTTGCTGGTCCAAAAGGGCCTGTTGCTTGGCTCGAAGTTCAGCTGGTACTTCCATTCCAAGAGGCTGGTTTAAATCGCCTTTTAGGACGTCCTCTTCCTTGTCAATCCATCGGGTCTTCCTCTTTGTCGTTCCATCTTTATTGGTGATGAGTAGTACCTCCCTTCGCCGCCCATTGATGATTTCGATGAATTTCTTCTTGTTTGGCCTGTCCGAGGTCACCTTTTTGAAGCGTTCTCCAAGTGCTGGCTCCGGGCGTGGGGGTTCTAGGTTTTTTCGGCTCTCCTTCAGCCGCTGCAAGATCGCATCTCGTGTCATAGGTTCTTGAACGTCCCCAGCAGTCTCATCTTGTGCTTTCTTCGAAGTCGGTCCCACTGTCTTCACGCCCTTCTCAAGCACTTCATCAAGCTCGTCGTCTACCTGTAATTGAGCAGACTCCTCGTCCTTCTTCTCCACATGCGGAACACTATGAACATCTTCTCCTCGCCGAATCCTTTCCAGCAATTTCCAGTCCAAGCCTTTCACTAAATGTGTACTGCTGAGATCGCCACCGATACCGATCTCGCTTCTCAGCTTTTCAAAAGTGGCTTCGTCGATCTGTTGTAGTTTGTACATCTCTTCCAGTGCCTTGAAACGTTTTTCCTTGTCATCTGATGTCACTACACCCTCATCATCTGTTCGTCGAGCCAGAGTGCGGTCTTGGTAGCCAGAGGCGAGCTTGGTGCCTTTCGGTGCGCTGGACTTGAATTTTTTTGTGGGAGGTTGTCCATCTTGTCCTTTCCGATATTCTGCAAGCTGTTGCGTGAATACTTTAGAAGCGTTATATCCCGCTACAGAACGAGGCGTCATGGGAATCGATGCGCGGGCTCTGGAGCCAAGAGCGGGCTTCTTGAAGGCTTGTGGCGAGGCCCCACTGCTTGACGTACTAGCATTTTGGTCAGTCTGAAGAAGATTGCGAAAATGAGAATTGTCCATCACAAGGTGTGCGTGTGCAGGAGCTCTCGCAAGTCGTCGGTGCGATATGAAGGAAAGACACCTGCTGAAGAACGTTGCGGGCGGAGTTGGAGAATCCAGAATAATGGTCATTTATTAGCCTCGCTAGCCTCACCAGGCTAGTGATCTTGGGCTGGGAAGGCCCCGCTTATCTCCAGACTTCAAATCCACTCTGTCGATTCAAACGAAGTGCCAGACTTGCCTTTCTGTAGCAACATTTTCTTAACTGCCAAACAGACATCCTAGAGATCAGGATGGGAAGGAAGCGCAAGAACGCTGAGCGGACCGAGACCTCCAACGAACCTCCATTAAAGAGGCGGCCCTCAACAACGCCTTTGCCTGATGGTGTTCATCATTACCAGAATATCGATGAAGTTCCGTGGGACATTCAGAAGTAAGAATCAGAAAAGTCTACATTCTCTCAAGGCTAACCTTTCTCTTTCTGCAGGTATTGGCATCAGGGCTACTCAATATTTTCAAAGTATGATGACGGCGTCTGGATGACTGACGGCTCATGGTATGAAGTCACCCACGAGTCGGTCGCAAAGTAGGTTTCCCCGTCCTCTCTGCTCTGCACGAGGACTGTCTGACACTGGTCAGTACTATTGCACAACACATGGCAGAAGCTGCGCCAGCGGGGAAATCAATCATCTTCGATGTCATGTGTGGCGTAGGGGGAAATACAATTGCATTTGCTCTTTCCGGGAAATGGAAACGGGTCTACGCGATTGAGAAGGATGCTGCCACTCTAGCCTGCGCGAAGCACAATGCCGAGATATATGGCGTTGCTGATCGAATCACCTGGTTTCATGGGGACTGTTTCGAGATTCTAGGTTTGGATGAGTCCAAGAAAGCGAATACTGTGGAGGCGCTTAAGGCGATCGCGGCCAATTATGGTGTCATTTTTGCCAGTCCCCCTTGGGGAGGTACGTACTCAATACCAGGCAAACAATTTGGCGCTTATGGTTGATACAGGTCCCGGATACCGAGAAGCGGAAGTCTTCGACCTCGACACCATGCAGCCATATTCTTTCGGCTATCTCTACGAATCCCTCAAGAAGCTGACGCCTAATGTGGTACTCTACCTGCCGAGAACTAGTGACCTGCGGCAAATCGCGAAAGTTGTTGGAGAGGACAAGAAGACTCAAATTGTGCATTATTGCACCAAGGGCAGTAGCCGGGCCTTGTGTGCATACCTGGGTGACTGGGGATCGCTGAAATTGGGAGACTTGTGATTCGAGTGTGTCGTGGACCTTTGCATAATGCCACCATGTACCGTTATGATACCCTGAATTAGTGAATGAGCATCCTGTGCCCTGCCTGTGACCTTCATATTCGTGCGTGATGAAGTAGAGCTTGGATCAGCTGCGGCAAGGCTGCACAAGGCTGCCGGTGGCGCGTCAGGCTGCTGCCAAGTCACGCTAAACGCGAGTCATCTGGTCGATGGCTCCCTTCTCCAAACTCCGAACTGTCGTGATCTTGGGACTCCCCCATTTTGCCTACCTACAACATCTCCCACTCATCCTGACGGTGGGTTACGGCATCAATATCGAATCCCCAGCGTTTTATCTGAGGCGCCGCGATGACAGTCACCGTTACCTAAATGCGATGCCAAATTTAGGTGGCAAAGGAATCACGGCTGCGGGGTCAGCGCAGCTTCACTTCAACATCACTTCCTCCCGTCAACCGGCATCATGGCTACCGATGTCTACCAGCAAGCTAACGACCTCGATCATCTCTTCGACGATAACGACGATGAGATAGCGGACTCAGCAGCCAATACTCCATTCGACCAGAGTTTCAGTGTGCCCGCAGACACCAACGATGAACTCAGTGCGCTGTTGAACGAAGGCGGTGGCGAGGGCTTTAACTTGGATGAGCTGAATGAAAGAGAACTGGAGCAGGGAGAAAAGGCGGCAGATGCAGTTGATTACGAAGACATCGGCGATGATGAGTCGTTACCTGACGAGGAGCCGATGCAAGTTGAGATAACAACGGACATGCTGCCAGGGATCGAGGAGAACGCATTGGATGGCCTCGATGACGACGACCTCTTCGGCCCCTCTAGTCCTATCTTATTCAGTACTCCGCTGCCGACAACTGCTCCTTTGAAGCCCGAGGAGAAACCTGCGAAGGATGGCGATCACGAGTCCGATCTGGCCTCGGAGCATGGAGACGAAGCTACACAAGACCTCTCTATGCTGGAGCCCGAGATGGACGAGGTTGAAGATGCAGAATATCGTATACAGCTGGCTCTTTTCGCACAATCTGGAAAAGGCTACATTCCAAAAACTGAGCGAGAGAACATCGAAGAATGGTTGAAGGTCGAGTTCCCCAAGTTCAAACGCGACGAGGCACCGTATTTCAATAAACTCTTCCCTCCCCGACCGCACAAATGGCAGGGGAAAACGCCTTTAAAGCTCCCCAGACAAATCCACCCAACGAAAGTCAATTTGGAAATTGAACAAGACCAGAGAGTGGCCTTCAATGCAATAGCCCCGATTGCTGCGCCAGAGGTTGCCACAGATTTCGTGAAGATTGGCCAACCTACAGCGCCTCAGGGAGTTACGGAGTCTTCGGAGGAATCTGAGTCTGATGAGCCTCTCCCTGGCGGTCTGACGATGAGAGATTTGGAGTTCATATGCACTGACTTCGAGACGTTATCGCACCTTGCACCTTCGGACGACGAGTATGTCGAGGTCCAACCCCGAATTGTCGATAGCGATGAAGAGATGTTCGGGTTCGATGAATTTCATGATGCTGAAAAGCCTCGCAAGAAGCGCCGCCTTGGTTTGGATCCTCAAGATATTGTCAAAATCCGCCAGCTCGACGTGCCGTTCCTCGATGATCCCGAGAGGGCGACTGCAAGACTTGCCACCAAGGTCGTACTAGATTTGAACGACACCGACTTACTTGTTGAAGAAGTCGATCTAGAGGCCCTCAAAGCGAAGGCTCGCCCGGGCGAGAAGCAGCGTGCTGTCAAGACTCTCAAGGATCGCCTCCAACATCGCTTCAAAACTTCGAATGATGCTGAGTATGATCTTCTCAAGCAGAATCACCGGCACAAAGTCCGAGGTCAACTCACAAATTTGACCATCGAGCATTCACTGCCGGCAGTCCGTTTGCAATACCCGTACTATCAAGTTCAGTTGTCTTTGCAAGAGTTGCGCAATTTCCATAGGAAACGGATGCACTTCAGACATCCTGTTGTTTTTCGGCAACCTGCAAAGGTTAAGAGAAAGCATCAAAAGCATCGACCCGCCTTGGAGCTGTATCCCACAACGAAAGAGATTTCGATGGCTGATAACTCGTCGATAATTCTCCTCGAATATTCCGAAGAACATCCGCTGATGCTCTCTCAGACGGGCATGGGTAACAAGGTCATCAATTACTATCGCAAGAAGAGCAATGACGACAGTTTCAGGCCCAAATATGATATCGGCGAGACCTCCATGTTGCTGCCGGAAGACAAATCTCCCTTCTACATCTTCGGCCAAATCGATCCCGGCGAAACTATGACTGCTCTCTACAACTCTATGTACAGAGCCCCCATCTTCTCCCAGGATACCAAGTCCCACGATTTCTTGGTAATCCGAGAAACTACTGGAGTGCACGGCCAAAGTCACTACCTGAGGAACCTTGAAAATATTTTCGTGGTCGGGCAAGAACTACCCTCAGTTACTGTGCCTGGAACGCATTCTCGCATGGTCACAACTGCAGCCAAGAATCGTCTGAAAGCCATATCATACCGCATTGCCCGCAAAAAAAGGACCAACCGAATCCACGTTGAAGACGTTACGAGACATTTTCCTGGCACAACGGATATGCAGAACCGACAAAAGATGAAAGAGTTCATGGTTTTCAACAAAGAATTTAAGGAGTGGGAAATGAGGCCAGGTGACAAGGTTCCCAGCGAAGAGCAGATCCAGTCCTTGATTCGGCCGGAAGATATCTGTCTGTTAGAGTCGATGCAAGTCGGCGCACAGTATCTTCAGGATGCCGGGTACGCGGATAATGATGAGGAAGATGACACCAAGGAGAACGAGGCCGATAGTATCGAGCAGCAACTGGCTCCATGGAGGACAACGAAGAATTTTCTACAGGCCGCTCAAGGCAAGGCTATGCTCAAGTTGTACGGCGAAGGTGATCCATCAGGCCGTGGCGAGGCATTTTCCTTTATCAAGACGAGTATGAAGGGCGGATTTCGACCCATAGGCGGTTCTGCCATGGATGCCATCGCTTTAAAGAAAGAACTCGGTGGCCACAGCTATAATGTCGCAAGACAACAGAAATCCTACGAAGAATCTATTCGTGGCATCTGGGACAAGCAGAAAGCGAGTCTCGGGTCAAAAATTGAGCCTTCGGATCTCGACATGGAAGGGGATGTGGACGCTCAAGAAGATAAATATCCCGAGATTCGGTCCAACATCCGAGCAACGCCAATGTCTGGAACGCAGACGCCTTCGATCTCAAGACGTCGGGATGACGAGACGGCCACCTCATTCAGTAGACGCAGCGTTGGCAGCCAAACTCAACGGGCACTACGGATTGTGCGCCGAATCAAAACCAAAGATGGAGAAATCATCGAGCAGGAACACTTTGAAACTGACCCGGCAGTGATTAAGCGATATATCAAGATTAAGGAAACGGAAGAGGTGCAATCTACAAGGTTTGTGACTGGCCACAATTTTGCGTCCCTATCTCCTGCTTACATGTGCAAAGTCTCAGTGAACTTGAACCTACCGGCGACCCAGAGCTAGATGCGCGGCAAAAGAAACGGTTAGTAAATACCACCCATCATGTGCACCTTCGATTTTCGGGATTGCTAATGACTCCAAACAGACTCGAAGAGGCCATCGCGCAGCTCGAGAAGAACAAGGCCCGCAGGCAAAAGCGCAACAAGAACAAAGAAGCCAGGCAAGGCGTTACCTCGCCCGGTGGCACAGCGATGTCTCCGGACGGTGACGGAGCTGGCGGTGGCGGCAGGAATACGCAGCCCACGCAGCGGAAGTGTGCGAACTGTGGCCAGGTGGGCCACATCAAGACCAACAAAAAGTCAGTCACCAATGCTAAGTGTAAAAATTGCAATCTCCCCGTTGATCGCAAAGTTGGGTCCCTGTTGATGAGTGCACCGAACTTCTCAGGTCAGAGGCATTGAGAAGAGCGTCCCTCCTTGCCACTTTGGTCTGAGAACGGCGGCTCATGAGAAAGCTTTTGATGCGAGAATGGGACTCGACTTTGCTTCGCTTGATTTTCGTCCGACTCGACATATTTCGACGTTTCGTTCCCTTCGCCCATGGCGGTGAAAAATCACCTTGTACCGCCATGCGGCAGCAAGTTGCGCGCAGTCCCAACACCACCTCGGCGATCCGAAGTTCTCTTTAGCTCTCTTTAGCTCAGTGCTCAACCCCTTTTCACTCTTAATATCTCCTGGCCATTATTCAATTGCTGACATTGTTTCATTATCAAGATTATGTCCCCTGCTCAACGGCACCATCAAACAGGAAGATGGCTTCAACAACGCTGCGTTCATGGGCGCGCCGCCTACGATGTCTTAACCAGACCCTCGACCAAGAACTCCGCAGTTTGGTTATTGTTCATAGCGGCACGACAGGAAGGGGCAAAATATTCGAGATGGGACGACGATATCCCGTGTGGATCGAATAGCCTTCGTCCTTGGTATGACTGAGCGAAAGGGTCGGCGGCATTTGCAAGGTATGGGACAAGGGACGTCATTGCGTCTATATAGGGGGTGTTTCATTGATTGCATAGCGTGGTTATACCACATCGGATGATGTGATCTTTTGAGCAAAGCGTGGGAATGGTGAAAAGCATAGCCAGCACGATAAATCTTTTTGCATGTACCAATATGACTCGAGGCTTCTCCGGAGCCTTTATCAGTGTTGGAGCTAAAACTCTTCTTTGGGCAGATTCTCGAGATGCAGCCTTAGGAATCTACTCCTTGCTCCTGGTGGCATATCACACATACAACGCTCGCATGATACCCCTAAATCTCCGATCCTGAAGCAACACTGACACTGAGCGAAGGAGGTCTATCTCATCACGTGGCCGGCCATGCGGCATGAGTGACCGATCCCGTGACGGACTTTTATCGGAAACCATTTTGATGCTATCAATTTGCTCTGACCGCCAGGAAACTCAAGCTTTTCTGTAAATGGGCATAATAACCTTCCGGCTTGCCTCTTTGGTGGCCCACAAATCTTCTCATAAAACTCGACTGCTCTGGAAGGGTGATCATTTCTTGGTGCAAGTAAGAGACCAGAAGAAGTAGTTCGACGTTCAATATGACTTCGAGCAAACCGTCATACATCATCGTCGGAGCTGGCGTGTTTGGAGTATCCACTGCCTATCACCTGATCAAGAAGTACCCTGACGCGTCAGTGACTTTGGTTGATCGAGATGCCTTTGATGCAGAGAGCCGCGTGGCTGCCTCGTGGGACTGGAACAAGGTAGTCCGCGCCGACTACGACGATATAGTATACTGCCAACTGGCGCTTGAAGCACAAGACATCTTCGAAACGGATCCGTTGTGGAAGCCTTATTTCCATCAGACTGGCATCTTCTGGACATGCCGCAGCAACTACGCACAGGAAGTCATCGACAACTACAAGAAACTCGGCCGGACCGCGGATCTTCGAGCCGTGTCTGTCGACGAGGCCCGGAAGCTGTACGGGGGCCTTTTCGAAGACGCTGATTACAACGGGGTCCAAGAAGTGCTCATCAACAAGACCAGTGGCTGGGCTGCTGCTGGAGACGCTCTGCGAGCCGTCACCCGCAAAGCCATAGAGCTCGGTGTGAAGTACGTAACGGCAGAAGTTGCAACGTTGCAACTCGACAGCCGCGGCCGTTGTTCTGGAGTCAAGACAACGAAAGGAGAGACCTTGACAGCCTCGCACGTTATCCTCTGCACGGGTGCATATACGCCAAAACTGCTGGAATTGAGCGCTGCGAGTAGTGGTCTGAAAGACCTTCGGACCGAAGGCAGGATTGTAGCAGGTGGCATCACAACGGGAATGACGAAACTTGACAACGAGTCATATCAGAGATTTGCCACTATGCCGGTGGGCGTTCAGGGGTACACTGCACAAATAGGTAATGTCCTACCATGATCCAGTCTCCCATCGGTGGCAGTACACCTAATTGTCGAAAACAGGTCCGTTTATCGGCAGTCTTCCCCCGACTCCAGACAGAGAGATCAAGTGGTGGGGACAGACGATATTCAAAAACACCCATGAAGTGTTACCCGGCCGCCATCTTTCAGCACCGCCTGCAGAACCAGACTACGCCCAATGGAAAGTTTCCAGGAGACTCAAGGAAGACATTGACTATGCCAACAAGGTGTTTTACGGCAAGAATGGCGCGCACTGGAAGATGGAGAAACATCGGATCTGCTGGTATGTATTCCTACTGCCGTCCCCCCTCCTTGTCAGAATGACAGGATGAGACATGACATTGTACTAACCTCAAGCGACAAAAAAAGGGATGCCTTCACCACGAGCTCGGACTTCATCATTTCGCCACACCCAGCCTCGAAGGGGCTGTACCTCGCAACCTGTGGCTCGTTCCACGGCTATAAGTTCTTCCCGGTGCTCGGCAAGTACGTCCTGCAAATGCTGGAGGGTTCGCTGTCGCCGCAATTGGTAGAGAAATGGGCTTGGGATCGCGAGCGGCCGGATCCGTCACTTAACCCGGATTGGCCGAGGGCCGAGATGAAAGATCTCCTGGACCCAGTCAGAAGTTCGAAGCTGTAGTGGGAACATCATGTGGCTCTTGGGGGAGACCCCTTCGAGTTGTAATGGACGGAAGGTTTGGACGCGCAAAAACACACACACATATATATATATATATGCATGAAAAGAGCCTTTACCACATCCGATTCGTCCTTCCTTGGTGTTGTTGCTGTCAAAACTGTTTGAGAGAACAAGCACCTCATTATCGAGAGTTGTAGCTTTGCATGGGTGTTGGGCTATCCCATCAGTCAAAGTTTCAAGCTATATCCGGAGGCATTGTTGATTCTGATCGCTTCAGAATCGAGCATATATGTCATGAACAAGTCAAACTTGATGTGAGAGCAGAAAGAGAACCGGGGTCGGAGTGTTTTGAGCAGGTCCTTGTGATCTTCTGACCAAGTCCCGCCGAGCAACTTCTGGTGGGAACTTTCAGGAAAATCAAGTCACCAATCTCGGCGGATCAATCTAGGCCACATTCAAGACAAGTACGGGGGCACTCGGCTGCTCATCCAAGTGTGCGGGCCAGCGCCTCAGATTCATATATCGTATCTTACAGTACATCGATCTGGAGATTTGTTTTCCCTTATCAGGTAGGGGTGTTTCGGCGAGCATCGACAACAGGGCGCACAAATGTCCGAGGACCCACCCCCAAAGCGGCCTTCACCACGGTGCTGCGTTCCGCCCTCCGGTGTCCGGGCTGTAGCACCTTATGCTCGAGACCAGAGACCAGAGAGGCTTCGGGCTTCCCTTACCGAAAAGGATATGCGTTTTCTAGATCGGACAGATATCAAACGCGTCTATCTTAGACACCGGGACGTCACGCCCTCTCCCCCACTCTCTATAATAGCGTCTTATTAAAGAAGTGGACTGGATAGAAGGTCTCTTCGTTCAACGTCGATATCCTCGCGCAAGACTCAGGAAGAAAATGGAGGAGCATTTCCCGCAGCCGTGGGTGAAGACGCCCTTGATCGAAAGCCGGGCCCTTGGAGAAGCAGCAAAATGGTACATCTCTATCCTCATATCTGCCGGGGGTTGATTGCCTTGATTCGTGACCATTCTAAGTCGTAGAAGCAGAATCTTCCTGAAGCTCGACAACTACAACCCGATAGGTCCTTCAAGTCTCGAGGTATCGGGACCTACATCCTGCGCCGAGCCGCTGAACGTCGGGGGTCTTCCAAAATACACTTCTATGCGGCATCAGGAGGCAATGCAGGTATTGCCTGTATCCACGCCGCCAAGGTGATAGGCCACCCGGCGACGGTGGTGATACCTACCACTACAAAGCCTACAATGGTGTCCAAGTTGTGGGCCATGGGGGCAATGGGAGTCATTCAACATGGCGCCAGCATCGCAGAGGCCCAAGAATACATTCAGAAGGTGCTGTTGCCAAAGGACCCCAACGGCTGTTTCGTTCCGCCCTTTGACCATCCAGACATATGGGAAGGCAATGCGACGACCATGAGGGAAATCGCAGAGCAGCTTGGCGGAAAGCCTGACGTTGTGGTCTGCAGCGTCGGAGGCAGAGGCTTGCTGAATGGAATCATGCAGATGCTTGACGACAAGGGCTGGAGTAACGAGGTCGAGGTCCTAGCGATGGAGACAGAGGGCGCGGACTCATTGAATCAATCTCTGCAAACCGGAAAGCTCATCACGGCTCCGCGAATTACATCCCAGGCCACCAGCCTGGGCGTCGTCAGGGTTTCTCAGAAAACATTCGACTACGCCCAGCGACCGCACGTCACGAGCATCGTCCTCTCGGACGCCGAGGCCGCACGGAGTTGCTGTCTCATTGCGGAACACGAACGGATGATGGTCGAGCTGACCGTCGGCGTCAACGTGCCAGTCTGTGACGGGGGTTTGTTGGAGAAGGCCCTAGGCACTAAGAAGACTCTCGATCGATCGAGCAAGGTCGTGATAGTGGTTTGTGGTGGAAATGACATCAATATTGAGATGCTGATGGGCTGGCACACCGCGATGTTGGGCGTGGAAGGCTTCCAGGAAAGCACAACAGCTGCAGCACCCAGAACGAGGCCACGCAGGGTAGCCGTGAACTGAGCGACGACAGAATCGTTCTGAATTGGAGAAGACTCGGGGTTGGACTCATGCATGGCTGTGGCGATTTTTGATTGACGTAAAGAGAAACTTGAGAATCAGTCGGAAGAGGATGCGTTGAGATGAATATTCTCGTACCTTTAGGAGTGCCACTAGCATCCTCGACTTGTGGCCGTCTACGCGAAGAGGGTTCCTGGAGTCTTCAAGCAGCGTTTGATATGGTCGATCACACGATCGCACGTGACAAGGCTTGGCATTTAGAGATGCCAAGCACTTGAAATGACACGAAGTCGTTCCGTTCTTATAAAGTCTGACATTTGCCCCGACAGCAGCTTCAATTCTAATCGTGTCCTCCAATTGAGTTGCAGTCCCAATCGGAGTAAAGCTCCCAAGTAGTTTGATTTCACCACCATTATGCTCGAAAAGACGCGGCGCTTACCCAGCGAGATACTTCTCTCGAGACTGACGCTTACTGTACCTGGGGAATTTGGGTGTCGATACCCGACCCCCGCGCCTCCGACGAAGTCACCTAGTTTCCTTCAAACAGTGCTGCAATCCGTGGGCTTGAAGTCGAAATTCTTCAAGACTGGGTACCTTATTGGTCAGGATTTGAAAAGCCGCAATGGTAAGGACATCAGTCGCCTTTCAGGAAAGCCAATCAATGAATTGAAGGTGAGTAATTGATGCCATCAACCCGGGACCGATGACAATGTCGCAACTTCGACAACTCTCGGGATGTGCTGTCACACATCGATAAGAGCCCAGAACCTCTGCCGGACGCACGTTCTTTATCTGCCAATGATTGTCCGCTGGTGCCGCCAGCGGTTGTCCTTCCCTTTTCATGTCTCAGCCGGGTCCGGCTCGCCGATCATATGACCGGCATAAGGCCAATGCCCCCTTTCGGTTTCGAAATCCTGATCGGTCTAACGGATCCTGTTGAGACAAAGCGGCTGCAGTGGCCGATAAGGCCATCGGCGTGGCGTCTTGAGGAGGAGGCGTATCTGGATTTAAGCTTCCTCATTATCATGTTCAACCTCGTCCCTCACCCTCATCGATACTTGTGACTTGTCCCTTTTGAATCTTGTCGTTCTAATAAAACAATGGCGCAATCATTCTTGAAGAACTACCTGGGCCTTGGACGGTCGTCGCCGGCGGATGACAAAACCCCCATCAGGGCTTTGCCGGCCTCTTGGTACACCTCACAGGAAATGTATGAGCTTGAGAGACGAGCGATTTTCTCCCGAAAATGGCTTCTGACCACGCACAAACTGAGACTGGCCAACCCAGGGGACTGGCTACGATATGAAGTGGCCGGTTTCCAGTTCATTCTCTGTCGAGACCGCGATGGGAACCTCAATGGCTTTCACAATGTCTGCAGACATCGTGCCTTTCCTATTGTGACTGAGGAAAAAGGGCACAACAACATCTTTTCTTGTAAATACCATGGTTGGTCATATGGCCTCAACGGCAACCTCACAAAAGCACCGGAATATCAAGATCTGCCTGGATTTGACAAGTCGAAGAATGGTCTTCTGCCCATCCATACCCATATCGACCATAATGGATTCATCTGGGTGAACTTGGATGGTGGTGCGAAGCCAGAGATTGCCTGGAACGATGACTTCGAAGGCGTCGACAAGCAAGACAGGTTTCAACACTACAATTTCGACGAGTACCAATTTGATCACAGCTGGGAGATGGAGGGCGAATATAATTGGAAAATCTTGGCCGACAATTACAACGAGTGCTATCACTGCAAGACGACACATCCTGACATTCCCACCATCGCGGATCTCAGTTCTTACGGGGTCGAGACAAAGGCCGGCCATATCCAACATTTCGGCAACCCTACGCCGGAACAGATTGCCCGTGGTCTGAGGGTGGCTGCCACCTATTTTTTCCCCAATGCCTCCCTGAACGTTTCGTAAGTGCATCATTCAGGCTGGACAAGCCACATTGCTAATTCTTTCCAAGGCCGCACTTTTTCTTCATCCAGAGATTTGTGCCCAGCGGTCCTGTCAAGTCGACCATGAAATATGAAGTCTACAGGAACAAGAACTCTAGTGATGAAGATTTTGAACTCGTCAACCAAATCTACAAGAGAATCATGTCGGAGGACAAGTACCTGTGCGTCAACACACAGAAGAATCTCAACGCGGGAGTTTTTGTCAACGGCGAGTTGCACCCCAGGATGGAGAAGGGCCCTCTGTTCTTCCAGAAAACAGTGCGCGAGCTTGTGCAAGCCCACCACAAGCGAGAGACAGATGCCCATGATGAGATTTGGCCGGCTCGACAAACTCTCCCCAAGGCCGATGTGACCAGCCAGAAAGACGTTGCCTTCTGCTCCGCTGTGGATTGCTGCAGGATCAATAAGGAGCCCATTGCAGCGTAGCCGCCGTCACGGTATGTAGACGTTCCAGTTCGATAGCATTCTTCTAGTCTAGCGGCGCTGTAATAGAATTCGCAATCACGATCTGAAGAGGTCTTACCTGCAATGTTCGCCCCTAACCGTTCTATGTCATGCAACCATCTGCAGGATTTCCACGAATGCTCGATGAGTGGTCGGGTTGATTCCAGAAGGATGTCTTGCTCAAGGTTGGATCCGCGCCAATCGTTACAATGAGGGATGAATCGTGATAGTCATGAATCAAGCTTCCTGCGGGGCTCGTGGCGAGGTGGCGATTATTTATTTAGTGGAACAGAATCCCCCTTGTTCGTAACCTTAAGAATTTATGAAACTTCGACGACAACGACAACAACACCAACACCAACACCAACATCAACATCAACATCAACAACAGATAAGGCATCTCAACTTTGTTTTGCTGTCCATACAATGGCAACCATACACAGGCCCTTGCAGTCCTCTTCGGCCGCCAGTCTCCCAGACCTTTAAGGTCATTCTGGGCTCTTTTGCTGACGTCCAACATGACTCCGACCGAGGAGACCACCAAGTTCAACGGAAGACAACGATCGCATCATGCTTGCCTCACTTGCAGGTCTGTCACGCTTCTTGAAGGATCCGTTCTGTGTCCTGTGTGCCAACCGTCTTACAGGAGGAAGAAAACTCGCTGTCCTGGCGAGAAGCCAGCCTGTTCAAGCTGTGTCCGCCTGAAGCAGCCATGCTCCTATGCGCCCGTGGTCAGAGCGATACGGGGCGGCCGATCGGTATATTATCTGACGCCTTTCCGTGTGATGCACGTGTGTTAAGTAATCTACAGGAGGAGAGGCTGGCACACCTGGAAGAGAAGTTAGATCTCCTGTTGAGTGGTGGTTTGTACGGACGGACGGCCTCCCAGTAATGTTGTGCTCAAGTGTGCTGACCAGAGCATTAGACCGAGCCATGCCACACGTCAAGAGCAGGCACTCGAAGAGACTGCTGATTATTCAGAGAAGTCATACTCGGTGACTCCTCCGGCTCGCGAGCCCAGTTATCCCACTAGCCACCCTTCTTCTACCCTCGAGTTCAACTCCGAGAATGCGAATTTGCGGCCGCGCCCATCCGACATCGCCGTTGGAATTGAGCTGTACTTCAAGTACTGCCACAAGCAACCGATCTGGTGCTTTGGGCCCGAAGAAGTGGGAGATCCCAGCTCTCTCCCTGAAGAACTTGCTTGCAGTATCCTCGCCCTGACTTCGCGCTTCCCACCCAAATGTGATCAATTGCACCGCTATGGCAAGAATGCGAGGGGTTTGATCATGCTTCGTATCGCGAATGGTACGGTGGACCTTGCCACTATTGAGAGCTTGTGTCTGCTTTCGTACTCCTTTTTTATTGGTATGAATATCTGGCTAAGCTATGGAGCAAACTCTTGCTGACACCCACTTGGACGGAAACATGTCCCTCGGCCAATTCCACGTCGGCCTTGCTTTCCAGCTCTGTCGATCCGCTACGCTGGACCTCGAATCCACATACACTGTCGACGACGCGACCACAGAGCGGAAGAAAAGGCTCTTCTGGAGTCTTCAATTGCTTGAGCAGTCGTACGGCCGACAACACGGTCTTTTGAGTGTCCCAACAGAGACATGGCGACCATCTTATTCTTCAAGTGGCAGAGGTCAGGGACCCGATAGAGAAATTGATCAAAAGGCCCCGCCTTTGCCCAGGGATGACCTGGGATGTTCGACACCGACTGAGCCAGGAATCTGGAACACAAGTGTCCAGCTAGGATGGGTGTGGAGTCGGGTAAGAAAATACGTGTCGAACTGTGCTCACAACATATGGAAGGAACCTTGGCGGCACGACTCGATGTATGCCATGGTGCTCTCTGATTTCATGGAGACAGAGAACAGGATACCCATCTGCCACCGATACGACTCGGTCAAATTCTACGAGCGCAAAGTGGAAGAGTTGAAAATCAACCGAGATTATTGGGCCCCGTGGCTGAGGGAGCAGTTCACGTACCATGCGATCCCTACCGTGTTGAACCACCCTTTCCTCTACATCATCGGGGCACAACACAATCCCAACTTGGCAATTCCGAATACGTTTTGGAGGAGATCTTCCGAGCTCGCCCTCTTACACTCTACCTGGATTGTTCGCATGATTGACATGGTCTTGGACAAACAAATGCCGCTGGTCGATCCATTTTTCGGACATGTCGCTGCCATTGCAGCTACTGTGCATCTCTATTATTGTTGTGCTGCCGATTCCAGGTTGAAGCATAAATCAAACACGGACTTCGCAAAATGCAGGAGGTTTCTGAAAAGCTTTGTACCCTTTTCACCCGCCTGTAAAGCTTTGGTACGTGCTTTCAGCGAGAATAGGTCCCCGGGCTGACGGATTCTAGGACTCTAATCTAGACAAGATGACGCGGATTGCTGCCGGCTCCGAGAGCATGGATGTTGAAGACTGGATGCCCTCCAAGATCTACCTCAGTGTGCCTTTGATGTGGGATATCCTACAGTTCAACTGTATAGCGGATCCTCGAGAGATCCCCACGGCCGGCTTACTGGACGCCTGCCTCTCACCCGCGGTGCCTCAAAAATACGCGGACGAGAGCTCAACCCTTGAGATTATTGTCGCCACCTCACCAGAAATTTCTGTAAACACCGCTGATGGAGGGCAAGATGCTCCAATATTATCGTACAGAGCTCCTGTTTCTTCAGCGCTAGAGTCTGCACAGAAGAATGTCTGCAACGAAATATCTGTTGAACAAGCAGACAGTCTCACCCTGAACACGACCCCGTGGCTGTGGGCGGACCCTTCGCAATTCGTCGGCATGGGAGACATGGGCTATCACGACTCGCAGCCCGCAATGGGCGATGCTAGGGGCGCGGCATGGTGGGAGGTCGAGAACATTGGTAACGTCATGTTCAATCATTTCTAGCGTGACTTCTCGTCCCTTTTCCAAGACCGATTTTGAGCATCAAGGTATGCTTGTTGATGTCCATCTGCGTGATTTTCCGGTGCTAATCCTGAGCGTGACAGTGAGGACAATCCAACGACATTGCTGTCTCACACCCCCAACGTTGACTTTTGCGCCATCTACATTGCAAGCTTGGAGTTTCGCGGCGCAAATGACCTAGGAATTACATCGTTGCTGAGGCCAGGCTTTGACAAATTCAAATATCCTTATTCGACAGTCAAGATTCGCTAGACGGTGTCACCTTGTATGAAGACTAGTGCGACTTAAAAATTATCGATCGAAATAGAGCGGAAACCTTCCTCTGCGGCACTATGTCTGTGTTGGCAATCCCACAACGAAGTGAGTCGACACCAGGCCCGAAGAGCGGATGACACTGAACGTACGACACCCCTCAACATGGCGCCTGCAACACGTGTACATTTCTTCGTGGAACCATGTCTGAGAGTGCTGGCGCGGAGCGCACAACTGCGTGAGGAATGAAAGCGATCAGCAGACATCTGTACACCCTCCTTGGCCATCTCAATGCAGGACTCGGGCCGTATCTGGTGTTGTCGTCTCATCCGGGGTTGCCGCTCCGGGGTATCTGGGGACACCCTTTCCACGAGAGGGTGAAACGGATAAGAGCACCGAAGTTGGTCTAGAAGCGGCTTCTCGGCTCCGTATGCCGAACAAACTATTTGAATCCATGTCAGGAGACTTGCGGCAAGATGGAATCATTCCCAATTGGGAATTGTAGCTTATCTTCTGCACCGATTCGAGCGAGAAGGCGTGCGATATCAGACATCCTTTTCATCGGTCAGACGAACTATATTTTGCCGTATTTCCGGTGAAATCACTTCTGTATCTATATCCCTTTTCAATCATTGGTGAGAAACACTACGACGACCTCGTCTAACGTATGCAAGTGGTTCCCCTACCATGACTCGGCTAATGTGTCCAGATATAGCGGAAAAAGTGGCATTTCAAAGGATTGACGGACGTGTCAAATTCAAGGGATATGCCCGTCAATGGAAGCTGTTGCGTTGTTGGTCCCATTTGATGACTTGCTAGAATGAACGTGTATGCTCATTCTCGTCGCATGGGATGTCGCTCTTGGGCTGCTCCTATATGAATACCTCATCTATCACCTCAGGGCAATCCAACCCTCACTTTTTGAAAAGCAAACCCTTGACGGAATCTGCCAGGCTGTCTCAGGTTGCCCCGGGTGAGGTCCCCCCTCGCAAGGCTTTTTCGGACAATCTCACTCTATGCGAGCACGAAGGATTGTGCAACTCCTCAATACTATCAATCGGTTCTTTCCCTGGCATCATATACCATGCCGCACACAGTTTCTGCTCTCGAGTATCTAAAACCGCATTCTCTATACTCCGTGACCCGGACACGCAATTTGAGGGCTATTCGACCGCGACATCGGACACAAAAGACGATGAAAACATGCCTCCGTCCCATTGAGTTGGATGAATTCACCCTTTGTTGATCGAACGGTTGAATCTCTGCAAAAATTGCTGACGCCGTCTCACATTTTTCTTGCACCATTCATCATGCATGGCATTAAAGATGCTAAAGCCGACAGTATCGTCACCAAGGCTGGCTTTCAAAAGGGCCAGATCACTGCCGAAATGCAGACAACCTCCGTCGACGAGTCAACCGTCGCCAGATTCAGTTCATCGCCATCGGTGGCTCTATTGGCTCTGGGGCGCCGCCACCCCTTCTCTATATGGCCTGGTGCTCCGCGGACATGCTCCCAGGGTCCTCACTAAATGCACAAAGCAAGATATCCCAGTCTATACCTTAGCGGTTGTTCTCGCCTTTCCTTTCCTCTCTTTACTCCAGGTCCTCAACGGGGTATTGATCGTTTTGACCTAGCTGATCGACCTTATTACGGCCGGTGCGCTTATAGACTACTTGGCCATATGTATCACCTACCTCTGTTCTACCGGAGCTTCAAGTGCAAGAATTCGACCGGAAGCTATTCCCATAAACCGGTTGGCTTCAGCCTTACTGAACGTGGATTGGTGTCGTCGCCACTACTATTCTTATTTGTCTCTTCTACGGCTACATTTCCTTCGCACCCTGAAACGTCGAGTCCCTTTTCCAGAATTACACCATGCAGATTGTCGCTCCAATCCTCCAATTTTGCTGGAAATTCATCAAACGGACTCATTGAGTCAGACGGGCTGCACTGGGACTTGATCTGGGAGCGACTTATTGTCCACACGTACGAGGCAGGCTGTATCCATCCCCCTGGCGGGTTCTGGATCGAGGTGAGACAGCTGTTCTCCAGATTCTTTCAGAGGAGAGAAAAGAAGAGCGAGGACGATGCAACAAACATTGCTGATTGAATATCCTGTAGACTTGTGTGGAAATTGGGTCGGAAGCTAGAGTATCGCATCCACTGACTTCACCCTACGTCGAACGAAATTCTTGGGGACACTAGAAAACTCATACCACCAAGACCTTGAAGATATGTTGACGGGACCGAGAGAGAGAAGAATGTGGTCTCATAACCACAACGAAAGACCAAGGTTGCTTTATGCGGCATTGGGAACGCAGAACGCTAGGCTGCCCATGATAAAGAGAAAATGGTTGGTCCTTAGATGGGCCCTGTGAGAGTCACTTTGCTAGACTTGTATACAATGGGCTTTTGCTGAGTCTTGAGACCCATCATGGTTGGAATACATCAAAAATCCTCATTATCGTTGTTCGGACTTGGGAGGAGCTTCTCGGCACTGGAACTCGAGTTGCATTGCTAAGGCTAGCGCCCTGCGAGTACACGCCTCTTGGGATGTGCCGGAGCATTCCAGACGAACGCCCTTTGAGAATGAGACAGTGCTGGCGATCCAGTGAGATAACAGTCAACGGGTCCAGGCCCAATAGCGCTCCATCGAGGCGAACAACACGTAAGATGCCGCTGATAAGGCTACGTGTCTGCCCCTTTACAGATCCGGAGTCCGGGCCAGATGTTCCGATGCCGATCAGGTGACCGTGATAGTGGCCGTGGTGGTACGATTTTCCCGAATAGGAAAGCACTGTCGACACAGGACCTCTTTGGTGCCTTTACTCTAATAAGGGCTTGGAAGGGCCGGCAGTTCTGGTAGTATTTCTTGGGAGGCAGATCAAAGAATCATCGGAAACTACTGCCAGGATCCCCTTCGTGATCCGCTCGAAACATCTCCCTTGCAATGGGGTCTATCACCATGGCGCCCGTGCCACGCGTCGCCATCATTGGCGCTGGCATCGTTGGCACAAACCTCGCCGACGAGCTCGTCTCGCGTGGCTGGACCGACATCACCGTCATCGAGCAGGGGCCTCTGGATATGCCTGGCGGGTCGACATCGCATGCCCCCGGCCTGGTGTTCCAGACGAACCCGTCGAAGACAATGACCCAGTTCGCCAGATATACCGTGGACAAGCTGTTGTCCTTGGAAGAGGACGGTCAGAGCTGCTTCAACCAGGTCGGCGGCTTGGAGATAGCAACGACGCCGGCGCGAGTCGAGGAGCTCAAGCGCAAGCACGGCTGGGCCTCGTCCTGGGGCGTGGAAACCCGCCTGCTCAGCACCGAGGAATGTCTTGAGAGATACCCTTTGTTGAACAAGGACCTCGTGCTCGGGGGCCTGTTTATCCCTACTGATGGGCTAGCATTGGCCGCTCGCGCGGTTCAGTTGCTCATTGCACGCACCCGCAAGGCTGGCGTCCGTTACTTGGGTTCCACGCAGGTTACTGGCATCGAGCAAGCTGACGACCGCGTTACCGGCGTAGTGACTCCGGAGGGGACCATACCTGCCGACATTGTCGTCTCTTGCGCGGGTTTCTGGGGCGTTGAGGTGGGAACCATGATCGGGCTCTCAGTACCCTTACTGCCGCTGGCACATCAGTATGCTAAGACGACACCCGTACCAGCACAAGCAGGTCGCAATCCTCTGCCAAACGGAGCGAGCCTCCCCATCTTACGCTACCAGGACCAGGATCTCTACTACCGTGAGCATGGCGAACAATATGGCATTGGCTCTTATGCCCATCGGCCGATCCCTGTCGTTGCCTCATCATTGCCCCTAGCGTCCAAGAGTGTCGACGAAAAGAACATGCCGTCCCGCCTGGAATTCACCCCAGAAGACTTCAAACCGGCATGGGATTTATCTCGAGAGCTTCTACCTGCTTTGAAGGAGAGCGAGATTGCCGATGGTTTCAACGGGATCTTCTCATTCACCCCGGACGGCGGTCCTCTCGTTGGACAGTCACCCACGCTGGACGGGTTCTATGTGGCGGAGGCGGTATGGGTGACGCACTCTGCTGGCGTCGCGCGCGCGGTGGCCGAAATCTTAACTGCAGGGCGATCCGAGGTCGACCTGGCTGAATGCGACCTTGGGCGCTTCGAGGAAGTCCAACTCACACCGGCATATGTCAAGGAGACTTCGCAGCAGAACTTCATCGAAGTCTACGATATCATACACCCACTTCAGCCGAGAGAGTCGCCGCGCCAACTGCGAGTAAGTCCATTTTACGCTCGGCAGCGTGAGCTGGGGGCTTTTTTCCTCGAGAGCGGGGCCTGGGAACGCCCGTTCTGGTATGAGTCGAATGCAAAGCTGATCGAGCAGCTCCCGCCGGAGTGGAAGCCCGTCGAGCGGGACCCCTGGTCGGCTCGATACTACTCGCCGATCGCTGCGGTAGAGGCCTGGAAGACGCGGACAGCGGTCGCCATGTACGACATGACTCCACTGCGTCGGCTAGAGGTGGTTGGGCCTGGGGCGGTCGATCTGCTGCAGCGACTGACCACGGGTGATGTCTCGAAGAAGCCTGGCGCCGTCACCTATACGCTCCTTCTAGACAATTCCGGAGGTATTCGAAGCGACATCACTGTGGCTAGACTCGCTCAGGACCTCTTCCAGGTAGGTGTGAACGGCCGCGTGGACCTGATCTACTTCTCTCGGGAGGCCCGTCGGCAGTCGCAGCATGACCCCAGCAGATGGGCGTATGTGCGCGAAATCACCGGAGGCACGTGCTGCGTCGGGCTCTGGGGCCCACGGGCGCGCGACGTGATCAGCACGGTCAGCAGTGATGACTTTAGCAACAAAGGCCTACGTTACTTCCGCGTGAAGAGGGCCAGCATCGCAGGCATCCCTGTTATTGCGATGCGGCTATCGTATGTCGGGGAACTGGGCTGGGAGATCTACACCAGCGCCGACAATGGGCAGCGTCTGTGGGACGCGCTCTGGCAGGCCGGGCAGCAGCACGGAGTCGTCGCGGCAGGGCGCACCGCCTTCAACGCGCTGCGGCTGGAAAAGGGGTACCGGTCCTGGGGCACCGATATGACCACCGAACACGACCCGTACGAGGCCGGCCTGGACTTTGCCCTCAAGGCAGGCAAGCAGGGGTTCGTGGGCCAGACAGCGCTCGAGGGACGCTCCAAGGAGACGACATCGCGCCATCTACGCTGCCTCACCGTCGACGACGGCCGCTCCGTCGTGCTGGGCAAGGAGCCGGTCTTCCACGACGGGCGCGCCGTCGGGTACGTCACCAGCGCCGCGTTCGGGTACACCATCGGAAAGCCCATCGCGTATGTCTGGCTGCCCAGCGCGGTGAACGAGGGCGCCCCTGTCGAAATCGAGTATTTTGGCAAGAGGATCCACGCCACCGTAACCCCCGAACCGCTCTATGACCCGCAAATGAGCCGTCTGCGCGGGTGAAAGGCAAAAATCGTTCCTCGACCACTTTGTTGCCTGGCTCATTTTTGTATCTTTCAGGGCCCTACCTGTTGGGTCGAGCTGTGGAAAAGAAAAAGAAAGAACAAGGTTGTTGGAACGACGTGAAATGACCGAGCTAGGCTTTCCAGTCTTCTGGAAAGACCGTGCTGTGCTGAGCTTGAAGAGACCGAGCCCCTTTCTCTCTCCTTCCCGCAACGCGTGTCTTGTCTTGTCCTGTCCTCTCCCAGATTCGAAAAGGAAAATAAAATTGCATCCCCTCTGGTTTTTTTTCCCCCTCCGTTAAGGCACGTTTTTATATATCCATTCAAGGCTTTCTAGTATTTTTATTTTGTGGGGGACCGGGGCTTTGGGTTCAACTTGTGAAGAAAGAAAGAAAGAAAGATAGTGACCTCGACTTGGGCGGGGGAACTGTGTGTGGGATACAAGAGACGTGTAGATGGGTTGGACGCGACAGATGTGATGGATGGCATGGCAACGGATCGTCTGAAACGAGCAGAGTCTATGAGATCATGATGAGAAAATATACTATACCATACACCCCCTCCTCCTTTTTTTTTTTTTTTTGGATCTCTTTCGTTCGTTGTAGGGTCTGAAACGGTGAAACCAACGATGATGACTGACGGGATAAGGATGAGGATGGAAGTAAGAATGAGGGTGATGGTTCGATGCGCCGCTGAAGGGACTTAACCTGACCATGGTTGCAATCAGTCGATCGATATCAATCAATCACCATATCAAGGGGTGCACTAATTACACTGCACTATACTGTACTATACTGCGCTGTTCTGTACTCTATTCTATATTATCCTGCGCTACACTATTGTTCTCTACTGTGCTGTGCCATACTGTGCTGTGCCAACCTGTCCAGGCAGAGCGGACAAACAAGGAGACATGAGGAGACAGGAGCAACGCTATCAATGAATGATACACAATGACGTTCGGAATGTGTTTCGATCAGATCAAACTTTTTCGAGTCGTTGGCTTTGAATCACCTCCGTCGCAGGTTACCACTACATACCATTGATGCACGCCCCTTTTTCTACCAGTCGCGAGTATTATTTTGTAGACATACAAATAGGGGAGTGACGCTTCAAGCTGAGCGTGCTGCTGCCGCTGCTCATCTCCTTCGGGGATCTGAGGCCTCCGCTCACACCTTTTTCATCCGACGCAATCGATCCATTAAAACGCCTGCCATCCGAAACCTCACGTAAAAACACGGCTTTTTGAGCATATGGACTTTCGAGCTTGCGCTCAAAAGGTCATGGGCCGTGGGTTGTAGCGGCCCAGGAGCGCATGATCCTTGGTACCCATCCAACGCCTCGAGCATGCGCAACCTTCATCCATCCACTGCCCCCGCCCCCCAGCATCTGGCACTCATTTCACAGCCAGGCACTTGATGTCGAAGGTCAACTTGCTGTTTTTGGGTATCCCGGGCAGAGCCTTGTTGCCATATGCCAGATGCGCCGGGATGGTCAGTCTCCGTTCTCCACCAACCTGAATCCCCTGAAGGCCAATGTCCCATCCCTTGATCACCTCGCCGGCACCGAGCTTGAAGCTGAATGGCTTGCCGGACTTATTGCTGTCGAAGACTTTGCCATTGTCGAGTTTGCCAATGTAACGCATCTCCAGACGTGCGCCCTTCTTCGCGGCAGGGCCGCTGCCGATCTTGCGGTCGTCGACAGTGACGCCTTGAACTTCTTTCACGCCCAGAGTGGCAGCGCCGGTACCTGACTTCTCCTTACTGTCGGGTTTCGCAGGCGCAGGAGGCGTCGCGGACGGAGTTGGTCCTTGCTCCAGGTTCTTTGCGAATTGGACTTTCTTCTCAGAGCCACCATTGCTTTGCGCCGCTTCCTTTTTACCCTCAGCTACAGTGGCTTCGACTGCAATAGCTTCGCCATCGTTCTTCTTGAGTTTCTTGAGACGCTTCTTCTCGGCCTTGCTGAGTTTCTCCGGTGCGCCGCCGTTTGTAGCTGGGGTTGATCCTGCTGCCTTGGGTTCTTCCTTCTTGAGCGACTTAGCCAACATCTCGTCCAGATTGTCTTCGTCCTCCTCGTCTTCGTCATCTGAGGCACGACGTTTGTTTTTGCCTTTCCCAGTCAGGTTGAATACCTTGAGGGCGGTTACGTCGACCTCTTCGTCGATTTCCGTGATGCGAGGGTCCTCGAGGTCATCAAGAGCGTCAGAGTCTTCGTCGGCGTCCTCGAGGGCATCGAGTTCGTCCTCATCTGGGGACAAGTCATAGTCTTCCGCCTCATCTTCCTCGTTGTAGAGAGAGGCTGCGCCGTCGTCTTGAGGAATGACATAATTGCCAGTGAGATAAACAGTGTATGCGCCCGAAACCTTGAAGAAGACCTTCTCGCCTTCTCCGACAACGAAATCCAAGGTTTGCTGATAGTTCTATTGATGGGATTAGACAAGAAATCACAACTGAACGGAAAACACTTACCTTCTCGGGGTCGAGAGTGCAGACCACAACCTCATCCATCTCGAGAGCCTCGTCGTCCTCATCCTCCTCCTCATCGTCATCATCCTCCCCGTCCAGGGCTTTTGCTTTGCCTTTTCCTTTGGCGCTCTTCATGAGCTGGGACAATCTCGCGATGGCTGCTGCATCGTCCTCGTCGTCATCTTCATCATCTTCGTCATCCATGTCTTCATCATCTTCACTCTCACCGGCTGCCTTGGCTTTAGACTTCTTCTCACTTGGTCCGCCATTCACTTCGTCGATGTCCTCCTCGTCTTCCTCGTCATCGTCGTCGTCGTCGTCGTCCAGACCAGGAAGGTAGTTCTCATCGTCCTCAATATCGTCATCCTCATCAAGCATACCGGCTGGAACGCGGATCAATTTGAGAGTTGCTCGTGGAGGGCGTTTGTCGCCAGGATCTTCGAGCTCGGGTTCAGCACTGGGATCAATGGCGGCCATGGTTAGACGAAACTGTGTAGAATAATTAGCATGAATACTCAGTCGTCCCAACAAGGACATAACACACCATGGCAGCAAATGCGGGAACCGCGGGAACCATGATGTCGCCTGGAGGGACTTTCATGGCGTAGACCGCCACAGGTTGGAGGCCTGACATGTTGGTGGCACTTTTTGCAGGATCTCAAGGGAGAGCCACTGTTATGTTAACTCTAGGACAGGATGCTTCCGTAGACAGGGTATGGTAGAGCGGATGCCAAGTTGCGAGACTGCAGTTTGAGTGCAAAAAGAAGAAAATTGAAAAGGTGAAAACGAGCTCTACAATAATTGGAGAGATTTGGAGTTGCGCTGCCTCAGAAACGAGACGCGAGCCAAGCCATAAATTTTTGCTTATCGATAAGGCAAGAAAGGGAGCAACGAGTGGCACCAGTGGCGCCAGTGAGCCCCCCTTAGCCCCCCCCCAAGGCCACCTGTCTGCCTGCGCCTTGCTACGCCTGTCGCGTTTCTCCTCACGCGCTAGGATCTCCCAATTGCCATCTTGGACAACTGACTGTATCATTCTTCTCCATCAACACCCATCTCAAGTCCAAAGACGCGACCGGACGGCGGCGATGCTCCAGAGGATCATTTCGCAACGATGACATCTCCTATCCCCCCATGGGCTCCAGACTAGAAAAGAACTCCACCCTGGTGCGGAAGCGCATTGAAGGGCACACCTTCAGCGACGAGCAAGGCGAGGAATATGAAGCCTCCAAGTTTGGCGGTTTCGCCGATTACATGCGGAGGAAGAAGATCAAGCTACAGAATCTAGATGTCGAAATTCGTGCCAATTCGTCAGACAAGCCTCCCATCTTCCGCGGTGTTGTCGTCCATGTCAATGGCTATACCCAACCTTCTCTCAGCGACCTCCACACCCTCGTTGTTTCTCACGGCGGCGGCTTCCTCCAATATCTCGATGGCAAGACTGCTGTCACCCACGTCATTGCAAGCCATCTGACTCCTAAGAAGACGGTTGAGTTTGCACGATACCGCATTGTGAAACCAGCCTGGGTGGTTGATAGCGTGAAGGCGGGAAAGCTGTTATCCTGGGATGCCTATAGGTTGGTCGACGAAGGCGTTACCCAAAAAGTGTTGAGCTTTGAGAGTGGTCGATTTATTAGCCAGGTCAACACCCAACAGAGCAGATACAAGGATCAGACTGAGACAAGTTTGTATACGACTCAATCCCCCGACATGGGGCGCTGCACAGGTCAAAACGATGGAGATAACACACAATCCCGGCAGCCAGACGAGCCCACCTTTGACCAAGAAGCCGACGTTGCGATGCTTGTGGCGGGAGAAGCACCGAAGATGGTTGATGTTAACCAACCGCCTGAAACTACCGGGGCACTATTCGATGTCGAAAATGGCCATGATATTTCTGCGTGTGACAAGCCTGATCCTCAGCAGAAGCCCCCTGAGCAGGATCAACCAGCAGACTCCTCGCTGAATGACTCGCCGAAGCCCCAAAAGCGCCAATTAACGGCTGAAGAGCACAACGCCATTCTCCTCTCTAATCCACACATGGCCAAATCGAGCACTGCAAACCCCGACTTCATTAACCAATACTATCGCGAATCCAGGTTGCATCACTTGTCCACCTGGAAAGCGGATTTAAAAGTCCAATTGCAGGCACGCACCCAGGAGAAACTGGCCTCTCAGAAAAGGAGACTCCGAAGAATACCAGGTGCAAGGAGATACATCATGCATGTCGATTTTGACAGCTTCTTCGCCGCCGTCTCTCTGCGTAAACACCCCCACTTGGTTGACAAACCCGTGGTGATTGCACATGGTAGTGGACCCGGATCCGAGATTGCGAGTTGCAACTATCCTGCTAGAAAATACGGCATCAAGAACGGCATGTGGATGAAATCTGCACTAAGTATGTGCCCGGAGCTTAAGATTTTGCCTTATGACTACAAAGCATATGAAGACGCCAGCCGTCATTTTTACGACTCTATACTGGCAATCGATGGTGTGGTTCAGAGCATAAGTATTGACGAGGCCTTGCTGGACGTTAGTGAGCAGTGCATTGAGGTCGGCGGATCCGATGGAAGAGGCTTGTCAGAGGGGTCTCTATACCGCGAACAAGAAGCCGCCCAGCGTCTTGCACAAGGTTTACGTGCCTCGGTGAAAGAAAAGACAGGCTGTGAGGTCTCGGTAGGTATTGGAGGAAATATACTGCTCGCCAAAGTTGCTCTGCGGAAGGCCAAACCTGCCGGGCAACACCTGATTAAGCCAGAGGAAGTTCTGGATTTTATTGGCGAACTGATGGTCACGGATCTGCCCAGTGTTGCGTGGAGTATTGGGAACAAGCTAGAGGAAATCGGGATTAAATATGTCAAGGATATAAGAGCCTGCACCAAAGAGAAACTCATCACCACCTTGGGACCCAAGACTGGCGAAAAGATATGGGACTACTCTCGGGGAATTGACAGACAGGAAGTGGGCGACCAGGTGGTCCGAAAGTCGGTTTCCGCCGAAATCAACTGGGGTATCCGGTTCATCAATCAACAACAAGCAGAAGAGTTTGTCCAAAGTCTCTGCGAGGAGCTGTCACGCCGGCTTCTGGATCAACTGGTCAAAGGAAGACAACTGACCATGAAGATCATGCGAAAAGCGGCAGATGCTGGTCTAGATCCCCCGAAGAATTTGGGGCATGGCAAGTGTGATACATTCAACAAGAGTGTCGTGCTCGGGGTGGCCACAAACGATGGAACTATTTTGGGAAAGGAAGCAATTTCCATTTTACGAGGCTACGGTTTCCCTCCTGGAGAACTACGAGGTCTGGGCGTACAAATGCAGAAATTGGAGCCGCTGAAGCCGTCCATTGCCAGCAAAGACGGGTTTATGGATGGTGGCCAGCGAAGGCTTCAGTTCAAGAAGCCCGACAAACAAACATTAACATCCCCCGGGATGCCAGACCAAGACCGAACAAGCCCACTCCCAAAACGGACACCAGAATCCAAAGAGACGACGGACCCCATCGAAGAAGTGCCAACTCCTGAGAAGCCTAGACCGAGAGAACTCCTTTCTGGTGCTGTTGATGCAGTAGCCACAGCTGGCGAAGAGGATTCCGCTCAGAAGCCTCTAAATATTAGCGGCACACAGTTCATTCTTCCCTCTCAGATTGATCCGACCGTACTGGCAGAGCTACCAGCGGATATCAGGAACAAACTTGCGCCCAAACAAACGAGCATTTTGGACATCATGAATACTTCAACTCGTGCAGCGTCACCCTCCAACGAGGCTCCATCCCGATCGGCCTCACCGTTCGCGAATGACAATGAGGCTGTGTTACCCAGCCAGAGTCAGCTTGATCCCGAAACACTCGCAGCTCTTCCTCCAGATGTCAGGGATGAAGTGCTGGCCCAGTATAAACATCAGGACAAAAGAGAAAGACCACCAGCACTTCAGAGTGTGTTGCCTCAATCACCTCACAAACCTAGGATGTTGGGTCCATCAAAGAAGCTGGTTGTGACGCCGACCAAGAAGCAGAAGACGACGACATTGTTCGGCAAGTCTGGCTCGAAGCGAGGTGGCGATGCGTCTTCGACTCTCACACAATCTAATTTCCTAACCGTGCCCGGGACGAATTTGGACCAACCACAGCCGAACTCCTACATCTCTGAAGAAATATCCCAGTCTTTCCTCGACGAGCTCCCCGAAGACATCCGCTTGGAAATTCTCGCAGAACAGAAGAGAAATCGGATGAAATCCAAATCTGGCCTGAACTTCGACATTGGCAGGAAAAAGCCCAAAACGACTACTCAGTCAGATGCTATAGTACGAGGTCAACAGAAACTCCAATTGGCAAAGCAGCCAGATAAGCCAACTTTCACTTCTCAGAAGCTAAGTTCACTGCCAGAGTTGCGGGATGCCATCTCAGCTTGGGTGAGAGAGCTCTCCGTGGATGGTGAAGAACCCGATATGGAAGATGTGGCCGCACTCTCTGAGTATCTGAGCAAGGTCGTCTCTGTTGAGCGGGACATGGCCAAGGCTGTCGCTGTGGTCAATTGGCTTGGATTGGTGATAGAATATGAGAACTTCGGCAGTGGAGAGACCCGTGCGTCGTGGGAGAAGGCGCTGGCCTTTCTGAAAAGAGAGGTGCAGAAGGCTATCCTGGATAGGGGCCTGCCTCCGGTGGTGTTTGAATTCTAAACGACTCTTTGGTCAGATCAACAAAACTCTCAGACGAGACGTCAACAGTCACGGGCAACGTGTTCCAATGTCATCTCATTTTCCACACGCTCCTGCCTCACACCGTTGAAGTAATCAAGGTAGGAGCATTCGCTTACCCTCTTTGAAAATGAACTCTGCCATCCTACCTCCTTTGTTTTGGAACTCCCTTCTTTTTGCTCATCCAACAATCACCATCCCCATTAGCTTTCACTTTGATTTTACTTGCATCCCCATTGCTCTTATACGTATACCATACACAGGAAGCAGCAGATAATTCTTGCATTCAGTCTTCCATCATCCATGCCATGACACTCATCTCGGCTCTGAGTCGAAAACGACGGCCATCCTCCCCTCTGCCTCCCAGTTCGGCACGCTGGGCCAACCAGCCGCTCTCCAAGATACCAAAGCTCAATCACCTCTTCGATGGGACAGGCTCGCGATCGATGGAGTCTACTAGCACCGGGCGGTCAAAGCTCAGCGTGAAGAGCCAGCTCAAAAGAGGGGTCTCCAGCATCAAAACCGTCCTGGGCATCGGGGATAGATGCAGCGATGGCAGTGTCCAGCACCGTACTGAATCCTTGTTTCCCTTGACACAAGGCAGCCGATCTGTATACTTACTTGCCAATGACTCAAATACGACAACGATCCATCAACCTCTCAGGATCCGACTGACCGCAATTGCTGATGACTCGGAAGATGATCGGGACACATCAGCGTCACCGACTGTTAAGAGCGCCCCGATTACCCCGGGGACACATGGAAACCCTGAAAATGGCGATGCATATGATTCCCTAGGCGCTACTGATAATGGCAAGGAGATATTACGAAGTCAATCCGCCCCTGGGCTTCAGCGCCGCATAAGCCAGAAGTTTCAACAAGCATTTGGCAATGGGAACTCAACCGTTGTCAAGAGGGCAGATCTGCGCTCGAGGCCCAGCATTCAGACGTTGCTATGGGAATCAGCCGTAGCGAATTCTACACCATTCTCCTCTACTCCTTCTACACTTAACAGCGGCACCTTTTCACCAATCGATCGGAACGCATCGACTCTGCCGAGCTCCGACCCTGTTACTCCGCTGTCAATTGTCCACCGTGAAAGCATGGATTTAACAGACATCGACCGCCAGACGTTTATGGGAGAGGGCCGATTGCTAAGTCCTATCCCGGAAGGCATCAGCCCTCCTTGCCTTACCATCAAGACAGTTGAAGCCGCAGCCACAACAAAAATGTATTTTGAGCTTCACTTCAACTCATTGTTCCATGGCACCTCTCCAAGAATCATCCGCCGTAGAGAGTTGGAAAAGCGACTGCGTGAACTCCATTTGCCTGCCGATATTCGGGATCGAGTTCGGGCAGCGTGGGAGATGGCTAAGAGCGAGAATCTCCGGCAGCGTCGAGCTCTGAAAAATACAACCAACCAAGCCAAAGCAAGCCAAGGAGTCAGTGTTGGGGGCTTTGAAGTAATCAGCATCCTCGGAAAAGGGAGCTTTGGGGTCGTCCGACTGGTCAAGGCGAAAGGCAGCCAGAATACGTTGCATATACCTGAAGCCAAGGGTCTCGACAAAATGCTGCTCAACGCACCTTCTCGGGCCAGCATGAAGACTTCTAGCAAGGTGCTGTCTGGAGGCCTTCTGAACAAACGGGGGGATCCCACCAAGGCAAGGAAGGAAGTCTTCGCAATGAAGGTGATTCGCAAGTCAGATATGATCCGAAATGGACAAGAAGGACATCTGCGAGCCGAGCGTGATTTCCTTGTTGCGGCAGAGGGCTCGAAATGGGTCATTCCGCTGATTGCTGCCTTCCAGGACCGGAAACACCTGTACCTTGTCATGGAGTACTGCATCGGGGGCGATTTTCTCGGTCTGCTCATCCGGAAGAACGTTCTGAGCGAAGAGTTCACAAAATTCTACATTGCAGAAATGATTCTCTGCGTCGAAGAAGCACATCGCATGAAGTGGATTCACCGAGATGTGAAACCAGACAATTTTCTCATCGCGTTCGATGGCCATCTCAAGATATCCGATTTTGGCCTGGCTTTTGATGGAGACTGGTCTCACGACCAACGATTTTATCAAAAAAATCGCCACTCACTATTGGATGAACTGGGGATCAGCGTCGACGGCGACGAGCAGGACCAACAAGAGAAAGAAGCTCAGTCACACCATGCAACAAGGAAACATGGAAAGGATGATTCGATGTACAAGGAAGAGCCCGCCCTGGGAGAGCCAATCTTGGATTGGCGCAACCGGTCACAACGTCGCCGTTTAGCTCGTTCAGTCGTTGGCACTTCGCAGTATATGGCTCCCGAAGTCATTCGTGGCGAGATGTACGACGGACGATGCGACTAGTGGAGCATCGCGATCATCATGTATGAGTGCCTTTACGGTTTCACACCGTTTGCCTGCGATGACCGCCATCAAACTAAGCTCAAAATCCTTCAGCACAAGAGAACGCTGGTGTTTCCGCCTCAGGAGGCTATACTAGAACCAAGCATGGAAGCATTGGACCTGATGACGAAAATCCTCGTGGAGAAGGAGAAACGGCTCTGCAGTCGTCAGTATGAGCTCAATGATTTCACCAGAAAGATCGTTGGCGGTAGGCTTGTTCGTTGCGTTGCGGACAAGACTCATCAAAACTACCGAGGATATTTTGTCTATCCTGATGATGCAGAGGATATCAAGCGCCATGCTTTTTTTGCGGGTGTTGAGTGGGACACCATCTACCAGCAACGTCCGCCTTATCTGCCTCGTGTCAGAGACTGGGAAGACACCAAGTACTTTGATGATGAAGATCCGATCTCCGACATTGATTCTGCGACAACACTGGTTGAAGTTGGGCTTGACGTGGAAGGCGAAATTGCTGCTCAAGATCTAAAGCGCAAACCTACTCAAGTGAGCCACCATCACGCCGAAGGGCAGAACATTGTGCCATCAACAGCCCTGGATGTTGTTCCCCCCCCGGACTGTTCTGTGCCTGGTCTCAACCCTGCTGAAGCGAAGCACACCAATGGCCTCAAAAACCCTCTCATGCAATCACGGGTGAATGGAAGCCCAACTACCGGAGCGACGCTCGTTGGAACGGGTCGCCATATTGAAGGCTCTCCAGCGACGGTCAGCACTGAGAACGTCAAGCCCAAGGCCAAGAAGAAGGAAAAGAAGAGGCCTAGAGACATCATCCTACGAGACCCTGTCGCGGGCCCGCTAGCTCTGGAGACTCGGAAATTGAGCGCCTTTCTGGGATACGAGTATCGTCAGCCGGTAATGCCCCAGGATATTGTCGAACAGGTGATTGCGGAAGAAATGGAGGAAAAAAGAATCAAAAACTGCCGGCAAGGATGTGATCAGCACGATCCTGACCTAAGGTACGAGAGGCGGGTATTCATGAACGCAGGCGGGCAAGTCTCACCCTGCTATCGGGCTGGGCTGATGTGAGCGTTCAGTCGATTTTCTCTGGCTCTAGGGATGATGATGGTGCTGATCAAGCTAACAGGGCTATTCCACTTGTGCAGATTAAGTATCCCTCTACCGGGTGGACGGTGAGCGACCTTGAGAAGAGACAGTATCAATAAGACAGTCTTTCCGTCAGAATCGTAAATTGAGCACTGGCGAATGCATATTGTTAACGCACATCACCATTGGGGTCATCTATGCTCTACGTGTTTCATCATCTCTATGGTGTTCTAGAGCTTGGTATTTGCTTGTTCAAACTCGTTGCTGAAAGAGTAGTCAATGTATCCCACCTCGGACTTGGGCGTGTAAAAGGTATCTCGATTGTATGGGGTCAACTCGATGTTGTTTGCAATCCTGAAGGGCAAGTCCGGGGTAGAGATGAAATACCGTCCGAAGACAATGGCAATATCTCGGTCCTTGTACTCGTCGTCGACAGCCTGGCGCGCGCTTGCCGGCTTGAAACCTCCTGCAACCAGCACGGGGGACGTGTTGTCCCAGACGTCGATCAGGGGGTCGATTTTCTCGGTGGCCTCGACGTCGGCGTTGCCCGAGATGCGCGACTCGACGAGGTGCATGTACGCGAGCTTCAGCTCCTTGAGGCCCTTCATGAAGTGCGTGAACTGCGGGAGCGGGTCGCGCATCTTCATGCCCTGGAACGTGCTGAACGGGCTCAGGCGGATGCCCGTGCGGTGGGCGCCGACGGCATCGACCACGGCGCGCGCGACCTCCAGCCCGAACCGCGACCGGTTCTCCACGCTGCCGCCGTACTCGTCTGTGCGCACGTTGCACACGTCCTGCGTGAACTGGTCGATCAGGTAGCCATTCGCGGCGTGGATCTCGACCCCGTCGAACCCCGCTTCGATCGCGTTGCGCGCCGCCTGCGCGTAGTCGGCGACGAAGCCCTTGATCTCGTCCCGGCTCAGCTCTCGCGGCACCACAGGGTTCTCGGCGTCCACGGGCGTCGGCGACGACGACACGATTTCAATCCCCTCGCGTTCCGCAATCGCTGGGTTCGCAGTGCGGCCGAGTGCCCACAGCTGCAGGTAGATGTAGGAGCCCTTGGCGTGCACGGTATCGGTGATGTGTTTCCACGCCGCGATCTGCTCCGTGGACCAGATTCCCGGCACGTTGGGGTAGCCGCCCGCGCGCTTCGAGATGAATGTTGCTTCGGTGATGATCAACGTCCCCGGCACCGAGGCGCGTTGGCTGTAGTATGTCGTCGTGAAGGGCAGTGGGACGTGGGAGTCGTCGGCCCGGAAGCGGGTCAACGGCGCCATCACCAGGCGGTGTTGGAGCGTGATGTTGCCGATCTTGAGGGGCTCGAAGAGCCGTGAAGGCGCGGAAATAGGGAGAGAGCCCATGATTCTTTTTCGTGGTACTTGGTTTTAAACTTGGTTGGTCCTTTTATCGAGGTTCCTGACGACTGATCGTGTGGTGCCGGTAGTGAAGCTGGCTTTTGCGGGGATTTTCAGGATCCGGCGATTGGGCGAGGATAAATAAAAGAAGTTGCTTGATGGATTGATGGGAGGGATGAAATGATAGCAGCAGTGCCTTGGATGTGGCGCCTTGTTGAAAAAGGATTTATATATCTGTCCCGAGAGATTTTACACAGGACTGTGTACCGAGAGATCGGCAGGGGGTTTTTTGGAGATGGGGTTTTCCGATAACGCATGAGGAGACTTGATTCCTCAGCCGAGGGCGTTTCGGAGCATCTGGCTGGTGTTTCAGCACGTTTGTCCATTAATTGTATTGGTCAGCAACAGCTCAGAAAACTCGAGTTGATTGGTGCAGATTGACCGCATCCGTTGTTTGATGGACAGAGGCTCTGGAGCGGGTTCTCTGAATAAGCGAACCAATAGTGTGGCAACGAAGGAATGCCGTGGGAGAGAGATGGGGAGCACGCCAGCCCCTGTTGTAATTCCACGGGCCGCAAGGCTGCCCAAGGCTGGGCTGATGCTGGTGAGAAACAAAAGTCTATTCAAACTTCCACGGCGATTGGTATCCTCTCACCACGGGAAGGGCCGCGACGCTGGTAGAATCCGATTGCCACACAAATCACTCGCTCGTGGGGATTTGCTGATGGTCCGTCACGCATGCTGAAGTCATTCTCTTGGGAGTATCCGACCTTGTTGTGGCGGCTGATTGTAAGTGTACTTACCTAAAGCGGGTTTTACAAACCTTGACAGATCTCGAGTTGACTCTGCAAGGCTCGGGCAAAAGGAGCGGGGGATTGCGTGCAGCGGGCCGTGTGGATAGCTGCTGGGTAGGTAGTATCGTACTGGGTACTTGCCTTGCTGTAGGGAAACAACCCATTTACCTTGCTGAGGTCCAAAGGTGCCAGCGTTGCAGGCTCCAGAGACAGGCACCGACAAAATCATGACATGGTACATAGCTTGGCTGAACAGTGAGAGAAGGGAGGATAATCGGTGCGTATTAAAAGGGAGTGGGGAGTGAGTGGAAAAGGCACAGGACCCTGTCTTCTTGGCGCCAAGCACAGGAGGCACACGCCAAGCCCGTCGAGCCCGTCTCCACGGACGGGCATTTGTGTCTCCGAGCCCAAAAGTCACTTTTAGCTCCCTCCTGCTCCCTCCAATTCCCCCTTGCTGGCCACGGCAGTTGCAACGATGGGTCATTCCTTCAACAAAGAAGCGTGAAGAAGTGAGACAGGTACCTACTCCGTACCGAGTACCCAGTTCATCGATTGGTTCTGACCACATGCTAATTTCAGCACAGTTGGCTTTCGAGCATGATGCACGTCATCTCACGAATGGTACCATCCTGTAGGCACCAAGACAGGTTCATCAAAATCATGAAGAGCGACCAGAGCTTCCCTTTGAGGGGAAGGCATGACGAAGTCATGACAAAAGCTACCACCCTTGCGCCACGCAAGAAGTACATCCAATGCACATCGTCATCCTGCATCGTGGATGGATTGCCCAAATTGAGGTTGACCACTCCCTTTACAGAATGGTCTGCAGCAGAACCTATATTATAAAACGAGCTCCAGGACCGCCAGGTATACAACCGGTCAGATCAACAGGTGATCCGTCTGTCGAGCTTGATCGGCACTGACAAGCTGTCCGTCTCACCAGACGGCTCCCCACTGAAACCCTCAAAATATCTGAACAGTTTTCCTGGGTCTTCCCTAACCCGAGATCTGGTGGAAGGATTAATAATCGAATCCAGCAATACATCGCTCTCGGTCAGCACCGAGATACACCACCACACGATGGTCTTGCACGGGAGGCCACACGGCCTGATGCCGAGCACTCGTCGCATTTCGCAATATTCTTTCCAGGCTTTGAAGTGCATGAGTCCAATCTGTCGGTGGCCTGTACAATACTCGGAAAGGGCCAAAAATAGAAACGCTACCACGTCTTCGTCACTGGAATCCTTCTGACTGGCCAGCGCGGATATTCTTTGCCGGGTTTGTGCAAGGATGAAGTTCTGTCGAGCGGCAAGGTAGTGGTTCTCGGCATCGAACAAATCGCTGTCGGGCCGTGGCCCGTATTTGCGGTAATGGTTCGCACTGAAGAGCAGGATCATGGTTTCAAAACACCATTGGCTTGAAATGGCGAATGGGAGAAACAGTTTGAGCACCGGATCATGTTTTTGCATGATCTCCGGGTAAATGTCCAACCCCAGCATGGCTGCTGCGTTTAGCGCGAAATACCGGATCAAATTACGATCGGTTGTCGTCAGGACAAGAGGCAACCCTTCGATTGATTTCTGGAGCTCCCGCAGAACAATGCGCTGCGGTTCGTCTTCGGATCCAGGAAAGTGATGATGCAACGTCGCCTGCTGCTCGGGCGGAGTATTTTCGATCTTCAGACCTTCGAGTAAAGATAACCCGAACTCTGAACGGCTTTCCGTACTCGCCCTTCTCGACTTGGATCGCATTTGTGGAGAATGACGCTCCCCATCATAGATGCTGGCACTGGATCTGGGCGATTCCGTGTCGATAAATGGAGAATTGCTTAACCTGGAGTCTTCTGAGGGATCGCATGTCCCTGGCGACCGCGCCCGTCTCTTCCTATCAACAGCGGCCCTTTCAGACGACTTGTCCTTGCATTCCGGCTTGGTCCGTGGCTCGGATCTAACTGCGGTCCTCGAACGTGGTGATTCTGATCGCGGCTTCCTGAGAAATGGCGACACTGTAACACTATCCTTCTGGAAGTCGATGACGGCTGCATAGTGGGAGATGCGATTTTTCTTTGCCTTGTCTGATTCGCCAAATTTGGAAAGCGGTGCATTCGTTGGATCTGGACTTGGCTGCGCATTTTCCTCTTTTGGTCGCATCCATCGCAATGGCGAGAACTGGTTTCGAGAAACCCATTCAGATCTCGCCTCTCTCTTCGATCTCACACGATCTTTCATCAGATGCGCCCGTGCTGTCTCGGTAACCCCGCGGCGGTTAATGTCATAGTCTACAAACGTGAAGACCCTTCCCTCTGATTTTTGGTCCGACATGCTGGCTGTGTTGTGGTATATAGCGACGAGGTGACTTCTCCCTTCCCTGTCGGATACTAATGTATTGTTGTCCTCGGGTATATAGTATAGAGCCTTGAGAGGGGATATGCCTACGGCTGCTCTCCGATATTACTCATCCCTGAGCCCCATCTCCATAACACTTACACAGTTGACCTTGTGGCTAGCGTCGAGGAATGCAAATCTGAGGAGGCCGGATCTTCGACAGTGTTGAAACGGCGATAACCGCCAGGGCCTGAAGGGCTCGATCCAATCGGCACGTCTGTGCCGACTGCTGTACCACACTATTCCCGTTTTTGAGAAGAAGAAAATGCGTCTAATTGGCTGCCGACTGGCGTTGGTCGAGGCGAGATGGGCGCTCTTGGTGCTCCATTCTGAAGCAGAAAAATATCCGCGAGGAACTACGTGCACTACAGCGCCCACAAAAGATTCCTTCTCGTTGGGTCTCATATCATCCACCTCCCCAGCCACCTCGTCAGCCAATCAATGTTGCCATTTTCCGAAAGTTCTCGTTGCGGCAAGTCCATATTCGATCTAGCCTCGACAGCGGACCTGGAGACATTCTGCACGCCATGCATACGAGGGCGCCACTTGGCCAGCACTCAGCTTGCTGGTCTCTGGACCCAACTGGTCAGATCATCCACAGACTTCACGCCGGATTCTTTGTCAGCCGCCATCTTCTTCAAATTTCTTAGTCATTGCATTGCTATTCGGCTTCTGGAACCCAAGCAAGGCGATGGAGAAATACACGAGGTTTGCACGCTGTCTTCCAGGCCCCGGAGCGAGGGCCCTTTGGGCAGTTCTTCCCACATGGCACGGTCTTGAGCTAAAAACCACCTTGCCGTGCTGTAGCTGAAGCGACCCGCACTTCCGCCAATCACTTCCGGTTCGCAGGACGGCCTCGAATGTCCTCAGCACAGGTTTCTTTCTCTCTACAGGCTGCTTACCTTCGCCTACTGCTCGCGAAGACTCCGTGCTGCGAGCACCATATGTGAGTTGACGCTGACTGCATCGCTCTGTAACATCCGGTCAACGCTGCTAGGAAGTATCCATGTCAATTTTGGAAATTTGCGGAGTACTATAGTCACAAACCCAATGTCTAGCGTATGAACGGACCATGGGAATGCTGACATTTCCACCAGGCAAAAGGACCTCAGGCATCCATGTTTTTCCGTTTCCCAAACGAAATGAGCGGGAAGGAAGGAGCATATCGACAATCCCTCAGACGACTGCATCCACCCCACTTGAATATGCGGATTCTCCGTCACGATAGCCTGTTCCACTTTTCATCTTCTCCTCCCAGTCCACGCAGATTCTCGGCGCAAACCGTTGATTCCTGCCAGAGATCGGTCGAGACGGTCTGTGGCGTAGAAACTAGTGAGCGTTTCAGCCCGAGAGCAAGCCACGAGAGCAGGATCTCACGTCTATCCACCCCTGCAAAGCTCAGGAGAGAGGATCAACACCGCAACTTGCCGAGTAACTAACCTGTCCAACACAGAACCCAGACTGTTGACCCTGGGAAAGTATGCGAGAGCGTCAACCTAACGGTTACGCTCCTGCCGTATAAGACAGGATTGTCGCCCAGATATTCCATATTTTAGCTCGCTGACTATAAGTATTCTAGTGCCCTCAACATTCTTGCAAGGCTTGATGATGACAGCGGGCTAATTCTGCAAGATTCGATTTAGAGACCATGACCGTTGTAAAGGCCAAAGGGGCCACTCCCAGGCCTTCGCAAGGGACTTTGCAAAGAACAGCCCCTGTGAATGACCCACGAGGATGGAAGCTATGTATTCCTCCTGCAATGACCTACAGGCTCGTCTCACATCCAGATCCAACGGCTCGGCATGATAGAGTCGATCCCCCGAAAGCCGCAGGGATTATCGTCATTGTCATCCATGAAACGGAGATTTATTTAAGTGACCTGAGTCAGACTATCTCATAATAGCCACCTACAAAAGATATTTCTTCGTCTATCGACACAAAGAGAAATTCGTGGCTTGGACCTCGCTGACCCTCGCCCACATGGAAATAGACTGTTCTCCTGCCATAATTGGAAAGAGAGTCTATCCAAACAAAGCTCCGCTTCACGGCCTCCCAGCGAATCGGAAAATTGGCATTCTGCATTGCCAACGTCGCGGGACATCTCTACTACCCTTGACTTCTCCCCCTGGCTCACCTGTTGAGCAGCCTTGGTCGATCACTTAGTCGAGAAGGTGTAGCCAACCGGATCCAGGTACCCCCTGGGCGCAGACGATCAATGATCCCCTCGGCTGCGACGGTGTATCGTTCAAGCGTCAAAAGCTTAGCAAAGCTTGTATACTGCTGACTACACAAAGACACAGGTCATCGCCTTGTCTAAAATGCTGATGAGCAAACCATTACGCGTCAGCCACGGACACAATCCGGGGTACCTTGCATATCTGCTCATCGGGAGCCGCATGGAACTAGGTCTCGAAGAGCAGGCCCCGAGTGGATACTTCTTTTACACACAGTACTTATGGGGTACCTTTGGTGACCCACTGCATTAACGGCTAGGTCAGTTTCCATAAAGAGGTATTTACACTTTCGGAAATATATCCTCCCGTCACCTTCGGTTCCGTTTTCCTACGGGGAGGGAAAGCCACGTGATCACCCACACCCTTAGCACGGGGCCGGTGGGAAGGGACTTTTCTCTCCCAAAATTGTCCCGACCCGAACCAAGGTAATATTCATCAGTCACTGCCGCACCAGGTCGCGTCTAGCACGTGCCTTACAAGGTCACTTTCCTACCCACAACCGTGGCAGTTCGGTCATGATAGCTCCGTAAGACGGGAACGACGGCCGAAGAGAGACACCGGCCGAGGCATTGACTTTTGGCTATGTCAGTGTTGTCCCATTGTCAACGGGCCTTGCTCTTTGGCATACTGTGATGCCTAGGCGATGCCTCTGTGGGCCCACATGGTTACAGAGGCGTCCATGTGCAACGTGAAAAAAAACTCTGACAGAATCATCCAGGCTCTGCTGAAGACGGGATAGGGTATCTTCTAGGCTGTCAGGTTTGCATTCTCGACTTTGTGGATGGAAAGAGCTCAACCTCCTATCCACGGGTAGATCACACGGCTCGGCCGACAGCTCAAACCGGGGTCCTATGTACCCTGAGGTGGGAATCTGCCGCGCCCCGCCGCCACCCCCAAACGATCCGGCGAGCAATGATTCATCATTCGCCCGGTTTGTTTGCTTGAGCCAAAGATGATGAACTCACCTCCTTGCCGGCATTTGGTTACATACTTCGCTCGCTTTCATATCACTCGAGTTTTCTCATCTCATTGTTATCTGCTTCCATATTGACTGGATGTGCCTATACGCTCAGGCTTGCTACTTCCTAATTGCATGACTGGCAACGAATCGCCACTGCAGGCCACGGTGGATGCGCTTTGTGGCTCTCCCACACGGTCAGTGTTCCCATTTGGCCTGCTCCGACACGTCGGCAGCGACCATCCTCGATCAGCTCACCAAAAGCTGGATTAGCGCTGCTGAACGGTTTCTTCTCTCTAGAAAATATGCCAGAACATTTGCTAACTTCAGATGTCACCCGCCAAGTCTGAAAGTTACCACTTACTTGTCCAGTGTCAGAGATCCGTCGAGCTTGTGGCAAGAGATGGCCTTAGGAATATATGTTTGCTATCGCCGTTGATGGGGCGTGCGCAGAAATGGAAAGTTGAGTGAGATAGTCAAGGGCGAATTGCCATATACATTCGCGAAGGTCCGCCACATAATGTCTCGCAGCGCCTTCCTACCACCGTCTTCGGGCAGAAAATTATCAACGAAAAAGCTGAGCTCCTTGCGGTAGCTCCGGCTCTCTTACAAGCTATCATTCCTCGCGCCAGATAGTGACAGCCCGACTTCATGAAGAGCAACTTCATCTCCTACGATTTCCCGTCGAGCTGATTGAATTCGACAGTCTAGCGAGGGGACGGTCTTGCTAACCCAGAGGTATTAAAGACTGTGGCCAGAGCTGGTTGCGGTTCATGGAGAGAAAACGGAATTGTAAGGTGCTTTCTCTGGTATGCGAACGAGAGGCTACAATGTTGAGGCGGACAAGTTGACAAAGCGGAAATTGAGGGAAGATTGTCGAAAGCAAACTGTGGTCGGCGGTGGATCCTGTTTTGTGCTACAGCATTAGTGGAGGGAACCAAGGGGATACTCGTCTCTTCACGACTTTGGTGTCTCGATCTGTGGATAGATGGCGAGACCGACGAGGCTGACAAGGCTGAACTCCCCTGGATTCCATGTGAGGTCATACTACGCCATTTTTGTGGGCCGATGAAACTTCTCAAGAGGTCCCTGGTTAAGAGACAGTCCTAATGGCAAGATAATGATGCCGACATTCCTTCTTGCCTCGTTACCATGGTCGAATAATAGGCGATTTGATACCATCGATGCGATCGTATCCAAGACTAACCATGGATTGAGGACCGTCACCACGTGATCAACTCTTCCGCTACATAATGGCAGGTTTGCCGACAAGTCTTTATCTTTTCTCCGCTTTGTCTCTTCCAAGATCTCCCTCCTTGGTGGCTCCACCAGGTTTCATTCTGCGCGAAACTCTTCTCGGCTTGCTCATGGTAGCCACCATATCGCCGATGGTCGCGACTTAGCACTATGTTGAAGGATATCTTCTGCCTGGAACCGATGGCTCAATGTGCCCAAAGCGGGCCCCACTCAATTCCCTTGCACCTACAACTACGGCCAAGGAAAACCCGAACAAGGACAGGTTGCCTTACATGCGTCGCGCGCAAGAAGCGCTGCGATGAACGAAAACCGGAATGTAACGCCTGTATCCGAAGTCTCCGTGTATGCTCCTGGCGTCAAGAGCAGACGCCAAATGCACCGGGGGCGTATGATGGCATGAAGGAGTCCTCAGCTAGTCAGCCTACGATAGCAGAAACAGAGGACAAGGACGAGGGGATATTGTCCTCACAACCCCAATCCTCCGTTCACACACCAAGTGTGCCTCGCAAAGAGTTCTCCCACCATCAGCAGGGATTCCGCGAAATGCCCTTACAATGGAACATCCCGATTTCATCAGCTTTCACAGACTCTTGGTCACGTATTCTTCTCGAAAACTACATAGGCAGGACGGCTGGCGTCCTCGCTGCGAGGAAGATCATGGAAAACCCCTATCTGACTTGTGTGCTCCCACGAGCACTATCAGACGAGCTGATTCTCCATTGCGTCCTAGCCTTGAGTGCTTCCCATCGAGCTCATGAAGAAGACGCTCTTGACTTCAAAAGTCTCTCCAGCAGACATTATGTCCTGGCCCTCCGCCAGCTAAGGCGGGAGCTGTCTAAGGCTGTGGGCGTCAACGCTGAGGAAGAACTCCGTTTCCTTCTAGCCACAAACTTATTGGCCACACTTGAGGTCAGTCGTTCTGGTTCCATTCAATTGCCGTGCATTAGTGGTAATTTCGTCAGGCCATAGGGGGCAACACACACGGTGCTGCGTTGTACCACCTCCACGCCAGCCAGCCTTTTTTGTCGGCCGCACTCACTGCCGCATTCAAATCGGCTCATCGAGAGCTTATTTCATTTCTGGTCGAATCACACGCTTACATGACTTTGGTTGCCAATATCACCTTTTCCAGCGATGGTATCTTGCAAGATTTGCTAACAGATCCACTTCTTTCCTCTCTGGAGCAACTTCGTTCGGAGGGTACATACGGTGTGATGTTTGGATGCGCACATGGTCTATTCCAACTCATTCCGAGCATATACACCTTGGCGAAAACTCGAATGCAAGAAAGGGAGCACGGAGTGGTATCCTCTGACACCCTGGCCCAATATTCCTACATTGAACAACAGATTCGCTGCTGGCGAGTTCCATCTGACCTCCAGGTTGAAGATGAATGGTTCGAACAACTATCGACATCTGCAGAGATCTATCGTCATGCATTGCTAATCTTTATGCACACGGCCTTTGAATGTTCCCCAACAGCCACAGAAGAGATAATGAGGAAACTGCAGCCTGAAATTGATGCAGTCTTCCCTCTGGCCCAGCGATTGTTCTCTTATGAGAGTTATCCTCCCGTAGCGACTATTATGCTTTGGCCGGCCATTATCCTGGGCTCGTGTCTTCGCCGTTCGGAAGATCGGCGACTGTTGCGAAATATTCTAATGGACTTTCCTTTGAGAATGGGAATTGTCAAGCAGGCTGCGTCACTGCTTGATTTACTCTGGAATGATGCAGCTGACGATACATTATTTGGGCCCGTGGGTTTGCACATTGTTATGGTCAAGAACGGCATTAACTTCTGCATGGCTTAATCGTCCAGTCATACTAACCAGTGACCGGATTGGTCTCTATGGCCTTTGAGACAACCATTGCGGTCTCTGGAGTTGATGAACACGGGTCTCCAACGCCTGAGCAACCTACAATGCAGGATGCTCGGTTCCATTTGTTCAAGACGCCTGTCGAAAAACCAAGGACGTCAATTGTAACCAAAGAGCCAGTTTTGGTTAGTCGGTAAGCCGGATCAAGCCGGATCCTTGTACTTCAAGACAAGTGGCCATTTTAACTTCGCAGCTTATGGAAATTAGGTAAAGGTTCCCTCAGAACTCAACCAAGGCTTCCCACGCCGATGTATCTACCCGCGGTGATCTAATCTAGCCGAACAATAAGACTTTGGAGAGCCTCGTATCCCGTATGTATCCAGCCATGATATACGAGGCAATGTTCTCCTGCCTCTCTCTAAACTTGCCTGAAACCACTGCCAGACAAGTCCAAACTTCACCCTCAACACAGCGTCTGTTTAAGACTGCTGGGCTACACATCCACCCCTCCGATTTTCGGTGTTGATTGGAGCGACAATGACAGACTACGACGTCATCGTAGTCGGCGCTGGATATGCTGGCTTATCTGCTGGCAAGACGCTCAAAGAGGCAGGAAAGAGTATTGTCATTCTTGAAGCAGGAAATCGCATTGGGGGTCGAGTTTGGACCAAATACTTTGAGGACGGCACCTACGAGGATTATGGCGGCATGTTTCTTGGGGTCCAACAGCCTCTCATGTATGAACTGGCTCGCGAATTCGGCATCCATACTTTCAATGTGCCAACAAAGGGGAAAACGGTGCTTTATTACAAAGGGAAAACTCGGAAATACTCAGGACTCATTCCCCCAGTTTTACCCTGGGCTTTGATCGATGTTGGATTGCTCATCCGGAAATTCGAGTCCATGGCGAGGATAGTCGACCTTGAGAAACCGTGGAACACTCCCAATGCGCACGAGTTGGACAAGGTTACCGTTGAGGACTGGATGCGGCGTCATTGCTGGACGTCGGTCGGGAATGACCTCTTCAGGGTTGCTGTCGAGCTCGTTTGGGGCACCGTTCCCTCCCAGATCAGCCTTTTACATGCGTTATGGTACTGCAAGGCCGGAGTTAGCTTCACAGTTCTGTCGACGATTGATCAAGGTGCCCAGCAACAACTTGCGCGGGGTGGAGGGCAAGCGATCGCCAATAAGATACATGAATTTCTGGGAGGTGCGGTTCACCTGGAAGAGCCCGTCACTCATGTGGATCAGACCAAGGACCAAAACGTCATTGTGCACACCCCGAAAGCAACATACACCGGTAAACGAGTCATCTTTGCCATTCCTCCGCCGTTATTATTGAAGGTTGGGTTTGAACCCCAGCTTCCCCTACAGAAGACGCAACTACTCCAGCGAATGCCCATGGGCGCATATTGGAAGATATTTGCTATTTACCCCAAGCCATTCTGGCATGAATCCGGCTTAAGGGGCGAAGGAGTGAGCCCGGATGGAATAGCTGGGTTGATCAATGACGTTTCTCCAGAGGACCGTAGCCGGGGGGTGTTGATGGCATTTGTGGTGGGGCCCAAGGCCTACAAATTCGCCGCCATGGACGAGAAAATGCAGAAGGAAACGGTTCTGAAGCAATTGAAAGCATGCTATGGCGAGCAGGCTGGCAACCCTGTCAAGATGTCCATACACAGTATGATGAATGAGCCGTGGTCATTTGGCTGCCCTGTGGCAGGTCTTGCCCCCGGCATGTGGACGACTCTGGGCGAATGGATACGAAAGCCAATAGACCGACTACATTGGGCTGGCACTGAGACTGCAACGTCCTGGTCTGGATACATGGAAGGTGCTGTGCAATCTGGCCAACGTGCTGCAAAGGAAGTTCTCCTTGCTTTGGAGTGAATATGGGTGTTTTTATGCGGAACAGTTCTCCTCGCTGCCCGCTCGAGAATACCATAATCGAAGTCCCTCCGCAGAAAAACTGGAGTTTGGAATCTCTTCTCTCCCTACTTGAAGAGAAAAGCATATTTCAGTACGTTTCAATATGGATTCTTCATCTTGTATATTTCAGATTCAATCTCTATCAATCTACGACAAGCACTTTCTCTTCGACCCTCGTGTGTAAGCAGATGGCGAGGCTGACAAGGCTGAATTTCCCCGGTGTCAGATGTGAGGTCATATGATGTCATTTTTTATGGGCGAGCAAAGGGGTCCTCGATGGTCCCAATGTACCCGGTACTCCCATACACAATACTCCTCGACTTCTCCCCCCGTACAACATCGTACTCAATCTACTACTTCTCAAGACCTGGAGAGAAGGGATTTTCCCGTTGTGGCTTTTCCATCCCTTCAAGATCCCAGACCGTATAGATCACCAGCCATGACGGATTCGAAAGGCGGGCATTCGACCGAGTTTGAGCCCACGTCACTCGACGCGAATCAACACGGGATTGCACAGTAAGTCATTCAGCATGTCCTCAGGATTCACAGGCTGGCCCCTTGCCTTGAGCGCAGTCTAGAAGTGGAGAATCTAAACGCGGGTCGACCACAAACCAAACCGACCATTCACAGCACTTTCCGGTCCACTCACTAACTTGACCTTCTCGCGCCTCTCTCAGAAATACCATCGACGAAGGGAAATCCAATTACGGCGCCAAAACATCAGTGGGCCGTGACGTTGGAGCAAAGATGCCGCCTTCCAAAGCGTCAACCGGAGGATACGGTTTACCAGAGATCAGCAGCGGCGGGCAGTCATTGAGCGACAGCGTGAATGAGGCATTGAAAGGCAGGACGGGCACAGCGCAGGACAAGGCACAGAGGATCGACGAGAGCGTCAAAGCCGGCGGCGGAGAGGATCTGCATGAGACGGCTGCAGCGAAGCAGCCGTGAGCTTCATCCGGTTGCCAGTTTCGTGTCCTCAGCATGTTCGACCAGCGGTGTTTCGTCATGCGTGTGCTTTCAGCACTGAACAGCCGCTTCCTCACCCACCGAGATCAGATGGGCTACTTTGGTGGCATGTAATTCTCATAGCCGGCACATACATACATACAGCGTTGAGAGGAACTTTGCTCTGCAGTGATACGAGCAAGGAGGGTAGAAGATATTCAAACCTTAGCCAAACGTTCATCAACGGCCATTATTTGCCAACCTGCTGGAGTGCCACCGATCTGCTTACTCTGCCTTTCAGGACCTATTAGACATCCGCGCAGCACCTGGCCGTTGGATTTCAACCTGTTGGGAGGGAACAGCACCGCCGCAAACCAGCCGAAATGAAAGGGCTAATGCTGGACCAAACAAAATGCCTTGGTAAGTAATTTGATGTGTATATCAAGCCCGGTTCCGGGGTCGAAGGGCTTTGTTTGCCATCAGGAGCGGAAAAGGATCAAGATTGGCCGATGAGGAACTCTCCTTCCTCCCTGTCAGTAAATAATTTACGTAGGGTACAAGGCAAAGGGAGAAGTAACATGCATAAAGAACAAGTTAAAAGGTTGTAGGCACGAGTCGAACCGTATCCCCGTTTCTACAAAATGCACATGTATATATATACATTTATCTGTCGCCTGGGCCAATAGGGCCTCGCGGCAAGTCTCCTGTAATGGCCCCCTTTCAATCACGTGTCCCATTGCTTTCCCGCATAGTCCCACCTCTGCAGAAGCCGATGTCCATTCAAATCTTATATCTGAAGTGCAGATTCTGCTTGTCCGTCAGGTCATTGAAGCCCTCGAGCAGTTCTTCTTGTTGCCTCTCAGCATGCAGACCCCTTTGGTCGCGGGCCTTGTTGTCAAAGTAACACCAAGCCGTGTAGATCAACTGCAGGAAGCAGAGCGCACAGTAGGTGCCCAGTAATCCTTTGATGGCAGTGAAGTATCGCGGCGTTTCCGAGGGCAAGAACAGGTGCGGGCCCGTGATGTTTCCCGCGCAATAGAATCTAAAGAGGGGGCCAAGGTATGCTCGTTAGCTAAATAGTCCCCGAGATCTCCTTCAGGCGGCATTTCGAATTTCACGGAGAACAGAAATGTGGCCACCTACACGAAGAAGATTCCCACAACCGCAGTTCTCTTGGTGTGACCTGCCACATTAACACCTGGGAGAGTCCATCCTAGGATGATAGGCGCCCCGAGAACGTTTTGCAGCCAGCAACAAGCTACCAGCGCGTACCGATGTTTGATGTTGATGGTCAGGAGACCGATCAAGCCCGCGATTCCGGGCAGGCACGAGACTGGGGAGGACAGTGGCATTAGATTGTCCAACTCGAGAAGCGGGCGTTGACGAGCTTCACTCACTGATGATGGTGATACCCAAAAGGTTCTTCTTGGTCGCTACCCAACCGAAACCCATGCACCCAATGACCTCAAATGCCCCACCAGGCGTCTGCAGCAGGGTCGTCCGAAGCGCATCGAATCCGAAGCCTTTGATCAGGGCAGAAGCAAAGTTTGCCACGGCACCGTTCAGAATCCCCGTGCAGGTGCCCATGAGGATGACGAGGTAGGTTTTTGGGTCGAGTAATGCCTCCTTGATGTGGCCGGGTACAATCTTATTATGTTTGATGCCCATCTGATTCTTCGATACACGCCACACAGCCACCATGCGTTCATATTCTGTCAGCATTTTGGCGTTATGAGCTCCGTCGGGAAGGTAGAGAATGATCACGAAGCCCCAGAGGAACGTGATAGCCCCGACAATCTGCTGGATGTCAGGTGCTACACAGTCAACTATCGAAGGGCTGCCTTACCAGATAAATCAACTTCCAGTTTGGGACGGCAAGATGGACGGCATGGCCACTGCCGTATGCAAGCAAGGCACCAAGAATTGAAGAAACTCCGTTTGTCGAGAGCCAGAAGGATGTTCGGAGCGCTTGTTCTTCCCTTGTCCACAGCATCGAGGTGAGAAGAACAAAGGCCGGAGATATACAAGCCTCCACCATGCCCAAAAAGAAGCGAATGGCAAAGAAGCCGGAAAAGTTGAAAACCGCAGCTTGCAGCATGCAGACAACACCCCAAATGAAAAGCATATATCCGATCAATCTGCCAATGGGGTAGCGCTGAAGGATGACGTTCCACGGATACGCGCCGGTGAGCCAGCCAAAATATAATGCTGATGCAACCCATGAATAGTCATCTCCTTTCATATGCGTATCTTCTTGAAGTCCGTATGCGTTGGAATAGTTGAGGCTGTAGTCGTTAGAGCTCGGACTAGCGCACAGCCCAATGCAAACTCACGTCTGCTTGTCTAGGAAGCTTAGCATGTAGGTTGTCATCATCTATCGACACCCAGAGTCAGCTTGCTACCCTTCGATGGTTGTTGTAGAGAACCGTACCATAGGAATGACAATCCAGTCAAGCTTTCGGCGAACTTTGATGGCATCTCGTTCAAGTTGATCTTCATCAAATTCAAGTGCCTTCTGCAACAACTCTCTGCCGAGGGCATCGGGATCATTCGCACTGCCTTTGAGGCGGTCGAGGATGCTCTTGGAAGATGTGGGAGCAGTTTCAACAGACGGTTCAATGACCTGGACTGGGGTCTTCTCCATGTCGGCCATCTTCAAGACGGGGATACAAAACGGTCATGGCACCTGGCAGAAGCAGGACGGAAAGATTTTCTGGGATGCCAGATATGTCTTATAGATGGCATGATTCTGGTTCTGCAGGGAAGACCCCCCCCCCCGGTATCGGCACTAAGCAACGTGGTGATGGCTCTTGGAGGCAGCTGATCAGTGAGATAAGGGTCTCGAACAGTCAAGAGCATGTACCGATTCAACGGCCTTGATGCAGATGCAAAGGTGTTGTCCGTTTGCCGCCAATTGATAACTATGGTTCTTTTGCCTAGGTGAGTATCGAATGCGGAGATTTGCGATCAAGCCGCAGGGGACCTGCAATGATCTGCATTAGCCGGCGGTTGAGGCTTCTGCCCGCTCCGGCGCAAAGCGATGTGATTCGGGGCAATGGTAGAAGTATGTTTGTAGTTCCACTCCTCCTGGATAAGGTTGTGCTTGGCTATCAACTGGTGTTGGGATGGGATGATACATGGCAAGCGACACACACAATCACTTCTGCGACACTTCGACGAACACTGTCAAGCAACCCACCTTACCTGTTCCTCTCAGCCATACAGGCGAGGCGTATCATTTGGACACAGTGCTCGATAACTAGTTCTCTGTCGGGCGAGTATCAAAGGACAAAGGGCTTTTCGTGGGCCTCATGAGAGAGTTCATGGGGCGATAGGAACAAGGGCCTGAGGACTGGCAGCAAGCTTAAAGTCCAGTCGGATCGATGAGCGCGCAAAGCGCGACTACCGCGCCATAGATATCTCACTTGGCGCTCCATGTTGGGTTCCAGATAGCAGATAAGCCCATTTTGTGACCAGAAGGATCATGGCATCGAAGCGGAGGTCCAGTGTTGTCGTAAAAGACGTTCTTTGGGCGAAGGGGCTTCGATTCTTCTGGCGGTATTTGTATAACTAGATTTCAATAAGGTGAAGCAAAGGGAGATACAAGCAGAGGCGATTGTAGGAAACAAGACTCGGGTTGACGAAAGGGAGATGGTCGAGATGCGGATGGTGGATGTATGTACCGAGTACGAGGTAATCCAGGAGGCAATCGAGGTCATTAGAGGTGGATGAAAAAGTGACGTCACGTGCCGTCTTTTGTTCTTTGCCGCGCTTTTCGCTTGGAGTGTTTGGCTTTTTCACGGTGCCCGTTGCCGGCATCAATTACTTCACCCTTCATCTCACTGCTCAGAATGCCATAAAGCACCTCTCAAGACTGCATCTCAGAGCCCTTTTAGCAGATGAATACAACCAAGCCTCTCACACAACAAGCGAGATGGCGGGCTTCTTCACCTGGTTGTGGGACTGGCTGCTGTGGATGTTCTGGGCGACCGAGATGGACGTTGCCATAGTCGGATTGCAAAATGCCGGCAAGACGAGTTTGGTGCGGGTTCTAGCTGTGAGTTAAGTCGACTGCAGGTAGTCGATACAGTTGGAGGAACACTGACTTTATCATATGAAGGGCAATGAGTTCACCGTCGACACCGTGCCCACAGTCGCTTTCAACAAGAGAGAAGTCAAGAAGGGTCACGTTTCAATCAAGTGCTGGGATCTCGGCGGTCAACCACGTTACCGATCAATGTGGGAGCGATATTGTCGCGGGGTCAATGCCATTCTCTTTGTGGTCGACGCCACCGACATAGAGGCGATCCCGGTTGCTCGAGAGGAGCTGCATAATCTCATGGACAAGCCTACGCTCAATGCCATTCCTCTCCTCGTTCTCGGCAACAAGTCAGATTTGCCCAACAAGCTGTCGGTGGACGACCTGATTGACCAGCTGGACCTGAAGACGATAGTTCGACGCGAAATCAGTTGTTATGGAATCAGCGCGAAGGAAGAGACGAATCTGGAAGCGGTGCTTCAATGGCTTGTTGCTAGGTCAGGCAAGTGAAAAGGCCTCTTTATTTCCATGTGAGGGGATCAATCACGGTGTTTGGAATATGGAGCACAAAAGCCTCTATGGATCGACGGTACATGGCTTCATCAAGGCGCGAAGGTTCGACTATGGACTATTGTACGAATACGCAGTTCACCATACGCATAATGCATTATTGGCTCTCCCAAGCCCGGGCATATCCGACTCCTGTTCTCTCGATGTTGAAGGGGGGAAATGATGGTACTGGGTAAAGGATGGCAGGTCTCATCATGGTATTATTGGGAGTGACTGGCAGACCACAAACAGGCGATTGAACCACGTGCAGAATGACGCGTAACCAAGACTCGGTTCGGATGAGCAGCCCAAGGAGCCCAAGCTTGTGTGCAAGTTAGTGCCTGGAACATGGGGACGAAGCAGGTGCCGAGGGCTGGATTGGGGGGAAAAGGGCCTCTGGAGCCAATCAAAAGGGTGGCGCTGCGCCCCCCAAGATGCACTATGGCACTAGGACCAAGAACCGAGGACACCCCGAGACCTCAAGAAGCGTTGCCCAGCTGCCAGCTGTGGTCATCACTGGGCCCATCACCGTCGTCACGCAAATCGTCAACTGCGCCAGGCTTGCTGCGCCTCCTTCTGGTACCCGGTACAAGCACCAGGCCGAGGACGCCCATCATACGTTTCCTTTTGCCTGCGCCAACTCATCCTTAACTCGACCATACCTACCCTACTTGATCGCATCATCCCCATTTTCCTCAACGCAAACTCCCTCGATATCAAATATCATTCCAACCAGCCTCGTTGTTGATTTGTGTAAGCACCCTGTTCTCTGCGCCTCAGGCGGCAAGGAATACACCATACCTGCGAATCACCGCCACCTCCTCCACCTTCTTTGACATCACCATATTTCACGCACACAACGTACACGCACACACAGCAGCCATGAACCCCAGACTCGTCACCCGACAGTACTACGGAGCGAATGTGTAAGCACTGCCATCCTCGAATGGAATCTCTTTATATTCGCTTCATACCTCGCACTCGCTTTTCACCGCAGTCAGTCCACATCAAGCATCCTCTCTGCTAACATTACTTCACCATGGCCAGATGCATCGACAACAACGGTGTTGCATACAGATGTAATTCCGCGTGGTATGACTGGGGCAGATGGGTCGCCCTCGCCGTCATCATCCTCGGCGCATTCCTCATCTTCTTCCTGTTGAGGTACGTTACAGTCGACAGCGGATACCGCCTCAATCGCATTGTACTGATTTGACGCAGCTTGTGGAGTGCTCGCCGAAGACGTCGCATGGGAAGACAACCTCTGTACGGCACAGGATGGACTGGACGGGCGCCTTGGGGTCACGGAGCTGCTCAGTACAACCCGGGCTACCCACAGACACAGCAACCGTCTTATCAAGCCGCCCCGCCTGCCTACAATCAAACCCAGAGTTACGGCGGCTACTACGGCCAAAACCAAGGCTACTTTGGCGGAAGACAGACGGACGTCGAAATGCAACCTCCGCAAAATACCTACAGAGGAGGAGATGATGTCTACGCCCCCCCAACAAGTCCTCCGCCAGCTAAAAAGTGATCGAGGTGGACTGTTGATGATGGTCAAATATCGCTGATCTCGTCCGTCATAGTGACATCGTCGGGTAGCAAAGATTACGAGACAAAGAGCTGCAATGAAGGAGGACATCATTAACAAAGTATAAATTTCCTCCAGGATGGGCTGCAGAGGCTGTGTATGATAGACTTTCTAAGGCACGGGACTCGAAAGGCATGACAACGGGGGACAAGATTTACGATGAACATTGAACACAGCGTTACGAATATGGACTGATCCAACACCGACACCGGGCGTACCCTGTCTCTTGCCATGATCAAATGTCTATCCTTGCTTCCACCATTTTCGTAGAAAGGCAGCCTCGCAGCGGATTGGGAGTGGCATCCCTTGTTGGGTGGCTGGGCTTGCTAGGCTCTGACGAGCGCCGTCGTTTCAGCTGGAATGTGCCCGCAAAATGCAAGCTCGGCAGGGGTTAGATGGGCCTCATTAGCCTGGAGGATGCCCGCAATGGGGCGTCTGGGGGGGGTGCTGTCATTGGCCTGCGGGAGACCCTGGTGACCTCGGTGACCTCTGCGTCGAGCCCAAACCCGCGGCTTAAGTAGTGCTGCGTTAGGTAAGTACTGTAACCGTTAGTACTTACTCCTTGTACCAAGTAGGTCAGTTGGGCCTTGTGGCCTTGTGGCCTTGTTGCTCCGCCTCCTGCGTTACTCAATCCTCCTCGCTCACTTCAGATTCTTTTCATAGCAACTCCGCGAGCGCTTTTTCTTTGTCTTACGTCCCTCTCGCTACCTCGTACAACGATTGTCTCCCTCTGATTCTCTTCGTGATCATCACATTCACTTCGATTCTCGCCGAACTCCAGCGACGTTCGTCAATTCACTCATTTCATTCTGCACTGTCCGCAGGCCGGCCTTGGTGACTTCTAGCTGAGCCCAGCCTCCCTCGACCATCTAGTCCACCGCCTTCATTTGAACGACCGCGTATGAGTTGACGACCTACGATCGCGCTTCACAAGTTTGCTGCCAGAAACCTGTACAAAAAATGGCGCACTACATTTACGCCCGCGACGTTGTCTCCGACGTAAAGTCGGTCCCAGATACATTCTCCAGCTGGGATAAATGCATGCAAAAATCCTACTGCAAGTACGTGTCGATCGGGGTTCCTCGTCGTGCTTTGCTCTAACGTGGAGATAGGTGGCCCGTCATTGCCGCGATTATCATCGGCTCCCTCATCCTGCTTTCTGTCCTCTTCTGTATCGCCCGGTGCATTTGCTGTGGAGCCGAAATCTGCTCCTGCTGTATGAGCTGCTGCGGCGGCTGTTGTCGAGGTGGACGAAATCGTGACCGTCCTTCGAAACACAAAGATGACTACACCCGTATGCCTCCTACACCTTACCAGGGATACCAGCCTGCTCCCGGCCCCATGGCATATGGCGGCGTCAATCCCGGCGTGCCTCAATTCGCGACTTTCGATGATCCCAGCACCAAGAGAATGATCAATGAGGATGCTCTCCCACCCATGCCTAGCTGGGACACTGCAACGAAGAGAAGAGTCGAAGACACCAGCGAGCCGCCACAGCAAACTGCAAACGGCGATCTGGAGATGGGGAGACTCGACTCTCAACCGCAGAGGACGAGAGGAGGCTACAACAGCGTTCCCAATAGACCCTTCTCGCCTGTTTCACAGAATCCGCAAGCCAATTATCAGAACAACTTCCAGCCCGTCCCGCTAAGCCCGCCCCCAACTTACCATTCCAATTCGTTTGCCCCTTCGGTTGCGAGCAACTCTGACAAATTTGCCGTTGGTGCTGCCAGTCCGAGTCCTTATGAGTACAACCGGGGCCAGCAGCACCAGCCGGGCTATCAGCATTCCTATGCTCCGAGCAGCACCGTGAGTACGAGATATGAGCCGGCCCAGAACGATTACAGCTTGCATAGAATCAGTATGCCCAAGCCTTACAACCCTGTGTCGTCACCACCGCCACAGGCTCCATATCCAGATTCCGCGTCAACGCCATATGAAGCGCGGCCGCCGAGTTTCCTACAGGTGGGGAGGAAGCCCGTCACTGGAAGCATGAGAGAAGTTTGAGTGTGATAAGACGGATTTAATCTTTAATCGATCTTTCGCTTGGATCAAAATCCAATTGGGGCCATTGGCGGTCACATTCTGGGACTTGAGACTTGAAGAACCCAGTTTACCGAATTTCTATCGGCACCATCTCTCTGAAATCAAGAGTATGGCTTTTTTTTTTTGGACATCAATCTTCGCCTCGAACCTACACCCGGATAAGATATTTGGTGGAATTTGGTGGCTCACCACCTCTTACAGGGGCTGGTAGGGGATTATATTTCAGCACGAAAGAAACACGAGAACCATCACTGCACATACACTCAAGTCGGAAGACCGATTTTGGTCCGATACGGCCACCGTGAAGGAAAGATCTATGCGTCAGTCAAGGCTTTAAAATGAATGGGGGCCTAAACAGAGCGGGTGACAACAGCGTTCACGACTTCAACCTTAAGAGAGATTCTCTAGGCTAAATGCTACGAGCAGGAGTCCGCCAATAATTTGTATTTTTATACCACGGTGCTCATTCCGCGCCGCCCCCTAGGCACAGGGCTTCCCGGGTTGTACTATTAGCAAGCCATGAATGATACCATACACACTGTCACGCGATCTCAGCACCGGCAAAGGAAGCTTTTTCAGGACTTTCGGATCGGAGGGAGTTTTGTTTACCAGGGCCGATTATGGTGTACTTGGTGCCTAGGCGCGACAAACCACGAGTCAGAAAAATCATGGGATGGGATGGATTAAGGAATGAGGGGGGGGGATGAGGGAAGAGGAAGGAGGGATGGGTGGACGGGAGGGAGTGTCTCAAAAAAGGAAAAGGCCTCATCAATGCAACCAGCCGTCCGTCTAGAAGAACCACATAACTTGTAACTCCGTACATGCCCATATGATTTGCCACGGGCATATTTTGAACGACGAGTAGACTCTGCTGATCGGGTGGCCGAGTCGAGCTGAGTTCCGGGGTAAAATGTGCGTTGGTATTGCGAGTACATGCCTGATGTACGGACTACGGAGTGTCTACTACATACCTACAGCGGGCAGTAATCAAAAACTCGAACCCAAGGATCCTATAGTCCCATAATGCCACCCGCCCCATATGCTTACGCATACGCTGTTCGGAAACACTGAAGATGAACAAGGTACACAGATAGGGGAGGATGCTTAGATAATAGGTAGGCGATATGTAGAATACGGAATAGTAAGTTGATAAACTCAAGTGCGTGGTACGTCTTTTCATACATCTGGTGTGTCCTGCCTGCGAGACATGCATACCTGGATGCCCGGCCCTTTTCAAAGACTGCCTCCTCCCCCTTGACCATTCCCTGATCCTCCTTCCCTTCGACTCACCCTCAACTTCAATCTTCTTGTCTTCACAGTTCGTCCTTCTCCCATCCCTCTCCTCCCTCTTTGCGCTCACCACCAGCAGAATCCGTCCCGGTCATGTTCCTCACCAACACTGGCAATCCTTCGAGCGCCGCGTGCCCTACAAACCCATCAACGAGCCTCAACGCGGATGCTTCCCGGAGGAAGACCACTCCCAGGAACACCTCTGGTTCCCAGGGAACTCCTCCTCTCTCGGAGATAGGAGGCAGGTCGAACACATTGAATTCAACGTCTGCAAACTGTTTCAAGGCCGCCTTGGGCCCGGCGAGCAGGTTCAGCGTGATTGTCGCTTCTGGCGTGACTTTGAACGCGGGAGTGCCGAGGGCCGCGGGCCGTCGGTCTTTCTTTGCTATAGGCGTGAGTTCGGAGGCAGTGGGTGAAATCCCCAAAGCTGACAGCATTCCAGAGGAGATGTAATTCTCTGCCAGTGCCAGATCAATGTCTGCAAGGAGAGTGATGGGCTCTTTGGCGGTGTTTTCCACGATGATTGGAAGTGTATCTTGATCTCGACCGGCGAGCTCGGCAGCATGGAACCACCGTGCTGCATCTCCTTCGGCAGCTTCGGCGTTTGATAGGGGGCTAGCGGTAGGTTTGACGTCGTCAATGGCCGTGCTAGCGGCCCGGGCAAAGATAGTAGTCAGAGTACCGTCATTGTTCGAAGAGCCCGGAGGACAATCCCGGCCTGTACACTCACCAGTGGGACGGGGCTGTGCACGCCCTGAAGATCCACTGGTTTGGACAGCGGGCTGCCAATGAGTCCATCTTTGGCCAGTGGGCACAGAGCAGTCTCGGCCAACGCAGCCAATAGGCCACCAATGCCTCCAACGCTCGAAACCTCTACAGAACCCATCGGGACAGCCTGCAGTACAGCAAGCTTCTGTGACAACAGAAGAGGAGGATGTCGCAGTGCGAGCAGCATCGGGAGGAGGTGTCGTGTCGAAGGGATAGATGCCATTGCACAGTCCCAGGGCACAAGTCGGACCACAGCAGCCAGTCGCCGACTTCGGATCGAATGTCGTGCTCTCCGGACTGCTAAAGGAACTGAAGATCGACTTCACACTGGCGACGATGGTAGGGTTGGGTTCTTGTGTCTTGGTAGGCCGGAGAGCCTTCTGTTCTTGCTCGGCTGCATTGGTAGATGATGACAACACGAGAGCAAGTAGTGGAATAAAGACGGGAAAAATCATCTTGCTCTGCTATGAGATTGGCAGGCTGATTTCTTTTGGTTAAAGTCAGGAAGTGGATGACGAGCGAGACATTTATACAACCAGTGTCTGGACAACGCGGTATGAGTTCGAACGTCCTTCTATATCATGTTGCGGTTCGAAATAGATTTCACCGCTCCAAACGTTCCTGGAAGTATAGCTGGAGCACAGGCGATCCCGCTATCGGATGTGATGCAGCTTCGGCCGCCTGAAGAAACTGTTAAGGGTAGTCGAGAAAAGCTTCAATGTTACTGTGCGATTCGTTGGTCAATACCGATCTCACCGAGGCGCAATATCGGGCAGCAAATGGTGACACAGCCGTCAGAAGGCTTAGCTGGTCAAGCAATATTCCAAGAGATCCCTGTCCAGGCGGCATTGGTGGATTCTCGTATATTTGGGGGGAACCTTGTTCAGTGTAGCTATGTGGTAGGTCGATTCATCTGAACGTCTCAGGAAAGCTGAGCACTTTGCACATGCATGTCAATTGGAACGGGGAGGTCCCTCCGATAAGGCTGCTTACTTGCAGAGCGATCGGTTGACGAGCGCAAGGAGTGCACAGGGATGGGGTGCACCTTTCGATGCCAGCTGAACATTAGGCGACAAAGATTGTGTAAAGCTCGACCGTTGATACTCAGGTGCCGTCTTATTGGCTGATTTGCAAAGTTGCCTGGAGCGCCTGAATAGGCCATTCTGGATTGATGACATTCAAACAAGCCGCAAATCCGGTCGGCCATTGGGGTGTCGCAATCCACGCGCATCAGGGGGTAAGTGTTGCTTGGAAAGTCCTGCGCCGCCTATTCAGTGATCCGCCTGGAGCTTTCAAACCTTTCTCAGTTTTGAGATAGGAGTACGTATGTCGAAGGGCGGCTCGGTTTCGTGGTCGGACCAAAGAACTGCAAGAAATTGATTTGCACTATGAGATGAGTCGTCTTTTCCTCTTGAAAATCTGCACAGCTCGACTGTGCCTTTGACCTGCTGCCGCCTCGCCGTCGGAACAGTCTCATAACATGACGCCGAACTCGAAACCCCTTTGTGCGCTACCGTCGACGAGAATCCGCCTCGTCTCCTGCTTGATAGGCTGGTTTACATCCTCCCTCGAAGTAGTCTCCCCACTCGATGTTCCCGTTTGTCTGTCGCCAAAAGCTGCCTGCGAGAGCCCCGATAAGCTCAGTTTGGCTGCGATGTCGCGAACATTGCCGCGAGATGCCCAGTATGCTTGGAAGGCAAGTATCAGTCCAAGCAAGAGATAGCAGAAGCTCCATGCCACTAATATAGCCAATGGTGGAATAGGCACTTTAGAGAGGAGCATATGCTCACGCTGTTGTTGAGCAAGAGCAACCCGACCGGTAGTGTAGCCGCCAATGTATGCTAAGACCTTGGTAGAGTATAGACTTCCAAATTTCTGGAGAAAAGAATCGGTCGTATTTCCAGCTAGTGCAGATTGCGTCAGGTAATCTTGTAGAGCAGGATCACCGCCACTGATAGTCCCGTATAGCAAAGAGCCGTGGAAAATTTCCAAGATACTGCCATTACCAGATGGCACGGCTTTGATATCCTGCAAGCCGCCATCGACCCAGGTATATGAGATGTCGTATGAGGCCACGGCGCAATCAAGAATGAAATCTACAACGCCGTCGGAAATGAAAGTGGCGTCTGTGTTATTTGCCAGCATTTCATTCCCGGACACAAATTGCGCCCACTCGTTGTCGAGATTCGCGCAGCAATGCCGACGTAGAATGGATTCACCAACTGAGAGTTGGGATATGGAGAGATGCTGAGGTCGAAATCGCCCGAGTCATTGTAGCCAACAGTGTTGTAAATGTTCCTCATTCCCGAGTCGCTGAAAAAAGAGTACATCAGGTTCGCAGCTCCTTTGTACATCAAAAATGAGCGATATGGATCTGGAGGACGTGGATTGTTTATGTTGGTGCTCACGATCGGTGGCATTCCGATGGTGCCATGGAACATATCAGTACAGCTGAAGTTAGTATAGTAATTATCCCAAAGGACCATGCCACAGCTAGAGGGCTTGACAAAGCGGCATGTTGTAGATATTCCAATGGTAGACGCTTGGTAATCAATGTTAGGGGCAATCCTTTGTTGTTGCGGGATGAGGTATGCCAGATCAGCTCCTGCGACGTCCTCTGTTGCTGTAATTCGAATCTCTGAGAGTTGCGAAGTGTTGTGCAACAGCCGATTCATTTCTGTTGCCTCGAAATTGGCATTAGGGTCGACTTGTCCAGAGTCAGTCGTGTCAGAACAAGGCAGTCCCACAAAAGTTCGGTTAAAGGTCAAGCAAAATTCTGAGAGACCACGTCCAAATTCTTGATCGGGCTGCGGCGGAACCAATATCTGATCGAATTCAACGGTCGACGTCGTGTAATGCAAGATCGTGTCCGCAATGAACACTCCAGCAGCCATGACTAGACTGAGGAGCATCATGGAAGCGGCGCAGTGTAAAACTGGTGGGATGCTGGGTCTCCGCCGGCGGAGAAGATACCACAAATAAGACCGTAATTGCTGTGCAGACGCGACCAAAATCCCGACGAGCAAACTCATCTGAAAAGGTGTCGGTAGATTGAGATATTTTGCTTCCCTAGATGCATCTCGCAGTCTCCGGGAGACGGGAAGAGCAAAGAGAGACAATATGAAAGAGCCCAGTAGCGGCGCCAATGTAGATAGGAAGCTGGCCACGAAAACCAATCGGGCTGCAGAGAGTTAGTGTTGATTGACAGCTTGCCAACTTTGGGAAAACTCACTTGCAGAAAAATTGACAAGAACAAACCCAGGCCCGCGCAATGATGTTTCTGTTGGCTTGAACAAATTTGGAACAGGGTCGATTCTGTACATATAAACCAGAGCAAGCAGAGCACCGGCCAGGAGAGCGATAGGGATGCAAATAATTGTTGCTGGGAGTAGTATTGTTTGGATCAGGTTTTCGTTGGGCAGCAATTCTGGATCGAGGCGAGATCCTTCTTCTGGCATTTCATATTGCCGTCGTATGAAAGATCGTCGGAAATCGTCTTGCTGGAGAGGCAGTTCGTTCCGTAGGCTCAAAGATGGAATGCAACTTTGCTCCATTGCAATATCCTCTTACGAAGGCAAACGCAAGCTATTCCTTTTCGTGAGAAAGGCAGCAACTCGCTCTGAGAAGGAGACGAGCTTCTTGGGACATTGATTCTCACTTTCCATGGCGGACCATTTCAGGGCAGATAACAAAATAATGTGGAGGAAGTCTGTCGTGGACAAGCGAGAATATAAAAGTAAGCGCGTATACAGAAGACCTACCTATGTCAAAATCAAACTGACTTGACCTTTAGCCTTATCTTGACCATACATACAGAACCACTATTTTGTAGGTTAGGAATGGTATATCTTGACGGCGCAAGGTAGGCGCAGCCGGTGGCAAGACGCTGAAGGCCAGCCTCAAAGTAGGGGGAGAGAGCGAGCACTGCGAGTATTCCCATTGGCTGCACGTCTGACTGCTGGCGTATAACTGTGGACCATTCATTTTGCATGGGAGCCTGTCGGCTGCAGAAGTCAAGGTTGAAAGAGGCAGTTCGTGCATATACGACGAGCCGTTTCATGATGACCAGAACTTTTGAATGATGTTACTGTAAACCCCTGGTCAAGGGTCCTTTGGTGGCCCTAATATTCTGCGTAAGCCAGTTGGAAGAGGATATCTTTCCCGAGGCATCGTCCACAGGCACCGAGCAGGGGTTGAGGAGCGAGGGGCTGTAGCCAGCCGGCGAAAGCGACAGTGCTGACTGGCTTAGGTATCGACATGGCTTCAGGCCCGAGTTTGCCATGTGCTCAAACACAAAGTAGGCAACCTTTAGGCTGGGAAACTTGAGATGCAACAGCAGAATGACTTGCGGAAACCGATAAAGGGTGATCCAAGGGGCATTGTGGTTTGAAGTTGAGAAGTTGATGGCAGTGAAGGAAGAAAAGGCACGAGGGTGGAAAATGAAGGCACAGACTCGTGTATGCCAAGAATAAGAACAGCCTGTTCTGGGAGACGCACGTGACCGGCATCTGGCGAAGCCTGCGAAGTCCAAGGCGCCATTAAGACGCGCAGCTTCCATCAGTCAAACCATCTTGAACATCCAATCCCTCCATCCATTATCCCTCTTCTGCCTTGCTGCAGCTCCCTGTTTCTTTTCTTTCTTACTTCTGTATCAACACCCTTCTTCTCTTGTATTTTGCGAGACTTCTTTCCGAATCGCCCAGCACAGCAAACACTTTCCACGGTCTCAGCAATCATGGACACACTCGTTGCCCAATACACTCAGGCTCCCTTCGCCAATGAAGGCTTCACCCAGGAAGAGCAAAATGACTACTGCGAGACACTACCTCCTCTTTCTCTCAAGTTCGCCCTACCGCCCGTTCCGCGTCCTTCTGCCTTTCTCCGAGCAGCAACGGACGACTACTCCAACCCGAATTGCCCGATTAAGATTGCTCACGGTACCACCACTTTAGCTTTCAGATTTAAAGGAGGAATCATCGTCGCAACCGATTCAAGAGCCACCGCCGGCAACTGGATCGCTTCACAAACAGTCAAGAAGGTCATTGAGATTAATCCGATGTTGCTGGGGACCATGGCCGGTGGAGCCGCTGTAAGTTTGGTGCCTGCAATCGTCATGGGAGGTCTGTTGACAATCTGTAGGACTGTCAGTATTGGCTTGCTTATCTCGGCGTCCAGTGTCGATTACACGAACTTCATCACAAGCGACGCATCTCGGTTGCTGCTGCCTCCAAGATTCTGGCGAACCTAGTGTATTCTTATAAGGGGATGGGCTTGTCAATGGGAACTATGATTACGGGTGTGACACCGCAAGAGGGACCTGCTCTCTACTACATTGACTCGGACGGCACACGACTGGCAGGCAACCTCTTCTGTGTTGGATCAGGTCAAACCTTTGCTTATGGTGTTTTGGATGCTCTCTACAAATACGACCTGGAAGATGAAGAGGCCTTGGAATTGGGCAGGCGGAGTATCCTGGCAGCCACCCACCGAGATGCCTACTCCGGCGGCTACATCAACCTCTACCATGTCAAGGAGGACGGTTGGGTTAAGCATGGTTTCTTCGACACGAACCCTATTTTCTGGGAAACCAAGCTGCAAAAGGGCGAGTTTTCCAATGTCACGAGCGAGTTATCCTGAAGAGATGCCGAGAAGGGGACGGGGTACTTGCATTTTCGCTGTGCCGGGCGTTGGACTTGGGCGGGTGGAGCTGTACTAACATACTGAATCAGTGTGTACTAGAAAGCTTTTCCAATGCTTTTCACCCAGTGTATTACAAGATACTGGGATCGATGAGAATCTATCTACCACGCAATGTTGTGTCGCTGGTTCGGTGGTTCGCATGCTTGATCTTTGTGCATAGTATCAGTGTGCTCTACGGAGTAATACTTCTATGGAATTCTATCACTGTCCCCTTCCTCTAGTCTAGCTACTTTTTGGCCATTTCCTTGAGCAATCCCTTCAAGCGACGCTGCTCGTCCGTGTTCAACAGCCACCGTAACTCGTCTCTGTGTTCCTTGCCCAGCGCCTCGGCCATCCGTTCGGCGGTCATAAAGTCATGATCCGCGTAATCAAAGCCCGGAACGACCGTCTCGCTAATCAATAACCCTTGGCCGCTACTCCTGTTGTCGCTGCCCTCTTCGTCGGGGAGCAGAAAACTCGCCTTGAACTTCCCACCCTCGACGATCCACTGTAGCTTCTCCCCCTTCTCAATATCCTTGCCTACGACAAAGGTCTCCACGGGGACTTCGCCGCTCACAGGATCCCTCTGGTCAAAATGCAAGATCACATAGCGTCCTCGTCCCCAGTGCAGAGTGTGCACTGTCCGTCCCCTGTTGCGATGGAATCGCCCTACGGGACTTTTCGGACTCAAGAAATAGTAAATTGTCGTCGACGCGTGCCTGGTGTCGGACGTGTCCGTTGAAGTGGCGTTCGTCAACAGCGGAAGGTTTTTGAATGGGTTGGGCACAAGAAGGGGGTCACGGTCTGTTTCGTGGAAATAGCCACCTTCAATGTGGGATTGGAGCTGGAGGGTGGTGATGGTGCGTGAGATGACTGGGGATTCGGTGGACGGTGGAGACGAAAGGAGGGAGCGGATGTAGTGTGTATCGTCGCTTGGGATTATGGACATGGTTTCTCAGTCCTTCTGGGACTGCGGACTTGTATACAAAATGGTTGACGGGATGGTTTGGAAGCTGATACACTCGCGACTCGCGGCGCTGTTGTATGGCGTTTTCCGACCTGCCAATTCTGTTTAGGTAGCAGAAGAATCAATATTGAGTCGCATTCCCACCACAATATCCTGCAAAAGAGATCCGGTTGATTTTTTGAGAAGTTGACAGTGGAAGTGAAGGCATCATAACTGGTATGCAACGGATATACCGCATCTGATGCTTATCTAAGCACCGTGTGTTGAGTTCGGTGGGATGTCTTGGTGCCATACATATGAGCTTGGTGGGCCTGATTCAACTGAACGGAGGGTGGATACCAATCGGCTCCGACTGCTGCTAGACCGAAAGGGCAAGTCTTCAGAAAGGCAGCTTTTCTTTGGGGGGTTACGATTTCAATGCCACATCCTATGGTTAACCTCCTGGCGTTGCCGACCGTCTCCATATCACCACCGCAGCTGCAGCAGCGCAAACTACAACTCCCAATGCTAAGCCATACCTCATCAGCTGCCCGTCGTCGTCATCTTGAAGTGGCCGTGGGTAAGCTGTGACTGGCTCTAGACCAGCTTCAGAAATGACCACGAACAACTCCTGAATTGAAGGCCAAGTGACGCTGGTGGATATCGGAGGCCCTTGAGGCATTCTTTGAATTTGAGCAACATACTCATCGGGCTGGTTTTCAGCTCTTTGGGTGGTTCGATCAAGATCAGCTTTCAGAGCAACGTACAAAGACGGCAGATCTTCTAGGTGGGGATATGTCTTCCGAATGTTTGGAATATACGCAAACGAGTCCGGATCCGACGAATCGTAGGTGTAAACAATTACGTCGCACTGGTCCAGAAGCTTGCTCTTGTTCTCCAGAACAGCTGCCTCGGATTCCCCCAATTCCTTCAATATGAGGTAACATTGTCTCCCCCCGGGTAGTTCCACGGTATTGACCGCCACACGCGGCTGAATGGTGGGACGATAGAGACTATTGAATGGTTGAGCCAAGAATGCATCCAGCAAGGCAGACTTGCCAGATTGAGGTGCACCCAATACGTGAGCGAGAAGGACATTCCGGCCCACTCGACCTGGTTTCCGCCTTCGCTTGCGGGGTTTCGTCAACTTCAAAGCAGCTGTTGTGCTGGTATTTGAACGGTCTGTTGATTCGAAGCCCAGATATGCGAGGTATTCCAGGGTCGTCTTTGGAGAGGTGAATGTGGTCATTGACCACTGTGCGAGCCAGCCTTGCAGAGTGACATGGCCAGCATCATTTCTCACGGTGCAAGAAGGGAAATCGTTGTCGACCCACAGCTGTGGGATTCCGGGGGTCGGAGCAAACAGAGATGCCAGTTCCTCGTTCCTGAGCCCGCCGTCGTTGTCCCGATCCGAAGTGAGGAACAGATCGACAAGGAAGCGATAACCAGCCGGGGACAGCTCAGCAGAGGCATATTCGGGCACTTCAAACTTGGGATGTAGAAATGATTCTTGTAGAGACAAACTGTCGGTGTATTGAAATGTTCGAAGTATGACCCAGATTGTCTCATGACGTCCCTTTTCGGCGTAGAGTTTGTTGAGGAGAAGGAATCCCTGAGAGTTGATACCTTTTGGGGAGGCGGCTCCCGGGATGTGATTGTCAATCGTTTCTTTGATATGCTGTAGATCTTCCGAGCTTAAACCCTTGTCAAAGCATTTGGTCTGAAATTCCTCCATCTCTTTGTCGTTCAGCAGACCATCTTTGTCCTTGTCGCAGAGGTAGAATATTCGAAGCAATGCGGCTACGGCAGCAGGTTTGAGGACCGATTCTTTTGCATCAAACAGAGGAGCGATTGGGTGAGTGACAGCTTTCTGGCAGAGAAAGAATGCTTCATTGACATTGAAGTGATCACGGGCACTAGTTCGTATACATGAATCAATCTCTTTGAACTCTGACATGACGGGCAACATTTCCTCCTCGACTATCTGAGCGGATGTAGATGTCGTAACCAGGTCGGATTTGTTCGCGCATAGGATGACAGGAAGATTGACACCGAGAGAACGAAAGTACGGCAGCCAGAACAGAGCCACCCGTTCATAGCTGTAGTGGTCTGAATAGACGAGAAGGATGACATTTGACCTTCGCAGTTCTTTGGCTAGAGTTGCGCGGTCTTGCGGGAGGGCAGAGGTATCGACAATCACCGTGGTGACATTTTCTGGAGTCCCGAGGGTCGGTGGGATTGTGATTTGAGGCAGGACAGCTTGGATTCTGGTGCTGACAAAGGTATCTTTTACGAGAGAGGTGATAAGGCTGGACTTACCACAGCCCTCGTCCCCGCAGACGCATATTCTCACGGTGGCCATTTTTCCGAGTGATAGAGGTCAGCCGCGAAGGTTCATTGTTTTCCACCCTGCGACCGCGACTCGGGGCCGGGGGCTCACGTGGAGAAGCGTTGAATGCGGAGACGCGTGTTAAGCTTAGCATACACGGACCAAGTAGAGATCGGCCCAAACGTGAGCAGAGCGATAGGGACTCGAATGCCGAATACGTAGGAGGCGTATGGGGGTGTGTGGACTGGTGGGCAAATGATGCGGAGCGGGCGAGCTGGGTCTAAGATCACGAGAAAAGCCGCCTGGGCTCAACTGCGCCTCACCGGCGGCGACGACGTCGTGTCTGGTGTGTCTGCGGATGCCAAGACGATGACGGAACAACCTGCAAAGCGAAGTCAACAGCCGACGCTAAAACGTCCCGCCTCTTCCAGAGAAACTTCCTTCACTTCCTCGCATCCACCATCAATCACTTACTTCGCCTCCCAGTAAATTCCGCAGCTGATCTCCTGCGTCCAGCTGCTGCCTGTGTATATTATTCTTACTTCTCATTCCGACTCTCCCCATCATTCAGCATTCAATCCGCGTGCGTCCATTGAATCCCAGTCGAACACGAACCTCTAAGCCCACTCGATCTGCCTCCGGCTCACTTCCTCCCCCACACCGAGGTCTCGTCATTTCAGCGCCCTCTTCCGACTTGGGCGTCGTCTTTCTGACTCAAATCCAACCACGCTGCTTATACACCGGCTCACGGTCACGATCTGGACCTGGGCACACGACCAATTAAAAGAGAAGGCAAGGTTCCGCCACAAATACTCCCAAGATGCCCTTTGGAATCAATAATCCGCTACCCTCGTCTATGAGGAGTAAGTCAAGCCGCGACTATTGGGATTCCCACATTTACACATTTTCCAGGCGAATGCAAAAAGGCCGGCAAAATCCTCGCGTCTTTTGTCGACCCCAGACAGAGCTTCGGGCCTGATAAAATCATTCCGCCCTCAATCCTCGCAAACGCAAAGGTAACGCTTCTGCGGACTACCCAACTTCTGGACTGACGGAATCTAGGGCCTCGCAGTCTTAACCGTCTTTAAAGCCGGCTTTCTTGGTTCTGGTCGACTTGGATCCGGTGTTGTCGTCGCGCGACTGCCTGATGGTTCATGGTCCGCTCCTTCAGCCATCGCCACAGCAGGTGGAGGTTTCGGTGGTCAAATAGGTTTCGAATTGACCGATTTCGTCTTCATTCTTAACGACTACAACGCCGTCCGCGCTTTCTCACAAGCCGCCTCCGTCACTCTCGGCGGAAACGTCTCCATCGCTGCGGGTCCGGTTGGACGAAATGCCGAAGCTGCGGGGGCTGCCAGCCTGAAGGGTGTGGCAGGGGTCTTCTCGTACAGTAAAACAAAAGGCCTGTTCGCAGGTGTCAGTCTGGAAGGCAGTGTTCTGATTGAGAGGAGAGACGCCAACGAGAAGCTCTACAATAGCCGCGTCACGGCCAGACAACTCTTGGAGGGTGCTGTCAGACCCCCCCCTGCGGCAGATCCCCTGATGAGAGTCCTCAATACCCGAGTCTTCTCCGGTTCTGCTTACAATGACAACAGCATGTACAACGACGTGCCCATTTATGACGACCAACATGACGATGTCGTCTGGGAGGGAAGGACCGGCGAAGCGTATGGTGCGAACGTTCGGAACAATCGCTCTTCCACCGTGACTTCGGCGGACGACAACTACGTCTATCGCGACAACCCCAATCCCCGACGTGCCAATACCTGGGCTGATGATGTTTACGATCGAGTACCGGCCGGTAGGAATAATGGCACGGTCGACAGTTTCTCCAGCCGCAGTCGATCGAGCACATTACAAAATGACTACAGTTTTTCTGACAACAAGCCAACCCGACCAACGGCTCCAAAACCCGTCTTCAGGCAGCGAACCGGCTCGTTACGTGCCGATCAAGCCATCGCTCTGTTCACCTTTGATGCGGACCAAGAGGGCGACCTAGGGTTCAAGAAGGGGGATATCATCACCATCACAAAGAGAACAGAGAACAAGACCGATTGGTGGACCGGACGGACCGAAGATGGTCGGACGGGAATTTTCCCTTCCAACTATGTCGAAACGGCCTCTTGAGTCAATTTGATTTACGATTTGCTTTTATGTTAAGTGGTTGGCGACAAAATGGTTTTTATACCCTCTTGCTCGTGATTTTTGCCTGGCCCATTTAGCGTCGGAGTTTGCACCAAACTTTCCTTCTGCATCTCGGACTGGGGTTGGCGTATCTGGGTCGCAGGGGTGGCGGCGCAATTGATCCTTTGGTAGAACAACAAAATGAAGACACGATACACTCTCACGAAATATATGTGCCACCTGCCCTTTTCGACCTTCGCTTGCTGTTTATTGCATCCAGATTGCATCGGTGGCTGTTGACCCGAGTTGACTGCTAGCAATGCTGATCCTACGCAGATCATCCTCCACACGGTTTCCACTTTTCCTCGTTCTCCTCCGCAATTTTAACCATATGACTTCAACCATCAACCACACCCCTACCATATTTGCTTGGCTCGCAACGTCATGAAGTCGAATCCAATCGTTTCTAGCAAGACCAATTCCAGGGTTACAGAGATGCAACCTCGCGCCGGGGGTTCTCCTCGGTGGTGTCGCCGGTTCCCTCCAAGTGGCCATGATCTGGCTACTATGATATATATATATACGGAGTATAACCTGGACAATGGTATCAATCAGTTGATCATACCTTGCCTGTGTTCAAATTCTGGGATCGAAACCTTACTGCGATATATCCATTCCACGTCTGTCCCACACTCGATCCACAACATAACCACGCAATGGCGAGAAGGAAATCTGGACTTTTCAAACACACTACCCTCAGGGTACGGGATGACTCCGTCACAAAGGCATCCGAACTCTCAGTTCGGCAATCCATCTTGCCTATCATCCTGGTCACAACTCTTTACTTCCTCTGGGTATGTCATACTATCCTCTGGCCCTATCCGAGGTCTTGCAAGCGCACTGACCAGGAACATTCCCATGCAGGGTTTCGCCTACGGTCTCCTCGACACCTTGAATAAACATTTCCAAGGTGTTCTCGGCATCTCTCGTGCTCGCTCCTCTGGGCTTCAAGCAGCCTATTTCGGCGCCTACCCATTGGCCTCCCTAGGCTATGCAAACTGGATCCTTCGCCACTTCAGCTACAAGGCTGTATTCATGTTCGGTCTGACTTTGTATGGCATTGGCGGGCTACTAATGTGGCCTGCTGGCCTGAAGAGATCTTTCGGAGGATTCTGTGGCGCCACTTTTATTATCGGATCTGGACTGGGCAGCTTAGAGACAGCAGCAAACCCTTTCATCGCGGTGTGTGGACCCCCAAAATACTCGGAATTACGCATCAATCTAGCGCAATCGTTCAATGCCGTCGGGACGGTGGTAGGGCCTGTTCTGGGCAGCTACGCCTTCTTCAAGAACACGGGGGACGATTTGCAGAGTCTGAGGAACGTGCAATGGGTGTACCTCGCCATTGCCATTTTTGTTTTCATTCTCGCGTTCGTGTTTTATATCTCCCCGATTCCAGAAGTTACAGATGCGGATATGGAACACCAGGTCGCCGTCACCCACGACGGGCTGGAAGAGAGGAACAAGAGGCCATTTTGGAGACAATACGTGAGTCTCTTCATTTTCTTTTTTGACAGGTGCGTTTTATGGCTTTCCAAGCTTTATTATCGAGCCGAGGCTTGCTTGCCCTTGTCTAGGAAGACGTGGCGAGAGAGAAAAAAGGCCCGTCGTGGCGGATATTCTCCACCTGCAGACTCATGGTCTGGATTCTGTTGCTATTCAATTATATTGTGCTCTAGCTAACAAAGTCTGCCTCATGTCAAATAGACCGTCTTCCACGCGGCATTCTCTCAATTCTGCTACGTCGGGTCTCAGGTTGCATTAGCAGGGTACGTAACGTTCAACAACGAACAGCAAATAGTCACGGCACACCTCTCCCGTCCCTTGACCTCCCCGTTTTATCCCCTTTTCAATACTGACTTTCCTTTTTTCCCCCGCTAACAGATATGCGATAAACTACTTCACCGAGATCGCCCCGATATCGAATTCCACGGGTGCGGCTTTGCTCGCGGGCGCGCAAGGATGTTTCGCCGTGGGCCGCTTCTCAGGCTCGTTCCTAATGCGGTTTATCCGCCCGCGCTACATCTTCCTGTTCTACCTGACGGCCGTGATCGCGTTCTGCTCCGCGGCCATCACGGAGCGGAGAAATACGGGGATTGCCATGTTCATGCTGACCCTGTTTTTTGAGAGTGTGTGTTTCCCCACCATCGTCGCGCTGGGGATTAGAGGTCAGGGCAGACATACCAAGCGCGCGGCGGGCTGGATTGTCGGTACGTTCAAGAGAAAATCTACCCGACTACTACTCCTTTCTACAGGATGGGATGAGAGTAGAATTCCCCCCGGCGTCGGCTTATTCATTCCCTCTTCCGACCATCTAATCCTGCCTTCCTGCGTTCTTGTTTCCTGCCTTCATCCACCGACGCACGCTGCTAACCACAAGCACCGACCGACAGGAGGCGTCTCAGGTGGCGCCGCCGTGCCGCCCCTCCTGGGCGCGACCGCCGACTGGCGAAACAGCACGCCCTTCGCGCTGGTCGTGCCCGTGTGCTTCTTCATCGCGAGCTGGACATACGCCCTGTGCGTCAATTTCGTGCCCTACTACCGCATTCCCGCCGATGCGATCGGCGAATCCGATGTCGGCTTGGATCGGCGCGGCGAGGGCACCGCGACCGGCGTGGACGGCGGAGACGGGGACGGGGACGGGGACGTGGAGAAAGTAGGCGGCGGTGCCGTGCAGATTGAACGCGGCGGGAGGGAGGAGGTGGAGAGGGTACTTGAGAAGGAGTGAGGGACGGGGTTGGTCATAGGGAAGGCATAGGGATAAAGCAGGGTACAGAGTTTAGGCAATGATGGATGTCTTGCGTTCCGGTGGCGGATAGGCGCCGTGTGGTACAAAGTAGAAATACGATTGATCTATAGGGGATATCATTATGAAGAGGAGACGATGCGACGTGACTCGTGTTCCAAGCTGATCCCAGAAAGCCGTGTCAAGTTCAGGGTGTGCCTCAGGGGAAAACAACACTTTGAACCACCCTGACTGTCCAATGAGTCGTTCCAATCACCACGAATCCTCCATCCCTCTCCCTCTCTCGGACTCCCTGCCTTTGGTTTTCAACATCTGTCCAATCATGAAGTGGTTTACATCCTCATCCGCCCAATAACTCAAGTGACTTGCGATACTAGCGAGCAGAGACACATCAAACATGCCCTCTTGGATATGGTAATCGACCCGTCCGTTACTGTTCAACGCTCGTACTTTGGCCTCTTCACGCTTGAGTTTCCTCGCCCTCTCTTGCGATTGTCGGAACTCCGTAGAAGTTCGTGCTTGAGCTTCGTCGTCGAGTGTGTCGGTGGCAGCCTGACGCTTCTGGAAACCTGCAAAGAGTGTTTCCATTTCAGAGTCGATAAGGGTTGGTGCTTGTTCTGTTGGTGGGGACGATTTCGCTGCCTCGGCGAGTTCTTGCTGCTTTTTCTCGTCTGCAACAGGGATGTCGAGTTGGGGATTTATTTGGCTAGCTTCTTTGGCCGCCGTTACGGCCTTGGCCTTGTCCTGAGACAAGGCTTGCTCTTCTCCAGTAATGCCCAGGCTTCTATTAATCAGGCTGGATGCCACACCCGAGGTAAGATTGTACCAACTCGATATGATCTGCTGGCTGACCCGTTCAGAAATGCTTGAAATACCAGGAGCGGCGAAGAGGTTTTTCTTAGTGTAGGGTATCGGTTGGGATTTCAGCTGTGCCATAGCCGGTGAAATGAGGGGTTCCATACGGTAAGCGATAGGGTCTGTGGGATGGAAAATGTTGAACAATTCGTTGCATTTGGGTGAAGACGTAGTAATTGGTATTAGACCTGTAGGACTGTTGCCAATGGTCAATTTCGATGCGACACTTTCGAAGGGGTCGTTTCTCATGGGATCCGGGTCGAATGGAGATGTCGGCACGACAGTGGCCCCAAAAGCGCTGGCGCCAGGAGAAGGCCGAGCAGCGATCATCCTCCCCTTGAGCATCTGAAAAAGACCAACCGGCGAACCGATGGCGAAGAAATTCTCCACCTCAAAGTCGAGACGAAGATCATTTTGCTCGATACCGTGTTCGCGCGATGTTTTGCTGGAGACTCGTCTCGGTCGTGTCTTCAGATCCTCCTCTTGTCTGCAAAGGAGATCAAAGCATATTGCGCTCCCAAGGGAATGGCCACAGAAGCTAACCTTTCCTGAAAAGTCCGTTCGTTGCTTAAAGAGCTGGTAAACTCGGTTGGCCTCCTTTTGTACAATGGATGCGATGTGTTCTCTGTAGGCACTTTGATATAAAAGGACATCCAGAGCCAAATCGGTAATTAGGTTGCGCACCGCCGGTACGCCATCCACAGTGATATCTTGCAACGAAGGGTAATCATCATCAAATAAGGCATCGGCATCTCCAATGTCATATTCTTTGCGGTTTTGCCTGAGACTTTGCTTGGGGAAATCGAGCTTATGCCGCCAACATATCGGCAGCACTTGGACTTTGCAATTCTTAGGATCCCCGCTTAGGGCCTGTAAGTCAGGCGCCGATTCGTACACCGCTTTCATGGTCTTGCGCAAAGTGTTGACATCATGGACAAAGTTGATGCTGTCAAGCCGAAGACCAAGACGTTGACCGATTCCGTGGGTCAGGAGCACCAAATGGTCAATCTGTCTTGCTTGATCTTCTCCATCTCTTTCTCTGGCGTCTTCCATTTCGCGTTCTTCCTGTTCCCTGGCTTCTTCCTCTTCGCCTAAGTCGTCGGAGTCGTCAGCCTTGGGAAGGCCCGCCAAAGACGAGATCTGACGCTCTAACGCCGTCCGCCGCGGTTTCTCAACATTGTCTTTCTTCTCTGCCTGGATTGTCTCTTCGCCGGCACTCGGAGTAGCCTCTGGCGGGATTTTTGCAGATCTACGCTTCTCCTTGGTACTTGTCGCCTCTGTGGATTTTGAATCATCTTTCTGGTCGACCTTGGGCGGATCGGCAAGCTTTGCATCTGACCAACCCCGAACGACCTTTGTGCCACCATATCCAATAAACTTACCATAGACTGTGCTACTGACGCGAGAAAGAAAGTCATCCGTTGTCAGGTAGGCCACAGTATCGTCCTGATATGTGACAGTTGTATTCATGTGAGTTCCGAACAAGCGATACGTGTTTGGGTTTGGAGGTTGACCGTCGTCCTGCGGGGCGGGCGATTTACTTAGCGATTGAGTGGATGAGCCGTCAATAATCGCCGAGTTGGGTCGAGTCCTAGGTTGTGAGGCAGACCGTGGAGATTGCAGGTTTAACCGTCTCCACGGTGCTACTTTGATGTAGCCTTCCTCGAGCTGATTGGCTAGATTCTCGTCGCAAGGCTTCAATGGATTTTCTGCATAGAACCAGGTACCTCTGCGGACTTCGTAGACAGGGCCTAGCCAGTAGGCGGGGAGAAGTTCACGCTTCTCAATATCGACATCATACAAAAAGTCTTCGTTGACCGCTACTGTAGTGCTGGTGGGAGGCTCGGCACCTCCGTCTCTGCTTGGGTTCCTTTCAGCAAGAGTTTGATATGCTTTCTCTATGCTCTGAGAGTCTGACGCTGAGAAAGCCACCAATTTCTTTGGGACTGGTGGAGGTTTGGCCTTTTCTTCAGGTGTTGGGTCTGGGGCAAAAGGTTTCCGTTTGGCTACATCGATAGCATAATGCCATCTTGGCTTGAGAGGGGGACAGTCCTTGGGGTATCTCCGGAGGCTTGGAGAAGGTCCTAGACTGACGGTATGGTCAAGGCCTGAGGACTGTCTTAGAGCGGGTGACGCATCGTTGGTTTTCGGTAGCGGTGATTTGGGCGGAGGGGTAGTGCTTCTCGACCAGGAGAAAATTGAGCTCGCCAGAGAGGACTTGTTGGCTCCTTCGGCCATGCCCCTGCGGACAGCCCTGATCAGGGCTGGGAACCGATCCAATGTGATAGCATATAATTGGACGCCTTGTTGGAGGGGAGATGAGGCGAGGCTGAAGGTTGGTTAGTAGTCAAAGGAGGTGCTTGACAGGGACAAAGGCACCAGGATGGATCTGAGAGTAGAGCGTGCGGTATGTATGATGATGATACGGGATAGGACACTCTCTGTCAGATGAAGCCCGAGTCGAAAATGATATGAGGTTGATGGTGGTTAAAGAGTGAAGTTGGCCTTGAAGCTTGGGGCAGAAAGACCAGCTCGCAGCTTTGCCCACCAGACATAACAGCAGCCTTGCCAAGCCCCGCGCTAGCCCCGTTTGGTGCTCTGCAGCCTTGAGGATTCCCTAACATTCCCTAATGATGCCATTATGCGTGACTAAGAAAACTGCACTTGGCTGCGCCACTGCTGCGTCATTGGGAGCCCGTGGAGCCCGCAGTGGTGGCAGTCCCTCATCGTTGTGAGGGTGCGAGGATGCCCAATCAATCCCGCTTACTACCATCGCTGCCACTGCCACTGCCGCTGCCATTGTCATTGCTGAGACTACCATAGCTTGCGACGCCTGACCAGGCACCACAATAAAGACATCTTCCATATCTTCCTCTTCAATCTCATTCTTCCTTGGGCCATCTTCGTCTTCACCTTGTCCCTCCCTCTCCTTTGGCTGTATCCAGCTTACTCGAGATTTTGGTTTTGCGGGCAACTGCCCCTCCCCCCTCCTTGCACCATGGCGGCCATCCTCAAACTTCAGCGCAAATATCCCCAGTTCCCACAGAACGAGATCTTCCAGCTGCAAGATGCCTTCCGTAAACTCGATGTTGACGACAAGGGCTACCTTGACGAAGCCACTGTCATCAAGGCCACCCAGCAGTCCGAAAGGCAATCCTACGACGTGGTCAGACAGGCACTGAAAGAGGTGGAACTCGACAGTTCAAGGCGGGTGGAGCTAGAGGACTATGTCGACCTGATCGCAAAGGTCCGCGAGTCCTCTCCCGCTCAAAGACGCGTGTCAGTGGGCGCCCAGAGACCTGCGGCTGGCAATGGTCTTCCTTCCTCCCCTGCGCATGCTTCTAAGCCCAGCCTGGGCGGAGGTGGAAAGATTCACGTCCAAGGCTCTTCTGCCAACGTTACACACACTATCAATGAGGAAGAGCGGACTGCGTTTACCACCCACATCAATGCGGTCCTTGCCGGTGATCCCGACATCGGCCATCTCTTGCCCTTCCCTACCGATACTTTTGAGATGTTCGACCACTGCAAGGATGGCTTGGTGCTCTCAAAACTTATCAATGACAGTGTTCCGGATACTATCGACGAACGTGTCCTGAATAAGCCGGGGAAGAAGATCAAGTCTCTCAATGCATTCCACATGACGGAGAACAACAACATTGTCATTGAGTCCGCAAAGGGGATCGGCTGTTCCGTGGTCAATGTTGGTGCCGGTGATATCATCGAGGTTCGAGAGCATCTGATCTTGGGTCTGATCTGGCAGATCATTCGACGGGGTCTTCTGGGCAAGATTGACATCAAGCTGCATCCCGAGCTCTACCGACTCCTGGAAGAAGATGAGACTCTTGACCAATTCCTCCGACTACCACCTGAACAGATCTTGCTGCGTTGGTTCAATTACCATCTCAAAAATGCCAACTGGCCACGAAGGGTGACAAACTTTTCTGGCGATGTCAAGGACGGCGAGAACTACACCGTCCTGCTCAACCAGCTGAAACCAGACATCTGCTCAAGGGCCCCCTTGAAGACCCGGGATCTTCTCCAGCGCGCCGAAGAAGTCCTTCAGAATGCCGAAAGGATTGACTGCCGAAAATTCCTGACGCCAACTGCCCTGGTAGCAGGAAACCCGAAGCTCAACTTGGCCTTTGTTGCCAACCTCTTCAACACCCACCCAGGCCTCGATCCGCTTGAGGAAGGCGAGAAACCCGAGATTGAAGACTTCGACGCAGAAGGAGAGCGTGAAGCCCGCGTCTTCACCCTCTGGCTCAACAGCCTTGACGTCCAGCCACCGGTCAACTCTTTCTTTGATGATCTGCGCGATGGAACTATCCTGCTCCAAGCCTATGACAAGGTCATCCCAGGCAGCGTCAATTTCCGTCATGTGAACAAGCCCCCCGCGCACGGTGGTGAAATGTCCCGATTTAAAATGGTTGAAAATACAAACTACGCCGTTGAACTGGGCAAGCAGAACCGCTTCTCCCTCGTGGGAATTCAGGGTGCAGATATTACTGACGGCCAGCGCACCTTGACTTTGGGATTGGTCTGGCAGCTCATGCGCCGGGATATTGTGTCGACTCTCTCTGGCCTTGCGCACCGTATGGGTAAACGCGATCTCAGTGATTCCGACATGATGAAATGGGCCAACGAGATGTCCCGCAGGGGCGGCAAAACGTCTTCTGTAAGATCGTTCAAGGACCCCGCCATTACGAGCGGTATCTTCTTGTTGGACGTGTTGAATGGTATGAAAGCGAACTATGTGGACTACGATCTTGTCACCCCTGGGAAGACGCCAGATGATGCCTATGCCAATGCCAAGTTGAGTATTAGCATTGCCAGAAAGATGGGTCCGTATTCCTCGCTGCCTTTGCCCTTTCCCCTTGCATTCCCCTTGCATTCCCCTGGTTGAAGTGTGTCAGGGATTGTCACATGCTAACAAGAGATAATGCGGATAGGATCTACCATTTACCTGCTCCCCGATGATATCGTCCAAGGACGCGCGAGATTGGTTACCACTTTCGTCGGTGAGTTCCCCTCGTCATGCACACATCAGTCCTTAAGTACGGTAAAGCAGATTTCTAACTTGGCCATCCACTAGGTGCCCTCATGCGGACGGCGGAGAAGATGGGTGCCTAAATACGGACATCCACCGGTTACCTTGCCAAGGCCACGGCGGTTTTGATTTTGATCGTTGGGCGAGAGGGCGAATATATCTTCCGTGCTTCTTCAATGTATTCTTCTCTTCCGCTAATTAGGATACCGGACTCGGGAGCAGGTCTTGGTCCAGGGCCAGGGCGAGAACCGAGAGCGCAAGGTTAGGACATTGTCCCGAGGCAGGGGCAAGAGCGAAGCGGGCAACTACCTTGGACAAGTCAAAGGGAAGGCCACTCTCTTTAATAGCGAATGTGATTCAGAAAGTCAGAGAGAGGGAGACAGTTAGGGCTCGTGCTAGGATGCCAGGATATCTAGTTAGAGCAGACGATCAAAAGAAAATGACTTTTTACTTTCCCCAAAACCCCCCCAGCATTCAATGAAGCGAGCCCGATATTCAGATGTTTGTTTCCTCTGCCGGTGGTTGCTCCTTCTTCGAAGTCAAGTCAAGTCAAGCCATGGCTGAAGAAGAGTTGGCGGTCGGTTGTTTCGCCCGCCACCAACGTTGAGAGGCAAGGAACAAGGGCTCTTGAAGAGCGTCGGTCAGGAATACCAGGGTTCCATCCTTACCCAGGCGGGTACTAACAAGTAGGTCGTAATACCTACGTAGGTACCTCGTAAATAGGTGCTTAATCTGATCTGATACGACCTGGTCTGGAGCTCGGTGTGCGCGGACGGTAGGTGCTAACACGCCTTCCGTGTAAGATCGACTGGTGTATATATACATATATATATACATATATATATAATAGTCATCTTATATAGTCATCTAAATATTTGCCTGTTTAGCGGCCCACCTACCGACTGAGATCCTTGGTATACTCCATCGTCAAGGTGGCTCGCCCAGGTCACATAGCCCACACCGCACGAGGGGGCGTCCCGTCCGTCTTTTCCGTTCGCAGATTCTGGTTTAGATTCACAACCTCGCCGTGTCTCTGCTTACGACCCGGAAGACAAAAACGTCAGCATTAGCATAGGCATTGGTATCGGCCTCATCGAGCATTTCCCATCATCAACAAGTGTAAAGTGCAACCGTAGATGCAAATGTAAATGTGGAAAAGCGTAAACATGACACTCACCACGACTGCGGTCTGCCGCAATCACGCGTGGTCTACACGCCGCAACAACAAGTTACAACAGCCACCGTTGGCACAGCCTCCACCACCACAACGCCCCAAGCAATGTGAAGTCGACTTACTTTCCGCCCCTCAAATGCTCCTCAAACCACTGGACCGCAAACACAAAGGCATTTTCCTTGGCGTACACATGGACCCTGTTGTTCAAATCTCCTCTTACGGCAAAGCCATGCTCCACGCCGCTGTACAGGTTGATCTGGTAGGGCAGACCCGTCTCCTTGAGGATGACCTCGCTTTCGTGACGCTTCTCGGGAGGGAAGATGTGGTCAGTTTCGGCGGCGGCGATGGCTAGAGGGCCCTTCATATCGCGGAGCTCGTCGGCCTCGACGAAGGACGGGTGTGCGCAATAGCCGGCGTCGAACTTGCCAGAGTCCGGGCGAAGGTGTCGGACGACGTATTTGGCGCCGAAGCAGTAGCCCACGGCACCGATTTTCTATCACGGTTGAGATTAGCCCTCGTTCTATGATAGAGGTCCATTTCCATTTTCTTCGACTGAAGGCCTCTCTCCCTTCGCACCTCTACCTATCTGTCTTTCTCTTCAATGGAAAAATGCCTTACCTTGCATCCATATTTTGTCCTCATCTCGATAATGCATGCATCAATGATGGGATCCACGGTGGGGGGCAAATGAGCCGTCTTCTTGGGATGATATTCACCCTTTAACCACTTCATGATGTCGAAATCACCAGGGCGGTTGAGGGGGATAGGATCCTTGTCGAACAGATCGGGCATCATGACGAAGTAGCCGTTGGCGGCCAATTGGTCTGCGATCAGTTGGGCATTGTTGAAGCGGTGGCCGATCACATCGGTGATGCTGGGGAGAAGAGAGCACATCGGTCAGTTCAGTGGAACGGAGATGAATTGGAAGGTATTGAATGAGTTTGGAATCCAGAGGTGTGGCAGAGAGATGAGGGACATACACAAGAATACCATATTCAGTGCTCTTGCTTTCAGGGTACTTGGTGTAGATCTCGAAATCACCCAGTTGAGAGAACTCGCCGGTAGGAGTTCCTTCGTGCCTGACGCCTTTGTAGCAGCAGGAGCCGGGAGGATTAGAGGCCATCTTTGAGGATTGAGCCGGAGGGGCTGAGCGTAGAAGTTTGAGACTGGTGCTGGTCCTAATATGCCAGGGGAGAGGAGACGCGTTGCCGGCAGCCCGAAGGAAGGGAGGGGGAGATGCTTTATACGCAATCCTAGAGGGTGGGATGGATGCTCCGTAGATTCGGCGATGGATGTCGCTATGTAAGCCGCAGGAAATGCCACCAATGTCACCAATGCGGACTGCGCACTGGACAGAATCCAGCTAGGAGAGTCAATGGGGAATGGAGGGCAGGAGGGGCGGTCGTTTCGAGACCGGGTCCCGATCCAGCAGATCCAGGTCCGAAATCGCATCTGCAGGCGCCACGCCGTTGCTCCTGGCCACCGTGATTCAACAACGACTGGCCATTGACAAGCGGGGGGTTGACCATCACACACGACAAGGGCAGATAGATGGAAGAGGCATTTGTGGTAAAGAGCTTCGGAGGGGGAGGCAATTCGAGCGCGATGCAACACGCCCCGCTGGAGTTAATCTCGGAGATAACCTTGCTACAGCGGCCAATGACGTAAGAGTTCATGCGGCTCGCCGACTCGGCGCTAGTCTATAAACAGGTCCATATCAAATCTTGGCGACTACTGAAGACGAGCTAAATCGACACCCAGCCCACCTTGGCACTCACCCGACCCGCGCCGCGTTTAAACACCGCTCATTTCCCACTCACCTTCCGCTCATCCACTACTCACCCACTACTCACCCACTACTCACCCACTACTCACCCACGACTCGCCTCTTTCCTGGCTCGACAATGGCTTCTGCTCCTGCCTTAGACTAGAATGCCGCGCTGGTGCGCCAGCAGGTTCCCTTATTTTGGACCTTGGAGCGTGTTCGCGGTTCCTATCCTGTTCTGTCTCGCTCCCTTAGCCCACAAATAGGACCTTTCTTTTAGTGGAAGATCTGGGAAGGCTTCTCATAGAATTTCGCTCTTTCGCACCGTATCCAACTCTCTCTGTCCTCGGGCCGTATTTATTTAATAGTCTCACGATTACCTAGTCTTTACTATTTACTCGTCTCGACGAGATGGCTCGTATACGAAAACCACCTACGGTGGATAAGATTAGAGTGTGAGAAAGGCTATTAATGAATAGACGAATTAATAGGAGCAATGAGTAAGAATACTCTTCCTATACTGAGCATATACACAGAGACTCGAAGCCTTAAATGGGTTTAAAAGAAGCTGGCGAGAGTTATGCGGCTCTTATATGTTCCTCCTCCGTCAGTGCCTTGCCCTCTTCACAGTGTTTATTGTGAGGGACTCTGGGTGGTTTCTGGTGTCCTAACACTCTGCTGAATCGATATAACGGTCCTAAAGAGGTTCTTGACTCTTTCCTTCGATATTTAGATTCTTTCGGAGTTACAATTACCTCTAGATTAGTATTGTAATAAGGCAAAGTGGCTGTGCTGAGCTGGTAGGGGTAGGGGGGTAGCAGGAAGGAGAGTTGTCTAGTCACATGTCAAACCAAAATGGGCCAAGGGGAGTGCTGAACAGTTCACAGTGCTGGCGCAGTGCCAATCCGGTCACGAAGAAAGGGCCAAATCAAACACCCTCTTCGACAGTTAGTCAGACGACTGACCCATTCGTCAATGGCACCTCTGTAAAGACAGAGCCCTATCAAACATCCTCTCCACCAGCTAGTCAGACTGCTAAACCATTCCTCAATGACAACTCAACGAAGACAGGGCCAAATCAAACATCCTCTTCGCTGGCCAGCCATGCGACTAAATCATTCGTGAATGACATCGCTATCAAGACAAAGTCTAGACAAGATGTGAGCCTTCCACTCGGCCGCAATTCACCCACCCCTGAGCTTCCGCCGCCCACAATATTCGGGTCCCTTCACAACGACTCCCCGACTCTGAATCGAGGCACAAAGGACGGATCCAAGACAAACTTGACCCGCTACTAACTGCGCGGAAGGTGATGAAATCTCTGTTGGAAATCGGCTAGCATGTAGCAAAGGACTAGGTGGCGCTTGAAAATTGGATAGCTGGGCTACCTTTATGACCTATGTAGCTACCGTCGTTACCTACAGCTTGACAGGCTTTGCAGTCAATCTTTATATATATATTTCATGCTGTCCAAATCCACTGCCCAGCCATGCCTGTCATTCGTTCGCCCACACCTCGTGCAAATGCAATATCAACAAGTGTTGAGGAAGTATCATTAAAAGCTTCCCAAGTGTCGGAAAGTATCGCAATACGTAGCCTAACGAAACTCTTATAGGCGAGAGATGCCCTTAAACTGGGGGCTTATCATCAGAACTTGAAAGGTTGAAGTTGTTCCTTGTCTATCTAACGGGTGAAGTAGGCTACCTATATAGCCTGGAAATGAAGAGGTCGGGCATGCTTTTCCAGCCATCTTTTGACACTTATCACCCAGATATTGGTAACACGGAATTACTCATTTTAGGACGTGACGCCAAACCCCCTATTTCCCTCTCCCCCAAGTTTTAGGTGATAAACCTGCAGTGGGAGGTGCCTTACACCGATAAGGAGCTACGAGGGACAGTATCGCAATACTTTCTGATCCAGTGTCAAATCCACGCTGAAGATCCTGGGAAAATTTGCTGTATTCTATATAGTTCCCAGCAGCTCGCTGCAGAATTGCCATCTTCTCGTCCAATCTGTCTTTGGAACAATAGACCATCTGCTCCACTCCAGGACCATTTTCAAGCTCCTCGATAAATTCCATGGCCTCGGGACTACTGCCCACTCTTGAAATGATGAAGACGACGGAGCCGTCTCCGAAATCTGTGCTCGATAACTTCTGTTTGCATTCTCGAATCATATTTCGTAGCGTTCCGCGATCCTCATGGTTAGGCTGACACAGCGATAGTCAGTTTCAAATTCAGATCCGTTTAGCTTCTCCGCCGATTGCACCAAAGACGGGGAAGAAAAAGACAGAAGAGGAACAAAGGGAAAAATGGAGCCACAGCTGAGAGCTCGCAAAGAGAGTTGCGCACAGTATATCTGTCTTACCTCTCCATCGGTGATAATCACCACAACCAAAGGGGCTTCAAAAGTCCCCCGCGTTGCCTTGTCAATGATCATAGGTTCAATGATCTTTTCATGTAATACATTTCCGAGTCTCGTGATCCCCTTGAATCGGATACTTTCGACTTTTCGCATTATAGCATCTGGGTGCCTCAAATCGTCGAGCCTTGAATCCCGGTTATAATTCAGAAACCGAATAGAAATGCCGGTCTCCTCAAGCATTGTCGCTATTTCCGCTACACGATTAAGAGTAGTTTTCAATGCTGGTATCCGTTGTTCTTGTCGCATTGAAGTGCTGTCATCTGTTGAAGTACGATTAATCGGGGAAGCAACAAAATGAACCTCCCGGAACAGGTACACACTTACCGCAAAGGACAACGAAATTGTACAAAGCGAGTTTAATCACTCCCAGAGTGGTTTTCGGTGTTAGGTGATATTTGGTTGTGATCTCGTTCGCCCTGGCAGCTGCGTTCAATGCCACAGTCTGTACCCTAGGGTGGTCCTTGCCGTAAAACCCTGTGAGCCGAGTAGTCTCTATGGTCCTTGAGAGATACTCTTGGCTTTTCTGTGGAGATTTGGTTACTTCCACATATATTCGTTCTGAATCATCGGAAAGAGGAGTGAGAGGCCGTTCCTCATAGTTGGATTCGGATGTTCCACTGACTGGGGTGAGAGGCCGTTCGGCATATTTGGACTCGGATGTTCCACTGAGAGGAGGCTCTTCACATATATTTGAATGTCTGGTCTCCGAGAGAGGTGCTCCACTATTAGTTCCCCAAACCGTAGCCGAAGATCTTGTAGGGTTAGATACAAACTGCCCCTGGCTGCTGGATGCTATAGGGAAGCTATTTTTTGTCCCTCTTGCCGTTCCCTCTTGTTGTTTAGAATATGGTTCGGCTGAGTTCACGATAGAGGAACCATCCCCTATTACCTGCACTGCCTTGTTGCGGTCGCTTTCCGGGTTCTTACTTCCCAATTCCGAGATAGGCTCAAGTTTTGGATGCACTGATGGACTCCCAGGAATGAAAGACGAGTGAGAAAAATCAACACCTTGGTTTGGTTGATCGTCCGGAGAATAATGATTTTCCGGCCGCTGGTATGGGTGCTGGCGTTGAGGGATCAAGGTTGAGGCTTGAGATCCATCGAAGGGGGATTTTGTTCGAAAAACTCCGTGCGCGCCTCTGTCATCGAAGTCCCTCGTGTCATTGCCTCCAGAGGGTTTTCCAGTAATGTGCTTAGATACCGTGCGACGGGCCACATCTGTCCAGGCGAAACGTTGAGTAAAGCCGTGTTCAAGCGAAGCATAGGATTTCCGACTTACTTTCATCCTGCTTTGGTTCATCCCGAACTGTGGGACTCTGTATCCGTTCCTGGAGCATGCTGGGGAACTTTTGTATCATTTCTGTAGCAGATCTTTCGGATAGTGCTCCTATATGTTTGTCTAGAGAGTCGGGATTGATCTTATCGATACTATCCATGGATCTGTTAAGGTGGTTCTCCAAGAGAATACGCAATGTTGGGTCACCAAGAATGGAAGTTAGGCGCTGGGTGAATTTCTCCACAAATTGGCTTGTAGGAGTGGCCATTTTTGAGAGATTCTCGTTGTACAGCAGACAATAGTTGTGCAGTAATGTGAGTTCGTGTGTATTTATTTGCAAGGCTGGCGTTGCTTGTCAATGGTCTGCCGTCAGAGGTAGGGCGAGGCATCTCGGAAGCAGTGGGATAGGGGCAGGGGGAAGAGGAGGGGGGTGCTGGGGTGCATCCACCTACACCGCCTCATGACTAGTTGCATACGTGGGCAGAGGTCAACAGGACACGTCACTTCTGAAAATCGAGAGGTGCAAGGAGATGTCGACTGGGTTTTGGGCAGACGGGCAACCAATGGCCAGATAACGGCCAGTTAGAGCTACAGTTCGGGATTACTCCAAAAGCATTGCGGCCAGTCAGGTTTGTTCATGGCAATCGAATACGAGCACCGTATTTCTGCCTTGCCTGTGGATGATTGTCGAAGAACCATGGAATTGGATATTCACAAAGAACCGACTTGATCCAGTTCGCCCTCTTTTATGCGGCGATAGGGTCGACCAAATATGGCCACAAACAAGAACCGGAACACTGTTAGGGCCCGCAATGTGTCCTTGGAGACAACCGCCGAGCGTTTACAGCATATAGTCTCACATCATTTCGAGCCCTCAGAGAATGATACGATAACATGCGAGGTAACTCTTGCACCTACATGCACAGACAATGGAGAGACTCAAACGGCAATCATCAAGTTTAGTCCATGCATGCCTAAATTTCTCAGCGGTCTTAGCCAGAAAAGAGTCCAGATCAAGGTGAACGACAACGAGGACATAGACATCGACCAGGATTTCTTTGGTCTTACTCAATTGTATCCGACAAGGACGATCACAATTCCTCTCGAGTAGGTCTCAAAAGCGACCCGCTTTGGGCTTATCGAAATGCTAATTGGGGAATTTGGCCAGTATTGTCGCCGTCACAGGACTTAACGGCCATGCTTTTGGTTCGTGGACGGGAGGGAATGAGAGGATGTGGCTCCGAGACTTTCTCCATGGAGATGAATATCTAAAAGCTTGCAGAACCATGATTTTCGGGTACAATGCTAAATTAAAAGAGAAAGCTACCCACAAGACCAGAGATTTCGTCCGGAGTTTCCTTGTGGAGCTAAGGAAAGCTAGACAATCTTCCGAGGTGGGTTGCGCTCTTCGGTGGCTTGAACCGAGCGCTTTCATTGACTGACGCGATATGATATAGGAGAGAAATCGACCAATAGTCTTCTTGGGCCATAACTTCGGAGGGATTCTCATTGCTCATGTGTGTATGCCCTGATGCCCGTTGAGACAGTTGAATCTGACGTCAACACTGATAATATAGACACTTGTCAAGGCCAAAGAACTCTCCTACTTACCCGAACATGAGGTTTATGGGTCCCTGGTCAAATCGACTCATGCATTACTTTTCTTTGCGGTGCCGCATCGTGGTATCACTCTTGAAGATGTTGCCAAAATGGTCGAAGAAGAGTCTGAGCCTCATAGGGCATCGCTGGTACAAGAAATCATTGAATTATCCGATAGCATAACTCCTGGCATGGAGAGCTTCATCAACATGACCATGGACAAAAATATTGTATCATTTTACGAAACACGATTGACCAAAGCAGTCATGAAAGTAAGTTTCCAGGGTGGTCCAGGTATCCGTCAATCTGCGGCTTACATTTCGGCAGGATGAGAACGGCAAGTATGGGCGGTTCGGAGAGTATATACAGGTAGTTGGGGAATCCTCTGCCAGGTTCTGCCGGAACAGATCGAAAAAGCAATCCCCGTCGATGGTGATCATTCAACAATTGTCAAATTCACAAGTCCTGCCAACGACACCTATCAAACCGTACGCACCCTATTGAGAAGTTACCTCGAGTCGGTTGGGAGCAAGAGGGGTTGGCAGGCCCATAAGCATGCATGGACCTTTGTGCTAACGTGTAAGCAGGCTCTTCTCTTGCGGATAGAAACACCAGTCTTCCGTATGATAGCCAACGGGAAGTCGCCAACAGCCTGGTGAAATACTTCGCTGGCACACCAGACCCTATACACCAGGCCCTGAGATTAGCTGCTGACCTAGGTTTAACTGTTGAAGTGCGTTATCTGCTAGAAATGGGAGCGAACCCGAATTTTTGGGACCCTGAGCATCGGTATGGCCATCCCATGACGAAGAACCAGAAGAAAAGAAACTAACAGAATTCCAACTCAGACCACTGAGGACCCGGTCGTCCCATTCAGTCATACCAGCTGCCCCTCGATGGGACATTCGGTCCGATGGAGACACAATGAGACCAGGAGAGACTGCAATTTTCAGAGCAGCCATTCGCAACAACAAGGAAGTAGTTGAACTTCTGCTCCGGGTGGGGTCAAATCCTAATCTAGCAGCCGAGAGTGGAAAGACGCCTTTGCATGAAGTCTCCCGCCGTGGTCATCTGGCACTGGCACAGCTGTTGTTGGAGAACGGAGCAGATCCAAATGCACGAGACCCCATGTGGTTAAGCACACCCCTTCATGATGCAGCGAGAGCGGGGACTGCTGCTGTGACACTCCTCCAACGATATCACGCCGATCTCAACGCTCAACTGAAACACAACTTGGACACACCACTCCATCTCGCAGTCCGCAACGGTCACGAATCGGTGGTCTACTTCCTGCTTAAGAATAACGCAAACCCTGTCGCCACGAATAGTAGCGGTCGCCGATCGGTACATGATGCAGCGCGAGCCGGCCGTGTTGGCTTGGTATGCTGGTTGCTGGAACGGGACCCGAAGGGCGAGACAGATCCACGCGATAAATGGGGGTGGACGCCTTTGCATGAGGCAGCCCGTGGGGGTCACGAAAATGTCGTATGGTTGTTACTGAGACGAGGCGCGGATAGGGATGCTGCTCTGAGAAATGGGAAACGAGCCACCGACTTAGCGGAGGAGGGTGGGCATTCTGGAGTCAAAAAGCTCATCCTGGCATGGTCGAAACAAGCGGAGCTCGACACCCCTTATGTTCCCAGCGCAGAACGGTCAAGATAGTACAATTATGTATTACTACAGCTAATCCCCATTCTACCAACCTTTCATTTTGTATGAGACTCCCTCAATATGATCAACAACGGCCTAGTCAAAGAATAGCTTCGGTCCATCGACGTGATTGTGGAAACGCCATGAAACTCTGCGCCCACCTGATCTTAAGAAGCACCCCTACAACACGCTGCCATCACACTACATTGGCGAAGTCTCCGATCAAGACAGCTGTCTAATGACCGTGGCCCTGGCAACCTCCTTTTCTTCCTCGGTGGCATCGAGCAGGAATCGCAAGGCCATTTCTCTGCTCTATGATTAGGTGGTCGCTTGACAGGTTGCAACGATCCCCTCGAAGTCGTTGGTGAAGGCTCCTTGGTCTGCACTGGGGAAGAACTTACCAAGCAAGAGTGATAAGGCAAGTCCAAGTATACGATTTTCTGGTACAAGTCGGTCAACTTAGTCCGCAGAATGAATCACCATTGCATATCCCACATTATCTTCCACATAAAACCCTGCAGTAACAGTCAACCTTGCGGACAGCTCAGAGTACTAATGACATCAGTAAGGCGCACTTGAAAGTGGGACAGAACATATGTACAATATCGTCAACAGCCAGTCACATCGATCGCTGGTCAGATCGAGGTCGTCTTCCACACCAACCCTCTTCTGCAGCGTAGGGTCTATTCGCACAATGGTTGCCGTCTGCTCTTTGAGCTCCGCGCTGCCATCTTTCTCGACGTCGTTCGAAGCTGCACATCCTGATCCTGGCCCACATTTGAGACAAGTCCCGTTGGAGCCACATCTTTGGCTTCGAGGATGCTCACCATGCCTATTTAGTTCGGAAAGTCAAGGAGTCGGGTCGCACGCTGTCAGAGGACGGGCGGGATTTCCAAGTAAGCAATAAACTCATAGGATAGAAGAGCGGCATTCGTTGAGACTATCTTTCGCGGAGCTAAGCATTCGTGGGAGGTAGCAAAATGTGAGTCGGAAGCTGAGCCGATGGTTAGAGATAGCTAATGTGATGTTTCGACAATGAATAGCTCAGTATCTGCGTTATGGAAAATGTACTACCTCGTACTCGGTACTGATGCATATATGTGACCTTAGGGCCTTGGCGTGCCCTAGCTAACGCAAAGGATATCTACGAGGTACTCGGTAGCGAGCTATGTAGGTATAAATAATTAGCGGTGCCACCTTGTCTATTACACCAGGACAATTTCCTCCTTCTCAATGTCTGCGCGATCGAGCGTGTTCACCAATTCGCCTTGCATAACACCGTAGACATAAGCTTCCCCGACGAGATGATGATGTCTGCGCCCGTCAATATTTGCCATTTCCGCCGCCCGCACAATAAACGGCGTTACCATTCCCAGAAAAACGCAGCAAGTATCTCCCGGCTCTGCGAATTGTGGGACTAAAGCGAACCGGCCGAGTCGTGTCAGGGCCAGCCTCTGATTCCTACAATTTTTCATATTCATCTCATAACGGGAATCATCGTCTGCCTGATTTCGGGATGGTAAACTGGTGTCATTGCGGTTCCTGGGACGGCCCGGCTCCCGAAGAGCTTGGAGATATGCGTCGAACCACTTTCGGTGGTCTCTCAAATTGATAAGACTGCCATTTCTGTAGCCTGTGACAAGAGTGTAGCTGTAGTCTTCGTAAAATAGACTACTTTCGGATACCTCCGTGGGGACAGATAGTCGTCTGTAGGCGAGCAAAGCAGCGTTCCACAACTCGTCAATACATGTCAGTTGCGAGGTACGAGGCTTAATATTCCGCGGACGAGAGTGGACAGCAAAATTTTCGGGCTCGAGAACGTCGGATGTCCAAGACAGATGATCGAACACAAGTCCCTCCACAGTCAGAAGCCTCTCGGCACCGAGACCGCTCTCGACCCGGTATTGCAGCCTATCGACAGACCCACCGGCATTGAAGGACAGACCCAGGTTTCCGATCGTGAACCACGGCGTCCGGTCTGTCACAGGATTCGTCCATCTCGGAATCCATGATGGCCGACTGTTCCCAGTGACTTCGTCTGCAGAACTGTGCTGCACAAAACAAAGAAGATAACCTGCTTCACGTCTACACTTCAAGAACGCGACTGCAGCATCAAAGCAGATCTCGCCTTCTTCCTTGTTATAGTCCGGCTCCAAGAATAGCCTACCATCATCAGAGAAGGCTAGAGGATTTCCCAAAAAGGCGTAAATGTGATCGCCCGCACATGTTGCGGAGAATGATTTGCCAACCTGCAATATATCCAGGAGAAGTCCAGAACGGGGACCATGTTTTTCGTTCAAGGCTTTAATCAAAGGCTTGTCGGATCTCCACGATTTCGGGTTGCCGTACGTGCGGTAGACACAAGAAAAGACAATCCTCCAAAGTCGGAAAGTCGACTCATCAACACCCACCAATCGAGCAATCTCGGGCCGCCCATCAAAGAAGCAGGCAAATTCCATCAGCTCCGCGAGGCTGATGTTGTGATTGCCCCAATGCAGCTGACATTCCTGGGCGAGAGCTGCCTCCTGAAGGACCCAGACACGTCGAAACCAAGGGAGCCCCATGAGCTTCGTCAGCTTCTCCCCTTGCTTTGCATCGTTGCAAAGGTGCCGCGGAGGTTGGAGGGGCGGGATCTTCCGAGGCTTCTTGTAGACGTCTAACTGTTTGTCCAGGTACAGATTCCAGCTCTTCAGCATGTCAAAACAGTCCTTTGCAATCCCGTCCTTGTCGGAGCCCAGCCAGACAAAGACTTTTTGGGCATTTTTGTAAATTTCACCCATATGCTTGACTTGATGATTTTTCTCCTCGCTGTCACTCCTTTGATCTATGCATATAGCGTCCGCCCAGAGCCGGAGTGAAGCCTCGGACTTCTTACTTCTAATCGCCCTCAGAGCATCAGCTAGATTGGCTGAAATGAACATAAGTTTGTTACAGCAGATGATCTCAATGGGGTCCAGAAGAGTATCCCAAGTGTACGATATAGCAGCATATGTGTCGATGGTATCTTGACGAAGCTCCGAAGCGAGATGAATCTGGATTCGGTCATCGTTTGTACCTGGAAGTAACTCCATAATGCGGATGTGGTCCTCGCCGGGTAGATCTTGATATTCAAACTTCTCCATCCCGCAATTTCATCACGGAAGAATACAACCCCCTTTCTGATTGAATTAAGGCTTTTATCCAAGACCAGAACTCGTTGGCGGCATAGGACTTAAGAAAAGTCGAGAGGATTTCGAGCGAAATAAGGCTGCGCACGTCTACACACATAAAAAAAAAAAAAAACCAAAGTTGTCATGCGAGTCGGAGAACAGCCAAGTCGAGTGCTGCCTGATTCAGTGACTGTACAGTCGCGAGCAAAAAATCCGAACATTATAATTTAGCAATTGTGCCGAGGCTCTTGGCAGTAGAATACGTCTGATACGCTTCAATATTATGAAGATAGGGGTGAAACAGGACTGTATAGAGAACGTCGAATTTTGACGCTATATCGACAATTATGATGCTTGTGAATCGGCATACCCATCTGCATAAAACACGAGGAAAGGTGAGGGCCGAAGAGCGGGTTGTTGCCATGTTGGCTAAGCCTAGTTAAGCCTGAAAATACCCAGTAGAGACCTACCTGTGTCCTGATCCCGGTCCCTCGGGACATTCGAGAAATCGTCTTTTGAGGGAACCTACCTAGCCTCGATCATTTTATGCACGTTTCCTACTACAATCCCCCTTGGCAGGCGATCATGCTTGGACCCCGCCGGATCTTGGGCGTTCAAGGTGTTTCGGCGCATTCGGTGTGTTCAACTTGATGGGCTCTACACAAAATGCAGCCCGCATTGAAACCAATGTCGACTCTTTGTGTAAGGTGAGCGACGTAACTCTTCAGTAACTTTGCATTAACCTAATTGTCCCGTCTACCAAGTGCACGAAGCTTCTGGAATTCTTGTCTGCAGCAGCCAGTGCCCCTTGATGAAAGCATGGAGGCTGGATTCCCATGTGCTTGAAGTCTTGGAGCCATTTAGTAGGCGGTCTCAGGTTACGATTGATCTGCCTGTCCAACGAGGACACTTTTGTTGATGGACTGCGTACTCGGCGGCACATCCAATGCTGGGTTCTTCTCGAAGAAGTCCACAGGCTTCAGCGCGACGGTCAGAATCTCGACAGGCATCACAGGATAGTCTTCGACCCGTGGGTTGTGTGTCATGCCGTAAGTTTGCCACACGACGACATCCGTGTTGCGGACATTTTCAGAACGTGAAGCTGCATCAAAGACTCCCCCTGTCTCGTCATGGCTCTGATTTGTCTTGTGCCCGCCTGCGTAGAGTTCCCCGTCGCGATATTTAGTCACCCACAGATGGTGCTCTGCAAACCGCGCTCGCCGACGCACCGTGCTGCACTGGTCTGCAATGAGCAGTTGAGTGGCCTGCGCAACCACCTTAAAACCGACCGGGCTGCCAGAAATAGCGTTGATTTTCTTTTCGTTGACAACCTTAAAGACACGGTTCTTCTCGGGGGCAGCGTCAGCGAAGCCGCTGCTTTCGACGGGTGTCTTGACAACTTTCCAAGCGTTACCATTTGGATTCTCTTGTCTGGAATAAGGTATGGCGACAGTATCTTCCTGGATGACGGTGTTTTCGAGACCGTCAATCATAGGGTCTATACGAAGACAGAAGAGATGCTGATGATTGGCGGCCAGGATACCTGGAGAAACAACATTTCCCCAGAAGCTGGTTTTGCCCTTGTCGATCAGAGAAGTGGCAAGAATGCCTGTGGCGTGAGTTTCGAACTCAATTGCACCACTTTGCGTAAAGTGCCAGGCAAAAATGTACTCATAGTTGCCAACGGTAATGATGCTTTGCACAACCAATATCCGCGCACGCGTGATAGCCGCCACGTCCGTCCGTGGGTTTGTATGCTTCCAGCCGATTCCATTATCCTAGAGAAGTTAGCAATCATCATTAGGGCAAAAGGCGTGCTGCTAACCTGCTCATGGAGACATATGACATTAGGGGCTTTATATGGCTCTCCGGCAGAGTCACTCAAGCATCCGTCGAAGTACTGGATGGTTCCCAAGCAGTCGCAACCTAGAGATAGATTGTTGGCTGTGATACCAGCGCCCGCGTCTCCAAGATCAAAGGCCTGCCTGCGATGATGCGGAGATCGTGGATCTGGCAGACAAATGGCAATCAGCAATGGACGCGCGTAATTAATGGCCGGAGACGAATACTTACCACCGTATGGAACCGTCATTTCACTCATGCTCAGACGATAGAAGAGTTTTCTTCCATCGTATCTGACATCGTGGATGGTCATACCTTCCCTCCAGTTGAAGCCAACCCTGAAAGTCCACTTTTGCCATGAAATTTTCGTTTCATCCTCGACCGTGAAGCTGACGCCCTCGGGCTGCACGATGAGTAGAGGCTTGATGTCCTTCCGTAGATTTCCCTTTTGCAGGTCACTATGATACTCGTTTTCCACCAGGTGTTTTAAAGCAACTTCGGGGGCCACAGTGTTGTGCTTCAGGCCGTCTTCCTTGCCGCCAGTTGCAACAGTATCAATCCGGATGACTCTTTTGAGGAATGGGTCATAGACTGGCGAGATGGGGATGGGAAAGGAATATTGATTACTTTCGAGGTGGTTGTGTGGAGCTCTCGCATAGAGGATTGTTTGGATGAGCTTAGGGTCATCCTCCTTGGAACTCAGGTCCGTGCCAAACGGCCAGGTGTCACACTGAACAGCGACGTTTTCAGGCAACTGAAACTTCTTGATTTCCGCCACCACCGCGGGGTCGGTGAGAATGGCGATGGTAGCAGCAATCACTTCGTCTCTGTCAAGGCCATTGTGCTGTGGTGCTTGGTGGTCAATGTGAGTTACTTCTGCCTCAGTATCCAAGCTGACAACGGTTTCACAGTCCTGCCGCTCGTGGACGTGGGACCATGTGATTCTCGCGCATCGGGGCACCCAAGGCCGTTTTAAGGGTTCAACGCCTGCGCTCTCAGCATCGAGATACGGCAAGAGGAGCGCCTTAGGCGGTTCGTCCAAGGTGATGTGTTGGAATCTGATGTTATCTGTAGAGCCTCCTGCGTTTTGCTGCAATGTCTTTTTCAGAACCGCCGCAGCATGCTTCATTTCGTCTGGCGTCAGGCCTCTGAGCGGGTGTCTACGGTCCGTCATGGTAGTGGCGTTTCGAATAAGCGATAGCGATCACAGCGGAGGGTGACTGGCAAATAGAACATGTGAAAGTCGTCCTTATATTCTTACCAGTCCAGGGGTGAAGTGGAGGGGATGTTTTGAAGACTATCTGGAAAGCAATCACGTTTATATCTTCCTGTCGACGCCAGCGCGAATGTCAAGGGTCTTCAAAGCAGACTCAAACCGTTGAAGAAAGGTAAGGATTGCGCTCGCCATCCGCTCGTCATGCGCCTGCAACCAGCCTCCCAGCAAATGGCCTCTCAAACAAGAGCAGCGTCGACGAACCCAGTCATGCAATACTCCATGGTCTTACAATGTGGGGGATGCCTAGGCGCTTGAGTGGTGGATATCGTGCACAGCGTAGCGTTGCCATATCCATCCCGGTCTGACCAGATAAGGATACCTCTGCGCGTTTGGTGCGCCCAGCGTTGTGCCCGCTTTTTTCTCAAGATCTCCCTGTCGGTCGGGCTTCCGAACCCGGCTACAGCTCTTCGACTTACAAGGCTTCGAGGTCCGAGAACATATCGCTCGCTGCAGAGTTCGCCTTGCCCATCTTGGCAAATCGTCTTGCTCCGCCTTTCTCGAATAAGGTGTCGATCATGCTTGAAATTTTAGAAAATGTGTTTGTCCAGTCGTGATAGCGCCGATTATGCCGCCTTTGGTATAGCTTCAAGGTTTTAGTTGACGGCGAGCTCGACGGCTAATGGCGATCCAATCTCGGGACACTAGTTGTATGTGGAGTCGTGCGGCAATCCACTGTGGGCGTCGGGCACGGCAGCATCACTTGGCCGGATTGGGAATACTTTGCGCCTTTGCCAGCACGAAAGGATGAGGAGCGCAGGGCACAACCCTCGTTGATTGACGAGGTTCATCCAGTGCTCCCACAAGGTTCTCAGCTTGTTATATCTGAGTTGTTCTCCCCAGCAACAAGTCTGGATATCACACCACTTCGTATATCCCCTGCATTGCCAGTTGAACGACCAGTAGAGCCGCAACGTTAGGTATAGTCCATAATGGCATCCTGTCCGATTGAAACTTCCGGCGACAGCCCATCTTGCAATCCCAAAGAACAGAAAAACCGAGATGAGAAACTCATAACGCCTAATGTGCGAGAGACGGAATCATATAACACCCGTCCCAGCGTGCCGTATGTGAGACTCGGAGGATCATCGTTTCACATGATCGGCATTGAGCTAAATTACTTACTCTTTGCTCTAGGAATCCAAATGTTACGTTCGAGGAGTATACGTTTTATGCCAAATTGACTCGAGCTGAAGAGAGGAACGCAGCTAAGCAAGATGCCAGAGGCTCTGCCAATGTTAGATTCCGCTTTCCGTCCTTCTTGTTGTTCGAGCATCCAAGCGAACCCTCCGTGCCGGATAGTAGTCCTCCTCACCATCACCACCATCACCAGCACACCCAGGACATTCTCGCTGTACTCAACGGAGATTTGGCGGAGCTTGCACGAGTAAAAAGAACCGCAACATGGGGTGCTGTCTTTTTCCTGATCACAACAGACCTATTTGGACCGTTGAGTGTACCGTGGGTAGCTAGAAAGCCTCAACTCCAACATATACACTGTGATCTCTGATATGAAACAGATGGGCTCTCTCGCAGCTCGGATACGTTCCCGGAACCATTCTCTATGTCCTTTTTGGGACACTTGCGGGATAGTAAATCCCCCTCCTGCAAATTACGTGGGAAGTTCTGACTTGGCTTCAGTACCGGTCACCAAATCTGGACGTTGTTCTTCCACCTCGATTCTCACCGACACCCGATTCAGAGCTACGGCGACCTTGCGTATCGAATCTACGGTGGCTGGGCTAGACACGTCGCGAATGTTCTCCAAAGCTTCCAACTGTTCTTCAGCGTCGGCTTGCTCACACTTGTCCAGGGCCAGGGAATATCTCAACTTTCAACTGGCTCTGTTTGCTTCGCCGTGTGCAATTTAATCTTCACGGTAGCAGGTTGTATTGTTGGCCAGATCAGGACTTTGCAAAAGTTCAAGTGGCTAGCCACACTGTCGATCTGGCTCAACATTGCCATTATGGCCATCACGTCTGTTTTCCTGGCTATCTAGTGATGTATTTCTAATGACTGTGGCAGTATGGCTGGCGCAGCTTCTTACCCTCCAAACTACAGCACCGCATTGGCGCAGAATCAGGTGAAGGCCGGACCAGTGGTGACCAGTGTCGGGACACCAGCCGACGGGACTCTCTCGACTCGAATTGTGGGTTTGATGCAGGCCATCTATTCCTACGGGGGAGCCATGCTGTAAGTGATGAGCTTTGAAGTATTGTTTTCCAATGAGCAGATACTGAATATGTCAGGTACTGCGAGTTCATGGCCGAAATGAAACGTCCTTGGGATTTTTGGAAGGCCTTCTTTTGCGCGCAAACACTTATCGTGTCTCTTTATGTCTTCTACGGTATACAGACATCTTTCCCTGACAGATTATCATATACTCAACACTCTCGCAGGGCTATTTGTCTACTCTTATCAGGGCCAATTTGCAGTTCTAGTCTCTAACCAGGGAATTTCGCTCAAAGTTCTCCAAACCGCAACAAACGCAATGAGTGTCGCGTCATCCCTGATTCTTGCATGCTTGTACGAGATTTCTTTCATCGGTGATTATCAACATTAACTGGAATTCAGGTACGGAAACGTGGGTATCAAGGTCCTTTACATGAATATTGGAGAAGAACTACTTGGTCTCCCAAACCTGCACACTACCACACGAGGCAAACTACTATTTGCTGTACTCGTCCCAGTCTACTGGGCTCTTGCGTAAGGATAAATTTTTCCTGGCTGCATACCCTTCGCTGACATATTATTAAAGCTTTGTAATTTGCTCGGCGATCCCTAACATCACCAACTTCAGTGCTCTCATCGCTTCTGCCTGCGTCACTCAATTCACCTATACATTTCCGCCGATCCTCATGTTAGGATTTGCAGCCTAGAAGGACGCATATCTCCCGGGCGAAGGCTTCGACCCGACGACTGGAAGGACCGTCCGCCATGACCATGGCACGAAGCGATGGATCCGAGGACTAAAGCAACACATCATAATGAACCTTTTCAACACTTTTATCCTCATTGGTGCCGTGTTCTTGTGTAGCTTAGGGATTGTCGCCAGTATTATCCTTCTTGTGGAGACATTTCAAAGCAACCCCAAAATCACGTCCTTCACCTGTGTAAGCCCTGTGCTCTGAAGATCGGACATCAGCTGGCATCACGCAATTCTGCGAGAAATTAGGACTGAGTTTCAGTGAGACTGAATCTGGAACGACTGACAGAGCTGGATTGAAAAGGAAATGAGCTCACAAAGAGATAGCAGAAGCTCAGCAAGAAGGATCCAACATCCCAAAGCACGTCTCGACAGAGGCGTGTTCTGGAGGTAGGGACGGTCAGAGACGTGGCTTAGACGGTCGTATGCTGGGTCCACAAGAGCCCGTAACTGCCCGATTTTCCAATGATAGAGGTTCTCAAAATATTCACATGCCGTGTCTCTACGCCATTGCAAAGGTTTGATAGGAGCATATACGCGACTGCGAACATTTCTGCCTGACGGCGGCTCTTACTCTTCGATGCGTGTCCGGACTCTCCACCAAGCTGGAAACAGATCAAGGTCAAATCTCGCCACGCAGAGCAACATGTCGCAACTGCTCCATTGTAGCCTCATTGCGCGGTCAGCCACCCGGCTTTTTCAAGAGCAATGCCTCTCCTGACAGGTAAAGCAGAGCCATATATGCACAGAGAGGCATTGTGGATACAGAACAGAGCTAAATACCTGTAATAATATGGAACATCATAACCTAGCAAAAGATCGCGACTAGCCACTTGCCCCCACTCTTCGACCAAATCGCGCAATGGATGCCAGTTCCAGCCAACCCTGTATTCCTACAAATTGGCACGAATGCCAACATGCGTCCTCACCAAGTGCTATCACAAGCATTGCAGGTCGAGCAAGCCAACCTCTTCGTCCGGCCAACTATGTCGTGGTCACCAGAAAGTCTCCCGGACCTGATGGGGCGGGTGTACCTCGTGACAGGGGGAAATACTGGCATGTAAAGGCGATCTATACCCTCGATGAAGAGGTGACATACTAATTGCCTTCAGTGGTTTCCAAACAGTTCTCGGCTTAGCAAGGCAGAATGCAACAGTTTACATCGGAATTCGATCAGAGGGGAAGGGAGCTGCTGCAATAGAAGCAGTAAGAGCTGAAAAGGGGGACGCAAAAGTCGAATTCGTCAAGATGGACATGATGGATTTGAAAACTGTTGTGAGGGTGGCAGAGGAGATCATAAGGTGTGTGGTCATGTCTTCAGGTCTTGGTGCCATTCCACGACACAAGCCTGACGGGCATTTTGTCCAGGAAGGAGAAGCTTCTGCATGGCCTGGTCAACAATGCAGGGATAATGGCGACGCCGTACGAAGAGTCTTCTGATGGTGATGGATGCGAGGCACAGTTCCAGGTTCGTTGGCTTCTTACCAAGATTTGTGGCAGGAGAAGACTGACTGTTGCTGTCTGGCCTTGATCGCAGACAAACTATCTCTCCCACTGGTTGCTCACCTTTCATCTCCTGCCACTACTCCTCGAAACGTCCCGTCAAAGCCCTATGGGCACTGTCCGCATCGTGAATGTCAGTTCAGACGGCCATTTGATCTTCGGCGCACCGTCAGGCATCGATTTCAACGACATTAACCAAACTCAGACCGGCAAGGGAGGACCATGGTCGCGCTATGGGTCATCCAAGCTTGCAAACATCCTGCACGCCAAAGAATTGAATAGGCGGTATGGAGGTTCGGAGAGGGGATGCATCTGGACCGCGAGCCTACATCCGGGAACAGTAGACACGTAAGTCGTTCCGCTCCGCTCGTTTCAGCTTGCGTACTTGTGCGTGTCCGACGTGCCACACTGACATGGTGATTCCAGAAAACTGTCCACTGGGGCCACAGGGTCTAGCTTCTTCCAGGTAATCCTGCCGATCTTGAAGTTCTTCGGGGCTTACTCCAAAGTGGACACGGCCGCCTACACTTCGCTTTACGCGGTGGCCAGCGATGAATTCACGCAGAACTTGAGTGGCGAGTATCTCCAGCCTGTGACCAAACTGGGCAAGGCAAGCAAACAGGCGAACGATCCCAAGCTCGCAAAGGATCTTTGGTCCTGGACGCTGGCTGAGATGAGTGTTCGGGGCTTCGCCCCTGTCAGTCTTCAGGAGGAATTAGGCGAGAGAAAGGATTGAAGGGTCCGACCGCCCATATCATTCTGTCAAAGCCATCACTGATTGAGGAAGATTATGTACCTCGTACCTACAAGTACATCATTGACCCCCTTTGACTCTGAGCTGCTGGCGCTATGTCGTAACGGGAATGCATTGCGCGATTATGGAGTGTGATAGTGTGACTGTAACCAATAAGGGCCATGCTTATGCGTCGGTTCGCGCCTGTTTGGAAGATGCTCGTATCCGGAGCAGCAGGACTACTTCTTCCCTGTCGTATCGTATCTGACGGTCCAGAGCACAATGGGCCGAGGAGCAAGGGCAACAGCCTTGAGACAGTCCTTTACCCCACGCACCAACCCTAAACTTGAACTAGATGCGAGGGATACGGCGCTTATCCACAACTTATTGTCTCAACCTCAGCCGGGGCTACATAGGCAGGTCCATTTTGACCATGCCTTTCCCTTATCTTGTAGATGTAATATTACAGGGACTCACCAGACTCGAGAGTAGTAGCGAGGCACACAAGACAGAACGAGCAAAGTCGAGTATCAGACACCCGACACTCAACCTCCTGGCATTACAGAGATGCAAAGACCCTGCAATTTTTAGCTCCTGCTACTCCGGCATCATATTATCCATCACCCACAAATGGTCTTCTGCGGAGTCCCTAGCAAAGGCTGCGCTGTGTGTCGAGCTAAAAAGAAAAAGGTGAGTTGATGATTGTCTGGACTCCTGCTACGCTACTGCTTTCTGTACCCCCCAACCTATCTTTACTCTGCTGTACTCTGGTCGACTGATCAGGTCAGTGCGATGAGGCATTTCCAGAGTGTTCTTTGTGTAAGAGGACTGGCACGGCGTGTCCAGGCTACAGGGACAGTCTGTCGCTCAGCTTCCGCGACGAGAGCACTCGTGTTGTGAACAAAGTCCGTCGTGCCAGCAAGATGAAGACGCCCAGCAGGAATGCTAAGCTGGCACGGGAATGGAATTCTTGCCGTGCTACCGACTTCATCCACGAGGGCCAAGAATCACAGGTTCAAAACGTCGAGTTGAGCAGCACACAAACAGATTCCTCTACATCCTCATTCAAACATGGCAAGGGGGATGTAGTACTCTCTCCTTCCAACCCTGACGTCTGGTCCTGTTTCGACGCATTTTCCTCATTCGACCTCTCGTTCGACACAACGTGTGCATCGCCATTGGCGAATATTCCGCCAGGTCCGACTCCCAGTGCGTCAGATGAAAGAATAGATGGGGGTTCGCTCTCCATGTCTTTCGCTCCATCTCTCGAGGACCAAGCTACGTCCTTTTTCTTCCACCACTATGTGCTCAAAGAGCTAGCTAGCCCATACAATCACCTTGCGTCCCTGCCCATAGTCTCGGGCCAGAGCAGTGGGATCAAGGTTCTATCAGGCATGGTCATTTCAATCGGCGCTGCCGGAATCTCCAATCTGCGAGATGACCCTGACCTAATGCATGCCGCGGAAAAAATCTATTCCTCAACCATACAACGATTACAGACTCTCCTCCGCGACCAAAGTCGAATCCAAAAGAATCAAACCATGATCTTAGTGCTGCTTCTAGCACTATATGAAGTAAGTTGATTGTTTTGAGTTTCAGAATATGGACTGATGGGTCACGGTAGACCGTCACTTGTTCTACTCCTCAATCAATAAGAACCTGGAGTCGCCACGTCAGGGGTGCCACCGCATTACTGTCAATTAAAAGACAAGACACGTTGCACCCCACAGCCGTTCAGGACGTACACATGCATCTACGTCTGCAAATTGTGCGTGAAACTAAGAACTCACAGACCCAGCTGTCTAACAAGCACTTCAGATAATCGATTGTCTCCAAAGAAGAATCTCGATTCCTCACATCGTGGCAGACTGGACGTAACCTGCCAGGGCCGTTGCAGACGAGTATCAACCAGCGCAAAGCCAACTGGACGAGGTCTCCGTCCGGCTCTGCCGGCTCCGCTGCTCGATAAAAGACAGTCTCCTTGGCGGCAACGAAGCCATCCGTCAAGCAGTCTCCATCGACTCAGAGCTCGAAACCTGGTTGGTGTACACTCTCATAACATGCGCTTTCAACGAGGTGTTCGATTTCGAACACCCTGACGACGTCTTCTTTGGTTGCTATCATGTCTACTCCGAAACCCGTGTCGCCCTGTTATGGAACCACTACCGAACGCTCCGAATGCTCACCAACGAAATCATCCTGGATGCCTTCTACTCGAGTGAAGTTGGCAGCGCCTGGTACCAGCAGCGCCAGCGCCTCGTTTCCGAACAGCTCCTCAAGAAACTCACGACTGATATTTGCGCCAGTGTCCCGCCTCTGCTGGGGTATCCTGATGGGTCGTCAGCCGCGCGGGTGATGATCGGGACGCTGCTTCTCTGGCCGTTGTATGCGTGTGCCGCACAAAACTATGCCTCGCCGAAGACGAGAGAGTGGGTCATTATTCAGTTCGAGAGGATCGGGGGGGCAATGGGCATTCGCCTGGCAACCTTGCTGGGCAGGGCGCTGAGGGCCAGAGGCAACGATACAGCCTGGAGTGTAATTGATGCAGAGAAAAGACGAAAGACAGTCATTCAAGAAATCGAGGAGAACTGGTGAAATGAACTAGGAAATATCACCGGGCCTACTTTTTTCGCCTCAGAATCCATATCTCAATCGCACCCAGCTAGTCGAGATTCCTCCCGGATGGGTTGCCTCGTACCGCTGTCCGTGATAACAGATACACTTAACAAAGCTTGCAGAACGGCCCCCAAACTGAGCTAGTTGCCTTGGCCCTTGATAGTTCAGTTTTCTTCGGGTCGGGCCAGGCTCCAGCACAGCCTCCTTGACTGCGATAGGTTTATACATAACCTAAGACGACGCGTCTGAGTCGCCCCACGAAAGGGACTCATTCTTTCAAGATCCCGTAAGTATTCAACGGGGGGATGACAGCTGCGAAAGTGGTTGTCAACGATCAAGGCTTTCGCGAGATTCAAGGCGAACCGTTCCAGTATGGCACTCTCGATTTTGAGAAAGAAGAGATCCGCTTTCTCGTTCTGGAGCGATGCGCCGCTGGAGACGATAACAATGGAGGGCCGGGCAGCGACCTGGTCAGCTGCACCATCGAGACTCAACCGCTATGCCATGCCGACCCTTTCATTGCTGTGAGGAACGCCCGAGGATACCGACTGCTCGAGGAACTGATCATCGTCAACGGCAAGTGCCTCATTGTCTCGGCCGCGCTGGAAAGATTTCTGCGACACTTCAGACGGCCGGATAGATCTGTGAGGCTTTGGATTCGATACATATGTATCGACCAGTGCAACGCGGACGAAATGTCTCACTACTGGACTCGCGAATTTCAGGACAAGATGTACGAGGTGGCGCAATCGGTGGTGGACATGCAGCGGTTTCTGCGGGATCTACTAGATCGACGAACGTTTGAAAAAGTGGTTGACTCCCGATACAGGGAATGGACGAAGGAGTGGCATGGATTGCCTGAGCAATGGCCACTGCCAAAGGTCTATCCAATCAAGCTCGGAAGCAAAGCATCCAACGAGCACCCAACACAAGCATACCAATACGTGCCTCTGGACACAGTGGTCGACGAAACCCGCATGATCGTGATCGACCCAAGTGAGGATAGACAAGCACCATTAGTGCTTCATTTGGCGCACAGTCCGCTGGCTTCTGACGTGGCCTATCACGCTTTGTCGTACACTTGGGGAGACGCCCAAGACAGCGTCGAGGTCACTGTGATGGGCCAACTGATGCGCATTCGAAAGAACCTGGAACGTGCCCTCCGTCGACTACGGCGGTCCTCGTCACATGCTTGCACCGTGTGGGCAGATGCCATTTGTATCAATCAATCTGACACGAGCGAAAAAAGCCATCAGATTCCTCGGATCGCCGCCGTCTATGACCAGGCTGCCTGCGTCGTCTGCGATGTGGGCGAGGAAGACCGGTACAGCGAGCTTGCTCTAGACTTTGTCAAGCATCTTCAGGAACCCGTCATTCGCATGGATGAAGACTGCGAGTTCATCGTCGGAAAGCCAGATCGGATCGATCCAGGCGATGTCCCTCGACTCTGCGCGGCCTTGTACATGTTCCTGATGCGCCCTTATTTTCGGCGAGCATGGGTTATCCAGGAGGTGGCCTTGGCTTCGAACCCGGTGATTGTCTGTGGCATGCAAAACGGCACTCCCTTTGAAGCCCTCGAGAAGGCCGCAACTAATCTGAGCGACATGATATTGCGCGACCCGGACCTCGTCAGGAAGATGAAGGATTCTACGCCTGATTTGCACAGCGTCGACCCGGACCAGCTGCTTTTCATTCGCAAGCTCGTATTTTTTCGCCACCTCCACATGTGCAGGAATCGCAATGGGTTCATCATGCACGGTATCAGAAACACGGCGCCTGGATACTTGGAGGCCGCAATCCTGGCTCGAGATTTCGAAGCAGCCGTCCCACACGATAAATTGTTCGCATTATGGAACGTGGCACGCGACAGGGCTGGTTTAGACTATGTTGCGGACTACTCACGCACATACGAGGAGACTTGCATGGACTTTACCAAAGCCTGGTGCGTGCACAGCGGCAGTCTAGATATGATTGCTGCCTCTGAGTTCAAGAAGCCCGGTGATCACCAAGCATTCTATTCAAAGGCATCCTCGTGGTGCCCAGACTTCAGCACCCCATCACTCTCGAGCTCTCTCGTCCGTCGTGAGAAGCTCCGGCTCGCCCAAACATCAATCCTGGACGATATCGACGGCAGGGTCTATTGTGCCGATGGCAACGTGCGCCAGGAGCCAGGGGACAGCAAGTACTTTGAATTCAAAGGCAACACCCTACACTGCATGGGCGTCATACTGGACAAGGTCGATGGTGTTGTAGCCAGCACAACCGAATACCCTTCAGCCGACGCCGCAATCTTTGGACTCTTTGAATTTTGCAAAGGCTTCTTCGAGAAGAACAACATCACCACGTACAACGATGTCGCACAGGCGGTGGTAGCGATGGTACACGGCGACTGCATTGCGTCGTGGCCGAAAAGAGCCGAAAGGCCTGAGATGCTTCAAGATGAAGACTCGGACGCGGCCGTGCACGGGTACACTTGCATACCGTTCAAGCCAAGGTTGATCCCTGACCAGGATCCGAATTGTTCTCGCCACGTCCCCTGGTTTGCAGGCGGCTACTCGTCACAGGAAGCGTCCCAAGTGGCGCGCACCATCATGCGCGGCAGGCACGTGTTCGTTTCCGAGAAGGGTTATCTAGGCCTCATACCGAACTTTGTCAGCGAGGTGGAGGGCGATGGTCATAGTCGTGGAGCGCTTCACCTGGCGATCCTGCCAACGTGTTCCATCCCCGTCTTGCTCGGCGATCACCCGGAGATTGAAGGCGCGTACAGGTTTCTGGGGACTTGTTTCGTGCAAGGCTGGATGGAAGGAGAGGTCCTGACAGAAGAAATGGGCTGTGATGACCCGGCCGAGTTTTGGGAAGCAATGACAGGCACCGATAAACTCAGGATTGTATGAGAAGGAAGCGATGGTCCCTCTCATCCGTTGTGACTTACACTTGGCATGGCCCTGGGGCCTGCAAATCTCTCTAATCGAACTTTAGTTCATGTGTTGTGTACGACTGACAGGGCCTATTCGGGAGATACGCTGGCCCACGCGAGACCACTATTAGGAGGAGATCCTTCGAGCCTCGATCCTAGAGGGCATGCGGACACCTTTTCTCCGAGGACGGGCGTGTCTGAAATCCTTAACCTAGCGACATAAGGCCAGCATACTAGCCAGTTCTCCGTCAAGGTTTTGTGGAACATTACATATTTTGTTACTTACACCAAAACCCTCTCAATTTCGACCTCAATCGGCACGCCGAACCCATGCTCGCCGCCGACGCGATTCTTCTTCTTTCCTACCTTCTCTAACTCATTGACTAGCGGATTCAACGCCACGGGAACCGTCATGGGATCCTCATGTCGACACTTCAACTCGAGCACGACGCCCTGGCTCAGCCCTTTTTTGCCCAGCCCGTCGGCCCAGCGCGCCGACAACTTCACCCGTGGATGCTTCGGGTCGATGTGGCCGGCGGGATAGATCGTGCCCAGCAAACCCGCCAGCGCGCCCAGGTAATTTGCCCAGAACCCTTCCTGGTGCGTCAGGATTGCGCGGAGCCGCGCCTGGAAGTTCTCGTGTGGAGGCGGGATGTCGACGTTCCACCGTGCGCAGAGCGCCAGGGCCAGGATGGCTCGATCAGTGTGGGAGATGCCATGTGCGGAGGTGAGGACGCCGGTGATGGGCGCGTGCAGGGCAGAGAGCGAGCGTGTCTCCTTCGGGAGAGGCAGGTGCAAGTACATCATGTCCGCCACGGCACGGACTAGGGATGGGGTGAACGAAGGCGGTAGGGAGCGATCAAGCTGGTTCTCGCCAGGCAGCCCGTCCCAGAGGAGAGCTGCGAGGTCCGCGGCAGAGGATGTCCCATACTGTGCTGTGGCTGCCGGTAACGGATCGAGTGCTTTTGTCACTGCGTCGAGCGTATCAAAGAGAAAGCCTTCGCGCACCCCACCCTGACAGAAACGCACTTGCTGGATCATCGGCAATGCGCCGACCAGGACATTGATCAAGAATGCCACGGCGGGGACTTGTTCGGCCCTTCGTTTCGAGATTCTGAAGACAGACTCCTCCGCGGCCAGAGTCGTGATCTCCCCCGTCTGTTGAAACTCACGCTTCGTGACGCAGAATCCGTTGATGATGGGGATCGGGTAGGGCGACACCCTGTGCTGCGACATCAATAGGTAGCCCCAACCTCGAAATCCGCCGCCGGAGAGATACAGTGTCAGACCTCCGTGCCTGGCCTTGTGTTGTAGAGACTCGGGAACATCGAGGTCGTCGTAGGCCTGACGGAACTGGGCTTTCATCTCCTCTTCCAGTTCTTCCTCGGGTGTCTTTAACCGTGATTTTGATTTGTGATGAGGACTGCGATCTGGCAAGGACACGGAGAGTTCTCTCAGTTTCCTGGTCAAAGCTGCAGCGCCGTAGGGGAAGGAAATGCTGCCCTTTGGACTGGTTTTGACGTGGCCATCTTTTGCAATCATCCAGGTTATTTGAGTGCTGCCCCCTAGATATCCGCAGTCAGCAATGCCGTCGGAATTCCTTCAAGAGAGCAAACCTTTGGAAACATACCGCCTAGATCCATGACCAAGCCCTCCACCGAAGCGAAGCTGCTAGCGACGCCCATGGCCCCGATCGACCCTTCAGCCTCCTTCGGCAGCATATCGACCACCCAGCCGGTGGCCTCCTTGATCTCCCGTCGAAAGTCGGCCGAGTTTTCTGCATTTCTGGTGGCTTCTGTGGCCAGGACTCTGATGTTGGTCTCGGGCACCCCGAAGTCGGCGCACGCGGTTTTGAATTTGGTCAGCGACAACAAAACGAAGTCAATGGTCTCCTGAGGGATGGGGCCCTTGGCGCCAGATGAGTATTGGGCGTCGAATAATGAGATGCCCTCGCGGTCCTGGTAGACAGTTGGAAGGCAGCGGGCTGTTGACGGTGAGAGGTCGGTGATGGAGAACCGGATGCCATTGCTGTCGAGGGAGTCCCGCTCAACGTTAGCCAGCGGCATGCAATGTAAACAGCGAAGAGTCGGCAAAAATACTCGGTCCATACCTTCCCATATCAACCAAGCCATAGAGGCTGCTCGGTGATGGCGTGCGCAACATTGTGTGGAGCGAAGGTGGTCCGGATATCTGTTCCAGGGGATTCGGGCAGTGCGGAAATGGGCCACGACACCGGCTGCACCGGGTACACGGCAGTTAAACGACAGTGAAGTCTGTTTATCTGAAGCCGGGAATGGCGAGAAAGCCTAATCAAACGATGTGCGTGGATTCTGGGAGCCCCAGAAAAAGATTCGCATTGCCCGCAAAAGAAATTTCTCTCAAGCGGAGCATCAGTCGATCTCTCGTATAAATATTACAGGTCGCAATCGCCATGCACGTGGGACTTTCTCACCAGCTGTGCGGCTCAACGCCGTCCATCACCACCGCTGGTCAACGTCAACCCAGGTATCCTGTGGAAGGTCACACATCCCACGCCATCTTTGTCGAGTTCTTTTTCTCTATCAAAGTGGTGGCGCACGTCAAAGATATAGTCGAGGAATCACGCCCGACAGCCACCAGCTCAACTCCCTGCCTGAAACAGAGGGACGGCCTCGTTCTACGAGATCTCCTCATCCTCCTCAGGATGGAATGCGTCTCCAAAAGCAGAGCCCTCCAAGGCATCCAGATTCAGCTCTTCATCGTTCTCGTAACTTGCAAGCGCATCCCCAGCTGTGTCCACTTCCACGTTGTCAAAATCTCCTCCCATCCCGAAATCAGGAGTGTTCAGCGCTCCATCCGGAGTTGGCTGAGCTTGCACCGGCTGTGGCTGATTGGAGGTGCTCTGGCCACTAGGCTTGTCCTCCGTCCCTTCCGCTGCAGGTTGACTTTCGTCTTGTTGGCCTTCGTTTGACATTTCTGGAAATTCCATGTCGTTCTGGCCTCCCTCTTCGCCAATCATGACCCATTCATCCGCGTCCTGATTTGCAGTGTCGAGTTGGTCATCCATACCATCCATATTCACGTCTGCCCCAATATCGTCCATTTGCGGCAGATTTTCGGCTTGCTGATTGGTATCCGTTTCAGGCTGTTGCTCCACATCGGTAGACTGTACAGGTTGGGCTTCAGGTGGTGCAGGTCCTGTTTCCGTCTCCACAGGGATTTGCTGCTCGCTGGTGGTCATAGCGCTGTCTTTCTCCTCCGGCTTCGGCTCTTCTCTGGCAGTTGCCGCCTGCAGGGCTTGGGGCTGGAGCTGGGGCTGTGGTTGTAGCTGTTGTTGAGTGCTTGCACTCTCTGCCGTAACAGGGGGATGGATAGCCTTCTGCGGCGAAGCAACGACCGGAGCGGGTGGCTCGACCGGGACTGCAGCGATCTGGGTTCGATCCTCCAAGCCTCCCTTCGAAATCAGCGTTACAGTATTGGTCTTTGTGAGCTTCTGACCCATATGTGACTCAACTGTATTCATGATCTCGTCAATCGCATCACGCGGTGCAAAGTCGGCATCACCACTGGTCCCGTCTTTCGAGATACTCGGCCTCTCTGTCACATCCGAAACTGTTCGCAACTTCTTTTCAGCAGTCGTCAATGTGGTGGACCGGCGCAATTTCTCCATCCTCCTAGCGTGTCTGTTCCTCATTTCTTCCAGTTCTTGTTGCATTTTGGCCAGCTTTTCAGAAGCGCGCTTGATGAAGTCATCAGCTCGCCCAGCAGGCATTTTACCAACTCGTGGGGCCGGTCCATTACTCGGCTCCCTCGTTGCCGAGATAGGAGCATCGAAGAAATCTTTCGTCAGCTCTTCAAGCTGGCCTTTCCGGCCAAATCCCAAGTCGCTAGGGATGATGGAGAGCGTGGGATATGGCGACTCGATTAGCTCCTCCATCCATTCATGGTGCTGCTCGTAGCGAACGCGACTGATATCTCTAGGAGCCATAAAGTCGAGCAAGTCACCACGAGAAACATCTTCCTCTTCCTCCACAGTCGTGTCTTGTGTAATGCTCGCGCCTCTTCTGTGACCAATACCCGGAGGAATTTGTCCTTGAGCAGCTCCTCTCGTCGCTCCCGGAGGGAGGTGCATAGTGGGCCAATTTGATCGATCGTGCAGCATAAACTCTTTTCGGGGCAGCTGTCCTTGGCTCTGAATCATGCGGCGCTGTTGGAGAAGTGCGTGAACGTGAGGCATGATTGGAATATTAGCCGCCGGTACATGATCACGCGGAGAGGCTTTCGAGTAGTGAGTCAACCATAAGCTAGGATCGGGATTTGGGAGTCCGTGAGCTGGGTTTCCAGGAAGCAGCCGATACCGTCTTCTGCTGTGAGTAGCCATAACTTCGCCCGTGGCTCGAAAGCCGGCTCTCTGTAGAAACATTTCCAGAGTCTACGCGGACAGAGTTAGCAATCGCTACAGAAGGTAGATGGCCACCTACATATCCCCTGACTTCTGATTTGTAGACATGTTCCACATCTGCCCAGATGAAGCCATCACTTGCATAGCTTGTCCCCAAATATTCGAGCGGCTGCCACTCGAGGATGAATGTGCCGTCCGGGGGACAATCGATGAATTGCCATTGCATTGGCTGCAGGTCGCGCACGATTTTGGGGGCTTCCAGAAGATACCCAACAATAGTATCGACAGCAGGATTGCTGGTGATGGGGTAGCGATATCTGGAGACCAGATGCAGGTGAGGCAGCTATGTGGACAAGTCAGTTGCTAAGAGGAATCGAGTTGCAAGGACTGTGCAGCTCACCAGCTGCGGCGGGACGCCGGCCGCGGGATCTTTCATCATTGGGTTCATCTCGAGACAGACGCGATCAAAGCAAGGCTATTGAATACCACGGAGATCAATGTCTGTTGATTTGTACAGCGGGAGTTCGGCAGAGCGCGCCTGCGACTGCGACGCGACCAGTTCGGGGCTTGACTTTTTACAAGGCTGGGGACTTGGCGACCACTGCAGCCTTATCACGTGCCAATTGCTCAGAGGACCCAGGCTAGCCGCAATCCCATCGTGTTATTCAACCTTGGAGGGTATTTCTCGAGTCAGACATCGTTTCGCATTTCTGACGGTTGCTTCCAGCCCAACCACCTCAACAGGAAAAGGAACAAGTTGCTTCTCATAACAACTCTACCTCCCCCCTCTGAACGCCTTTCCTAACGTCCTTCCACCGAACAACCCAGACTTCCCCTCCTCTCATCCTCAGCACGACGCTAGCACCTTCTTCTTGTTCCTGATCCCTGTTCTCATCAACGTCCCGCTCATTGCTCCACGTCCCCTCGTTTAAGCATCTCACAACAACGGCCTTTGAGCTATCTGGCCCTTCAATCATGGGTACCCCTCCGCTTGAATCGTCCAACCTCCGCAATCCCATCGGAAGGGAGTTTAGAAAACTTGAATCGTACAGTTCTCCCAGGAGAGCCTGGTGATGCCTCAGGAAGGCGACTTCCGACGTTGACATGATAGTAGACGTCTTCGTATCGGAGTTTAGATGGCGAGAGAGATACCAGGTGGCGTACTTGGTCATCTTGGCAAGGCGTTGTCTTAACAGACTCCTCACCAGAAACTGTGTCCTTGATAAATCTGTCTGCAATATCGCGAGAACTAGATTGGCATTCTGCGTGCTGGTAGTTGGCTTTCCACCGGTCGTACCATCCACTGAATTTGAGTAGAGTGACGAGGAACCATCGCCCATTCCGCCCGCAAGGTTTTCGATACGCGATATTTGTGACTGGACACGCGCCATTACGCGGGTCATAAGTTCTGTAGGGTAAGGAAGGAGATCGGGTGCGCAGCGCTCTGATATCCATGCGCGGGTGAGGAGTTGGTGGTCTGAGAAAGCGTCCGTGTCACTCGAGGAGTATTGGTGAGAGGTGGATGTTGAGTAGGGTTGTGAGCGCGAAACATCCGCAAGAATGTCGGAGATGTCAATGTCCATTGTTCAAAGTTGAAATAAACCAGCAGAATGATAGATATCTGGATTGACTGGGTGAAGAGCAGTCGACCTTGATGGGAGATGTGGACGCGATCGCTGTGTCAATGAAGCAGTGTTGACGGTTATCTAGGTGCTCTTGGTTCAAAATCCATGTAAATATGCTTGTGTTCGGCTCTTTGATGTTGGAATTGGTCGATTGGTATGTACCGACTACTCGGTACCATTATTGTCGAAGTTGAATCATGAAAGTAGCGTGTGTGGCCATGATCTTACAAGGCTGGAGGAGGCTGGACAAGGCTTTGAAAAGTGGCTGAACCTTGGCCCATAAAGATAAAACCCGTTCGGAGCTCACGTGCGACTCTCGCCGAGCGTACCGCTTTTATCCGGCCTACAGTACAGTCAAGATTACAGACTAGTTTCTTGGCACCCAACTCAGTTCCACTTTTTTTCGCGATTACTCTCCTTCTCACCTATTTTCTATGAAATGCCGAACAGCTCTTTTAGAGATCTCTTAAATTAACTAGGGTTATAGTGTAACAAGGCAAAATGGCTATGCTGGGTTAGCAGGGGAACGATTTATTTAGTCACATATCAGACTAAAAAGAGCCAGTATTTTAGCTGTGACAGCGAGGGCCGGAGACAATAAGGGCTAGTTAGGCAACAATAACGAGACCGAGAATAATAGTCGACAGTGCTAGCAGTGGTGTGCGCTTAACACGAGTGTGCGTTGTTACACGTGCACGCCGAACCCTGAAGTGCTGTTAGAGCTGCTGCCGGGTCCTAACTGGGTTAGGGTTCTCAGTAACGAGCCCTTGATAGTATGAACTGGATGTGGATCACGCAAGGTATTGAGCAGTCGATATTACTAAGAACTGTAAGGTTCAATAGCTAACATGAATTGGCTATGAAGAGAGTGTAACTATGTAAGGGGAGAGAGCGCATCTATATACTTGTGCGGGCCTTCCGACTGAGGCAATGTAGAATGGTTCGTGGTACGCTGGTGCACTGGTACGTCCTCCGTACCAGGTTCCACTGTTCCGACGTACCATACTTTCCTGCTCTGGGTGTCACGTGTTATTTCTCAGCCTTGCCTTCAAGGCTGCCTCGTGTTCGGTTGAGTTTCCTTCTTGGTATCGCCCACGTGCTTCCCGTGGTTCTCACAAGGCTATGTCTTACAAGTGCTCTATTACAATATCTACTAAATTAGGTATAGTAAGTTATTAAGGTTTACTTAAGTAACTTAAGTAATTATTTAAGTAAGCAATAACTGTGCCCTCCACTATCGGCCAGACGGTCCGGCGCGGCTTTGACGCTCTAGAAAACTTCACGCACACCCAACAACGAACCCTGACAATCTCAAAGTTGGTGGGACGCTGCCACCTCCGGCAAAAGACGATTAAGCTCCGCTAGGATACAGTCCAGATGGGGCAGCCGACTGTCTTTCGAATGCCACAGCAGTCCGTTAGCGGAATTCATAGCTGATTCAACTTATAGGCCTTCATCCATATCGCCGGCCTTTCTCAACCCTAGAACCTAGTAACAAGACCTAACCTTTCCGGCGTTAACGCGAAGAAACGGAAATCCCCAGAAGCGGTAGAGGAACCGTTAGTTTAATTCCACCCTCTCTAGGCCAGAATGGAGTGAGTGAAAGTTTGTGTTGAAATTAACGTTCATTCGTTCAATGTGGTCTATTTCAGTAATCTTTAGCTGTCCCATCCTGATTACTGGAAGGCATTCACGTATGGAGGTTGAGTTAATGGACGAAGCATGAGACGCACCACCCTTGAGGTTTAGATTTATTTCAGCATAAAACAGCCCTCGTTACTGTATAGAATTTAAATAAGGAAAAGATTAAATCATTACTCTTTCTCTTCGAGCCATTCCTCTACTTCACCTTTCTTTACTCTTTCGGAGGTTCCAGTCACAAAGGCAATCATTCACTTCCGAAAAAATATTTCACTTGAACATCCACTAATATTCTGCACCATGGGAGGAAGGTCGCTTATTTTGCTCTTCGTATCGACGAAGTCATCTGTGCTGCAACTGTAGACGGTATAGTAGCCTATTACCTACACCATTTAACTAGAAAGACAGAAAGGCTAGGTTAATTTGCGTATGCAGTGAGTGCACTAGGTATTATTAGTCTATTGCGGATGCCGTTGAGATGGAGTAACAGCACAGGTGGTTGCCATAAAATTTCGGTGGGCGCGATATTGTTGATACGCTCTGCAATACCAAGAGCCTGGAAACCAATGATTAGAACGATAATTGAGACTCAGCCCTCGTCGTCGCCGTTAACGGACAAGAGATCGCGACATTACTACTGCAAAATGGGGCTAATCCCAATCCCAGTAACTGTCGACGAATCACTGCTCTCATATCTGCGTGCTTCTGCAGTAGCGTGGCAATCGTCGAATCTCTCATCTCAGAATCCCCGCGTTGCATATTCCATGGCGAATTCTTTTCCGTCTCAACCATGCCGCTGACCCGTTCGCATACAAATCAATCTCTATGTACCTGCTTCGGAAGGCTGCTTACTCCAGTCAGTGGGGCGACACCCCCAGGTATCCTCCGAGCTCCGACATCCAATAGGATTGTCGTCTTCCACCCCGGATTGGTCTCCACCAATGTTTTTTTGTGTTTGTTCAGGCCGGAGTACAGGGGTAGCTATTGTCCCTTCACTGTCTGGCTAGGATTGTGCATGTTTTCTCTCAGCGAACTGACAATCTTTTCTTGCTCTAGCGGACAAATCACTATCAGTGCGAGCCCCTTTCCTTCTATGATGTCGCCCAAATTCCATGCTCGCGGTATTTTGACCAAGCAGAGGATCCACAAACAGGGACGCTGTGTACTGTCAGGCGAGGATACATTGCAGACTGTCCTGTACAGGAGCGACAAACGACGCAGTATCCGGCAACTCGTAACGACGAATCAGCGAGGCGTTACCACAAGTAGGATTAGTTGGGCGACTTTATCTCCAGGGCGGGGAGCATACCACGGCATTGCTCCTTTCCACAAAGATGACCTGCCACCGGGCTTGGAAGTACCTCCCTCTTTGATTGTCGACGATGTCGAAGCAGCGGAATGGGCAGAGAGTACTGACGTTCTGGTTGTCGGATTCGGTGCCGCTGGTGCCGCTGCTGCAATTCAAGCCCGCGAGTCTGGTGCACAGGCGATAGCGGTCGATCGATTTGGGAGCGGTGGTGCTACATTCTTCAGTGGCGGAGTCATTTACGCAGGAGACACAGAAGCACAGCGCCAAAATGGAGTGGACGACTCAGCTGAGGAGATGTTCAAGTACCTAAGCCTTGAGGGTTGTCCGGTCCAACCGGAAACGCTGCGAAAATTTTGTCAGGACAGTGCCAGCAACCTCGATTGGGTAGTCAAGCATGGCCTTCCTTATGGCGGTCAAGTGTTTCTAGAGAAGACGGCGTTTCCTCCTTCGCCATACAAGATATACTATTCGGGTAACGAGGCTATGCCCTCCTATGCGCGGAGAGCTAAACCCGCTCCTCGGGGACACATGGCTGCAGGCAAAGGTTTTGGAGGCTCCAAGCTTTATAAGACCCTCCACGACGCCGCTGAAAAGGCCGCTGTTAGGTTCCTGCGCCATACGAAAGTGACACGGCTTGTTGTCGATCGCAACAATCGGGTGATTGGTGCAGAAATGCAAACAGTTCCTCGGAATCTGTGGAAACGACACGACGACTTGTTCAAGACCGTGCACCCATGGATACCATTCAATGCTAACCGGTCCAAGAGAGCTATAGAGGAAGCGACAAACCTGGAATCGAGGGCCGCTGAGAGCAAACTTATACGGGCTCGACACGGCGTCATTTTGTGCACTGGTGGCTACAATCGAAGCTTGTCGGTCGTTCAACACTACCGCCCCGTTCTGGCGAAACACTACGAAAAGACGTTACCGCTAGGTTCGATTAGCGACAACGGGGATGGCCTTGCGTTGGGAGCATCGGTCGGAGGAGTGACGTCGCTATTGGACAAGATCAGTGTTGCAAGGACGATGGTCCCACCCAACATATATGCCAATGGAGTGTTGGTGAATGCACATGGCAAACGGTTCATCAACGAAGGAGCATACGCCATGTTCATTGGCACGGAAATGCTCAACCAGCCTGATGGGAAGGGATATCTGATTCTCGAGTCTAGGGACTTCTGGTACGGGGTGTACAAGTCTTTTTTCACGGGCGGAAATTTCTTGCTCTGGGGCGCACCAGCCCTCATTAATATCTGCTTTGGCGGAACTCGACGAGCTCGATCTTTAGAGAAGCTTGCTAAAAAGATCAAAGTGCCTCCTCAGGGTTTGAGAGAGCAGATTGAAGGGTATAACAAGGCCAGCATCTCGGGCCAAGCAGACAAGCTGGGCAAGATGAAGGACATCTTCAAACCGGTGGTGAACGGACCGTTTTACGCCGTCAATGTGTCTCTGGGGAACAAATTCAATCCGGCCCAGTCAATCACGATGGGCGGCCTAGTGGTGGACGAGCAGACTGGCAATGTGAAGCGCGAAGACGGCAGCGTTGTCGAGGGACTTTACGCCGCTGGCAGAGCAGCGATCGGTGTTTGTTCTGGAGGATTCGTAAGTGGAATGGCGTTGGCCGATGCTATCTTCAGCGGCCGTCGAGCTGGCCAGGCTGCTGCTATTCGTACAGCCTCGGCTCCAGAACAACTTTCAGAAAAGCTTTAAATTTGTGGAAGCGGCTATTAAGCTTGTCCTCCTATCACAAATGCCCGGATAGAGCTCCATTCATTGAAAATACACCCGGCCGACAGATCGATTGTCTCGGTAAACTCGTTTGGTCCACAGACGAATCCGCTTGCGATATAACAAATATAGCCATTTCAGAAAGATACTGCGGCTGTCCATAGCCGTCGATCTTGTGGCACATGCAGGCAGGCTCGTTACACGACCCAGTCGTTGAACATTTGCCCAATCACGCCTGGATACTATGTCGGCGCACATCGACCACCTCTTATTCCCCGTCCCCTTCTCTGCTCCTAATGTGATCGCTCTTGCGGCAAAAGTCAGGCTGCCACCACCTTGATCTCCTGCTCAATCTTGATGCCTTGCATCTTTCGCTCCACCCTGTCAGTCATGGCATCCTCCAGCGACTTGTTCTTCACCAACAATGATGCTATAACAGCGCATACGCCGAAAGCGATAGACGTGTAATAGACTACTTGAAATGACTTGAAGAAGGCAGTGTGAGCCGCAACAGTTGCGGCTTGGATGATCCGAGGGGTGATGCCGGGGATTTTGGCAAGCGCTGATTGATCACCCGCAGCAATTACCTCCACCAGCTCGATGGCGGCCTTTTGGCTCAGGCCAGCCTTCAGGGCTGCAGGAACGACATACTTGGGTAAGTTTGAGGCCACCTTGGTGTTGAGAATCGTAACATAAATCGCGTCTGGGGAATCCAACTTCAGCCCAACAGAACTTTTGGGAGGGCCGTTTCAATTATACTGACCTGATATTGTAGAGAAGCATGTGCGGATGCTGAACAGAGCGCCAATAGCAATTCCGAAATCTTTGGCGTCGACCATCAGAGGTGCCCCACCAATGGTAATGATTTCCATGTATCCAATGCCTAGGCCAACGAAGAAACTGAAGGCCGCCGCCATATCAACAGTCAAGCTTGCAGCAGCGCAGGCACCCACAAAAGAAGTGAAAATGGCACAGGAGATGAAAAGCTGCCACTTGATGTGTCGGAAGAGTTTCACCGTGAACCCAGCGATGCCCTGACCGGCAAGCACACCGGCAGTGATTGTGCACTGTTCGAGAGTTAGAATCTAAAAAAAAAACTCCCCAATTCAGATTCCACCTACACTGTACCACCCGGTCTGGCTTGGTGATTTGCCGAAAACAATTGATAGCTGCTCCGGGTAAAGGATACTCAATGCATAGAACACCATTGAACCGAGACATGAGCATGCGAGCAGGCAGACGAAATTCCGGCTCCTGAAGAGGCGGAGAGGCAGGAGAGGTAGTGCCGGCTTTCCGAAATATTCTTCAACTTGTCAGTGCCATGTCCGAATGTTGTAGACAAGAGTCATACCCCAAAAGACGAATATGATCAGCACTACGGCCCCAACCACGATAGTTGCAATAACTTTACCAGAATGCCAAGCTACCAGCAGTTAGTATAGAATTCTTCGGCGTGAAAGGAGTGTGCGTACGATATCTTTGGCCGCCCCAGGAAATACCGAAGAGAAAAGGCACAACCCCTCCGCAAAACAGAATCAAGCCGATATAATCCAAAGACTTAATGAACTGCCATTTAGTATGTCTGGTATGCAGCTGGTCGAATTTGGGTGGATGGTAGCAGATGACGAACAAGCTGACCGCGGCGAAGGTCAAGCTGGCTAGAAGGTAGTAGATTGACCGCCAGCCTTGGGAGGTGTGCGTGGCCAAACTGAGCGCTAGGGATTCCATCAGCTTCTGGGCCGACGAAAATACTACCTTTCACGTACCAATGCCGGGCGCGATGGCGGATGCAGGACCGAAGAAGAACGCGACCGCACCAAAGTACAGGTAGCGATATTTGTTTGGTAGAAGCTCTCCACCGATGGCTGCACAGTGAGTTTGGGTCGCCGAACCAAATCCAATGAGTACTCCCTAGTTCGGGTAAGTCGGCCATAAAAGAACTGATTCGTGAAACACATACAGCTCCGATCAGCGTGTTGATTGTCTTAGCTCGACTTGCCACAATATATCCGATGAAAGCGATGGTACCGAAGATGATCTGATACCAACGGCGGCCGAACAAATCAGACAGGCGACCGACGACCGTGAAGGAGACAGTCTGGCACGCGGTCAAGGAGAGAATGATCCAGATGGTGTTTTCACTCTTGCCTTCGTTTCTCTGTTAGAGACATGAAGCTGCGACAGGGTAGAACCCACATACCAAGATCCGCCTCAATGACCGACAGAGAGAACGAAGGCATAACATAGGCCCAGAAACCGACGGCATAACTGAGCACCATTGCCTGTTGCTCATTAGCCACAATCAAGCGGTCGTCGGGGATCGTTGACCAGCATCGACCCAACAATGCGCCAGTGTCGGAAGTAGTGGCGTCCCAATGCGTCAGAAGATTCGGCTCCCATGGCCTCCTCCGCAATGGAGTCGCTATCAGAGCCGTCCTCTCGATGTTCAACTTGGACTCGGGAATGCCCGAGCTGGGAGGCATGTTGAATATCCTCGCTCTTTTCCTCAGCCCGGTCACGCGGTGTTTTGAATTGATCAGTATTTGCGTCCATGTCTGGCACGATCAGTAAGACACCAGGTAATGTCAGGACAAACTCGCAGCCGAATCGCACCAGGATGGCCCCGGTTTATAAAATCAGACTACCTCCGGGAGAACTCCAGTCAAATGGCCCGCCCCCGATCTGGAAAACAATGCATCGGCTGCTCTTTGTCACTCACTACCTTTTAAGGAAGGGCCAAGGCCATAGCAACCCTCTCCTAACGCCTTGTTACGACCATATTCTTACTTCTACAGGATCGGACGATATAATCATGTCGTCCCGGTTTCGTAACAACCGAATCCGTAAGCACCGATCCCATTTTCCGTCCCGGAGCCTGTAGCGCCTCAGGCTTTCCTGGAAGGATGTTTCCTCACCCCGCCAGCAGCGACCGCCGGAGACAAGCACACCTTGACGGTCATAGATTCATAATCTCCTATACGGATGGAAACTTGAAGAGTGGACAGAGAATACATTGCCATGTTGTCCGAAGTGAGAATGGGATCATTGTGAATATGTCCCTTGCGTGGAAATCTTAGTATGACCATTACTTTTGTTTCCGTCCTCATCAACTTGTTAACCTCGCTCGTAGCAAGATCTCCTCTATGCAGGAGCTGGCGTTCAACCTTTACCGTGCCTGTTGCAAGTCGGGATTTACGATTCGTCCTATGTGACAGTAGTACTAGTTCTCTTCCTCAAATCATCAACGCTTCTCTATCTAGGTTGAAGCAAGGATGAATCTTTTCTTTTCTTTTCTTTTCTTTTAAGAATTAAGGACTCTGTCTAACACGACACCGGATCACATTTAGAGCTGCCTAGAAATCCGAAGCAAAAAAAGGAACAAACACATTTAGTCTTCAACTGTTGCATTGATTTCAAATGCGCCTCCTGTCAAGGATAGACGGCTCCTTTGACTCAACTGGCCTTGAATATTTGATATGAAATAGTGACCTTCCCTTCTTTTCCGACTCCAATTTTCCCCTGCGCCGCGAACGGTATCGTTCACCCAGGCATACTGCTCGCTCCGACTGAAGATCCTGGGAACCGTGTAGCAGTACAACTTGCCAAAGTTCACTTCGCATTTTTCTACCCAGGAAAAGGTCTTGACAACATCCGGAGTCACATGCATCTTTCCAGTGTAAGCAAACTCCAAATTTAGCGAACCATCGTCAGATAGCGCACTAGCACGCGCGTCGATGGAGATAATGTTTCCTTTAATTCTCATGCAGTCTGAAGCTGTCACAACTTTCGCGACGTGCTGTCCGTCCGGTAATTCCAGGGTGCCCTCCGATACTATTCACACCGTTAGCAGTAAACTGACGCTTGATATTATTACCAGGTGCAAGACTCTCAGAACTTCTGAAGACGAGGCGGCGGATAGCACGCACCATGAGCAAGACAGAGATCAGAGTATTCTGTTTCAACGTGTGGAAAGCCAGCCGATCCCGTCATGGTGAGGGGGAAGGAGTGAGTGAGCTTCGGGGGTGCTGCTGTCATATTTTTCGTCAAGCTAATGAGGCTGGGGATAATGAAGTCAACGTAGACTAGCTTGTTGATATATTTGTCCCTGTAACCAGGCAGTTTTTCTGTTATGTCTCAACCTCTACTTCAGAATTCGGTGCGCGAGCTAGCATCACCTATTGGTGCCCGACTGTTGTCGGACCCGGAACAAACCTGGCCGCAGAAGACCGCGCAGGTACCAATGTGGACGGCTTCGAAATTCTATACCGGCGGCATTGGCAGTGTCGAGTAAGAAGGAGGTAATATCGTGACCTAGCACATGATCGTGCCCAATGGTGGAGCAAACTGCGCAAGATGTATTAAGAGAGCGTGCGAGATTATGGACCCCATTTTCCCATAGAGAGACCAAGTAGATCGTGGAATAGAATGATACTAAATCATACAACTTCTCTGGTCGCCATCTTGAAGCCACCCTCTAGATCTCTTGGTAACATGAAGCCACATGGTTTCTTTGGTCTTTCTTCCAATGCACTGGAGGCACATCAGGCGATTTGAACCCCTGAGGCGCCTCCGCTACCATCGGCACGGCTTGAAGCAGTGCCACCGCAAAGGTCACATACGCAGGAGCCGCAGGCTCGCCCTTGATGGATTGAGTGTCGGTTAGATACGACGGCCTCAGACTCAGGACAGTGCGGGAAGACGGTCTGCCTTCAATGGTGATGATATAGACATTGTCTTGATCGAGGTGTACCGGTTTCATGGCTTGGCCAAAGAAGTAGGTAATCTTTATGCTGATGAATGGTTCATTGTCGACGTAGCCAGTTGAGGTATACGAAATAAGAGCAGTTTGACCTTTCTTAACTGTTAGAACAGGTCGTACAACGTCTTCCGGAGCTGGTATGCACTCTTTAACAGCCTCGATTCGATCGATCTTGACACCAAATTCTCGGCAGACGTGATAGATCATCTGGTAATTATAGTGTTTCTGGTACCATATGGCCGGGCTGTTGTCATCGATTGTCTCTGAGATTGCTCCACCAATGCCAATGACTTGGAGATTACTAGCATTAGATTGGTCCTGGCAATTAAAATACTCCTCAAGCTGAATGCGCGTAATGTCGTTGGACAACCCAGTCAGAAGAGGAACAACGCGCTGAGTCATTAAATCCGGGTTCAAACCGGTAGCATAAAACGTCGCCTTGCCCTTTTTACAGGCACTCTTAATTGCCTCTCCGAATGCTGGGTCTCGTGCTGGTAGGTAACTGTATGGGTGGCTTGTCACAACATTCTTACCCGCCTCTAGCAGCCTGACAAAGTCTGCCAATGGGTTTAAGAAGGGGGCATCAAGCGCAGTGTGGACCACCACGTCACAATCAATCTTGAGGAACTCGTCGAAATCGCCAGTAGTCTTGACCCCAATAGGTTTTTCGGTACCGGCCAATGTACCAATGTCAATGCCCCCTTTCTTTTCTGAAAACACAAGCGCGCCGACTACCTGGAACTCAGGTAGGCGTGTTGCCTCGCGAATGACGATGCAACCAGCATCTCCAGGACCGAAGATAGCGATCTTGTACGGAGTCGTCCGCTCAGTCATTTCGGGATGTGACAGAGTAAACAGATAGATATCCGAGACAACACATAGGAGACCGGATGCAGAGAATCGGGTCAGAAGACCCTCAAATAGATTCCTAGCCATCAGTGCGCCGGAACTCGGATAGGGAAGGCTGCCGGCATGATCAGGTCAATTTTCAGGACCAATAAACCACAAGAACTTGGTTCACTATCAAAAGATGTCCGGAACACACGTATTCGGTTTCTTGGTTTCGTTAACTGCAGCATGACAAGATTTTAGCGCAAGCTGGAGACCACACTGTAGCTAGTTCTACCTCTACACGAAAGGGGATGATTGCAGTTCTGAATCTATATCAGACAATGTACAAGGCCTCCCTAGTGCTTCACCATTCTATGGACCCCCCTTCCGCCAAAATGAATTGCTTCTATTGCGGAGTTTCAGAACGCGTAAGGACACTCTTGTCCACTGACAGGTAAATCGCACAGTTGATCCCGACTAAGCTATCTTCATTTGAGTTTGCCGTTCGCTCTTTTTTTGCCCTCCCTCACCTCGCCGTGACAACTGTCGAACTGTAGGCCCATGAGCACAAGAGAAATAACCACAAGAATAAAGGTGATAACTCCCATCAGGTAGGAAACGTAGTATCCCTTATCCAATGCAAGGGCGATCCAGACCGGCCACGCCATTGCCCCATTTGCAAGAATATCAGCAGACGGGATGATCAAGATGATGGCAAGTTTCTTCCAACCTCTCAAAGATCTTTCACACAGGACATTGACCAGGGAGGCTGCAACAATCGGCATCGTAGAGTTTACAGCCGGGAACCATAATGGCATCCCGAGCACCTTGAACGGCTGGAAACCGAAATAGGACTGGAGACCCCATTGATTGACTGGAAACTCCAAGGCTAGATTGGATATGTATGCGAAAGCCCATAGCTTCCACAAGCCTTGGGGGGTCATGGGGGATTTCTTGTCTTGGAACTTGGTGAACCACCAATACCCGAAACCACCGTTGAATGTGCCGTAGGAAGCCAACATAAACAACGGGATCGGTCGACCGTTATGTACGTACAAGACCAAATCTGTCCTTGCAAAATAGCAACACCCTAGAGCGTTGATCAAAGGGTCCAGGACAACGCATAATGAACCCCCCAAGACAAAGAGGATAAATGTAGGCTTGTGTCTGAGTATCAGTTGGTATAGAGCGACGAGGATGCAGCCGACATAAGGCACGAATGTAGATATGGTAAATAGGAGGGTTTCGTTGTATGGCATGTCCATGACCGTTGGTGGTCGCGCTGAGCGAAGTGGATCCAGCATGTTTTGCGTAGTTTCTGTTGTGCTTTTCACGTTGAGGATTCCGGTCCAAAGTCGTTTGATTTTGCGAGCTTGGATTGTGAAGAAGTAAACGTATACAGAGGCAAGCTCATGACAAGCTAAAGTAGGTTTTAGTATTTACGCTGGGTGGCCTTTCATATTAAGGCTCGGAAGAGGCAAATGGCACTCCGCTCGGGGGTTTGGTTCCCAACGCACTCCTTATCTGGCTGCTCCTTTTTGGGATCAAAAATTAGTGGTCGAGCCATAACATATAAAATCCACCTGGAGAATTTATTGGACATGTCCCGGACCCTCGTAGACGGAACAGTTACTTTCTACGAACCACTAACTCGTGACTCTGATGGCTTATCAAGCAGATAGTTCCCTCCTTCGATGACAGAGTAATTCCGCCCAACGCTCATGACTATCTTGCTGGCTTGAAAGAATCTCCTTTCATCTGGTACTATCACCTCTTGGTAAAATTTGTCGGTCGACACCTTCTCCCAGGTCGCCATTGATGGGAGCTCCAGTTGCACAATTCCATCGTAACCGTGTGGACTAGTGGCAGGGTCTATGTGAAACTAAAGCACAATTTCCGTCAGAAAACCGATCCTCAACTTTGAAGCAGATCATTAAAGCCATCAATGATCGTGAGCTGACATGTTGCTCGTCTAGAATTATAAACAAATTCAGCCATGGGCGGCCGGGTTACACTGGGTATATCGGCGACCAGAGGGATTTGACTGGAATGACTCGGTAGATGGTGGTCTTTGGTAAATGGTGCAGATGAACATACCTGCCGGTAACTCAAGATTCCCATTTTGGAAAGAAATTCTCCTACTAAGGGACCATGTTTCTCGACCCAGTATTTCTGGAATTCTTCTGTCGTTAGGTCTTCGCTTCGGGTGACAAATGCGAAGATGGTGACTGAGAGAGTGATATTATTTCCATTTGATGCCATTATCACTTGTTCCTGGGCTAGGATGAAGCAAGCAAAACCGTAGCTTTTCTAAGCTGATATGGTTCCAAGGGGGAGGCTTTCATGTCCTACTGACCAGTGACAATATCTCTGGGGTTCGGGCTCCGCCAATCGGAATTTGTAGAGGAGCGAGTTCCGCGGACAACTCGGTGGAAGTAATTTTCTCCGGCCACCATGGAATCACTTAGCTTTCTCCATGGGCCGACCGTCTTGTTCACCACTGTACCAAGAGCTGTGACCTTGTTTATCACGATTCAGGAGGCCAACAGAAGAGAAGAATGTTTGTAGCCTTCTTGCGAGCGTAAAACTCTCAAGAACTCAAATTACTCAATACATGACCTTTTTCAGTCAATTGGACATGTAAGCGCTAAAATTTACTTCGCCAAAACCGCTTGCTTTTACTCTCCTTGACCACTGTACTAGAGTAAGCTACATATGTAATCCATTTGGGGGGTTCTGCTGTCTGACTGACAATGCCGTTCGACGCGAGCTGGGTAGCTTGACGGCAATTTCTACAGGTCCTTGAAATCGACATGGCTCGTCGCCGTCACTACTTCCGGAATTCCTTCTGATACCACTCCTGGCTATAGTTTCTGTCTTCATCCAGCCAGCCTTCAGCCTCCTTCCACGTAGCTGTGATCAATTGAGCTCGCTTTTCGGCTCGAGGGACAAACTTCGATTTGTAAGGCATCGGTCCCGCGACCAGACCAGATGTCATAGCATCGTTGTCAATGATCTCATTGTCGACCCTGTCAATATCGAAAGCCCAAAGGATTCGTGAAATGACAATGAATAGACTGCGGTCTGCAACCTGCATACCTGGGCAGATTCTGCGACCAGAGCCAAAGGTAAAATGGTCACGAAGTGCAGGGTCACCTTGGGCTGCAGACTCTTGTGAGAGCATCGCGTCGTGAATATATCTGGTTGGGTCGAACTTCCGAGGGTTGGGATAGCGGACTGGGTCATTATTGATGCCCCATATCTGGGAAGGAGGGGGGTTTTGGTCAATAAGGGCGATCTCTCAACCCAATAGTCTTGTCGAATCCTCAAGGGACATTTAGGAACTTACATTTTGAACGATGGACGCCCCTTTGGGAATCTTGTATCCCTTGTACTCGTCATCACGTGCAGCAGCATGCGGAATTCCAAGGACCGCGGTTGGACACCCTGCGCAGTCCCAAGAGTCAGTTCGTGTGTTTCTTTGATCCAAGGATCCCACTTTTTATAGACTCAACTTACATCTCAAACTCTCCTTTACGATAGCCCTAACATAGGGCAATCTGTCTCTGTCTTCCCATTCCGGTAGCCGCTCGGTAACCACCTGGTCTAATTCCTGATGGGCTTTTTCCTGAACCTCAGGATACAAGATCATTGCTTTCACAAAGCCATGCAGAGTGTTGAATGTTGTGTCTGAAGCCCCGGCCCAAGCATGGCCTGCATTGAACGCCATCTCCATCTCGTTAAGTCCGTCTTTGTCTTGATTTGTGAGCATGTCGCCAGCGAAGCAAGGATTAAGCTTCCCTCGGTCGATCTTGGACTTTGCTTCGCGCAGCAGATCCAACCAGAGGTCTCTTTCCATTATAGTGAGCCTCGAAAGCTCCTTATTCAGCTTGTTCAAAAATTTGGGTGTATGTTTCACAATTGGCCTGAGAAAGGGGAAGAATTCTGTGACTTGTGTCGCGATTCCGACCAAGGTGTAGGAATCAATCCATTCGAAAAGGCGAGTCACATAAGGATTATCCGGGCTGTTAACCCGCCAGCCGTAAGTGATAGTTGATCCTGTACTAGTTGTGTAGCGCTTGAGAGCATCATAACTGTCGTATGGTTTGTTCAACAAGTCCCAAAGTAGTTGCTTCGATTCAAATTGCTTCATCACATGTGAGTGCCATGCCTTTAGTTCATAGAGGTGGAGAGTTAAGTTTAAATAACAAAGAGAACGCACTTGGTAGGGTAAGTACCGGGTAGCCGCAGTACTCGTCAAAGCAGTGTGATACATTTTCCGCTGGCGACGCCAAACATCATCGTTACTTTTGAGGTCTGTTAGTCTGCTGGCTTCGGAGGAACATCATGAGGCAGAAACAATCTTACTCTCGATTGGATATCATTAAGCCATACCCGAAATTACGCAAGTAGTTATCCACACGATTCGAGTAGATACTGCTTCGTTTGTCGTAGAGATCTTTGACCGTTGTATAGGAGTTGAGGACAATGACATTCATGTCACCAAGCTTTAAACCCATGATGGGGCCATCTTTTGAACGTTAATTCTGGCATAATTACGCAAAATAGCAGAAACATACACTGTGTGGACATTTTTGCAAGCCCTTCATGTAGCTTTTCTGTCGGCATCTGGAAAAGGTTCCCAAAGATTGGGACCGTCGGGGGCCCTCAAAAATCGTCAAGCTTGTTTTTTTTTTTCAATACATGGTAAAGCGAAGTACCTGAGGGATAGTCCTTGGGCCTCATGCCATAGTTCCGTAACCAGATAACAAGGATCGCAATAGCTATTGCTATGACCACACCTAGTAATACATACATGGTGGAAACGGCAACAATGTCTAATTCGATTTAGGATACTCGAAACAAGGAATGGCTACTCGCAGAAAGCTCTTGAAGCCTCCTGGTGCCTCCTTATCATGTGCCTCCTGTGCCAGGGGACGGGGATTGCTCCTAGCTATCACTGGAGGGTCCGGACTTCTGATGAAGGCTTTGCATTAAGCCGGGTTGGCTGATAGAATATAAGAAAGCTTCTTCCAAATATTTGTAGAAACCAGTCTCCGTGAATCCGGGTGCTATGCTGGTCAACTGGAGCGATTAGGAGATTTGGAGGCGGGATAACTTGCCCCGGGTCAATTAAACCCGGGCCGCGTGGGAAGCCTACTGTGTTGATGAGGTATGGTTTAGGCTTCGGTATGACCCTGGTGAAGCGGAACGGCGAACGTTGTGCCCTTGTCCAGTTCACGTCGAAATTAATCATATCATAGGTAATGGCTCGTTCCAGAGTTAGCTGCAAGCAGAATTTACGTGCTTTTTTTTTTTGACATAATTGGAGCGCAGACTTCTCCAGGACAGAACTTGGCATTAAAAACGAAGACCTTATTTATCGTCGCTTTCGCTAGGTATATCTCACCGATCATGGTTCTCGGGGATTTCAGCGTAGGTGGGAAACTTGCTGTTATAACGGGGGCTGGCTCAGGTAAGTCCTTCATGACAATCAATTAACGAAATTTAACAGTGTGGACTTTTGCAGGGATCAACCTTGAGTTCGCGAAGCTGTGTCAGAAGCATGGGTGCCGAGTGCTGGCTGCGGATATTAGATCAACGCCAGAGCTTGAGGAATGGCTACGAGAAGTCAGAGGAGCAGAAACTAAAGTTGTTTATCAACAGACAGACGTGGTGCAATGGGATCAGCTCAAATCCTTACTAAAAGTCTCGGAAAGAGAGTTCGGCGAGGCCCCTGACCTGTGAATAATATAAAAATCCTAGACAGCTGGGGGTGCTAACGCATATGTTTTCAGATTTGTGGCTGGAGCTGGAATTTTCGAAGCGGTGAGACAGCCCTAGCCGCACGCACTATTAGCCTCTGTCGCTCAGGCTGATATCAATTGTGTGACAGAGAGGACCTTCAAATTTCTGGGAGGACCTCGAAGATGACCACTACCGACTGCTTGATGTCAACGTTGGACATGCCATTCAGCTTACCCGCATTGGCATTCGAGAGCTTCTTCGATATAAAAAGAAGGGGGCGATCTTGATTGTGGGATCGCTTGCTGGGTATACTCCCAACTTCACTGCACCGCTCTATGTTGCTTCAAAACATGCCATCACAGGCTTTGCCAGGTCGCTGGCTGATTTAGACGAGATTGCCGATATCAAAGTGGTCGCTTGTGCTCCAGGGTAGGGCTTTATTGACCAATAGTTCCTTGCCAATCCATCCCAGCTGACGATTTCATCCAGCATGGTGTATACAAGAATATGGACGGATGCTCCGAAGGCAATGGAGGAGTACAACATAACCAAGGAAGTCTGTGCTCAGCCATCAGAAATAGCCGGTGCAATGCTGTCATTGGTCCAATCATCCCAGTGGCCTGCAGGAACCGTCCTGGAGGTTGCAAAAGGGCAACGTTGGAGGAACATTCCGGCCTTTTACGCAGAACCGCCTGCTGGAGCAGGGGTCAAACCGGAACAGAACGAAGCTGAGAGACGGATCATAGCTCTCTTGGAGGCAGAGAGACAACACTAATTCGAAGCCACATGGGTCGACATAATCTGCACATCTCAAAAATGTTCATTGTCCATGCCAATATTGATTGCTCTATTCCCATTATCCCATACTCCGGATCATGGAGGACCATCCTAGACATCTTTTTGCAGACACATGCAAAAACTATCGAATAGCTGAACATGGTCCCTCAGCTGAAACTACAAAATCTGCAGCCCAGACATGGTTCATTGGCCTCACTAGCCCTATTCCTCAGCTGCAGCATTCACAATATTACTAACTCAGACCCGGTGCCATCGTCAGGCCTGGCGTCCTCAAGCATAGACTGTTTGGTTTTTAAACTGCTACTTAGTCTTCCAACTGAGTACGTGGAAATGTGAACAGCAAGCATGTAGCCAACATCTTACACGCAGGGAAGAAAAGACAATATTTCCAATCATCAATGCTAAAGCACAATAGGCCTGAGAAGTGTAAACAATACGAGTTCAGGTAGACCAACTCAAGCCCATGGTTACTTTTTTGCTCTCTATATCGATTGGTCACATTACAGTCAAGAAGACTTCACCGATAACAACAGGTAGTGATTGAGCACTAACAGAGCATTAAGATGGACGCCATTGATTAGATTCATTGATACAATATAAGTGGCTGCTATGTCAGTGCCCTTGAAGCTCTCTCGACATCACGGCTGTCTAATTTTCCCCCAACGCTTAATGTCCTTTGATTGGTGTAGGAGACGGGGGAACAGGTATAGAATCTAATCCTCGAGGACCAATGTTCTCTCTCTTCTTGAGTTCCCGGGGGTCATGACCAGCTTGCAATTTCTTAATCAGATCTTCCGGGTCGAAATCGACCCCGACTGGATTTTCTGCAAATTCTTTAGACGCCATGAATGCATTTGCCCCTTCGACTGTGTCAAAATTGTCGACTTGTGTCTCAATTTGGTTCCCATCTGGATCTTGATAATAGATGCTTGTGGTGGGGCCGTGATTGACACTCCAAATTGGTAGAATACCTTGGGCTTTTCGCTGCCTATATGCGAGAGCCAAGTCTTCCAAGCTCGCAAATGCGAAAGCGATATGCTCGAGGCCGGCAGAGGTCTTGACTTTATCTGTGGTACCTGGAACTGCCCCAATTGCGATCCGGTGATGCTCTTGGTCGTAGGTAAGGAAAGAGATAAAGTCGTTTTCGTATGTGGCTTCAGCTCCCAAGAAGGTTTTATAGAATTCAACCATTTCCTTGAACCGTGGAGTGCGCAAGACGACATGAGCTAAATTTTGGGGAGGAGTGATTTTTTGAAAGGGGCTGTCAAAGTCCACTGCCATCCTTGATCAAAACTCAACGTATCTGTGTAGGCCTTGCAATAGATGTTGACGTTGGGAACCAGACGTAACGCTCTCGATTGTTCAAACAATGTGTGAATACTGGAAAGCTTATAGTTAACAGCCGCTTCAGATTTAAAAACCCATAATGGCTTTCTTCTGGGTAATATGGCCCTCAAATTGTGATATGCGACCACGAAATCGAGGGGATTCGTCACTACCGGCTACGGATCTTGGCTTGCTCCGGCCTCCGTTGAAGAGAATGTAGCCCGTGGATTTTCCGAGCCCTCGCATTGACGGAATGGAGCTGTAATGGCTCCCACAGTTTGCAGAGGTCGCATTTGAAGCGGATCGCAAGGGACACAAATGATAGGCTGGAGAAAGCGTGTATCCGAACCGAAATAGAAATGGAAAAAGGTCAGTGAGATTCCGAGCCAGCTCACCGCAAGCCGTGTAGCAGATTCAGAGTGTTTGCTGTACTATTTGCTTCTGTCTAACCTAGGAAACGACCTGCAGACAGCAACTACAGATTCTTCCGAGAATGTCGTGGATTACAGAGGTGCGGGCATCGAGAGAGTATCTTGCTCATTGCTAACACCCTAACCAGAGAGACTTGACCACCAACGCCGACCTGTTGAAATTATTATCATACCCGCCAAGCAGAGTGAGTTGGGCCTGTTCAAAGCATTTTGATGATGTCGTTAATCCGGAATGCTCCTCAGTACCATGATCCGAAGCTTGCACAAGTCGAAGAGGAAATTCTGCAGCACTGGAAGGACTTCGTTTACTTCTGTAATTACGTGGCGGACAAAGACCCTGACGCTGGGAAGCGATTTTACGACTTGGATGAGGCCAATTATTTTGATCTTATGGGTGCGGTTGAGCGTCCAGGCTTTCGCCCACACTACGATCGCATTACCCCCTACCTTGCACGCGCCAATCTAAGAATCAAGGATCTAGAAATTGTCGCCATCAGTCCCGAATTTGGTTATGCAACTGCGAATCAGAATTATTACGGGACAGCTGCAGATGGAGAGAAATTCAACCTCACCTACAGAACTACGTCTCTAATGCGAAAGGTTGATGGGGAATGGAAGTATATCCACGAACACTATTCATTTCCTACAAACATGGCAACCGGGAAGTCCGACTTCACGAGCGGCTTAGAGGTGCAAGAGAACATCAGTTTGAAGGAAGGAGAAAAGCTAGCTTAGCTAGAATGCGTAGTTAATCACTTTCAGTTAGCTGCTGGGATCATATTTCGTATCGTTGGTCATTTTACCCGAAAGAGCACGTAAATGTGGTCAATCTCCTGGCACGCCCTCCATATACTAAGACAATCAGCTGAAGTTGCCTATTCTAGGCGCTCGAAACCACCACTGGAATAGATCAAGTCATTGTTACTCTGGAGCTCAAGCCGACCAAGAGCAGTCGAGCTACAGGGTATATACATCCAGTTCAGAGCACTTCAAGAAACTGGCTTCAGGTATTGACGGCAATCTAGGCATGCCTTGAGTTGAACTATTTCTAATGATGGCAGCAAAAGTTGAGAACGTTTTCTGTATATTGCCTCCGGGTTAGCGCCGCTGATGGATGGATTATTGTTTGTGGCCATCCAACCGGAGGGCATGACCTAGTACTCGTCAGGAAAAGGAGCGCGACTGGAGGCGTACCAGTCAATCGCGGGTACATATGTTCCGACAGAGGCTTAATGACAAAATCTAGGTCACGATCGGACTTGCCGAGCTGGTAGTGCCCAATTCGAGGCTTTGGGAACTGCGAAAAGGGCTTTAAGAAGTACTATCAAGGTCGAACTGTTCACACACAAGCCGTTCCCCTTTTTTTTCACGGCCGCCGCACGAAATGTCCGGCTTTCCAACGTTAGAACCAGCTTTGACTGCACAGGTAAGTCCAGTACCCCGTGCAGATTTACCGAAGTGTTAAGCGGTATTTCTAGATAACATTCGACCCGCCGGTTATCATTGGTACTATCTAATGGCCTTGGGATGACTTTCCAAACTCTGTTAATAACATCGGTAGGGAATGTCAACAGCGGCAGCCAGTTATCCATCGCGGTAGGCAAAGTCTATATGTCTCGTCGGCCGACTGAATAACATTGACCATAATAGCTCATCAATTCGGGCACCTTGAAGAGCGAACCGGATTTCTCGCCAGCTGTGGACGCCAAAGTCGAATTTGGAACCGATCACTTCAATCTGACGCAGGATTTGAAGTACTGCACGATTGATGTGAAAGCTGCATTGAAGTAGGGTGTCTGGCACCTAGCATATGGCGTTCATGTGTCTGCTGACTCTGCTACAGGAATGTAGATGGCGCTGTGCGCATCTCGTTCATTAGAGCATGAAGCTGGCCCTGCTAACATTAATATGCACTATCTAGACCATTTCGTATGCATACAAAGGTCACATTGAGGTGACGCCTGAACTCGGTCTGATTCTTGGAGAAAGTCCATCCGCAAAAACTACAGATTTTGGACATGTGTGTAAGTCCGCAAAATGCATTGACTCATCAGCACAGTCTCGCTGATGGCGTCCCTTTAGTCACCCATGTCACCTTTGAGGTAAGCCGTGAAATTGAGCAATACGTGAGACTACTGACATTGAATTGAGACTGGCGCACACCATCTGAAAAGTCTCGAGACAGGGAGGTTTGTAGGGGCCAGTCGTTTTGTCATTGAAGGCGGAAACGGGCCGGTTATTGAGATGAAAATCAGTAAGATTGTCAAGGGTTGAGGATTGTAGGAGAGAATTTCGGTCTAGTTGCTACAGTACGCACCGGCTCCCCAACAATGTGAAAGAATCAAACTAGGAACCACGAGATTCCTACAAGGTTTCGCTTGATTCGGCATTCATTTACTAAATACTAAACGTCTTGTGCCCAACGTTTTCGCCATGCCATCAAGATCACAACCCCCCTTTCATGAACACTAGACGTAAACAATTCTGTTACGGATCTTCCTATCTCAGAAACTTCCACCTTGACAACGTCGCCGTCCTTGAGCCAGGCTGGGGGGTTCATGGACGCTGCAACGCCACTTGGAGTCCCGGTCATAACCACAGTACCGGGGCTGACTGTCCTTCCTCGGGTCAAATGTCTGACAATAGCAGGAATGTCGAATATCAGATCGTCGGTTTTGGTGAGCTGTCGTTGCTCGCCATTGACTGTGGTTTTCAGAGTGAGTTTACTTGGATTGAGGATCTGTGACGTCGAGACGAGTACTGGGCCAATCGGTGAAAATTTGTCAAATGCTTTGGCATATCCGTGTTGCCCGCCCGCTCGGACGGGATCTTGCCAGTATCGCGATGACACATCGTTACCTACGGTGTAGCCTAACAAGTAATCAAAGACGTTATCGGACTCCGTGAATAGTCAATTCTCCCTGCCATAGGTTGAACATCAGCAGACTGCAATAGTGTATTTTCAACTACTTTCGTCACCTCGTAGTCCATGAAGTCAGCCTCTTTGTGTACAGGTATATCTTCGTATGGTCCTGCCAAGGCATCTAATGACCGCATTTACCCAAATTCAGCGTTGATTTGCTAGGGAAATCTCAATGGGTCCTGCGCCTTTGACGAAGATCAATGGATAAGCCGGCAGAGGGATCTAATCTCAGGTTCAGTCGACGTTTTCTTACTTCAGAATCAAGTACCGAACCTTTGCCTCTTCTGCGTGATGACGATAGTTCAGCCCAATTCCGTAAACAATGGGTGCTGCCTCAACTGGACTCAGAACTTTCACAATCTTTGCGGTATTCTGAGTGCGCTTGAAGTCACTCTCCCATGGCAATCCACCGTTATATAAAGGTACAGAGACGCCAGTCAAATCATCATGCCACAGATGGCTCTCAGGGACTTCTCCATAATGAATAGCACCAGAAGAGTCTTCGAATCTAATGAGGCGCTTGAAATTAGAATCCACCATCTTTATAGCGAGACGTGGTGGAAGAATTTGTCCGCGTCAGGGATGGAATGGACGGCAGGGAAGGGGCATATAAAAAAATTAAAAAAAAAAAAATCTCAGCCAAGGTCGACTTTGCTTGCGGTGATCCTCAAGAACAGAGTATTCAATACAGCAGATTCAATGCAGAAGGCATCTTAGACGCTCCCATTGGGTTCACAAGCACATGTAGAGCTCTCGGAGATGTCGTCATTACCTAGCTTCCGACTGGTGCTCGGACTCTTGCGGTCCGGCAGAGATAGACTTGACCAAGCAAAACTACTAGCTGTATTGCTGTGGGTGATCGGAAAAGGTCGATAGCCCGCTCCGATGCTTCGACACTATGTGTATTTGTGTGATACGGAGGATTGTGTTCACGTGATTGAATGAGTGCATGAAAGTTGTTTGTTCTCTTTCTATCCTTTCAGCGGCTCCTTTCCTGTTTATATACACATTTCACCTATGTGAGGAAAGCGATTCCTGAATATGCCGAGTAAAGCAAAGACCGTTCCAGATGTTCTAGACCTTCTGTAGGTGATGCCGTGTTCTGGCCGCGGCGGATGTCCAAAGTGGCAAGGCTTAGCAACCTTAGCTGTCTCACAATTTAGTTTGATATCTGATTTGGGTAGATAATGGAGGAGCTGGGAAGCCTGATATCTCTATTGCAGTTGAAAACTGCTAACCCTTTTCCGGCTAATACCTTCATTTCTGGAAGTCGCCCATCTTATCCAGTTTATAGTCCTTGTCTTGGCTTTTAAAATATTCGGCAATTGTGAACTTCGCGGGGTTTGAATTAGAACGAAGTTCCGAATTCTTGTTAGCTTGCTGAGCAACTTCTCTGCCAGGACCAACTGCAACAAGCTGGTCGTCAACAGATCCCCTGATTGCGGCAAAGTGCTGACCAACTGCAACTTCGAGGACGTGTAGAGCTGTTGATCTATGGGAAATGGCATTGGACCGCCAGCTGACATGTCCGTCGGGTCGAACCAACACCAAGTTCCGCTCCCACAATGCGCGGGCGTGGTCTTCGTTTTTCAACGTGACATGTTTGAGGGGAATACCCATCACCTTTGCTGCCTCGTCGAAGTATTCGGTATTCCCAGCCTCGTCCCTTTCTCCAATGAAGTGAACCAACGTAAAATACTTACCAAAGAGGTCGAATATGGCAGTGTTATCTTTGAGAAACAAATGGGGTGGGCGACTTCCGGGCCAGGTAGTTGGATTGTACTCGTGTGCCGTCCAGCTAGGTTCCTCCCCCGTCGTGTCCGGAACGATAATAACAGAGGTATACCGGTAACCCATCTCGATACCAAGGTCGGTGTTCTCACCGTCATTGGCCTGGTAATGCTGGTGGATTTCTTTTCTCAGCTGGCGCCCTTTGTCCGTGTTGGCGTCGAGCTCATGGGCAAACCCGCTCAAAATCTTCGGGACGGCAGCATGGACAGCCATATGTATCCCTGAGCGTTCCACATTTGTAAGAGCGACCGGTCGACGCTCCTCTTCGTATGACTGCAGCATTCCCTTACCTGCCCACCCCTGAATTACCGCCGCCAACTTCCACCCTATGTCGTATGCGTCGCCAAGGCCCATGTTCATGCCGTATCCACCGGTGGGAATGTTCTGGTGAGCCGAATCGCCGGCCAAATAGATCCATCCATGCGGACTGGAGTATTTGCGGGCAACGGCCACACTGGGTCTATAGGTAGAACGTACCAATACCTGGTCAATTTTCACTTCGTATGGTTGATACATTCCCCCAAGCACGCGGTAAACTGCCTCTTCGGTACCGATCTTTGTCTCGTCCGCGTCCATTGGCAAGAAAAGATGCGTTGTGAATGTATCCTAGAACATGTTGGCCGCAGCTCTTGGTTTGGAAGGTGTGAGGATTGTTTGCCTTTTCGTCCTGAGAGATTACAGCCCCACCCATGACTTGCTCTCCGGTCATAAAGAGATGCCAGAAACGACCTTGCTTGTGGAGTCTTGCCAGATCATTGGACTTGAAGTGCACAAGCAACACAAACCCAGGTCTGTTGTCAAGTTTAAGCGTCAGCGGCGATTCGCTAGATTCAAGTTTGGTTCACTTACACCGGGCCACCATCAAGTGGGATGTCCAAACTTCGTCGTACTCGACTCGATGCGCCATCGCACCCTACTGCATATCGAGATGTTAATTTCACTGTCTTGCCGCAGTTCACGTCAGTCACTGTAGCTTCAACACCTGTTTCACTCTCCAGAATCGACTCGAGCTTCCACCCAAAACGCAAATCAATTAAATCTGTTTCCTCCGATAGCTGTTTCAACCATGCCTCGAATATTTCTTGCGAGATACGTTGCCAAGGTTCCAGAGGCATTGTGCCATCATTCCTCCCGGCTATCTTCTGCCGGTACTGGTCGACGCTTGGATGATTCCACTGTGTTATTGCTGAATCTTTGCCAAGGCCGCTGGATATGAGCACGGTGTAAGGTATATGCGAAGGTACACCTCGATTTTTTCAGCAGGCGACAATACGTAGCGCAGTGATAAGCATCACTCACCTCGCGCCCTGAGACATTCAACAAGGCCAAGCTTACGGAAGAATTCCATTGATCGAACGTTTGTGAGGTCCATCTTTGGCCATCTTTCAATCTCGTAAGCGGTGTATCAGCAAATTGTATTGGTAACCTAACCTGGTCGTCGTGAAGTTTCGCTCCAAGACTACTGATCTGATCCCGTAAAAAGCCAGTACGGCAGCAGTCATCATTCCCACAGGACCGCCTCCAAGTATCAACACAGTCTCATCAGCGAGAACTTCCTCCAATGTGTCCGCGGTTGGGTTGATGTTGCTTGCTCCATTGATTCCAGGACCTTTTTTCTCCATGCTGTTTCCAAACTCAGGTCCTGCTGTTTCCTGACCTCTTTACTCTCTTTGATGATTCCTAGTGGCCAGGAGAGTCGTCGGGCCCCGTTTCGGAGGCTTTCACTCGATCGTATCTTACAGACGGGTGACAATACCTAGAGTCCTTATTGAGAATCAGATGTAGGAGAAACCCCGAAGCCCACTGCACAAGAGGTGTCAGTTATATGTCTAATGATACCGGCTTTCGGGGGGTAATCATAATAAATGACACGAGCCGCGGACGTTAGCTAGATTTCATCGGAGTACACACGCGCACTTTGTCCGGGCAGCCCGGAAGAATCGTTGCAAGCCTGAACCGACAATCAAGTCCAATTGCAGAACTCCAGACTTTGCAAAACTGCCCTTGTACATGTCGAAGGCAATTTTGATTTTCTGTCTTTGAAAATAAAGTCACTATTCCTTAGTCTCACGGTTTTTAAACATCACATCTGGTGCGATCAGCCAGATATTTCCTTACTGATTGGTTTATATTTTGGCATGGCTTCCGTTGAACCGTTCCAAATTGCATGGCCAGATGTCAAAGAACCCCCAGCGGCAATCAAAAAATGGGTGGACGACTTCTACCACCTTGCTGACAATCAAGAAACGAATGCGGGAGAACGGCTTGCCCAGCTCTTCACACCCGACGCCACCATGCACGGCTTGGCTGGTCCTCTCACAGGACGGGAAGGTATACTGGAAGCTCTGTTATTGATTAGCGATGTTGACAATCCGTAGCCATTGCTGCTAGTCGTCCCAAGGCGTGGATCACGCAGAAAGAGCGCAGACATGAACCACGACAGGTCTACACCACTAAGGCCGACTACAGTGATATTCTGGTCTTCGGACAACTCAAGTCATGGTTCAAGAATGGGGAAATCGTTGATGTAGAATTCATCGCTGGTATCACTTTTAGTGGGGATACATCGAAACTTCCTCTGTGCTCCCTCTATCGCGTCTGGGGGGTGAGTTAAAGTGATCTCATGCCATGTCCACTTGAAAGCTAACTTGCCCAGGATAGTGCACCGTGGATGAAAGCGATGAGCAAGAAGGAGTAGAAGATAGTGCAAACTCCAAAAAGCATTGTCTCCCACATGATCAGTTCATGAACAGACCAAATTATCAGTCTCAAGCAAGTGCATGACAAATGACCATTCCTTCTTCGTTAATCTTAGCTCTTAACGTGGGGTCCCCTCTGTGCTCTCATCACGATGCTTTCTGCAACAGGGCTCCTCTCTCATGCTCCGTAACTTGTAAAATGGATCCAAGAACTCGTTGAATCGCATCAGATGGGATGTCGGAGCCCTCAGCCATTTTGCCGTCAATTTCACCAACAGGAGCAATGTGCCATTCAGGGATAACACGAGTGCCGAGTTTCGAGACTTCCATGATTGTACCTCCCGGGTACTTCGCAGATTTCACTGTTTCAAAGAGGGCATTCGCAACTTCACTCGGTGTGATACTAATCTCGTCTGTAATCCCGAAACGTTCTCCAGATCCTGGAGTTCCGGTAGTCCAGATAGGGGTGGCGACAATCCTAAGCAAAGTATCTGATAAGTAATGGCTGTAAAGAGACATATGAGACAAGACACCTACCCAGGGCATATTGCGACGACTCTGACACCCTGCAAAGCATCAGCATCCCCTAGACTCCGCGTAAATCCGACTAGTGCATGTTTTGTAGCGCTATAGATGGGAGCTGGGTATTGTTTGCTGTAGCCAGCAATTGACGCCACGATTGCCACGACACCGCGCTTGGACTTGCCTAGGAGTGCGCGCATCGCGAGGCGTGTCAGCTTGATCTGCTTTGATGTAAGTGTGCAACCCCCGAGATGCCTTCGCTATTTAAAAACTCACGGGGTGGTTGACGTTGATGTCGACAGCCTTGTAGCCATTCGCATCCAGCCCTTCAGGATCATCCCAGAAATTGGAGTATGGCTGTTAAAGGTAGAAGTTATGAGCGTAAAGTGTTTGTGGTAGTGAAGTCTGATATAGCTGTTTACTCCACGTGAAGGGACTTACTGGCTCAAACACCCCAGCTGAAGCAATATAAATGTCAGGGACATCGCCAAAGTGCGTAATGCTTCCATCAATCACATTCTGTAGGTCTTTCCATTTGGCCACGTCGCACTTTTCGAAAATCACATGCTCGTTTTCTGTTACCATTTTCTCGCCCTCTGGTGTAAGACGTAAATCGGCGATGATGACAGCTTTTGCTCCAGCACTCAACGCAACATGAGCGCACGCAAACCCAATCCCTGATCAACCCTGCGTCAGCACCTACGAACTACTCGAATCTGGTTGTTCTTTGTGGAGCTCCAGAGGAGGAAGTCGTACCAGAACCACCTCCTGTGAATGGTAAAGTCGCCTGTCATGTTGTCCTTCTGAGCTCTAGTGTAATCTAAGTTTGAGCGGAATTTGCAAGGACAGCTCTACAGTATGATAAATGATCTTTATAGCGATATCTGAAGAGCGTTATGCGCGCAACTTGGTTCCGTCATTAGGGAGGAGAACCATGCAGCCGAGTCGATGTTGGAGTTGCCAGACGCTTCGCTTAGACAACGCCCAATCTGTGGCGAGAACCTAAGATCTTCCCGAACATCGGAAGTGGCAGTTTCCGGGCCCCGGCTTGAAAGTTTAATATGCTGAACCCACAAAGTCGTATCCAGACCCAGCCAAATGTCGATAAACTGCTACCCACTGAAACTAAAGAAGATTTTCATTATCTCTGTCTGCATCAGGAAAAATAGGGGCGTGGAAGTTAGAATTTGTATTTGTTGCATAACTATAGCCAATTTGCCCGTACTGCTAATAGCCGAGACGTAAGATACGCGTATATTGTTGACAGGGTCTCGAGATAGCCACTGTGTGGCAAACCGCGGGAGACGCTAGGCGTTCACCAACTGCGCCACTTACCTCAACACCGTTCTCGCTGATCTGTGATAGGATGGCGACGGAATAGGAGATTTCAGGAATGCTCTTCAGGTTACAGGCCAAAGTTTATATAAACAGACAGAGTTTGAATAGCCAGGGGGACAGAACACAACGAAGCAGATAGATCCACAGCTATTCTGTGTACAACATATATCGTGATGAACTGTCCAAATTGAACCCGTTAGGGAATGGTAATCAACTTAGCCGTGCTAAAGTATTTTGTTCAGAGTTTAGCCTGCTTACGTGTCCACTCTATACCTTGACTTTCCGCTAATGTCCATTCTCTCTCTATTGTCATCGCTTTCTCTGGGCTTCGGGGCTCGAATACCATCTTGAATGGTTTCGGAATGCACAAAAAGCCGTTCTCTGCTGTCATGTCCGGCTCCTCAACCTTTCCGGTAGTAGGTTCCTTGTATTTGTGCATATTGAATGCCCAAACTGTGCGTGCCATATTGATGAACAGCGAGTTCTGTGCCACATGGAGTCCGGTGCAAATGCGCCGGCCCGCCCCGTACGCATAGTGATCTCTGTCATTGGGATTTGCAGCATTCACCGCCTCAGCTGTGCTGTAAGGATCGTGGAGGAAGCGAGAGGGATCATACGTAAATGGGTTCTGGCGGATTTTAGGGTCGAAATGAATCGCCCACCAGTTCAACATGACTACCGAGCCTTTAGGAATAAAGTAGCTGCAAGAAATTTAGTTCGGCGACCCAGTGAACAATAGCGTCTGATTTAGTTGACTTACCCTTCATACCAATCGTCTTCTGTGGTTGCATGTGGAGTCCCAAACTTGGTAATTGGTACCAATCTCAAGATCTCCTTTGCCATGGCTCGGATGTACGGTAGGTTTGGCTCATCGTCAAACGTTGGGAGCCGGTCAGGTCCAACAACACGATCAACTTCTTCCTGGGCAGCCCTTACAGTTTCTGGAAACTGAATACATGCTCTGAGCCAGGCATTGATCACCGAGGATGTTGACTCGCTTCCAGCCTCGACAAGGGAGCCAGCTGCATATGCCGCCATCAGCTCGTCGATTCCATTTTTGGAGGGATTACTCAGGTAGAAATCCTTCACGAAACAATCCGGAGCAGTTCCTTCTTCAACCTGTTTGATCAAGTTGCGGTACAAGTCCAGATAGACCTTGCTGTCATATGCAAACCATTCCCGTCCAATCTTCCACCAATTCTGCACCATCCAGGATGGGAGGTACTGCAGTGATGGGAAGGCATCCACTAACCAGGCACCAGGAGTTGCCATAGCGACAAAATGTTTCAAAACTGTGAAAATCCTCTCGATATGAGGGTCGTTCCAGTTTGCAACTCGTCGACCGTATGTGATTGTCATGATAAGGCTAGCGGCATATCTCCGGTTGTCGTCGTAGAATTTCCCGGGATCCTTGTTGTTCAAGTAATCGTGAAGGACCTGCTTGGACTCAAAATCTTGCACTGGTCGATATGAGTTGCTGGCCGTAAGGTTCAAACAGGCGTGGCTGACTCTCCGGACACTCCGCCACCGTTCGCCGTAGTTCATGAAGAAAGTGCGAGCCTTCCCGCTCACATTGTCAACCATAGGAGCATAAGGGCGACCCGAGTATTTGGTCCCACGCTTGTCCATCAAATCCTTGACCACTCTAGGACTATTAAGCCACATGAACCTGGTCCCACCGATCTTGGTATGGACAAGCTCGCCATACTGATGAGCCCATTCTCGTGAGATCTCGGGGACCTTATTAGGATCAGCAAGCGATAGGAGGCTCCCAATAAAGGGATACCCTCGGGGTCCCGGCGGCAGAGATTTCAGACGTGGATCGTAAGTGATGTAAGAGTAAATGGCATATCCAACCTAAGAGCTCCGTTAGCAGATTCTGCCTAGCTGAGGTGGGGTGGGTGCTATGCCACTTACAATGAGAACTGCTCCCAGAACCAAAGTTGCTGAGCTAGGTAAAGGGGACAGCAGACGACCCGCTACATCCTGAGAAAGTCCCATGACTTGACCGGTCGATGCGATCAAGTATTATGAACGACAGAGATGTGTGATTGACACTGCTGGCGAGAGATCACAGATTAGAAGGAGTGTTGAGTTTCTTTCTATAGCACAACATCCAGATATTTCCTCGTGAAACCTACAATGAGAGATAGTCAGTTCATCCTCAAGGCTGCGGAAAGGGCTAGGCCTGTCAGTGCCGGAGATCAGCTCAGATACAGAAGGTACGGGTCCCCTCTTCCGAGGACAAATCAGCACGTCCCGGAGTACTTCGCGCTTCATCAGGCCGGAACAACAAATGACAATCTCATCCGACTGTTGCAATTGGTCTGGATGCTTTTCAAACTCCCGCACCGTTCTTCCACTACGCTTACTCGTGACTGATATCTTCCGCATAGAGCTGCAAGTCACAAGGGTGACATTTCGATATCCCTGATCCGCCGGGCTTCGGATATTGTTGACAAAAGCCTATGCACCTTTTGCTTTCAGGTTGGCTTAGCAATAATCTCTTACATTGACCATCTTCATCAGTTCTTACTCTAGCCTTCCACTTCATCTATCCCGACACATATCTGTCTCGCTAGACAGCTTGTTTCAGCAGACGTGACTCAACATGGCGTTGCAGCACAATGACATAGCCTTTTGGGCTCTCATAGTTTCAGCTATTGCCCTACTATGTTACAAAATTTCTCGATATGGAATGCGTCCAAAGGACTTCCCGCCTGGCATGGAATAGACCCCTCACCCAGCCTCGATAGAACTGTGCTGACCGTAGACCAGGGCCAATGACATACCCTCTTGTCGGAAACCTGCTTCAGATGCCGCTAAAGAACTTCCATCTAGAGTTCCAAAAGTGGGCCAATCAATGTACTATTCATCATACTCCGCTGCGGCCTGCCTATGACTAATTTTCATCAGATGGACCCATCATGTCCTTGAAATTAGGTGGTCAGGATATGATTCTCTTAAACAGTCCCGAAGCCGTCAGGGATCTCATTGAGAAGCGAAGCAACATCTATTCTGCTCGTCCAGATCTCTATGTCCGTGAGTTCGGGGATAATTTGAATATTGTTTTGCGAGAGTGTGTCACCCTATGACCCTAATAGAAAATTCCAGCTGTGGATGATTAGGAACAACTAGCAACATCGCTAACGCTCCCCTTGTACAGCAACGACGAAGTCTGGCGGAGGCAACGAAAGATGTACCACGTCCGCCTCAATGTGAAAACGGCAAATAACTATCTGCCCTACCAGGTATTGACTTTCAAAAGGTTGTTTTACATTGTTTAAGGGTCACAACTAAGGTCCAAGGGACGTCTCCAGATCTTTGACAGTATACAACTCATGCATGATATGGCAGAACACCCCAGCAACTGGGTGGGTAACCTCCAAAGATACACCGCAAGCATAGCTTCAACAGTACTCTACGGCTGGCGAACACCCAATGTGAACACTGGCTATATTAAGGACCTCATCGAGGTGAGCCGCTTTTTCCCCCCGCGAAGACTATACACTGACGGTCTCAAGTGGATGGACCGGACATCTGCTGCCATAAACCTCCAGCCAGTTGACTTTTTCTCCTTTCTACGGCCCTGGTATAGGGTGATGCCCGTTTGGATGAGCTCTTTCAAACGAGCGCTTAGCGATATTCAGCAACTCGAGAATCAGCTCTTCTTTCAACTTCTCGAAGGAGCCAAGGAGAGGATTGCCGTCGGGAAGAAGTACCCAAGTAATTTCAGATGACGGTCTTTCGAGCTCAACAGGCTAAACAATAGTGTAGGCTTCATTCGGGACATGCTCATTGACAAAGATGCAGACCGCCTCGACGACAGGCAAATTGCTCATAACGCTGGGCACGGCTTCGGGGCTGCAACGTAAGCGCTGGTCTGTCTCAGTTACTGCCTGAGTTCTTACCAATGAACAGTGATACATCCTGGAACACATTGTTAGGCTTCGTGAAAGCAATGATTCTTTTTCCGGAGGTCCAGAAAAAGGCCCAAGAAGAGATTGATCGGGTCATTGGCACTGAAGATTTTCCATCCTGGGAAGACCGAGCACGTCTTCCTTACATCCGCGGGGTGGTTGAAGAGACCCTGAGATGCAAGTTCACCTCTCTTGAGGCTTGAGTTAGCAGCTTACACAGGTTGCAGGGGCTCCGAGCCCGATCAGTGGAGCCGTGCCACATTCGGTTTCCTGCGATGATGTCTATAAGGGCATGAAAATCCCCAAAGGTGCAGCGGTCATGATGAATGTGCGAAGTCAAGCTTTTGATCCATGCAGCCCGCAAGGCCAGCAACTGACAACGACGGCAGATCTGGACGCTGAACCACAGCACATATGAGGATCCTCGCTCTTTCGACCCGTCCCGCCATAACTCAGAGTCTACACTGAATGAGAGCTTTGGAATCAATACTGACTCCCTTAATCGCCCTCATTTTACTTTCGGCGCTGGTCGGAGAGTGTGCCCTGGATTTCACGTCGCTGAAAGGGCCCTGTTCCTAGCTATCTCACGATTGCTGTGGGGTTTTGAGTTCCACCGTGCAGTGGATTCGAACGGCCAACCTCTTCCGATCAATAGGGACGCCGTAACACCAGGGTTTATTGTGAGGCCGGAAGCATTTGAGTTGGTCTCCGGAATTGTTCGATCCACGCGGTGCAGCTGACAGTGAGCGAACAGGTGTGAAGTTCGGCCCCGAGGATCGGAGCGTCTCGATTTGATCAAGAAAGCATGGAGAGAGGCCCAGACACAACTTGACACCGACGGGAATTTCAAGGAAGAATTCTTCCAGAAAATGCTGTCTAAGAAGGAGTTGGATTGATGATCAGGCAGGAATACCAGACAGAGATAGTAGTGGGGCCCATAAGAACAACCTTTTCTAGCGGACATATACGTTCGTCGTTTGGGGGCTAAATACAGGGTTGGAAGTCGGCGGAAGCTTTAGACCCCGTTGGACTGGTGCCGTAAAGTCAGCTCTTCAATGTAGCAGTTGGTTGTGCAAATTTGAGATGGAGGACCACTTTACAAAGGGTACATTGAAATGCACATTGGACTACATTGAAATTGGACATGTTACCCACTAATCATCTTTGGTATCATGACTGCCTGCACACACATTGTCAAAGACTTCAAGACTTGAGAATGAGCTTGATCTTGTTAACTAAGGAATATCCTGTAACCATTGGCGTGGATCGGAAAAGCCGGGAAGGCAGCTCTGCCAGTCATCGAGCCCAATGTCGGACAAATCAGAGGTTATGAACTTTACATGGTCATCAGTTGGGTACTAACAAGCAGATTTGCGCATCAGGACATACCTCTGGTAAAGGGAAATCAGGACAGGGTTCTGAGGGCCTAGCCAGTGCAATGTTGCTTGGGTGTGGAGGTTGCTGTTCGGCATTCTTGGTTACTGAAGTTCTCCTGGCTCGCTTGACGACTTCCCTCGCGTACGCCACGACCTTTCGAGGAAACTTGAAAACAAGCTCGGATCCAGTTGCATATTCCATGTAGCCAAAATGACCGACGATGACATCCATCAAAGATATGTCCGAGTTTGCAGTTGATAGAGTTGGGTGCTGAATTACGTGGAGGAACAAATTGATCAATCCAACGAGTGGGAAGTAGAATGCCAACCTAAGAAAACAATGTGGGTGAGTCTATTGTTCTCCGAGACGAGGCTCTCGAACGTATACTTACCATACGGGTGATCCTGCCGAGACGCTCAAGCCTTGGGTAGCCATGATGATTTCTCTGGCTGCAGAGGCCACAATATCAGTACTGCGCTGCCTTTGAGCGATGATGCGAGGATTCGTGCTGCTCCCACATCCTGGCCGGGTCCAAGGATGGCAGAACAGAGTGTGCATCGCAATGAGCGACGCGCTGTAGATGAAACGGGTAAATACGATATGGTGCGGCTGTACGGATGGTGGTAAATTCATCGCACTGTGGGGTGGGCAGCTCTTGAAACACGGCGCAAGAGAGTCGTACCAGGCTTGAAGCTCCTGGTCCAGGTCCTGGACAACTACCAGCATCTCTTGCGGACTCTGTTGCATCGCCTTTACAGTAGACAAGCGCTTCAAGATGAGAGAAGAGATCTGAGCGTGTTTGACGGTGTTCTGAAAGAACTCGATGTTAAGTTGATGGCCAGGGAGTCCGGAAGTTGGTACTGGGCAGCTGATATCGTCGTCATCGATGGCCTGAGGAGAGTTAGCTAGACCTCCACAAGGAAGGGTCCACGGGAAAGAGTATTACGCTGGGCCGACCAGAGCGATATGACAAATGCTTGTCATACATATAGAGATTCCACCAGATGACGTTTCGCAGTGCAATGTCCTCATCCCTGAGTTGCGAGGTTCTCTTCGCCTGGAGATGCAATCCCTTGGACTGTGCTAGGCGTACTGCATTCGACAGCAGCATGTACTCCAAGGCAGGGCTCCCAAGAGCTTCGGCGAAAAAGGCCTGTAAGCGAAACTAGGGTCAGAACCAAGGCGAGATAAGTATATATGGTGGACTAGAGTGTACCATAACCAGAAGCGCTTGAATGGCGGTAACGCCGCTGCGACCATAAATCAAGTCGGTATGCATTGACAGAGCGTTCTCAAAATACCGCCAAGCTTGTGTGCGGGCCTCGATGAAGGCGGATGGGTAGACGCCGAGAGATAAGGTAATCCTACACCCCGACGCGTAAACCGTATGTCGTAGCGCATACCAGGCAGGATCTTGATCAGGCCCAGGAGCCTTGCCTTCAAACTGGGCACGCAGTCGCTGTTCGAATGCAGGGCGATGGATATGTCCGAAGATGGCATCCAATCCCTGCTCAAAAAATGCTACACCACAAGTTCAGCATCGCGTCGCCATGGTTCTCGCCAGTGACCCACCCGTTGTCCATTTCCACGCTGTCTGGAAGTCCGGTTCAGGTGCTCTCTCCGACTGCACGGTCCGTTCTAATTTCTCGCTGCGCGTAACATCGGTCGTGAGTCGTCTAGCGAGGGCTCTGAAATCCGGCGCGCCGATGTGTTGTGACACCCAGTCGACCGCTGGCTCTGAGCATATCGAGAGATATGAGACAGGCCCTGGAGCTCGAATTAACAAAATAATCTCCAATCCATAATCAATAGCCAACCTTGGACTTCGCTGGCATCCTGTAAAGCCCATATTAGCTCGCGAAGATGATGTGGAGGATGTATAGACATACCTCTATGCCCGAGTCAACGCACGATCCTACGGGCGTCATGACAGAAGGCGAGTCTGGCTCTTGTATTGGAATGCGAGACTCCTCAGGAGGCGCCGACTCATCGGACCTGCGTGCGCTCTGGCCAGACAATCCTTGCTCTCCATCAGGTGGCAGCTGGTGGACTTCTGACTGTCCTCTGAGGCCAGCTGACGCACTGAGTGAGGAGGGATAAGGGCCGTCGATGACGGGCGGAACTGTGCCCCATGAGGCAAAGGCATCCACGTCCCCATTTGACATGTCCCTTTGGGGTTGCGGTGGACATTGTGCTAGTGCACAACCTGCGTTGGGACTGCAGAGCTTGGTTGTCATGGCGGCACCAGGTGATGCAGAGGTCGCGACCCAGATAGTGTCGTCGTTCTGATTAGAATCGGCAGGGCCAGTTGTCGAAACATCCGATGCGCCTTGGGCCTGTGGAAGAATTTTGGAGCTCTGAAGCAACGCCTCGAGCCGCGCAAATCGTTCTTCAAATGCTTTCTCACGATCTTTACGCTTTCGAGTCCTTTGTTGAGCCGGGGGGAACCAGCACTCTTCATTGTGATCCTAGGCCATAGTCACTTAACGAGATACCTAGATCAAGTCTTCTCCCAACGTACCAAGCAGTTTCCGCAAGGCTTGGTGCCACTGCCTGCCAATATGACTGATTCAGCATGCGATCAGTGGACCTTGCAATAGAGATATGCTCACATCGCGCCTTTTTGATGCGGCAGTGGTTGCACGCGAGACTACACTTTGGACCTTGCCTTGTTCCCGTCATATCGGGCTGATGATATCGGGTTGATGAGTGGAAGAAGGGAAAATGTGAATAGCGACATCCTCAGCATGGTGGTAGCTTGCGTTTTCTGCGAATCGTGGGGTGTCGGGTGGAAACGAGGGGGGATTTTGCGGGGTTTCCAGACTAGGTACCCACTTAGTAGCTTGGGGGGGAAACCGGGGGGTCTAGGCGTACTCCGCTCAGCCTTCCTTACCTATCTCGCCATACGAAGTATAGCCAGCCAGTCATGCACCGTACAGCTCTGCTGGCCTCATCAAATGCCCAATATGATCTCGCCAAAGAGCATGTTCTTACGCCAGGAGCCGTACATTCATTCTCATCCTTCCCGCATTGTTGACCCAGAAACCTCTGCAACTATCGACCCAGATTCTCCCCGGGAGGACTGTCGGAAAATGTGGGGTTGCCAAAACCCGCAACTTGGTCCGGAGGGAACTAGATTCCGGCTTCCGAGCGAAAAGGGAAATGCGTAACGTTGATTGCGATTGGCTGAAGAAGATAGGCCGAGGGGACCGACCACACTCCCTATTATGACCGAATCTCATCCAGCGCATATCCACACATTGGAGCCATTACTTTAGGCACAAAAGGCAATCTCCAGGAGGAGCACGGCAGTCGGGAATACAGGGCGTGAGCCTTAATTAGCTCCATAACTGCCCCTTGTCTGCACTGCCGCAGATTTGACAGGCATTTTACGGTCTGGTCCTTTTCGCGGCCGCCAATAAGTCTTCGTGTGCAAGGCCCGACCGTATGATATCCGCAACAGTGGTCAAAAGTGATGTTGCGACAGTTTGTGCTCGCTCGGACTTGTCAATTCGGGTTTTGAGGCGTTGCAACCGAGTAAATTCTTCACCCCCACCAATGCCACCTTGTTTACTGTTATTGAGAGCATCAATAATGTTCTGAACAACTTTGGTGACGAATTGCACCCCTTCGAAACGAGAGCTCATCGCATGAAGCAATCGCATGAGATTTCCAAAACGCTGAATGTCAATCGATGTGTAGTCGGCACTTAGCTCGCTATTCATGCGCACGAGGTGAACTGCGACGGGCAGTATGAGCCAGGCTGGCCTGGTTGTTCGTCAGCTGGGAAGACCAAACACAGACAAAAATAGCACATACAAAACAAGTGGTATGTCTTCCGTCTTCGCAAATTTGAGAAGCTCGCCAGCTTGAGCTGCAACATCATTGGAGACCTCTTTCACCCTGCTCAGCGAAAACCTCCGCAGCAACCACGATATTGGTCTGCTACTATCCAACGAGCTGATGAAGGCTTCGTAAAGGGATGCTCTGGTTGATCTTTCGTAAATGTCAATAAAAAGCACCCTTGACATGATAGATTTGCCTACGACTCACGTATATATGATTCGAGGAATGTATATTTGCACCCTTGACAAGCGTGGTAGGCTTTCTTGGTTGATGTTAGATAGCGTGTTTTCATAGTCTTCTGCCCAGTTTTGGAGTTGTAATTCGAGGTCCACAAGCCGTTCTAGACGTTCTTTATCCAGTTTCTGTGTCTCTCGGGGTGAGCTTGCGCCAGTTAGGCAGGATACACTGTTGCGCAAAGCCAAGATTTCGCTCATTACCGTAGACAGTTTGCACAAAGCAACGAAAATCTGATCTATGCCTTGACTTTCGTTGCAGTTTGACTGGCTGAAAACGGGAGCTGGCTCGCAAACAGAAACATCGGGGAGTCGGCCTGGTTCAATCAACCTCAGCTTGTTGGGCCGGCAAAGCGCTAGAGCAAGGACTCGGTTTCGGACGACACAGCACCACCACGTGCGACGATCGTGGCAGTCAGTGCTTTTGTAGAGATGTCCCAGAATTGCATGACGAAACGCTTCGTCAATCCAGAAGCTGTTGACCTCCCTCGAGTTGTTGTACGGACTCCAATGGCTCAGAAGTAGGGCTGTTTGTGTAAGCGCCAAGTGGCCTTCGTTTGTGAGAACTGCAGTCTGATAAAGTCCCAGTGTATGCTCAAACAAGACCTTTTGTGCTTTCTGCATAGATCCCAAGCCTGCATTTCGTATCTGCTGGTCATTGAGGTGCGGAAATGTGACGAAAAGTATCGCTTGAAGGACCAGTACTTTCAGAGAGCCCTCGTCGGAGATTTGATACCTTGTTTTGTACCAACGACAAAACTCAGCTGTGTTGACTGCAGGACATAAGATATGTACACTTGTCATGAAGAGCTGAACCAAACTATCTTGCAGCTCTAATGATAGGTACGGGGAATCTATCTGTCTGTCGTCAGCAATTTTGGAAAAGCCTAGGGGGAAAATCTGGAAGTCGATACACTTTCACATCTCTGATTTTTTGACGGCAGGCATTGTTGATCGAAAAGACCGAGAGTCTCTCCTACTACATCCATGCCTACTGAAGATAGTTAAGTGTACGCTATGAGAGATCTTTTGACTGGGCAGACTCACTTGAAGACTGCATCAAACTTTCCAAATCGCCGAACTCCAGCGGGGGGATTGGACTAAGCTGCTCTGTGAACAGTTCTGAAGATTCGTAAGGATTAAATAAGTCAACTGTCATAAGTTGAGAATCTGTGGCTTCGTCGGCCAACTCCAAGTCTAGCGAATCCCATATTAAGTCACTTTCTGTGTTCGAATAGTTTTCCATCTTCACCAGCTTGGGCGCGCTGTGCGAGGTTCGGATCTAATTGGAAATCTTCAAATATATACTGTTGACAGGGTTGCAAGATAGCCACTGTGGCAAACCACCTGAGACGCTAGCTGTCACACCAACTGCGGCACTTACATCAACACCGTTATTCTCACCGATCTGCGACAGCATGGCAACCGAATAGGAGGTTTCAGGAATGGGCTTCAGATCACAGGCCAAAGTGTATATAAACAGACAGAGTCTCTCTGAATAGCCAGGGGGCAGAACGCAATCAAGCAGATAGATTCACTACTGTTCTGTGTAAAACAGTGAGAATGGCGAGGCGGGAACCGCCTGAAGGCATGATATTTGCGAAGTTCTATATAGAACCGATGACGGCGAGTCTATTGATGCTATTTCCAAGTTTCTTGACACCGTGGTTGTTATTTGGCGACGTGATCAATCTACCATTGATTTTACGCTGGCCGCGGATCTACTCGTGTAAAGTGCGCGTGCGCTGGGCAGAATTGCCCGATTTTTTGGAAATTTGCTCGTGACGGTATATTCTTGCGGCCAACTACGGAGTATACTCCACAACTTGCGGATACCGCAAGCTCCGAGCTACCACACCAATGATAAGCAACATGCAACTGGGCTCCGGCTCCGAGATCCACCAGGCACAGTCGAGCTTGCGAGCTAGTCGTCAGCGCAAAGCAGGATGCCCCTTTTTCCAGCAACGCCTTCATCAGGCTCCTAAAAAGATAAAGGGAAGGCAAGCGGAGCAGTCTCAGCGTCTGTATTTTGAGGACGACGGCCACCCGATTTGCATATAACGTGTTTTCGGAGAGCATTCCTTCAATATTTCAGAAGTCAGCAATCTAAGCTAGCCCATTTTCGTATTCCTACCATATTTTTCTTGAGGGCAACATGTCAGAGTTGTATTCCGGTCGACTGGTCTGGACACCACAGAGGCGTGGATCAACTCAAACGGATCACTTTCTAAGTGTTGTCAACCAACGTCACAATTTACGGATAAGAAATTACAGCGAGTTGCACGCTTACTCCGTCAACCCTTGTACAGCATCAGATTTTTGGGTAGACTTATTTGTTTTCCTGAAGATCAAAGCAGATGTTGTGCCCGTGTTGGGATATATCCAAAATGTAAGCTTCAGGAGATCGTTTTTTTCTGTCTCTGCTGGTTGATATGTGTAAGACTGACTTTCATTCGCTTCTTGAGGATGCTGGCACCCTGTTCCCACCACCCTCCTTCTTTCCTCAGATCAGGCTGAACTTTGCTGAGAATCTGTTGGCCGGGAAAGTAAAAGAAGAAATAGCGATTCATGCCTGCAATGAGGGCGGCATGAATTTGCGCTCCGTGACCTGGGAAGAGCTGTTATCAATGGTGCGGCAAGCCGCAGATGCGATGGCTTCTTTCGGCATCAGAATAGGAGATCGGGTTGCCGCTGTGATCTCGAACAGGCCCGAAACAATGGCCTTGTGTCTGGCTGCACTCTCCCTTGGTGCCATATGGTCCACGTCCTCCCCGGACATGGGAGAGCAGGGTATACTGGATCGATTGTTGCAGATACGTCCCAAGCTGGTCTTTGGAGAAACTGCAGTTTTTTATAACGGCCAGATGAGAGATCTGAGAGCCAAGCACGGTAATTGCGCCGCAAAATTGGCGGATACCTCGGAGTTTCAAAGGTACATTTTGCTCGAGCAGGAGGGATTTTTGTTCAACGAACATTCACAGAATGCGATGGTTGTCACTTGGTCCAACTTTGTTGATCAGGGCAAGGGACGGGAGTTGAATTTTGTTCAACTACCCTTTTCTCATCCCGGCTTCATTGTGTATTCTTCTGGAACAGTAAGACTGAGACCAACTTTCTGGCCCTGTAAACGGAAACTGATACGATATTTTAGACAGGGCCACCCAAATGTATTGTGCACAGTGCTGCTGTAATAACTTCCTTCCCGTTCGAGGTTACGCGCACTGACTGTCACAGGGGCTTCTCCTGCAGGTTAAAAAAGACAGCATATTAGGTTTCGATGTCCACGATGGAGATGTCCTACTCCAATATACCACGGTAGGTCGTCCCTTCAAAGGGATGGTCAATTGGCTTATCGGATGATCAGACTGGATGGATTATGTGGGCTATGGTCCTCTGCGGACTCGCGTACGGTGGAGAGGTCGTGGTATACGATGGCTCTCCGCTGAAGCCTGATAAGCTCGCCCTCCTACGTTTGGTTGAGAAACTCAAGTCTGTAAAAGCCTAAGTTTGTTCATTTCGATAGTTGCTGACCAGCTGGACAGGGTCACTTTACTGGGGACTTCGGCACGATATCTGTCGGATTTGAAAGCGGCCAACATCTGCCCACGTGAGTGGAGACGAAGCAAATGTTTGGATGGCACATATTTGCTGATATATGGATAGGGGAGACTTTGGACCTATCTTCGTTACGGACGGTTACATCTACCGGTAGTACCTTGGCTGCTGATATCTGTGAATGGTTCTACGACAAAGGCTTCCCCAAACACATTCACCTCGCTTCGACTAGTGGGGGTACTGACCTTGCCTGTTCTTGTACGATGGCCTCTTCTACACGTGACAGGCCACCCGCTAACATATCACCAGTGGTCAGTGGTAACCCGATGTTGCCCGTTCACTCTGGCGAAATTCAGTGTGAGAGTCTTGGGATGGCGGTCGGCGTAGCCGACCTGAGCAAGCAGAGTTTCAGATCCGTCAAAGAGAAGGGAGAACCAGGGGAGTTGGTGTGCACAATGCCATTCCCGAGCCAACCTTCTAGTTTCTGGGGCCAAGACGGTGCCAAAAGATATCAAGCCTCGTACTTTGAACGCTTTGGCACACGAGTATGGAATCAAGGAGATTTTGTACAAATGAATGTAAGAACCGGAGGATATCTGATGTTGGGAAGATCGTAAGTGCACAAAACTCACCTGACTCCGTTCAGTTTTGACTAACAATCCAAGCGATGGTGTGCTCAACCCCTCCGGCGTCCGGTTTGGTTCTGCCGAGATCTACGATGTCGTTGAGAAATTCTCTGAGATCGACGACAGTATCTGCGTTGGGCAGAGACGCGCTACGGACACAGATGAGAGTGTAATCCTCTTTGTCAAGATGAAGGGTAACATCGAATTACACGATGACATGAAAGAGAGGCTGCGGCAAGCTATCAAATCCGCACACTCACCCAGACACGTTCCAAAGCACATACTACAGGTCCCAGAAATCCCCTACACCATCAACGGCAAGAAGATTGAGATCGCGGTCAAGCAGATCATCTCCGGCAAAAAGGTGACTCCTTCTGGGACAGTGGCTAACCCACATTGCTTCAAATTGTACGAGAAGTTCGTCAACATCGATGATATACTGCGAAGGTCAGGTCCCGGTGCGAGAGCCAAGCTGTAAACGGGAGAAATAGATATACATTTTCTTTTGGACAACAAACAACTTCTAATGTCTATGGAACCCAATCTACTAGGTCTAATGGTTATTATTGCTTCCAAAATAATACTGCCTTTGCAAAAATAGCCCTCGTGATCAAGCCGAGAATGCCGATTGCACTTGGCGTGGCAATGCTAGTAAGTCTCAACAGGCCCAGAGCACAATGCCGCAGCATGTGAGTGATCCAATGAAGCGTACGCCAGTCTATAACTCCCGGAATATTCACTTCCAGGAGGGCAACCTGAACTGGGTCCGGAGGATTTTTGTGGTTGTTCCGCGATTCGAATCTAATACGTTGCTCCCACTGGCTCATTACTTCCATCTCCTAGATCGACTGCACAAAATCACATGCATTGAGTAAGCACAGGATAGGAGACTTCACAACATACCCAACCTGAGGAAGCCGACGAAGTCATTCAACCGTTACTGCTTGCATTATTAGCAGACTGTATTCACTGGGCTTACACGATGGCGAAAGAAATCAGTGCGCATACGGCCAATGGCAAGCTTGCTGATGCTACCTTCATCATCATCGGTGCTGGTTTTGGCGGTATTGCCACGGCAATTGAGTTGAAGAAAAGAGGAGCAGCGGTGAAAGTCTTTGAATCTTACTCAGACATGAAGAAACAAGGTTAGTCTCGCTCAGTTCAGGAATGTCAGCGACTCCATTCATCTCGTCTAATGCAGGGGATGTTATTATGATCGGATCAAATGCTACCTGCATCATCGAACATTGGGGTCCTGTGCTTGACGAACTCGTAAAAATTGCATCTCAACCTCCAGTGATGAGTATCCAGGACAAGTCCGGGAAAGTGCTCCTCGACCAACATCTACCCGCCGAGTTCAGAGGCCATCCTAACGTCTTCACGAACCGTGGCCGAGCACAGCAATTAATGTATGATTATGCAGTCTCTCTTGGAGTTGAAATCCTTTTGGGGAGCCCTGTCATCGAAGTATTCGAGGATGACAGCTCGGCCGGCGTGGTGGTTGGCTCGAATAAATACGCCGCCGATGCTGTGATAGCGGCGGACGGTGTTCACAGCAAGGCTCGAAACTTTATTACTGGCCAGTCGGAGAGACCGAAGAAGAGCGGGTTCGCGGTCTATCGATCCTGGTTCCCGCTGCAGAATCTGAAGAGTGACCCAGTTACGGCACCGATTGCAGAGTCGCCAACGCCTTTGTTCAAAATCTGGATCGCGGAGGACACACACGCCATCCTGACCACGAATGTCAAGCTGCAAGCAGCCACATGTTTTGTAACTCACAAGGTGAGGGAAGGCCTTTCGACACTGCCCCTGGGTTGTCCTCGCTAAGTCTTATACTTTAGGACCTATCAGATATTAAAGAAGACTGGAATCTTGCAGGGGACAAGAAAGACATGGAGAAGTGCGTCCAGGGTTGGGATCCGCTTTTGATCAAGATTATCCAGCAAATTCCGCCAGAGTGCCTGATTGACTACAAGCTCCTCTGGAGAGATCCCGTCCGGCCATGGGTTTCCGCCAAGGGCCGCATCTGTCTAGTCGGAGACTCAGCTCATCCTCACCTAGCTACTTCAGGCACGGGAGGAGCCCAAGCCATAGAAGATGGCGCGACGCTGGGAGTTCTGCTCGAAAAGCTGGGTCGGAAAGACATACCGCTCGCATTCAGGGCCTACGAGAGACTACGGTGAGCGGCTTCCTACTTTATGGGACAAGTTTAGACTAATCCTTTTGACTTTTAGATACGAGCGAGTGAGTCTGACACAGCGGATGGGTTGGGAAACACGGCACGCATGGCATCAGACGGATTGGGAGTTGGTGGCCAAGGATCCCAATGCCCTCTCCCTACCACAACCGGAGTGGCTGAACGGCGTGGACGCTACCAAATATGCAGGCGAGAAATTCGACGAAGTGATAGCAAATATTCAGTCTGCTACGCCTTTTGTCTCTACGAATATTCCAGAAGGCTACGTCCATGAGGATTGGACTATCGAGCAGATGCTGGCTTACGAAGGCAAGAAGGCAGACAAGGACTTTTACCGGACACGATGATAGAGAGGTAATAGGTTTGTCGATCGGTTTCTAGCTTAGTGAACCGATTAGACAAACTTGTGAATTCGTCGGAATTGCTTTTGACATAGGCTATTTTGTCTATCATCCGTGTAACCGACTTCCCGGGCCGCCTTTGTTTTAGCGTGAGTAATTCTCAGGCACGCGGGCTCCGCGGGTTATAAAAACACTTCACTACGCGGAACCAACTCAGGGGATTTGTTGATAGGCAATCGGATCAACACTGACGCCGAATTCGGCATCTATGGATAGGACAGCACGATGGTTAGCGCGCCGCGGCTTGAGCAAGATGTACTGATTTAATACTATCATACCCGCAAATAAACACAAGAACCCTAGCTACAACGGCTACTCAAGCGGTTTGGATGCATGACTGGCAGGTCTTCCCTACGCAATCTTTGCCAACGTCTTCAAGAATGGAGGGTAAAGTCATTGCAATATCTGGTGGTGCAAGCGGGATCGGGCTGGCAACAGCAAAGATATTGGCAAGCCGTGGCGCGAAATTGTCTCTGGCAGATTGGAACGAAGAGGCCCTGAAGGACGCTGTAAAGGGATTTAAGTCTTCTGAAATCCTAACCACAAAGCTGGACGTCAGATCGTCCCAGGACGTCGACCAATGGATCGCGAAGACCGTTGAGCACTTCAGTCGCCTGGATGGCGCTGCTAACTGTGCAGGCGTGTTTGGGAAGCATGCAAAGAACGAGCCACTCGCACATGTTTCGAACGAACAGTGGGACACGGCCATTGGAATCAACCTGACAGGTAGGTCGACGAGATCAGCTCACTTGCATAAGCCTATCACTGAGATTTGTCAGGGTTGATGTACTGCGTTCGAGCCGAACTCCAGCAATTTGAGAAGAAGGGCACTGGAGGCAGCATCGTGAATGTTGCATCCGTAGCAGGTCTGCTGGGTTTGCCGGGCTCTGCGGCGTACACTGCTTCGAAACACGGAGTGGTTGGGATGACAAGGGCTGCGGCCAAAGAGTACGGGCCCAAGGGAATTCGAATCAATGCAGTGGCTCCAGGTGCCATTTACACTCCGTTGATGTTACAGTCGCAAGAAATAAACAACGCAGGCAAGGAATATCCCCCTTTCGCGTCCCTGGGTCGGCACGGTCTGCCTGATGAAGTTGCAAACATGATCGTTTTCCTGCTCGGCCCAGAAAGTTCCTATGCATCCGGAGCTGTCTTTACCATCGATGGCGCTTGGAACTGTTAGGTCTTGCGAATCGCTGATATATGAAGAATCGATGAAAACCAAGTGTATAATTACACTCGTTTCCTAACCATCAGCACTGACCTTGTGGGGAACGACGACTAGGGGCTTGAGACGACTGCACAAGGCTTTGAGTGGCCGAACTCGTTCTACATTATCATTCTGGTCCAGCTCCGCGCGAAGGGAGCTCGAACACAACCAAAGAGTCATAGATCCTGCCGAGCCATAAACTTCATCAGAGTATTATATCCATTCCGATGAACTAGCTTCTAAGGGAACGTGATCTGTGTCTTGCCAAGCAAGTTTGGCGCTGTCAAAGTGTTGACTGAACTTCTCGAGGGGCTAGGAAGGGTATACCGCAATCCGGTCTTGTGAGGAAAGTGAAGAAGTTTATGGGGAGTGATTTGATATTCTGCTTCTTGATCCAAAGTGAGTTCTTGAGGTAATAAATAGCACTGCAGTCGAGTGCAACTGGCAACTTCCCCTACAACTGCATCATTTTTTATCCCCATTTGAGTTAAAATTTGTAAAATCCTCCTGGCTCGATGCTGTACATTGATTGTAGCTGTTTGGGCAGACATCTTGTTGAATCTGAATAGATCATCAACCTACTAGGCTTCATATCTCAGGGGGACAAGATCTTGCTTCTCTTCGAGCAGCAAGTGCAAAACGATTGACCTCAACGTCCTGCGTAATAGTTCTCTCGGTGGCCTCTCCATCTGCTGGCAGGTCTTTTCTTGAGGCCGCAAACCAGGTGTAGATACTCATAACTAGAATCTGAAGGCCGCCACCAACCCCCGCCGTCCAGAAAGTCAATCCTCCATTCCATGCCACCGCTCCGTGTTTGACGCAATGTGTCCCAAGGGCTGGCCAAAAGGTCAATGTCATCCCAGAGCTAAAGTACGCTAGCCAATGTGGAAACAAGGGATTTTGCCGCCTGTCCAAGAGAACACCATAAGAGAATGAAAGGTCTTGCGCAAGCAGCGATGGGAATGGCATCGCAAAGAAGATCCATGCCTGGTCGTGCAGTGCCTGTGTTATCTCGGGAGGGCGATCAAGTCTATACATTGTGACGGCGAAGAAATATGCGGGGAGCGTCAGGAACAAGCCTCCAAGGGTTCCACCTATCAATTGGGTGTAGATGACGGTCTTTGGCATCCCTGGAATGCGCGATAGCTGGCCTCCGATCGCAGCGGTGTAGAGCGGGAAGAACAGCCCAACAAAGGTCATGAGCGCAACGCCACCTTTCAGGCTTTTTTCATGGTAGACGTAGTGGGCGACGACCTTTTCGGTAGGCATTCGTGGTGGCTTTGGTGGGAGAAAATCGGTCATTGGTAGCATGATGAAGAAAAAGAGGATTGACAACGGACCACCCAGGGCCGCGAATTTGGCGAATCCATTTCCGAAGGAATGGGAAGTTCCAGTAGTTGGTTGTTTCACTTGAGTTGCTGCTCGATGTATTGGATTGGCTTCCTGGGTGGAAGCAGCTAGTGAAGCTTTATCGGCGGCCATTTGGTCTATTATCATCGGCGACAAGTGACAGAAGAAGTTACGGTAACAAAATACTATTGCTCAGGCTTGCTCATAGATTAATTAACGGCAAGGCTTCCAATTTGGTCTGTCTCATCCCGGAAGAAAACCACCCTATCGAAAAGTCCGGGGCAACAATTAAGTTCCGGACAACACTCCCTCACCTAGCATTCGGACGAGGGGATACTACGGATCTGCGACAAGTTCATAGAACTTCCGGGTTGATGTAGTCGCTTTGCCTACAATGACATCCATTAGCATATTTCATTCCCACAGGAATCGTTTCAATTGCAATTGCCTGCATTTATTATTGTAACTCTCAATCGGATTTGTAAGGACATGATTGCCACAAGGCGGGAAGACATGTTCCCAGTTTTATTTCACTTAATATTCTTCTCCAACAGACGTTTCGTTTTCCAATCTAGTCCTGGCATCCATTCGTTCCGGTCCGAGAGGTAGCTCCCACCAAGATATTTCTCCGTATATGCTGTGTATATCGTTGAATACTTCCGGATCAGCATGGATATAATGATTCCACTCCACTTCCAGGAAGCATATATGACGGAAGATAGCCTTTTGACGTTCCGATGACCCCTAGCCAGTTCAACGGGAGATGATAAACGGTCACAGTAGCAAAGGCACAGAAACCAATAACAGCGAATGTGCGAGATGTACCTTGTAACCAGCGGGGCCATCGTTCATGCCCCTTCTCGACTGGTGAAAGGCCATTTGGATCTTCTAGAGCTAAAAGCCGCATTTGTGTATATAGTGATCCAAGGCTGGCAACGAGAATAGACTCATAGATTGGGAATTGCTCGGTTTGTCCGGCCCAGAGAGTCAACGGTGCGAAAGTCTTAGGATAGCCATATCCGTGCGAAGTCCAAATAATGATATTCTCAACCACGAAATCGAAAATGAACTCGCCAATCCAGATAATCGTCACAAGGGTCATCTTTGAGATGGAAGGCCATCGACGTCGAATGGGTTTAACGGCCGCACACGCCATGAGAGCGACGCCGGCGCAGAAGTAAACATACATCGGAGGTCCCCATAAAAGACTTTCGGCGTATTGCCGCGGACCGCCCTCACGGTGGAAAGGCATGAACCTTGTCCAGACTCCCATGTTTACATTGTTGGCGTTCCAGGAAAAGATGTATTGCTGGCAATTGAGAAACGCATCCGAAGCCCATGCGATCATGCCTCCAATGACAAATCTTCCGTCGAGGGTCAGTTGACGCTTTCGAATCCCATCTGGCCCGACTCGAGGGACTCTGAGAGGACTGAAAACACAGAACCAGAAAAATCCAATGAGCACACCGAGGCTTGTAGCTTCAATAAGCCGAAGGCATACAAGTCTCCAAGTTGCGAGCTTGTCGTCACCCTCCATTAAGGGTGCAGGGTGGAAGTCATCTGATGCAATCCACCGAATGAAGGCTTGCAAGCTCATGATTGTCCAAGCAAGTCCGAAGGCGGCGAAACCTGTAGCATAACCACCATTTCCGGATAATGTTTCATTCTTGGATCTGGTGAGTAGTGGAGTCTCCTCTGTGCGATGGCTCTGTTCAGGGTCGTAAGACGACATGATGATATTTTAATGGGGACGGTTCAGAGATCTGGAAAGTTGTCTCACGGACATAGCATTATCTCATCTGGTTGCGTTCGGTCAGGGATAATATCATGGGCTGTAGAGATAGGTTTCACATTCCACTCCCGGGATCCGGTCGAATGGGAATCTGTGAGACGGAAAGTGGCCGCGATCACCTCGTGATCGCCAACTAGCCAGCCTCGCCGCGTTTTGATAACTATTCAACTAGCCATTGCCAGAGCGATCAACATCATAACATTACATCGTCCATGTCATCGCTATAGCTAATGGCTCAGGGGGATCTTCAAGGGCTGCTTTCCTTGCACAGTCCAAATGTCTCTATATAACAGGAAAGGAATCGCTGAAATAGCGGATAAACAGATAGCTAGCAACTTGACGGAATGAAATCAATCATTTGGACACTGCTCCGTTTCACACTAACCCTAACACGGAACACAATGAAAAAGCCCCTCCGCTTCATTTCAGCAAATCCACCCGGAGCCCCTACAGACCAACAACACCGCCCATGCCTGTTGTTGTACACAAACCCGTTGTGGATCTATCTACTTAATTGTGTTCTGTCCCCCTAGCTATTCAGAGAGACTCTGTCTGTTTATATACACTTCGGCCTATAACCAGAAGAACATTCCTGAAACCTTCTATTCCGTCGCCATCCTATCACAGGTCTGCGAGAACAACCATGTTGAGGTAAGTGACGCAGTTGGGGAAACGCCTAGCGTCTCAGGTGGTTTGCTATACAGTGTCTATCTCGAGACCCTGTCAACAATATGCTAGTAAACAGAGATGTGGTTTTGCGATTGCAGTCAACAGGCGTTGGGAGAGCGAGCTTCGAAGACTCGCGTTGTTCGAAAGGCGGTTTTCGTAAGCCCCAAAACCACGTAGCCGATTCAAGGGTTTTAGAGATAATCATGTTCACATAGCTAGAAGTTTGCAAGTGAAGTTGAAAATGCCCATAAAGGGAAAATTCTTTGGTCAGGCTGAAGGTGGCTTGGACGCCAAAGGCTTGGCCAGCCACCACCAAAGGTCCGCGCCAGCTGGTAATGGGCACTGCGGAAGCCGAGCTCGAGGGCGCGGGGTTCGGGATAGTATAGTGGTGCAAGTATTGGTAGGCTTTCCCAGTTGGGAAGCATAGTAACTGGGCCATGTGCTAGATGCTACACCAGGCAAGCGATATAATACTGTGCAGGGGAGATGTTCAGCTGCCAAGGGGCTTCAGGTAAGTTGGAGTTTCGCTACCACGAAAACCCGCGAGAATGCCGGGTGAGGAGGAAAGTGACCCATTTTACGCTGTCTTTCTGCTCACATAAGCCATGGATTAACGTGACTCGGTGCATCTGCTCATTGACTGTTCTTGAAAACGATCGAGTCGCCGCATGAATCAGGGTTTTTTTGTGGATAGCAACGGCCTTGCAATGACTTCCAATGGCACTTCACAGAAACTGGTCGGCGAGAGAAGCTTTTGCCCCAGGCTCAACCTGGCTTCCCGCCTGGTTCCGCGATTGCAACGACCGTGGCGCCAGAGGATATTCCACGGCCTCATCGAGGCCGGCTAACACGAATCTGTACTTGTCATCGTGCATTCGCAGTGTTTATCTGTGAGATCATCTGGCGGAGTCGATGACGCGTCATATATGCTTTACGATCATACACATTAGTCTGGAAGGATACAGTTGGGGGAATGAGCTGCACCCAATCTCGCTATTGCAAACCGTTGAGTAGCGAAGACCCAGCTTTGCTGTGGCCCAGTGACGAACGATAGGCCTTAGAGAACAATTCGGCGAGTATTCCAGCAAAGCGGCCCTGACTACGCTGGCCGTGACGACTGGCGTGGTTCTTCCGAAGCCCGGGGCCGAGTTTGGCATCGGAATACTTTGATGCGCCACCAAAGCTGCAACAGAGAGACCACCGTCTCCCGGAGCTGGCGAAATCCGGCTCACGGCACGGGCTTTAGATGTACAAAAACCAATCTTTCCTAAATGGCTTAGGGACTGCGGGTAAATTTCCTTTACCGCATATCTCGAAAGGCTGTGGGGTGCATAACTTTTGCTCGACACTGACCATCCCATCTCCGTTTACTTGTCTCATCAGTTATGCGGAGTACAGATCTCTTCTTTGACTAGGAAGACTAGGATGTTGACGCATCTCCATGTGATACTATCCGAGGTGCGACTACAGATTTGACCAAGCTTTGAATATTACTTTACAGACTGCTTTTCAGTCTCTCTTCACAACCTAGCTGTATCTAAATCAGATTCAGGGTTGACACTGGCACGATGAGCTTCCTACAACAGTTGCTGTTGATTAGTCTCGTAGGCATCGTCTTCGGTGCTTATGCTCTCTCACGTATTGGGCAACGACCGCCTGGTCTTCCACCTGGTCCGGTAACCCAGCCGTTTTGGGGGAACATTAAGCAGGTAAGTAAGTTAAGGTGAAGGCCTGACCACACCAGTGTGCTAACGTATCTCTCTCTACCTAGATGCCCAAGAGAGACATGTACAACCAATTTCAGAAGTGGGCGCAGGAGTACGGGCCGATCTACAGTATCAAATTGGGCGTACAGACGATGATAGTGCTTTCGGATGGGAAGGCGGTTAAAGAACTAATTGATAGGCGGAGCGCGTCGACAAACGAACGAGGGCCACATTACATTGCTCATGACCTCCTCGGTGATGGTCAACGCATATTACAAATGGTGCGCAGGGCGCAATAGGTTGTTGGATCAAGTATAAGGACTAATTCAAGCTCATGTAGCGCTATGGGCCCGACTGGCGGTTGTCACGCAAGCTGTACCATCGCTTGTTGACCACAACTATGGCCAAAACCTATTTACCGTATGTCACAGACCAGCCTGAGAATTGGCAAGGAGTGTACTAACAAGTCTCGAGATATCTAGAGCTTGAGAGCAAGAAGATGTTGTACGACCTGAGTACGAACCCAGATGGATTCTTATATCATATTAAGAGGCAATGTTGTCGAAATAAAGGTGTCGCACTTTTGCTGATCATTTTAGGTATACCAACTCAATGGCTATGATGGTGACATATGGGTATTCAATCTCCCCTTTCACAACACCTCTAGTTCTAACGGTGTGTTAGTGTCCGTGTGCCGGAGTATGACAACCCTACAATGAGGGAGATTCTCAAGTCGTAGGTTTACTTTACCTCTTTGCGGTCAAATCTTTAACATCCACACTCCAGGTTGGAAAAGACATCAAGCATTATTCAAGTCACTTCGGCAGCGTTAGCCGACGCGTATCCCATCATGCAGTGGTTACCGGCTTGGCTATTCCCTGCGAAGAAAAAGGCCATCGAGCACACCAAGACTGAACGGTCGATTTACTTCAGACTTTGGAATCGTGTCAAACAATCTATGGCAGATGGAACCCAGAAACCCTGCTTTGCGGCTGATTTAGCAAGACTACAGGAGAAGGAAGGGTTCACAGATCTAAGAGCTGCATACGTGTCAAGTGGCTCGATGGAGGCGGGGACCGGTACCTCATCGAACAACTTGCTTGGCTTCATTCAAGCGTTGATACTATTCCCAGACGCTTTGAAGGAGGCACAGCGAGAACTTGACCGAGTGGTTGGTGACGATCGACTGCCTGACTTGGACGACCGGCCCAATCTGCCATATCTTCGAAGCTGTGTAAAGGAGTCTCTAAGGTGGATGCCTCCTGTCATCGTCGGCATCCCACATTGCCTATCATGCGACGAAACATACAATGGTTATGTGTTACCCAAGGGTGCCGAGCTTCTAATCAATGTATGGACTCTCAACAACGATCCGACGCGCTATAAAGACCCGCGAACATTCAATCCTGCTCGATTCCTGAATGATGAGCAGACTTCCTTCGAGGCAGCGACAAATCCAGACCCTGATCGGCGAGATCATTACGCCTTTGGGGGCGGTCGCCGGCTCTGTCCCGGAACACATCTTGCCGACGACATCCTATTCCTAGCTATGTCGAGACTGGTATGGGCGTTCAACTTCACCCCAGCCGTCATCGACGGCAAGGAAGTACCTCCAACGCCGGAGCGATTTACTCAGACGGCTGTGGTCATGCCTGAGCCATATCCAGCGACCATTTTACCGAGATCTGCCAAACGGGCGGCCATGATTAAGAAGGATTGGGAACAAGCCAGAGACAATCTTCTTGATGAACAGTTGCAGTGGCGAGAGATTCCTCGTGGGATGAAATTTAGTGAACTATGATCAATGTCCTCGCGTTCACGGTGGAGACTCAGCTTCTCAGAGGAGCAATGAGGGAGCTGTGGGACCGGAATCTCCACAGGCGTGCTAGCATATTCTGACCATCAGCAATACGAGTCATTATCATGTGATAATGGAAAGCTTTTTGTCTTGCGAGGAGGCAGCAATGGTTAATGTTTATGGCACTGTTAACTATGCAAGTAGCCAAAATATATTGAGCACATACCGATGATCACTATAAGAGTTTCGATTTAGCTGCATTGGATGCTGTAAGCCCGCTCTTGTCAATTAGCTATCACAACGGATCCAACTAAAATAGCTATCCTCACACAGCCAGAACGATATAGGATCAGCCTCCGCAAGAAATGACTCTTCCAAACAGGACAGCTGAGACACACTTCAGACAGTCTCCCGGATACGGCTTTCTTCCGTGGTGACCCCATCCTTGTGTTGATGGTGATGCTGGTGGTGGAGCACATCATGAAGGTGGGATAGTTCATGGTCTTTAAGATCAACATCGAGCTGGTTGTCCATTTTGGACGAGATGTCCCTTGTGAAATAGGACAGAACAACCGCCACAACTCCCAGGGCGGATCCGAGCCAGTAGATTGGTCTGCAAACACGATGTTAGTACGGAAACCGAAGAAATCAGCGCAACCAAAGTGCTTGAGCTTACTTGAACGAGTAAGCCCAAGAGAGCTTTGTGGCAGAGGTTGTGGCTTGAATAATATCCGGTGTGATTCCTGGGATCTGCGGAATGCTCGTGAAATTCGCGGTGAAGACAGCTCCAAGGAGAATCGGGAAGGAGCTTTCCGGCAAGCCGAGAGGCAGTGTTGCCGCTGCCAATCTCTTTGGTAGATCAGCGCCCAGCCGTGTCGACAGAATGGATGAGTAGACAGAGACTGCACGATACTATTAGAAGTGACCATGTAATTGGAAGATTACACTTACTGCCCAGCGCCCCGGCAATTCCGCGCATGCTGCTGAGAAGGCCTGTGACAGTACCTAGATGTTGCGCCGTGGTTGAGAACTGGATCACGACAATGATGGCAATCTCACATAGTCCCACGCCTGTTCCATATAGAAATACATATGCCAGAGCTTTCTTCAGGTCTCCCGGTCCGAGAGTCGACAAAAGTCCCGTGAAGATGGTGAGGAGAACAGCGCAAGCTGTAAGGTAATAATTGGTAGGCCTCCACCATCGGATGGTAGCAGTCAAAACACCACCGAACACGGTACCAAGGGTTAACGGTACAGTGTATAGACCAATTTTCAAAGCATCCGTTGTATACAGATTGGCCACCTGTATTGGCCAGAAAGTCAACGACGACATCAGCGGCATGGATGCCACGAAGCATATGAGCAGAACGTTGGTGAAGCTATGGACACAAGATCAGTATGTTTACTAGCCCTGACGAAGAGCATGACCTACCCTTTTATGTCTTTGAAGAGGAATGGCGGGAACAGTGGGTTCTTCGTTCCGTAGACTTCTGCTCGACTGTCAGTTGTGTGTTTCACTTTACTAGGCAATAAAGGCCTACCCCAGAATCCATAGGCTACAAGAACAGCACCACCACCAATCATGGGGACAAGGACAGCAGCAGACCGCCAAGAGAATTGACCACCGGCCCATGACACACCGACGAGGAAGACTGTGAGGCCAAGCTACGTCAAGCGGTCAGTGAACGTCAAGTATTGCCGCCATGCGAAAGGAAACTTACCGCAAAAAGTCCAAGGCCAACGAAATCGATTTTCTTCAGCAACTGTCGTCGTGACAGAGTCCGATTCGGCTTGGGCTGAGGAGAGTCAGAGACATCATTCGACTAGCAGAATGGATATGGTGATCATGGCCGTCACCTACCGGGTGATAGAAAATGGCCAACATTAGGAAAGCCACAACATCGATGATGATAGCCACAAAGTATAGCCACCTCCAACTCAGACGTTCAACGATGATGTGAGCAATATAGGGACCAACGCCGGCGAAAGGAGTGGACACGAAATTGATAGATGCTGATCGAGTAAAGTCAGTGGAACTGCCTTGACCATTTGCTTAGGATCGGGAGCCTCGTACATATAGCGATGCCTCTCCATTTGTTCGGGTAAATCTCCGAGATACCCGCAAGAACCATTTGATGCATGGCTGTCCCAATTCCAAGAATGGTGTTTGCGACGATAAGAACGGAAATACTCTTAGCAGTGCAGGCGATGATCGCGCCGACAATTGAAAAGGTAAGGCCGACCAAGAAGAAGTATCGTCGCCCAAGAGTGTCCGAAAGTGATCCTGTATACGCTGTCAGGCCTCTGGAGCAAAGTTTCTCATCGAGGATGCATCTCACCAGAAATTGGCCAGACCACAGCAATGTCGATGGTTATGACAATGATCGCCCATGTGTAGTTGGTATCAGGGCCTGTAATTTGTTCAATTCGGCAGCTTTCATCGAGCCTGCTCAACTTCTACGTACCAATGTCTTCATTGACATAGGTGAGCACACTCGACAAAAGATTGAAGGTGCACTGCCAGGCACACCATGTGAGCCAGAATCCCTTTTGTTCAATTAGCATAATACTGGGAGAGCTACCTGCGTAAAAAGGAGCAACCTACAACTGTGACGGGTATCACACGCCAATTGAGATGAGGCTCTGCGACCTGGGCCTCAGTCTGAGTGTCAATGAGCTGAGTGCCTTGTGGCGGCCCAGACTTTTCCACTTCCTCGAAATGCGTTTTTTCAGGCTCCATTGTGACGACGAGTAGCTTCGATTCACGGTTGGGCGGCAGAGCACGTTAGACGTAATCAACCGGGTACCGGAGTGTGCAGAATTCGCAACCATATATACTTAGCGAACAGCCTCGTGTCGAGGAGATATTGCAGCAGCCTGTCAGGCCTATCAATCATTAATCAAAACGGCAATATAGACGAGGAATCGGTCCTGTTCTATACGAATGGACGCCACCATGAAGAAATCGACCTTGGCCCCAGAACCAGGAGCCCCGGATTCGACACCCCCAGACTGAAACCCCAGATTGTCGAGGGAATAGACGGGTCATTTTCCTGAGCTCTGGAACCGTAAAGGGACGCCACCTAAGTGTCCGGATGCTCGGATCGCGGAAAGTGAACCAGATCCAGACCATTTCCATTTGCTCTGGTGTATGAATGAGATTTGGAAATTTAACCGTGCCAATTCCAGCTGCGCATATCATATCAACCGCCCAAACGGCAGTACTACCGAGGTTGATTGTGGTTCAAGTTCCAGCTCGTGCTTACAAGATCGATGTTAGCTTGAGGCACTATTGCTTTCCAGGGGTAATGGGTTCTCGTGGCTCCTGGTCTAGATCAAGCTTTTGCCACCCACATTGGTGTCCCTATCGAACAGCTGTTGCCTTCAAACTACGGCAGCGAGGGAACAAGATCGTTAGGCTGCGAGGCGATAGGAATGCATGGCGCTGTCTTCGAGCATGGCAGTGCGTAGATTTCAGGGCGACAAAGAGATTGTGATCGCAATGGCGCAACATGCATTGCAGATAAAGTAAGCAGGAACGAAGTATTTTGGAAGGATTTCGTCTAAGCTACAATGCCAGTTTGAACGGTCGCATGAATCTATCGTGCCACTTCAGACCTTGCAGCCAATGGTAATAGTCAGCAGCCATCTTTCCTAAATCCAAGGATACCCATTACAAGATGATCATCATTTGACCTTGAAAAAGTTTTCGTCTGCTTGACCCTTCTCCTTTTCCATCAATTCAGCAACAGTCCAGTCCTCGTGTACATATCCTTCCGGGACATTCGTCGGAGTGAATGGAGTTCCATTCTTGAGATTCGAGACGACAGCAGCGTAGTTCTCATGGGCATAATCTTCCGCATCAATTCCCACCAGCCAATGCGGTTGTCGAAATTGTAGATACTCGGGGTTCTTAGCAACAGCGTCCCAGTCCGTTTGATGCCACCTGTGTCGCAACTCCCAGCCCATACGCTGCGTGAGAGATGTACGCTCAAATCTGCCGCGAAAGTTAGGAATATGAACTGAGGATGCGCAGAGCCAGCATAGGCGGTAGAGCTTTTAGGGTGAAGAGGAGCATACCTGAGCTTTTCAAATGCTCTTAAAGCTGTTGGAACATCTCCCTTGCCGCCTTCTTCAAGGCATGCAGCGATGGTTGCGCCGTCTTCGACACCCTGCGCTCCACCTGTTGCAGAGGTTGCCAAATGTGGATGCGCAGCATCGCCAACAATGCATACTCGACCCTTTGGAGACACCCAAGGCTTGATAGGATCTCTCCATAGAATCTTATAGTCTATCAGGTTCTCCTCTACCAGCTCCTTGACGGTTTCGACTAAGCGCTCGTCGCAACCTTCCACCACCTTTAGCATGTCCGACTTTTTCCCTGGTAAGGTCCAGTCCTCCTGAATATCGCGATCATCCTAAGCCGAGATATTAGTGCACTTGGTGAGATAAATGAACCTGGACCAAACTTACTCGATGAGTAGCAAAGCAAGTCCCACGATCAAGAACCTTATTGGTGGTAATAATAGCATGGCAGTCTCCCCAAATCCAGATATGGAAGTAGGGATATGGAGCGTCAGCGATAGGCTTCGTGATTGGGTTCTTGCGCAGCACTTCGAGCGGAAACCATGCGCGGTAGAGTGCAAATCCACTCGGCTGCGGCCTGTCCACCTTCCCAGTTACAAAGTACCGCGCTTTGCTGTGAATACCGTCAGCGCCAATGACCAAGTCCGCTTCATGTCTGACTCCGTTGACCGTAACCCCAGCACGCTCGTCATCCTCAAAATACTCGGAAACATTGCTGTTGTAGACGAACTTCACGCCAACTTGCTTGGCGAATTGAAACATGACGTTCTGTGTGTGTCCACGATAGCCGTAAGCATTGGGCCAACCTTCGGATTCTTGCTCGACTTGTTGATTCAGAAGAAGCTTTCCGTGCTTGTCCATGATAGGCATCCATTCTGGTTGAGAGGCAACTCTCATTAATTCCTCCAAGATACCTTTACCATATTTGCCTACGATTCTGGTGGCATTTGGACCGAATAAGATGATGTCGCCTAAACAAAGTCGGTTAGCGCCGCGCTTCTTCTGCACTTGATCGACTGGAAAACGGATGACCAACCTGCTGTCCTGACGGCGTCAGCAGCTTCGAATATAGTAACATCAGCTCCACGCCTGGCAATATCCGCAGCGCATGCTAACCCGGCGAAGCCAGCACCGATAACGATGACTTTGAAATCTTTGAGCGTCTTTGAGAGATTGGGCGTGATTTCTGGCTGAAAAGAGCTCATCTTGATGGTGACAGATCGAGATGACAAGTCAGTTGCAGTATGAACACTCCAACTGTGGCCGCGAAATTTCCAGCTCAGTATTTATTGTGGTCGAGACCGGAGAGCCGAGGACGTGCGCAGATGTGTAACATGAGAACAGTAGCTAGAACTGCAAAAAGAGCACTGAACTCGGCTCACGGTCCCATAGGCTGGGCCGCGAATCGAATCAGTATTCGGACAAATATTACCGGACCTCGAAGGGTCACCAAGGAATCAAGTGACAATTCTTCGTGCCTTTCTCCGAACCCTTAGCCGTCCGGGAGAGGCAGAGTTGTGTTTCAGCTACGGAGCCCCACCACCCAGACGGGGAAATCTAGGCGATCCCATGCTTGTGGGTCATCACAGGAAATGTATCCTACCTTGGTTTCGTTGCATGTGTCTGGAATGCAGTCGACCAAAGTCGGACATACGGGTGATAGGAGCGAGAAGTCACCACAAACCTCGTGGCATCGAATGGACCCGTGTGTTCGCCGTAGAGACTGATAGACGCTGACCTTGACAATACACTGCTTTGACTTATCGAATTCACTATTGTGGTTGAGCACCTAGCAACATGTCTGCACATGCTTTCATTGCTGAGATCTTTTCGAGTGCTGGAGAGGGTCAGGAAGCGGTTCGTGCTGTTCATACAGACAGTCGCACCCAGCGGACAACTCTAACATTGCTTCGCTTGAGCAGATTTTGGAGGCTATCCGGGGCGTAAATAAACAAGTCATCCAAAATGAACCGAATGCGAGCGTGTACTATTGGTACACCCCAGAAGAGGCCAATGGCGGGACAGCCATCGGCCTGAGGAGTATGTGATTGGTCGTCGTATACTTCTGGAGGACTAATTGATGTTGGTATTTGCCGATAGGTACTCAACGGTGAAGGACCACGTCGATGTTCACAACACGAGTCCAGCATTCCTCAACCTTGTCGACACCATTGGTAAAGCTTGTCCTGGAGAACCAAAACTCTCCATTGAAAACCTTGCGCAGGTGGCAGGCTTTACAGAGCGTGAGGCACCACAAAGCGCAGGTTTGGTCGTCGTGGCGCGGTTTGTCGTTGAGTTAGAAAGTCAAGACCGAATTTTGAAACTTCTCCAGAAGTATGCTGGCTTTGTGCAGCAGTGTGAGTGTCACTCTTAGTGTCATTCACGTCGCCTTACTAATTTTGGGAGTAGCTGAGCCAGAAACGCTCACATTTGTTGTGTATCAGAGTCGTGAAAGACCTGGGGAAATAGTAGTGTTCCAGAGGTTTGTGTCTAGATCGAGCTTCGAGCAACAGCACTCTCAGACGCCGGAGCCTAAGAAGTTAGAGAACGATCCTTCATCACACATCAAAAACGCAGATGTTCGCACATACAAGGAGGCCGGTATCGGTTTTCTGAAAAGGCAGTAACTGATATCCAGCACAAGAACTCAGCGCATACATAGTATCAGAGGTCGAAGTATGGATTTTATCAGACTAGATAGCAATTGTGCCACCATGGCGATGTGGAAGCTTTACGCTTTTCCGCTGAGAACGAATACTAGTATTGATAGTATCTACACCTGAGGTCTAGAGGACAAGCATCGATTCATAGGTAATATCTTGCCGGTCTCTGTAATTTGGAAGTCCAGAAACAAGATTATTCAGGCTCGGTTCAAGTCTTGCAACCACTTACCCAGATCATATCCCCACTTCTCGATCTCGCCGCCAGCGCGTAATGCCCAGACTGTCGTGAAATGGTTGTGTCCCTTCAAGATGTGATATTCACCCTTCCGACCGGACGCTTTCCACAAGTCGGTGAATTGTTTCCCGGACTCTCGAATGTCATCAGGGTCCATTTCACTCACGATTGTCAAAATGTTCGGCCATTTTGTGTCTGGTTGCGCGTCTTTGAGAGCTTTCTCCACCAGCAGCAAAGCCGCATTCTCTTTAACCTTCTGTTCGTCGCCGTAGTAGCCTTTGACGCTGTCTCCGACTTTCGAATCGATCACGTACTGAGGCCATGTGAAAGGGCAGCTCAGTGGGATACCCGTCCGCAGAGTCAAAGTACCTGTACCCGAAACAAACAAATTGACGCTGTCTCGGAATTCTAGTCGAAAGAGCCACGTTGTCAGGTGAATACCTCCGGCCGAATTGCCCATAATGTACAGATCTCTTGGGCCACGAGGTTTATAATGTTGATCAAGCCACTTCAAGGCAAGATCTAGGTCCTCGGCGCCACGTGGGAATCTGATCCCATGCTTTGATAGTCTGTAGTTGACAATAGCCACGTCGAAGCCTAATTCTTCAGCGAAGAACGATCCCAGGTTCTTGTACACCAGGTCTCCAGGTATCAAGTCAAAGAGCTTGTCTCCTGACGCAAATCCGCCACCATACAGGAACACCAAAAGTGGAGAGTTGCTGCCTTTGTCGTGATCTGAACCTCCCTTTAAAGGCGTATACAAGTCCAGATCGTGACGCTCATGAGGACCATATTGGTGAGTTTCTCGTGGAGTCGCATTGATTAAATCCGCCCGCGGCTTAATCAGGCGGCCGCATACCTCACTCGTGGGCACAACTGCTTCGTAAAGCTCAAGATGACGAAGTGCAGCGATTTCCTCCATTGTGTTAAAATTTCAAACCTCACGTCAAGGAGGATAGGTCCAGACAGCTCTTGTTTGACTTCGGATAAAGCAATAGGCACCTAGGGGACTGGGATGACTCTTATTCTTTGCTGGCACGGCGGAGCCGGGTAGATGAGACTCCAGTTCACCTTGGCGGCTAATCCGTTAGTCGCAACTGGGGACTCTGCCTCGTTGGGCTTACCTGCATGTTGACACTACACACGTCGCCGGCTACATGGCCAAGAATGGAAACTGTGAAGTCCACATGGAGCAAGTTTACCGGACTATTAATGGACGGGGAAGTGACATACGCCTGGATCATTGATATTGCCTTGTCTCTGTTGAGACATACTGTGGTCATGCAATTTTCTACGTATAGTACTGACAGCCACCGTCTTGAAGACCAATCTTCCTGAAAGCATGGCTCCTCAATCCACCAATACCAACGGTATAGCGGCGACGAACAATACAGCGACTAACGGAACAGCGACCAATGGGGCATCATATCATAGCGTCAGTGAGCGCAAAGTTCAATAGCCGGTTGTAGGATTTATCGGACTTGGGCTTGCTGGATGGCCCGTGGCAACCAATCTGCCTCGAAATGGTTTCCGGGTTCATGTTTTCGACGTCGATGGTTCTAAAAGCCAGCGATTCGCAGAAGAGTATGACTGCACCGCTGTGTCTTCCCCTGCCGATGGATTCAAAGACGTTGACATACTCATCGCCATGCTGCCTAATGGTGCAATTGTGAGGGATGTACTATTTGGCACACAACAGGTCGCACATACTCTGAAAAAAGGTAGCCGGCTTTGCAGGTAAATTCCATCTTGGCATTTTTTTGAATAGATCTGACATTACGTCTGCAGGTTGTGTCGTGGTCAATATGTCCTCTGCCGATCCATACAACTCGATCTCCCTCGCCAAGGAATTCGAGCAATTGGGGATAGATTGCCATTGATGCCCCTATAACTCAACGGAAACTGCACGACACGGACGTGAGCAAGGTCGCGATAATGATAGGGGCGAAGAATGCTGATATCGTCCAAAAAGTGATGCCAGTCATGGAAACATTATCCAAGTACTGCTTCGTCATGGGAGGTATCGGTTCGAGTCACGCGATGAAGACCATCAACAACTACGTGATGGCCTCATCCATATGTGCACTGGCTGACTCTTTCATCATGGGATCCAAATTCGGCTTGCACCCAGGCACCATGCTGGACGTCCTCAACGCTGGAACGGGTCGAATGTTCGCCTCGGAGAACACGATGCGCGATGAACGCCTTATGCGGAGAACCACTCAGGATTTCAGCTGGCTCTGCTCGTCAAGGACCAGGGAATTTGCGAACATCTGGCAGACGGGACACAGTTCGACACACAGCTGCCTACCTTGTTAGACAAATTAAGCAAGGCTTTACGGCTGGTAGAGCCCGACGCCTGCCATTCCAAATGCCTGGCGGCATGGGAGAAATGAGATGTCACTCTCGAGACGCTAAAGCAACCGACAACACCAGCAATCCCTGTGGACGAATGAGTGGGAGAGCTGCCGCAGACAAGGCTTTTGGTTTCGGTTGAGCTTCACCCGGAGCCAAAAAAGAATCGGGCATTGCCTCGGAGTATGTGGCGTTTCACACAACTTTTATGCGAGGCCATGCATGAGTCCTCCCGGCTGCATACTGGATCTGCCTCAATCCTTGGTCACAGCATCGCCACTAGTTGGGCATTCCTCGCCTACCCCAGAATAAAGGCCATTAGACCCGGAGAATGCTCATGTAGAGGGGAAACTTGGACTTGTGGGGATCTCGTGACACAGACCCCTGCGGTTTGGCTTTGGAGCGCCACGCACTTATTGTAACCGTCTCAATTTTCGGTTGCTCTGTCCCCACAGCAAACAACCCTGCAATAAACGAACGAGACCAACGTGTATCTGCTCCAAAGGTCAGGTTGGTTATCTAGGCATGTAGACTGGAAATTTCACATCTTGCTGCGAGGACTTTGCCAGCGTCAAAAAGAATGGAAACTCAGCGGTCTCGTCGAGGATGGTATGCCCAACACACCGAAACACCCCACCCATGCACTTATTGATCTTTCGAGTAGTACAGCGTGCCGGGTCCGTCATTTGAAATGTAAGCAGAAGAAGCAGCAGGCAATCATCAACAGATCGTCTAACCGTCCTCGTAATAGGCGACGAAGCGAAGCCCGCTTGTTCACGATGTCAAGCCGCGGGGAGGGAGTGTGAGAAAGGTCCGCTGTTTTCGCAATGGCGAGAACCCAAAGCGCGCAGAAAACAGAGCGCTTCAACCCCTCGAGAACCACGAAAGGAGCGCCGCTGGGTCGAGATTCCTTCTACCTGTACGCGTGAATACTGAGCTCCAAGTTGTGAAACTGGCTGACAATCCCGTCAGTGACTTTCGTGACCGACAACACGGTAGAAGACATATTATCTCAACAACACTCGCCACAGCGGCAGGATGGTGAAGCGACGACAGGGGCGAGCAAAAACTCCTCACCAATCTTCAGCGTAGCAGAGACGACCAGCATGCCTCAATTACCATCAAACGCTCCTCCCCCTCCCGCCACACACCAGTGTCCCCCTATGGAGATGACGTTCACCGAGCTCTCTTCGTTGGATTTCATGGACATGGTAGATTTTGTCACAGAAGTATCAGCCAGCGAGTGTGACGCAGGCATTACGTGCGAAATGAGACCGTTTGAGGCCCATTCAGGACAGCTAGCTGACCGCCACGCTCTGATCAAAGACCGTACGGAGGCACACTTGCTACGCCATTACTGCCAGAAACTGGCTTCATGGGTGAGCCGCATTGCGCCTCGCAACCTTGACCAACTCCTACTAACGCTGGTATCAAAAGTTTGACGTTACAGATTCGAATAGGCACTTTCAGCTGGAAGTACCTCAAAGAGCCTCGAATTGCGAGGTGCTACTCAACGCGATCTTTGCCTTGTCTGCTCTGCACCTCAGTCGAGTGTCTTCCTTGGATCCTTCCATAGCAGAGTCATATCATTCGCGGTGCAATTCTCAACTAATACCGCTTCTCAATGACCAGCATTGCGTGGCGAATGAGAATTTACTGGCCACTGTGGTTATCCTGAGAAAATATGAGGAGTTGAGTGGTAGGTCGTCTCTATAACTTCCGCCAGCAGGAGGAGCTGATACCATCCTAGTTGTAATCACTGGGCAGGATCATGGCCATCATCTGGCTGGCGTGTCGGCCCTTTTTAGCTCACTAGACTGCCCTTTCAACGAGGGTTTGGCGCAAGCCGCGTTCTGGCAATTCGTCCGGCAGGATATCTACATGTCCTTACCGAAGAGGCAACCACCTCGAACCTCCATTATGATCCAGCCACCCTTGACGAACGATAGGACGATCCCAGATTGCCATTGGGCTAATCGTATGGTGTGGGGTACCCTTGCCATAATGTCCCTTTGTTTTCGTGACGAATCCCCAGACGTCGCGACGTACGAAAATTATAGTCAAAGGGTAAAGGATTGGCATGAGCATAAGCCGATCTCGTTCACACCAATGTACTATCGTGGGCGATCAGTTGTGGATGGTCGATATTTCCCTGAGATTTGGTTATCAGATCCGTGGCATGGTAGGTGTCTACAGTTTTATCACTGCCTCTATGATCCAACGATCACTGACCTTGATGGATACAGCTACCGCGTGGCAATACTATCATCTCTCAAAGATCTTGCTTGCACTCTACAATCCACATCTTCAGCGCCCAGCTGCAGGCTTAAAATATCAGCGAGCTCATAATCAGCTCGAGGTAAGTATCTCGAATCCATAATGACAAACAGGTCATAGGTCTAACCTACTTGCCTCGATGACAGCGTGATGTACTTGAACATGCAAGAATTGCATGCGGCATCGCAAGTTCGAACGACTTTGTCACGACGCGTTTCACCTTATGTGCTATCATGCTTACCTGTATGTGCTATGCTTTGAAAGTTCGACGACATCTAAGCTGACATCGTCCGTAGGTGGTGGGTGGTTCAAAGACCCGCAGGAGCAAGAAGCTATCATTCAATTACTCTCGGCAACGGGCAAAGAAACTGGCTGGCCAACTAAATCCGTCATTGACGCTCTTAAAGAAAGTTGGGCAGTGGAATAATATGTAATTTGGAGAAGCCTTTTTATACGATACCAAGCTGAACCTGTAAGGACTAAATTGTTATATCAGCCATCCCCGCTACGAGCTGACCAGTCATGGTCTTATCACCGGCATAGCGCCCATTCGGGCGTATATTGTTTGGGCAGCATCAAGTAATCCGTCCTGCGCTTCGAGTAGAACTTCCGAAAACATTCGCCAAAGTTTGCAAAGAAGCATACTGTGGCAGAACGCGTGTTTCAATTTTTCGGCAGGAAGTACGCGATCTTTTCTTCGAAGGCTAAATCGCCTCTTCCGTAACAGAGAGGGGAAACAAAGGCGATAGCGACAAGGTCCTTCGTAGCTTCACCACATCCATGTACTACCTCCGTGTTAATGCCGGTCTTTCTGAGAACTGATCCTCAACGCAGACCACTGCCAAGCCACTCGACGCCTCCCGGGCAGGCGTGGTTCAGCTTGCCAAGAGTGTCCGCACGCCTAGGTCTATTCGCCGAGAGCATTTCGGAGAAAGTAATGTTGACCGAGCATTGAATCACTGGGTATTCGACATTTGGAGTTCTTCCTGTGGTGAATCTGGGGGCATTCCCCGTTAATGTCGCTAGTGGCTTCTTAGGGCCGTCCACAAGCGCCGGAGTAAGCGATTTTACCCCATACATGCTCCAAGTTAGAGGCGGCAAGTTGCCTTCCCCGGACCAGACCGACCGAACTATATTCGGAGCTCTTACCATTTTCGTTCGGGGAATAACGGCTGCGGGTCCAATTCACCAAAACTATTCGGAGATAGCAACTTAGTCCGCTTTTAGGAACTTGGAGTCTCAGGGGCCATCGTCTCGTTTCTAGCAAGGTGGCCAGGGAGCTTTTCGGAGCCGTAAACATGTCTATACCGAGACTGCATAATTCGAAACATGAGCCGAGACCAGAATGTGCTCACGTGCTGCTGCTGGGGCGTTTCATCCCTGAGACCCAAGACTGAGTGCCAAGAGGGACAACGCAAGGTATAGACAAGCTTGATGCCTAGGGTGACTGCCCTCCCGTCGACCGCCATAACATCGTGATGTGATGCAACGGCGACGATGACCTCAAAAGAATATAGCGCGGCCTCAACGGCTAATGCCATCCGCAGTGCTCATGCTGCGTACAAAATCCAGACCACTACTTCTAGCTACAGCTGGAGACTTCGACAGTTGCACGGATTATGTAAACTTCTCACGACCGAGAAGGATGCCTTGTTGCGGAGCTTGAGTGAGGGTATGCCTGAAGCAGTCTCTTGAGCTGGAGAGGGATGTTCGATACGGCTAACATTTTCACGTCTAGAGAATGGGTCTCGGAGGAAACAATACGAGCTGGAACTAGCGCTGGTCCTGGACGATGTCGCAAGGTATTACATCCGCGTCAAAAAGAATCCTTTTCCTTTGGAAGCAGCTGCCAGTCGATTGCCAGGACCGCAACAGCAGTTTCTTCCCGTAGGGGTGTCACTGGTAGTGGTTGACAGCATCAATCCGATCCGATTTGCTTTCAGCGCTCTTGCTGCGAACATTGGTGTGGGCAACGCAGTAGTCATTGCGAACGGCTATTCGCAGAGGTCGAACGCATTCTGGACCGTTCTCACAAAAGCGGTGCCTGCCTACCTTGACTCTACGGCCATTCACGTCGTGGAAAGACTCGACGGCGGTAACGTTCCACTCGAACAGGTCGACTTGATAACCGTCTTCGGTAAGTCAAGAAGTGTTTTGCTCGTCTCCCTTTGACATGTTTCAAACTAATCATCTTTTCTCAGCCGAAAAGCCCGAACCTTATGAAAGTACCTTGAGGCTACCCCATGCGAAGTTCGTCAGCACAAAATCCGGATCTAGCCTTGTCGTTGTCGACGAAGGCCCCAAATCTCAGGTCGATATCGTCAAGCAACTCTTTCACAGCTTTAGCTTCAGAGGACTAGGTCCTGAGGCTGTCAATGCAGTCTTCATCCGGGAAGATGAAATTGCTCTTTTCCAGCAGAGCTTCAATAACCACTTTACCCTTCCGGCTTCGGACAACTCCACTCCAGCAAAAATTCAACACAATGGCTTTAGCCAGATCTCCCCTTCTGCTTTCCGAGTAGACCTGGCAAAACTCATCGTATCGGAGAAGCGGCAGTCAGGCTTGCAACAGGCCATCGACGAGGCTGATCGCGCTGGCGTACTGCTCGTTGTCGTCTACCGAAGCATTGACCACGTCATCGATGCTTTGCGCCAACTCCCAACAAAGCCAACGTACTTAGCGCTACTTGCTCCATATAGCAAAGCCAACTCAGAGTATTTTGAGAAATGGACAACGAGCGAGTTCTACTCTCTAGGTTTCATTGTGGCCGTCACTCCACACCGTACGTGATTTGAGGAACAACCTTGCCATTGTTTTCCAGACTGACTGAGCTTGACAGACTCGAATCCGTCCAACGTCGTGTTTCCTCCAGAACTTTTCGCACAGTCACGAACATTGTTGACAACCCCAAATATTCAACGTGCGCTCTTGCTAGATGATGTTGTGCAACGAGTTCAGGCCGTGGTTCAGAAGCCTACAGATGCGCCGAATCAAACAGACGATTTCTTTATTTACATGGCTAGGCTCGTGAAGCGTGTGGGAGCGGCATGCGTCTTTGCGACGGGAGCATATATCTACTACGCGAGAAGGCTGTCCAAGTGAATGCTACTGTACTCACGTCGTGAAACCTGATTCAGGGATTCCTGCACTTCTGTTGCGCCGCAATTTTAACATCTCTCCCCTCAAATAGCACCATCTTGGGACATGTCAAGGATGGAAACTTGTTGTTACAACCTCTGTTACGTACGAATTTGTCAAATTGTGGTACTTTTTCCATCAATGTACATTTAATATCACCTTTGGAGAAAATCAATCTGTTTGCAGTACAGTACAGCTTTACAGCTTCACCTCAAACCTGGGGTGATTCCTGAGCACCTCGCCGTACCGAATGAAAACCCAGATCAATGGTGTCAGTGCCACGGACACACCAGCCAAGACGGTATTTCCCCAGCCCAGACCCAACACGTCGTAGACTCGAGCACCAGCAAGTGGAACTAAGGCTCCGAGAATGCTCCGCAGGACCGTGGTGGCCGCTGTTGCGCTCGCTGCGTATACGGTGAAAGCGTCTACCAGATAGATTCCGATGGGTAGCAACGTCCAGAGAGTGCCGGCACCAAGGAGTCCAGTTCCGATAATTGGGATAATGGGATGGAGCTTGTACTCGGCTGACCACCCGTAGACGAGTAAGCCGGCCGGTACCAAAACGGCGCCTGGCCAGAGAAGGGGTAGTCGATATTCCGGCTTCATCTGGCCTCCTTTTGCCTTTGCCAGTTTCTGGAGTAACTTGTCCGAATAGACGCTGAATAAGCCCAGACTGATGAACTGACCGATCCCAACCCCAAGGAAAACAAGCCCAACCGTGCTTCGATTGAAATGGTATTGATCCAAGAAGACCCGGGTGATGGTGGAAAAAATGAGATACATGTAGCCGTAGCCCACAGCGACGTAAAGTGAGCACCCGAAAACAATGAGTGAACCACACAAAAGTTTGATCGGACGGGTAATCGAGATGAAAAGCAAATGTCGCGGCGATTTAGCTGAGGTTGCCAATGCAGACCGAAGCTGCTGGTTGCCTGTTTCTGCTCGGAGGCGCTCTACCTTTCTTTCTAATAGCAACACAGGGTACGTTTCGTCCTGGAAGGGGATGGCTAAACCAATATAGACAGCCGTCTAGGTACTAATGTCAGCTTTGCTCTACACACTGATTGATCGGACAACTTACGCAAATTGCAAGCACGTAGAAGTCCCATCGCCAGCCGTACGATTCGGCAATCCAGGAACCCAGGACTGGTCCTAGACTACGAACTCGTGGTTAGCAAATCCTGCAAGTTGCCTTTCCAAGTTAAGAACTCACCTTGGACCAAACAGGACCGAGAACTGCCACAGGCCCATGATCCTACCTCGTTCCTCCTGCCTGAATGTATCTGCAATCGTTCCCGAGCCTACAGTAATAGGACACGAGCCGGCAGTTCCAGCCAGAAATCGGAAAGCCACCAGCATCCCAATATTCATAGATACTCCACATCCGAGGGTGAAAATCAGAAACAAGATCGATGTCGTGATGTACAACGGCTTTCGTCCATACACCTCGCTCAACGGCGCAATAACCAGGGGACCAAAAGCGTAGCCGAGGACGTAAACCGACACGACTAAAGATGCCATCTCAATACTGTGTGAGTTGAAGTCCTTGAGGACCTGGGGAATACCTGGAGCAAACATCGAGGATGCAAACGGTCTGGGTGAAGAATTAGCTTATGTTGCTGGATGTGCATACTGCCAGCGTACGTTAGGAAGGTCATGTAGGACAGCAGGATGATATTGAGCCATCTCTTCCTAGCACTCCAATTGAGAGGATTCTCGGGGTCATCTGGGCCGCCCCAATGAACTACATCAGGATCATCGCTGGCCTGGACCTCGCTGTGTCTGAGCAGCGGTGTTGTCTCGACATCTGGCCCAGCGACGACGGCTGTAGTGCCTCTCGCTGGCGGCATAGCTGCAGGTATTGAATGAAACTGAGGAACAGCGTGGTGAGAAGCAGTCGAGATCAAAGGTGTAGAAGATGTTCGTGTAAGATTGCTTAGACTTTACTTTTATTACAGTGGACGGGAGGTACAGAATGGGCCTAAGTTTTACTAGCACTCCTTCTGCAGGCACCAGGTCCACCACTCCGATGGACCCGGAATTGGAGTCTCGGCTTTAATTAATGAAGGATCTCGGGGCACAGGGCGCCCCCCCCAAGCAAGGAACAAGTCTCGGCGGCGCGAACAGGATGCCCGGGCTAAGCCTCCAGGCGAGGTCAATGTTAGTCCAGCGTTATCTGCGCGTGGGGCATTAAGAGAAGTTGTGGTCATTTGTCTCCCCATTTCGAGGATTTTATCCGAATGAGTTTGTTTGGTGACGAGGCGGGGATGCTAGGTCGACAACTCAAAGCGTTCTGACATGAGCCACGAGTACTGAGCTTTGGCAAAGAACCTTTACTTTCGTCAGGATGTTCCAGCTGATACATTTCATATAACTACAGTAAAATTAATGATGCTGCCGTTCTGAGTCTATCGATGCAATTGCAGGCTAATTGCCCTGGTTGTGCAATTTCTGAGTGCCATGGTCAGCGTAGTGTATGCTTCTCCGCTAGACTCCAGAGATGCTTCCTGACTTGATATGACTTGGATCCTCAGCCTCGTATGCCACCTCTGCGGCACATTCTCCTTTGAAGCTCGCTTTGCTGGTGTATACTTTTGCCGGTATTTCGTTAGGTCGTTCGATGAATTGCAAACCCATGCCGGACTCGGAGTGCCAGATGATGTGACAATGAAGCATCCACACACCAGGGTTGTCCGTTTTAAATCCGAGGACCAGGTAGCCTTACAAAGCATCAGTACTACACTCCAAATCTTGGGAATATTGTTCTTACCTCCTACGTTTGGATCCTTTGCAACATTACCAACAACGAGGGCAGTATCCCTTCTGGGTGGATTCTCAAAATTGAGCGTTGAAATCAAGCTAGGGTTCCACTCGTCATGGCCCTGACCTAGAATTGCCATACTAAATGAAGGTAAACCCATCAGTCGAAGTTCTTTGAAGGGGACAAGTGATAAATTACGTACTCATGGCCGTGCAGGTGCATCGGATGTGCTGCATAAAACTGGTTCTGAATAACAAAATAAACCCACTGGTCTTTGTAAGGAAGAACAATTTGCTGTTCGATAGGCTTGTCGTAAGGAGAGATCCCATCGGCGAGTAACTTGAGAGTTGGTTGAGTGTAGTTCACAGTAATCGTCTCAAGGTTTAGTGGCCAACGCCAAACCGTGCCGTCATCACTGAATGTGACACGTTTACGGTCACCGCTTGGAAGCGTAGAGGCGGTTGCCTCAAATGCTGTACGGGATCCTGCGCTCTTCTCTATCCATGGTACAAGGGAGGCTAACGGTTCATCCGCACAATAAAAGAAATCCGTAATCGTCTTGTTACCCGCACTGGAGGAGGGAAGCTTGAGCGGCGCGTCTTCGTAACGGAAGATACCATTCGCATGGCCAAGCCCATTGTTTTCACCCTCGTCAGGACATCCAAGCTGGGCAACTGCTCGAAGGAAGTACGCATCCGCCGGTTGATCCATCTCGACAACCACGTCATAACGCTGGCCGTTGCCAATGTTAAGCCACTCAGTTGTGTAGGGTTTGATGGGGACGAGATCCGCAGCAATGACGGTCATCTTGTGGTTGTCAAAGTGAACGGCCCACGCACTTTGGATGGCCGAATTGATAATTCGGAAGAGGTGCTTCTTTCCTGGCTTGACCGACCAGAGAGCATGCTTACCCCTCTTAAGGTTGGGAGACTTGTTAGCACCGTTTAGAATATAATTGTAGAAGGCGGTTCCATTCACGTGCAGGACGCGAGATGCGTATGCTGGAGTTGATATGGGGTTGGAGCTATTGTCAAACAGATTGTCAATCATAATAGCGCCCATGTCTATATCGTAGTTGGATGTTGCTGGTCCGTGAATGATGATCGGGCCTCGAATGCCATCCCCAAACTGCGATAAAGCATGAGAATGCCACCAAGCTGTTCCGAATTGCTCTGTAATACGTAAAACTTAGCAGAGTTTTTGAGAATAGCAAAACGAACCTGTAATTTCTCCCTCCGATACATAGCAGTGTAAGATCCGTGAAGAGTCCCCCCATCCCTTCTGAGGAATGGGCCAACATGCCTCAACGGGTCCCCACTTGTCTAGCATGCTCTCCCTAGGGGGATGGAGATGAACCTACTCAGTTTGAATTCATATGTCCGACTGTGGCCTGGAGGGATGGCACATTCGGTCACTCCAGGAACTCCATCCTGGTCATTCGTGGCACCACCCCGCTGGCTGAGGCCGTGCCAGTGCATGGCTGTTTGATTGTTCGGCAAGAGATTCGTCACGTTGACCCGGAGAACGTCTCCCCATTGGCACTCAATCGTCGGTCCGGGAGTGTGCCCATTCACAGCCAGGGCAAGTCTTTCCACCCCGTCGAAATCTTTGGTGGTATTCGTGATTATGAAAGAGTATTCGCAGATATTTCCAGTGGTCGGTCCGTCTTCGTCACTGTCGGTGTCGATAGAGAATCCGTCACACCAATCACTTCTTGTGAGAGGCGAGTTGCATCGCGTCTCGCGAAGCGGCTGGAATGGTTGTGTGACATTTGGCACAAGGTGTTCGCCGTGAGAAGGCACACGCAATGGACTCGGGTCGGGGTGAAGAATACCAAGGTAAACTAAAAATGCAGTGAACAAGTTCATGCTCTTCTTCTGTGCATGTGTAACACAATGCTCCAAAGTGGTGCAAAATGAATATAAGAATACTAGTTGTTAGAAGCACGAACTTTTTATGCTGTCTCGGCTTGGCTATTTATTAATTATTGCCGAGCGACACGGTCCAGTCTCGGTTAGGGCCAAATGCTCCGGAAGCAAGGACTGGCGACAGATTCATTTTATGGTCATCTGCAATTGGATGCAAGCTGCGAGGGCAATGCGTGAAATGATAGTAGGAAGTATTTCTGCGCCTTTGTTGCCCCTGGATTTCTCTCATGTTTTCCAGGGCAGCGCGATCTACAAGCTCCACATGCGATGAACCTCAAACAGCTTCAGCCAATCTGCGCAGTGCCATTATTTGCTTATCGACTATAACTGTCCTTTGTTGCTTGTGATTTCTACGTTGGACAACTCCGTACGATCGAGTCACAGACCTGTAGCATTCATAGACCACACTAGTACACCGGCTTAGTCACAGTACACGGCAGTAGTCAGTATTTGCCAGGAACCACGAGAGCAAGGCTTTTCGCCATACATCAACTTCTGCCAGTAGTCAGGAGGTTGGCGAGATCCCCAGTGAGCTCGCCACCATGGTTGTGAAAGTGCTCGATGAGAAATACATACCACCAGCGGCCACAGAACATGCAACTCCTTATCACCGCCGCCAAACTGGAGCCACTGACGTGGTTAGGTTTTATTCAGCGCTAACCGAATAGTGGCCCCAGAGATTCAGCAAAAAGGGCAGCCAAGTTCACGTTAGCCACAGAGTGGCGGGCTCCATCCACGCTTTGAGCTGTAACGACTGGAGATAATTTGCCACTCGATCCTGTCCGATGCTAGGAGCCCTCCACTTCCTGGTGGTTTGTTCCGCATCTCAAAGATTAATTGAACCCATCCGTGCAAACCGAGGAATTGGACCGAACGCGAGCCGCGAATCGGCACAACTTTTCCCGTGTTCATAACAAGCCTCTTTCGACTGCTGTAGGTGGCAGGCGGTGCTAGTATGGTCCGAGAGGTTCTCAATCCCCAGGAAACAGAACACCACCCGAACATGTGAAGCTTAATTCGGGGAGATGTCACAGCTTTGTCGCATCCATATTTGGACAAGTAGCCGGCGTTCGGGAAAGAGGTGCGGAAGACCAATCCATCTGAGCGATGAATTTGCCGATAGTGGTTGTTCGTGGATCTCACACTTCTTCACTCCGGCCGAACTGAGGGGACTGATACCGACATGCAGGCCTCTTTGCAGCGACACATCTTGTGCTGTCACTTCACGTTCTCCACTATCCTGCACTCCTCGTCGTCCCCAGTTAAACAAAGCTACTCCAAGTTTCGAGCCGACCAGTCAGGTGAACATTGTAGCCCGCCAAAGTACTTCCGGGGAGGGCCTTTCTGCTTCGGTGGTAGTCCAGCTTCTCAGGCGGCACATCAGCCACTTTAGTAACAATCGCTCTACTGGCCGATCGGTCAAACTATTAAAAACTCGGTTGAAGTAACACGGTCTTGTGCAGCCTTTCAAAGCACACTGGTAAACAAAGGCATTCAGATCCTTGTAGCACCATGGGAAGCATACCTACCAATAAGGACTTTTCGCGCAACAATGACATTGACGTTATTGTCATTGGAGCGGGCTACGCTGGTCTTTCTGCCGCCATCGAATTGAAGAGAAAGGGGTGCAACGTCCACCTTATAGAGAGAGAGCAGAAGTTACAGATTTTAGGTCAATAGTTAGGTTGAAAGTCCCCAAGAGCGCGACGAGCTGACTCCCTGCAGGCGACATAATCACGATTACTGCCAATGCCTCCCTGGTCATGGAGAAATGGGGTGACGTTGTTGAGCAGATGGCGGCAGAATCGGCCACACCAGGCATTGTTACTTTCCGAAGCGACAAAGGGGAGGTACTTCTCAAACAGGACTGGAAAGACAAATACAATGGCCACTACAACTTGTACACTAGCCGTGCGCGTTCTCAAGGCTTAATATACGAATACGCCGTTAAAATCGGGGTCAAGTTCACCTGGGGGGCAAGGATCACTGACTTTTGGGAAGAAGGGGACAAGGCTGGCATCTATCTCAATGGAGAGCTGTTGAAGGCCGACTTCGTCGTGGGCGCTGATGGCGTGTACAGCCGCGCCCGCCAGTATGTTACTGGCAACACGCAGATGGCCCAGCGCAGCGGCTTTGCCGTTTACCGGGCGTACTTTTCACGGGACTATTTGAAGAAGGATCCGCTGACTCACGATCTCGCTTATTCCGAAAACGATCAGTTGATCATCTGGATCGGTTTGGACCTGCATGCGATCATTATTGTCAATGCTAAACTCGGATACATCTCTGCATACCTCACCCACAAAGACACATACACGGTGGAAGAGTCATGGACTTACCCAGGTACGGTCAAAGACATGCTCAAAGTCGTCAAGGACTGTGATCCGGTTCTAGAGGCCGCCATTAGACAGATCCCTGAGGAAGTCATCTGCGATTTCAAACTGTTGTGGCGAGATCCCATCGACAAATGGGTCTCGGACGCTGGCAGGATCGTCTTAATAGGCGATGCAGCGCACCCTCATCTTCCGACTTCGGGATCTGGGGGTGGAATGGGCGTCGAGGATGGCGCGACATTAGCATCTCTAGTGGATAGAGCCGGACGTTCCGATATACCTTCTGCCCTCCGGGCGTTTCAAAAGTTAAGGTAAGATTTATGGCTTCTAAGTTATAGGTCTGCAAGACTAAAGCATTCGCATAGGTATGATAGGACCAGTACGACCCAACGAATGGGCTGGGAGGTGCGCCATAAATGGCATCAGACGGACTGGGAGAGAGTAAAGAGGGAGCCGGACTTTCTCAAGATCCCTCAGCCAGATTGGCTGTACTCTGCTAACGCCGAACAATATGGCTACGAAAAGTTCGACGAGGTGATGGCGCATATAAAGGAAGGCAAGCCATTCCGCAATACCAATGTCCCAGACAACTATCAGCCTGATGATTGGAACATTAAAACGATGACGGAACTGGATGCAAGCATGGGGACAGATAATTTGTATAAGATCGCCTGACGGTTTGGTTTTGAAGATGAATGTTTTATGGTATATAGCAAAATCGGTAGGCTAAATAGCCATAAAGAACTACAAAACAAATCATTGTATCACGTAGCATGCTGATAACTTTGCCTTGTCTGCTTAATCCTCGTAGTATATGCGTGCGACACAATAAGTCGGGCATAGTTGGCGGAGATAATCCTGAGTAGTTAAGACGAACGTTCCTGGCGTCTTCGTATTGCTGGCCCTAGCATATACTGTTACGTCGCATTGCCTGCCGAGGTTTCACATTACACGGCACAAGACAGTGATGCTGTTGCACTGCGAGTCACACCATGCTCATTTATCCGGCGAATGTCACGAACTTCACTTAATGTCGGTGAATCCCTCGGCCCGGGGGGAAAATAGACTGGGGTTGTGTCTCCGTTTTCTGTCCCCTGACATTTATCAGACTCAGGTTCTAGCCTTGGGTTGGTGGCATAGTGTTGCATTTACCCCAGGCACCAACATACAACGATTCTTTCTTTTTCGTGCCAGACGACGAAATGACGATCGATTTCAATAAGAAGGGTGCAAAAGTGATCTCACCAAGCAAATTCGCCCACATTGTACTGCGGACAAACAAATTCAATGAAATGGTGAATTACTACAAGAACTTTCTGGGAGCAGAAGTGATTCACGAGAACGAATACCTGGCCTTCCTCTCGTACGATGAGGAGCATCATCGAATAGCTATCATCGGTGTTCCGGGAACTAAAGACAAGGACCCGAAGACCTGTGGCCTCGAACACACCGCATTCTCATTCGATACCATTCCCGACCTGCTACTCGCCTTTCGTCAAAGGAAGGATCACGGAATTCACCCGGCGTGGTCTGTCAATCATGGTCCGACAACCTCAATTTACTACCGTGATCCCGATGGCAATCAGATCGAGACGCAGGTTGATAACTTTGACCATCCCGACGATGCAACAAAGTTCATGGCATCTAAATCTTTTGCCGAGAATCCCATCGGGGTCGACTTCGATCCGGAAGATTACATTAGAAGATTGAGCGAAGGCGAGACTGAAGCTAACCTCAAGAAAAGAGCCGAAATTGGACCTCGAGGGCTTCCAGATGATTTCTAGTGGTTTACAATCAACAAGCAACGGAATGGCTTGGGGGGAAGCAAGGTTATGGGGTGAAGATTCACCACGGGAGATCTTGCATTGAGGCGGCTTTGGGACGTTGAGTTCGCATCTTATGAATTGTAACTTGCAAAGCCGCATGGTAAATTTTGAATAGAAACTTCGTCTGCCATTCACAGCATTCGGAATCACTTAAGAGTAGATGGGATAAATTGTCGTCGCTCGTTCATGAAATCATAGACTTCTTCCGCCCAAAATCTCGCTGCAAAAGAGCCTCAACCCGCAGGAAACAAAGGCACCCTGTTCAATCTATCGGCAGATGAACCCCATGAATCCCAGTAAAATCGCTCGACTGGTCAAATATATCGGGCACAAACGTGCTCCAATACTCTAAATCAATATCAAAAGATGGCATGTCCACAGGCTGTGACAAATCCTGAAGGCATTCCTGGGTTCTCGAGTCTTGCAGAGGCGGAGACGGCGCATCAGTGGCCTGATCCGTCCCTAAGCCGCCTTCATTGAGTTGTTCCTGGTCATCACCACTGGCCGCAGCTCTTGGCGAGGAGGGTGCCTGAATCGCGAGACCCTTGTCGGTGTCCTTGTAGTCTCTCAGAAACCCCTGAGCCAGCGCAGCCAACTCTTTCGCTAGGGCGATGGAAACCTTGGACTCTGTACAGATCTGCATCCAGGCGAAATATCCAGCACCGAAGTCCAACAGGGCAAGATCGGATAGCACATTGGGATCTTGGGGAGATTGCAGGATGAAAATGAACAAGTTGATTACCGAGTTTATCGGGCCGAAGAAGCTCACTCTGCGACAAAATGTCAGTTGTCACGGCTCGATTCTCAGTCCTGATACTTACGATACAGGAGTGCTTGGGTCGAATTGGATCTGCCTGACCAGTCGGATTGCGCTTCGACATGTTTCTGCAACGATTTGAAATGATTTGTCTATCTGCACTTGTGCTTCGGCACTCGGCTTTTGGTGGGCGGTGAGATACTGGGCCCATGGATGTGTCAGCGTGGTGTGGATGCTCAGGGTGAGGTTGAGTATTGCATATAGAAGATACAGGCTCTGGTTCGTGGTCAGCCCTGACGTTGAAGGTCCAGCTTTCGGCGTCGTGCTGAGACCCAGTATAGGCTCCAGGGACTTTTTGAGTGCGTCGAGTTTTTCGTCCAACTTGATAACCATGTGCGCAAGGTAGTCAAGCCCTTGTCGCAGAGCCTGCATACTGGTGAGTTGTTTTGATACCATTGACGACAAGTGCGCGACAAGGATAAGGGTTCTGGAGAACTTTAGGTTCAGAGTACTGCCAGAAGAGACAGTCGTCGGTAGTTCTACGGTAACGTCGCCGTCGTCAACCATCTGCAGGCATGAAGGTTAGTACAAATGTACCTCCGTCGTCAGTTGAGAGCTCATAACATACCGAGTGGCGTCCCGATAGGCAGACAGTCTGCTTTTCGAGGCAATAAGCTGCCCAGAATATGCACTGTCTCTGTGTTATCTCGCTCTGCGTCAGGTTCAACGAAGGCGGCGGTTGTCGGTGAAGGCCCTGAGCCACTGCTAACCGTACGGCATCATTACAGAGCATATATTCGAGACAGGCGTGGCTTATAGATGAACAATAGTAAGACTAGGAAAATCAATCATTGGCAGATCGAAGAAGGTTGTCTTCACACTGACCATAACCACCAAGGCCTGAACGCCAACGATGGAGGTTTGATAGAAGAGAATGTTTGTGTAGACAGAGAGCGCATTCTCGAAATATCCCCATCCCGTTTCATTGGCTTCGTGGAAGCTTTGCGTTTTGGAAAGCTCAATCTGACAACCAGATGCGAAGATGGCCATTCGAAGAGCGTACCATGATGCGTCTTCGTCTTTCATGCCGTTTCCGTAGAACTCGTTCAATCGCTGCTCAAACCAGGGTCGATGGACGACGGCTAGATAGGCGTCGACTGACTCGTTGAAGTAAGCTGGCAAGCGTTAAGTTAACCTGATTGCATGTAGGTGTGGATGGTAGGGTGCGGGATACCTCGAGTGTACATCAAAGCAGTTTCTACATCTGGCTCCTTGATCGGCGGTGACGGACACCGTTTGTCAATTTTCAGGAGGCGTGTTATGCCAGCTGTGAACTCATTGGCAGAGTCCACGAAGCTGGAAGATTTGGTGCGCTCAGAGACCCATTGAATACCTGCGGCCGAACATATGGATATGAACGACGTCGGACCTGGCACCGCAAGTTAATACCTCCGTCGTTTGTGTGAGCGAACAAGGCCACATACCGGAGTACTGGTAATTCGACTACCAGGAGTCAGCAAGCTCTGCGACTACTAAACATGTCCCCATATTGATCAGACTCACCATCTTACTTGACCAGATACTGGTTTTCTGCATAGCGTCGTCCAGATCTGTCTGCACCGTATTGCTGTGGGGTGGCTCGGGACTTTGCAAGCTACTGAGGCTATGCTGATCAGAGACGAACAATGGTGTCTGCATGGGTATTTGTTGCGCCTGATGATACCGGGAATCCTGGCACCTGTAGTGGACCAGGCTGGCCTCGTTCTGACGTGTCTCGAGCACCGTTGATCTGTCACCTTGCGAGATATTCTGCTGGATCTGGATGTTGTTATCGCGACTGGACGTTGTAGAAACTTGATCTTCAAGGCGGCTTGCCTGAAGCAGCCTTGTAAAGCCATCAACCAGATTTCCCGGGGCTCCGTGCCTGAGATCCAACATTGTCTCATCCAACTGAGGTAGTGAATTGACCCTTGGCGCAGACATGATGTTGAGACTATGATCCTCGGGCTGAAATGGCTCCAAAATCCCACGCATCCAGTCCATTCGCGATGTAGATTCGTGACGATCCTGACGTGATTTGCTGTTTTTGCGCTGCCGAGAACGAAACGGCCGCGAGCAGGTCAGGCCTCGATCGAGGCAGTTCAAACAAGAATCTCCATTTTCGAAATTACCTTATGTCATCAGCCTTTATTTCGCCACCGGCTATGATTTGCAGCCGACTGATACATACATCGGACCTTTTTTGCGCGACAATAGTCACAGGCTATTGATCGCCTGACACGCTGAGCTTTGGACGCAGACTGTTGTTGCCCTGCCTTGGTCGTCTCCTGTAGAGTGGAATTCATGTTGAGATTACGCGACCTAAGACCCGAAAGCCTTCGTGGTTGTCAAGCGAGTAGCAAAGATAAGAGTTGCCGCGACCAAAAAGTCAAAAAAATCAAGGAAAATCGAATCCCCAGATGCGGGGGAGCATTCGTGGTCATTTGGTGGGACAGTCGCAAGCGAAATTCCAAAAATTTGGCAACTTTACCGAGGCCGCATAACAACATACACCGCCTTGTCTCAGTTCTCAGACCCATCGGCTCAGTTGCCATAAGTGGGCAGGGCCCACTGTTTCGCGAGAAGAGTCTGAGCTCCAATACGTGGTTTTAGGGTAGAAAAGCGTTCGTAGTCTTAGTAAAATACGCGAAGAGTGCATATATTAGATCAACATTCACTTCGCTCTTTAAATAACTATCGAACGATTAGTCTAAATAAAAAACTTTCTAAATTATTTTAAAATTTATTCTTTATAGATCTACTTATTTAAATTTTTAATATCTTTAATAATTACTAAGATATTTAGAAAAAAAAACTATTTTTTAAGCTCTAATTCTTGACCTTTAAAGTTTAATAACTTTATGAAAAAAGAAATTATTTACTTACTATAGTCAGTATAGATTAATAGAGAATCTTTAGTTCTATTGTAACAAGGCAAAGCGGCTGTGCTGTGATGGGCTGTGCTGGGCTGGTAGAGCGGTGGCAGGCAGAGATCTGTCAGGTCACATGTCAAACCTAATTGGGCTGGCAGAGAAGGGGGTGCGGAACAGTTTACAGTGCTGGCAGTGTGCCATTCATTACAGATTGAACAGTTTGAGCAGAGTATCATGAATTCTATGGCTTTTTGGCGCTGTCTACCTAATTCCTGAGTGTTTTGTCAGTCCTGTCCTGTTCCTCGATGCTGCCGCTGTGCTAGGCATTCGTAGCCCTAGCCGCTGCCCCTCTGGGTGGTGTTGGTGGTGTTGTTGTCAGTATTAACCAGAAACGCGTTCTCGATTCCCGATCTGCTGGACAGGCCTCTGTGCGTTGTTGCACGTGCACGCCGAACCCTGAAGTGCTCTGTTACAATATAGATGATCTAGCTCTTTTATTACTCTATCTATCGTAGTTAGGTAATCTATATACTATGCTCTTCTAGAAGTAGGTTATAGACCTCGTCTTTTCGCGCCGTTAAGAAGTCCTCAATTAACTGAAGTATATCTTACCTGGCGGCTTCGTGAATTGCTCGCGAACAGCCTCGCACCACATTCAGTAGTAAACTAGGCGATTCCACCTTGTCTCGATGTCGCTGTAAGATCACGTAAGAAGGAGACATGTTATTAGCTCGAGATATATCGACAGGACGTAGACCGAGTGTGAGTTGAGTGCTAATGGCGGCCCTGACGTGCGGCGCTAGGCGAGAGTGGGAACCGCCTAAAGGCATGATATTTGTAAAGATCTATATAGAACCGATGTTGGCGAGTCTATCGATGCTATCATTAGGTTTCAAGACGCCGTGGTTGTTATTTGGCGACGTGATCAATCTACCATTGATTTTACGCTGGCCGCGGATCTATTCGCGTAAAGCGCGCGTGCGCTCGGCAAAATTGCCAAATTTTTGGAATTTCGCCCGCGACTGTACGTCATCGGAGCCATGGTGGCACTGTCTATGCTTAGCTCTGGTTTACCAAGACCCGGCTATAACGCCCAATCTTGATACCCCGGAGATAGAGAACAGCTCAGAAAGCCGAGTACTGTACCGATGCGCCAATTATGCTTTAGCCTATTTGCACCCCTGGGGAGCACCTTTGTTCGAGGATGGTCAAGTATTCAGACGATTCTGGACCGAACAGGCGTTCACAATCGTACTGAGTGATAAGTCTGCGTATAGTACCAACACAATGAGCTACGTGACAGCTGGCACGATATGGCCAGATCCGCCAATACCGAAGCCATTCCAAGCGCTGGTGGAAAAGCTACTCGAGATTGGAGATGGCGCTGATGCCAATTCAGGATACAGGATGGCTACAGAAATTTTCAGTCCAGACGGCGTGCTTGACCACGGAAGTTATAAGTTTGTCGGCACTGAAGGTGGCTATCTCTTTCACAGGCTGTAAAGAGTTCTACTGAAATCCAGTCACAGAGATCACCAATTGTCGCAGTAAACCTAAGCCTGGCAGGCAGATCGTCAAACGACAGCATCGGATCTCACGAGTATATAGCCAGACAGCCAAAGGTGACGATTTTGTTGTTGTAGGGGAGCTTAACGTGGTGTTCGACAACGGGAAAACCCTACGGAACCCACTCGCAGCAAGAGGGGTTATCGATGAGTCCACGGTTGACACCGAGCCGCGATTGAAACTTTGGGCCCTCTTTGTTGTAGGTCTCTCCAAGCTGAGTATTGTTATATTGGTCGACAGACTAACCAGTTGTGTAGGACATGGCTCCAATGATAGCGGCAGCTGGATCATGAGCCCGGGGCGCATAGAGTTTTCATGTTTGACAAGCCTCAGGATCCCCAATTCAAGGATAAGAGACTCCCATTACGTACCTGTCACCTTGGGCTTGTTTGGAACGGTAGACCGCTCAGGGACACTTCTCACTCTCGTGTGGGACGAGGCAGCGACAGAATCAGATGGTGTGCCATAGAGCCGAATGCCCTGGGTGTGTTCCGGCCTACCCCGACTAATTCTTTGATGACGCTTGATTGCGAGTGAGCTAAGCATCTGTGACTTTGTTCAAACGACATAATGAATTGGGACCTCATCTGAATAGCATGGAAGTGATCCATCAGAGCGGCTTATCTTAGTAGCTAGTTTCTATGATTCGCTGATGGTAAGGCCCTCCAGCGTCCCAGCTTCCCTCCAGCGCTTTAGAACGTCTTTGAAATAAATCAAACCTTGAGCATGCGGTGCAGCTCTAGCTTTCCTAAGTGCTTCCTGTGGAGGCAGGGGTTTCAAGTCCTCTCCTTCATTGGTAGAGAAGCCTGGTGTGCAGATCGAATAGGCGGCGAACCAAGTGGCATGCCTTGCAATCTCTTCTGACCATGCGTCCTCGGCCTCCTCAGTTGCCTCCAATGTGAGCTTGCTGGTGTCTTTGACACGCTTATGCGCTTCGCTGAGCGTATATGCTATGTGTTGGGCCTTTAGATCCATGATGTAGGTGGCATGTTGCCCGTTGCCAATCTGCACATAGCCGCCCAGGAACAGATTCGGAAAACTGTGCGATTGAATGCTGTGAAGCGTGCTCGCTCCCTTGGTATGCCATTTGTCTGACATGGTAAGAGCATCGCGGCCGATGAAACTCATGTTCGCCACGGATCCGGGCTCTAGTTGATCCTTGCTAGGCGCGCGATATCCTGTGCTGAAAACAAGGACGTCGAGTGGATACTCCTTTCCATTGACAACAAGCCCATTCTTGGTTCCGCGTTCGATGCCGTTGGGTAGTGTATCAACGAGATGAACGTGGGAAAGATTGAAAGTGGGCAGATAATCATCATGGAAGCAGGGCCGCTTGCACCATGTTGGATACCACGGGGTCAGAGCTTTTGCGGTGTTTGGATCTTTGACAATATCGGCTATGCGTTGGCGTTTGTCCTTTGCAATTTGTTCGTCAATAGCGAGTAGGCGGTTTATGTGGCTGGGAACTTCTTCTGGTTGCACTGGCTTTGTATGAGGTGCGCCCATGAAACCGATATAAGACGTGGCGTGGGTCCATCCATCGTTGACCAAGTCCTCACCTTCGCCCTGACCCACTGACCACCTTAGAAAATTATCACATCTGTCATGTTGCCAGCCTTTGTGTGTCGCAATCTTTTGTTTCCATTCGTTGAGATCTGTCTCTCGTTGGCCCCGAACGTCCACACTTGAAGGTGTTCGTTGGAAGACATAGAGCTCTTTCGCCCATCTAGCAAGCTGAGGTGTTACCTGGATGCCCGTCGCTCCAGTGCCAATGATTCCTACCCTTTTGTCTTTAAGCCGGTCGAGGGTCTGGTTCTCTGGCGATCCACCCGTGGCCTCATAGTTCCAGCGTGCAGTGTGAAACATTGTACCCTCAAACTCTTCTAGGCCAGACACGTTCGGTACTTTGGGATGGTTCAAAAAGCCATTTGCTGAGAGCAGAAATTGCGCCCGGACGGTTAGTTTAACCTTTTCCTGCCCTGGACCTCTGTTCTCCTCCAACTTGATATCCCATCTCTTGGTTTCATCGTCCCACGTAGCACTCTCGACATTAGATCTAAAGAAGCCGACGAGGCCGTATTTCTGCGCTATGCGCTCAGCTTGGTCTCTCAACTCTGGACCATAAGAATACTTATGCTTCGGCATAAAATTTGTCTCCTCCAGGAGCGGTGCGTAGAGATAGCTTTCGACATCGCACATCAGACCGGGGTATCGGTTCCAATACCAAGTTCCTCCAAATCCTCCTGCATTATCGATCAAGCGGATGTCCTCCGCTGGGAACCCGGCCTCAACGAGCCGCGCTCCATAAATTAGTCCTCCATATCCAGCGCCTAAGATGATGATCTTCAGCTCGTTTCCATCTTTCAATGTCGGCTTCTGCGCATTAATTGTCGCGTGGTCGACCCATGGATCTTCGGCAAGGGCTTCAAAGCGCTCGTTGGGTGCGTTTTCGAGCTCAATATATTGCGACGCGCCCTGGGGATTGATGCGCTGCGCCTTGAACTCCTCGTAGTGCCGCAGCACCTCATCCTGCGGGGTGGGCAGCTCAGTACCATTGATAGTTGGAGCAGCAGCCATTTCTCCAGTCCTCCGCTATGTCAAAATATGATACGGAAAGAATTGAGTAGATATCGGACTTTGAATGTGTCAGAGCTACGAGACTGCTACTCTCATGAATGTCAAGCGCACAGCCAATGGACGCCTGTCTTATTCTAAGTGGTAAATCGCCTGCCCAGATTTTCGAAACCCCGCGGTGTGAGTTCGTCTGCAGTTCGGACAATGCAAAGCATACCTACTATGCTATTCCCCATACGCCATCTCCGGGATGATCTCGCATGGAGGTCTGGAGCGCCGGCGGCCGGCCAGTTCTGTGCACCCATAACAGCGGGTCACGCGGGGAATGATCGTACAGTTTGGCCAAAATCGTTTGAACCATAGTTTGAGGCTCGGAGAAGTGATACGTGGCGAAGTGGCGTGTTTTCGAATTGTTACGGACCATGGCTTCGGAAAAGAAGATACTATTCCCGTCACGGCCGGCGTCGCAACGCTCCCCCCACTTGCTTCCTTATTTCTGGTTTCAGCGAAGTAGCCTAGTTTCCAGATTTGGGGCAACTTGCGAATGTAGTGGAAGGATCACGTGTATGGGCTGCGGAAGCAACCAAGCATTTTTTCCCGTAACCTGCTCTGAAGGTCACACACCTTCTACACCCTAATCAGCTTCAAAGGCGTCATTTCGCAGACCTACGACAACTTCACATTACTATTGCTTGACTAAGAGATTTGGCGGTCATCATGGCAAACTCCAAGAAGCTCACGCCTGTCATCTTTGCATCTCATGGTACTCCTTTGATGTCAATTTCTGACTGTGAAACAACAGCTTGGTGGCGAGAGGCAAGTCTTAAAATGACCTTGAAGTTGAACCCTTTCCCATAGTAAGGGTCACTAACCGAAGGCTAGATTGGAGCAGAAGCACTTGCGAGCGAAGTCAAGGGAATCGTCATCATCAACTCCCACTGGGTCGAACTCGACGACAAAATCAGGGTTGCCACCAATTCCGACCCCCATGTGGACCTGACTTCTCTTGTCCCTCGTGAGAAATACAGTCACTTCAAGCCAAACGTTTCTCGCGACTTGGGACTTCGAGTGATATCGCTGTTAAAGAATGCTGGGTTCCTCGATGTCGAGGAATCTACTACCGCAGAATGGGTTGACGCTCCCACCACGCCCTCCTTATGGATGTTCCCAAATGGCACGCCGCCAGCGACCACAGTCAGCCTCAACGCCAGATATGATCCAGTGTTCCATGTGCGGATGGGTCAAGCGTTGAGAAGCCTCCGAAAAGAGGGCATTTTGATCATGGGTTCTGGTTCTATCGTCCACAATATCTTCCGAGGAAACCATCTCCCAATTCTGCTCAAGCGAGACAACCTGCAGAAAGGATCCAAACTATCCAAGTTTGCAGCAGATTTTGAGAAGTCGATTGACGACATCGTTACCAGCAATACTGTATGTGTTTGCGGAACCTCACCTTTCTTGCCTAGTATCTGCTAACTGATGCAAAGGGTGCTGACCTTGCTGCCGCTCTTGTGCGCATCACCCAGAGTCCTCGATATCTGGAGGCGCACCCGTCGAATGATCACTTCTACCCACTGTTGGTCTTGGCCGGAGCGCTTTATGATGATGAGAAAGTTTATGGACGCCCAATGGCAAGAACGTACGAGATGAGGAACATTGTCAACGTCCAGTACATGTGGGGCGAATTTAAACCTCAGCCTGTAGCAGTCGCCTGACGGAGCTGCCAGACCTAGAAACAGCCAAAATTCAAGCCTGGTATCTATGTAGTCTCTTGGTAGTCTCACTTTTCGACTTTCTGGGCGTTACACTAGCGTTTGGATGGTCTCGTATTCAGCAATCCTTCCCCGTTCAGCATATCTCTTCTTCCTCTCAAAAATGTCCGTCCCGCGCGAAGTGCAAAGGTACCTAACACGGGCGAAAGATCACGTCTTGCACTGCATCTCTTACTTCTCAAAGTCTACGATAGGCGGCCACACCGGCTGCTGGGTGCGTTAATCCAGTGATTTCTCGAAGCTTGGATGAAGCTTGGTTCACCGAAGGTTAGGGAATGCTTTGCGAGATATCTTCGAGATGGATACAAGTTACAACAGCTCAGCGATGACCACAAGATTACGGGCAGCTTTCATTGAGAGGAATGCTGGTATAGGACACTCTACGGAACCAAAACGACAAGCTTCCCAGTAGCCTCATTCTTTTCAGCGCACTCATGTGCCTTGCCTATGTCGGGGAGATGGTAGACACTGTCTATAAACTGCTCCTTCTTCCACTTCCCGCTCTCGATGTTCTTCACGGCATATGCGAATACTGGTTCAAGGTCGCTGTGCCTAGCTCCGGTATCGTGGTCACCCGCACCATCATTGGCGACGGAGTAGAACGTAAGGTTGCGAGTGGTTGGTATGAGAAAAGGAGAGAATCCCTCAATCACGGCAGACGAGTTCAGCACGCCTGAGACGACGACACTGCCAAACAGTGCAGTCCATCCGAGGCCCCGCATGGCCTGATCCGCTCCGACGAGTTCGACCACAAGATCTGCACCATCAGGCAGAATTTGTGGGATCTTTTCATTGAGCTCCGAATCCAAGAGCACATGGTCTGCGTCACAATTTTTGAGGTGCTCAACCTTCTTCGATTGACGCGTCGTTGCAATCACAGTGGCACCATGATCTTTTGCGATCAGGATTGCGAAAACGCCTACCGATGAAGTGGCTCCGTGGACGATAACGGAAGATCCTTTTGGTCTACCGCCCAATCTCCCAGAGATTATAACCATTCCATAGGCGGTCAGGTAGCTCATTCCTAACGACCCTAACAGATCCCAGCTTAAAGTCGTTTCTTGCGGTAAATGATAGACTCGACGCGAATGGCAGATTGCATATTCGGCATATGATCCGTCAAATGCTTTGCCGCCGCCAGCGTGGGTAGAAATGACCTTCTCTCCGGGTTTAAACGGTGTATCATCCGCGGCTTCGACGATCTCACCGACCAACTCTTCGCCTAGAATCTTAGGCGGATCTGGATGATAGTACTTTTGCCAAAGACTAAATTCTCCGGGGAACGCAGGTTCGCCTGCGCGGCCACGGAGTTCGGCACGATTTATGCCTGTACCTCGAATGCGAATGAGTACCCAGCCCGGTCCGGGGAGAGTGGGCTTAGGGTACGACTCCGTGTAGGTGAAACAGGCCGAAGCTGGCTCTTTTCCTGGTGAGGTAAGGACCAATGCCTTCATAACACCAGAAGGTTTGTTGTCCCATGGTCGTGACATTCTGGAGAGCTGAAGGCTCAAGCAATTAGCGATTGCTATGTGAGAGCTCTTGAGTAGGGCCCCTCAAGTAGACCTCAGTTTTAACGGAATGACCTTTGATAGGCGACAATGAAAGCAGACGAGTGAAGGAGTACCAACAGGATTGCGCCTATGAATTTTTCGTGCAGTATAACCTCACGGTTCTCGTGCAAGTTCGGGGAGTGACAGGTTGATATCACAATGATTGAGTGCGAACAGCAATTGACTATCCCGAAGAACATTGAGTCCTGGAATTGTCCAATGATAGTCTGCTAGCGGCCTCAACTGGAAAGGTCTGCGAGCGCGAGTTTGAGCCGCCGACTAACTACGGGTCGCCTGGGAAGTTTATGGGTCTTTCAATGTAAGGCACGAACTGTTGTAAGGTTAACTCCGAGGCTACACTTGAACATACTGCCTGAGAAGCTTATATCCGACCACCACCTCCCTAACGAATGCTGGAGGATCCCCAGGCGTTGCGAATTTAATTGGCGCACGGGACGACCGCATCGACCTCTGAACGAGGTGTCTACCTTACAAATTCTGGTGTTTTTGCCGACGCTAGATAGTGTCAGCCTTCCAAATACGACCGAAATCACGTACAGCCGCGAGCGAAATTCTAGAAATTTAGTAATTTTACCGAGCGCGTAATAACAGCATAATAGTAAAATATATTTTAGCTAAATACTTAATAATAATACTCTTAGAGAGTAATCCGTCGTTACTCTTTAATAGTAATTTAAATTCTCTATTAATTAATACTAGTCTTATTATATAGTTCGCGTTTCTCGTTAAGATCTTAAACTTTATATATTGTAACAAGGCAAGGTGGCTGTGCTGTGATGGGCTGTGCTGGGCTGGTAGAGCGGTGGCAAGGTGAAAAAGTTGTCTAGTCACATGTCAAACCTAAATGGGCTGGCAGAGAGGAGGTGCGGAACAGTTTACAGTGCTGGCAGTGTGCCATTCATTTTTTACAGATTGAGCAGAGTATTATGAATTCCATGGCTTTTGGTGCCGTCTACCTAAATCCTGAGAGTGTTTTATCAGTCCTGTCCTGTTCCTCGATGCTGCCGCTGTGCTAGGTGTTCGTAGCCCTAGCCGCTGCCTCTCTGGGTGGTGTTGGTGGTGTTGTTGTCAGTATCAACCAGAAACGCGTTCCCGATTCCCGATCTGCTGGACAGGCCTCTGTGCGTTGTTGCACGTGCACGCCAAACCCTGAAGTGCTCTGTTACAATATTTAATTTTTTTTTTTAGTATATATTAAGAGATTTTAGACTATATAGAGCTTTTACTATCTATTTTATATTATTTTTCAATATTATTTATTTATAGATCTTTAATATAAGAGCGAATTTTAATTATTTTAAATATCTTTTTTATTTTAGTAGAAATATAACTTTAGTAGACAATTTATTAATTATTTTAATTTATATTAACTATTTATATATAGAAAGTAATAATAATTAAATAATTTAAACTATATTTTATATAGAATTAAAGATACACTTAATATCTTAAAATTATAGAGTTTAAGATCTTAACGAGAAACGCGAACTATATAATAAGACTAGTATTAATTAATAGAGAATTTAAATTACTATTAAAGAGTAACGACGGATTACTCTCTAAGAGTATTATTATTAAGTATTTAGCTAAAATATATTTTACTATTATGCTGTTATTACGCGCTCGGTAAAATTACTAAATTTCTAGAATTTTCCTCGCGACTATATTCCTATAAAACTCTATCGGTTTTATACTCTAAGCTCCCTCGCCAATGTATTATTCCCGTAAAGTTGTCCGATTATAATAATTTGTGCCTTACTGGCCTCTTATCCCTTGTAAGTATATCTTTGCCCTTCGGCAATCGATCTGTAAGACGACACCATCCACCATAAGGTATTCGCACAATGGTTTACAACGTCCCTATCGTGCTTGCCCTGGTCGGGTTCGCAGCCATCTTGTACAGGATTTCGCGAATAGGTAGGCGCCCGAAGGATTATCCACCAGGCCCTCCTACTAATGCGGTCTTCGGCAATCTTCTACAGGTGAGTCTAGAGTAATCGCATTCCACGGTGTGAGTTACTAATGAGAGTTCAGATGCCCACGAAGGATGTACACTTGCAACTTGAGAAATGGTTCAGGATCTATGGACCGATCTACAGTCTCATGATAGGGTCTGGCAAGGTCATGATCATTCTTTCGGGCAACACGGAAGTGAAAGAACTCCTCGACAAGCGCGCCTCAGCCACGAATGACCGCAGTGACCGTTATATTGGCCACGAAATCCTAAGCTATGGGGAGCGAATTCTGCTGCAGGTAAATTTATCTCTGCTGCGAAAGCTGTGATGCAAATGGTGCGACAATGCTGATTCGTTGCTTTAAGCCTTATGGCAAAGTATGGCAGAAACAAAGGAAGATGTATCATAAGTTATTGAGCATAAGCCTCACGCAATCTTACATGCCGTAAGTCTTGCCAGCACCGGTGCAATCGAGCATACATCTTCTTCCAAGCCTTCTCCTTCAAGAATCTCTCGCACATACTGACTTGATGGTCAGGTATATTGAACTCGAAAACAAGAAGATGAACTATGACATTCTGATGAATCCAGACCACTTCCTCCGCCACACTAAAAGGTATTTTTAACCCCGTCCAGAACTTTCCAACACGTCGCTAACTACGGATTTCTTCCTAGGTACACAAACTCTCTCACCATGATGATGACATACGGGTTCGTTTATGATTCTTTGATTCGAGCTTCCTTGCTAATCATGTTACAGGAGGCGTACTCCACAGTACGATGACCCAGAAATGAGGGAATATCTCGAGATGTAAGTATATTCGATGCTCTCAGTATTAAGGCAGGTTACTCAAGCAACCGAACAGCTTGGAAAAGACCACAAGTATCATCCAGTCAAGTGCTGCAAACCTACCCGATGCCTATCCTATCTTCCGCAAGCTTCCCAAGTGGTTATTACCAGGTGTGAAGACGGCTGTGGAGCACACAAAACGGGAAGAAGCGTTCTACCTGCGATTATGGAACGAGGTTAAGGAGAGATTGGCAGATGGCACACAGAAGCCGTGCTTCACGGTTCAAATTTTGCGCGAGCAGGCAAAAGAAGGATTCAACGACCGATTCGGCGCCTACATTTCAGGTGGCTCACTGGAGGCTGGCACCGATACTACTTCCAACACAATCTTGGCCTTTATTCAAGCTATGGTGCTCTTCCCCGATGTCCAGGAAAAGGCTCAGGAAGAGCTAGATCGCGTCCTAGGCGACCGTGTGCCTTCGATGTCCGACTGGGAGCACTTGCCATACGTTAGGGGCTGCATAAAGGAAACCCTTCGGTGGTCTCCTACGACCACACTTATTGTCCCACACGCAACATTCAACGACGAAATGTACCATGGATATCGTATTCCCAAATCCGCCGAGATTGTGGTCAACGCCTGGGCTGTCAACAACAATCCTAATATCTACGAAGATCCTCGAAGATTCAACCCGGCACGATTCCAAAACGATGCGCAGTCGTCGTTCGAGGCTTCTCAGAACCCCGACGTGTCCAAACGTGACCACTTTACCTTCGGCGCGGGACGCCGTATCTGTGCAGGCATTCATCTCGCAGATCTGACACTATTCCTGGGTATTTCGCGACTCCTATGGGGTTTCAGGACCACTCCTGCCACCAACAAAGCGACAGGACAGCCGATCTTGCCTGATCCGTTGCTGAGAAGTCCTGGACTTGTATCTATGCCTGTACCGTTTCCAGCAAGATTTGAGCCAAGGTCGCCTGAGAAGGCAGAGAAGATCAAGCGGCTTTGGAATGAGGCTAGACAGCTTCTGGATGATGAGATGCAGTGGAAGGTGATTCCGGAGGAATTGAAGTTCTACCTGTGACGAAACTGTAGCGACTTTGTACAACGGCGACGGGGAGAGATATGTGTGGAAAATGGTATCGAGAAAGACCCATGGTAGTCACCCATTCATGGAGTGTAGGGCTAGGCCTTCAAGCTGCGGGATGAGGCTTGGTCTGGTAGGTGAAGATTTGTGATCCAAGGTGGTAGGCGAAAATCCGATAAAAGTGGCTACAGAGCTCGGACGAAGCTAAGCTTATCCATTCTGTGATTGACTTGACTATATCTGTACAGTATCAGGTAATGAGTCTGAGTCATTGCCAAATTGCTCAACACCTAGCATGATATCCATGCGCGCACTCGTATCCGCTTTTTCCATCCCCTGTATCGATGCTCTGCTTCGGTTGAGCCGCGGCAATCGGCGCTCCATGTGGCCTTGCCAGGCAATGTACGTCTAACTTAGGTGATCGCTGTCAATCCACGTGCAGGCCACGAGCCAGATCCGCATGTGGTATGCCCGCCAGTCTGGTATTTGCCCTAGAATAGATCAGATCTTACTCCTGCTCGGGAAAATTCCCTTTCCAGGCTGGCGTGCGTGCTGGTAAAAGCCCTTGACTAACACCCTCGACTATGCAAGCGAAGTCCTTTTGTCTGGGCCCTATAAGAGCCCTGCGGCCACTTAGATCTCTGCTCGGTTGACACCTTGGCATACCCTACTTGTAAGTGCCCGGACTTGTGTCGAGCCTTGGCATCGATCGGTATAGTAAAATACCCGTATCAACTCGTGGGGCTCGCCTGGCGCGATTCTGGGGCACTCTGGGGGATGCCACAATTACCACAGTCTGTTTAGAAGGCGTGCCCGAGCCAGGGGGTAAAGAGAACATAAAAAGCAGTAAGACTCCCACCATATCTCGCTCAACACCCTGCTGGGACAGAAGAGAGCCTTTCAAAGAACGAATCTCAGGATGGTAACGACGGATTAAGGAAACAGCCTATGGGCTAATCGAGGATGTTTCATCATTTGCTGTGCTGTCTCCGTGGCCAATTTGCAATTTGGCCTCGATACGTCCATCGTCGGTGGCTTGCAAGGTACGGAATGGCGAACGTATGTGATGCTTCGACTAACTGTTTGCTTTGCCAGCGATGCAGGGATTTCTGAAAGTGTTTGGACATCCTAACCCGAAAAATCCCATCGGTTATGGAATAGATGTACGTGGTTGCTCCCTCTGACTATCTGTACGGTATACTGACATCTCACGCCTTTCCAGTCCGTGTTCCCGCAATTGATTGCTGACGCTCAGTGCCTTCATATCGTCGCTGGCCGCGGGTGTCTTCGCATCATACTTTAGCAGGAAGACAGCTATGTAGTCCGCATGCGTCCTCAATGTAGTCGCTTGCACCATCCTCATTGCGACCACGAGCAAAGGAGCCATCTACTTTGGGCGCTTGCTCCTGGGGCTCTCCAACGGCTTCCTCGTCACATTTTCCAACATCTACGTCTCGGAAGTCGCTCCAGCTTACCTGCGAGGTGTGCTCGTTGCGCTCGTCAGCCCTTGGGTCAGTATGGGCGCCATCCTGGGCGCGGCCATTGACAATGCCACCAAAACCCGAGTGGACAAGTCTTGTTACCAGCTCCCCACGGCTTGTCTGTACATTGTCCCGGTACTGCTGTCGGTGGGACTTTTCTTCGTTCCAGAAAGTCCTCGATACCTCCTTTTCCAGCGTTACGAAGCCAAAGCAAAACAATCTCTGGTCCGAGTCCGAGGAGAGCTCTCCAATCAATGAGAAGTTCTCGAGGTCGAGTGGGCGCAGATGCTCAGAGGGATAGAGGAAGAGAAGGTCGGAGTGCATCGTATGGACTGGACCGAGATGTTCCAAGGTGAGTCCTCCTCTAACAGGGCACTTGGGATTGCAACCTGACAGACTAAACTAGGCTTCAATCTACGTCGCACATTACTTTGCTACGCTACGGTTGCGGTTGCGACTCAATCGGCGTCAGACGTCTGGTTCCTTGTGGCGTATCAAATATACTTCCTGCAGTAAGGCGGTGTAACCAACGCATTCGAGCTATCGATCATAACCTCTTGCGTGGGCTTACGAGAGGAATCATAGGTCATCGTTGACGGGTCTATTCCTCTCCATCCCCGTGTTGAAGAATTTTAGTTGCCTCTGGTTGAAGGGTGTTCCATGCAGGCCACTGACTTCGTCTTCACCAGGAGTATATTACACACCATCACTATCTCGAAGTTGTGCTATGCAATCTGCAGAGTCCCCCGATGGACTATCGACTTCGAAAGCCCCAAAGAGGTGAGCTTCATCGTTTGACTGAGCAGATCACTCGCTGATATCTTATTGGCCTTCAAGTTTTTGAAAGAGACGCCCAAGCATGTCTGTCATCCAACGCCATAGCCAGCTCCTACTTCTACCAGTGCATAAAGATCTCAAGTTGTCGGAGATGAGAAACTCATCAACTTTGCCGTGCACGCCTAGATGGGCTGTATTTGCCACGCGCCGGTCGAGCGCTGCCACTAAATTCAAAAGCTGCATTTCACGTCTACTGACGTGTCCTAGGCGACAATGTTGGCTTCCAGCAATCGGCATGGGGGTATGGGCGGTATCGGCGTGAACAAAGGGGCTTTGCGAGTAAAGGTATAAACATGTTGCTGCTCGCCTTCCACCTGCGTTCTCTGTCTCTTCCTTCTCTTTACCCTCGAGCCTTACGGCCCTTTTTAGCGGACAAACCAACCGGAGCCACCGCTCGAAACTCACTGACCTCGTTATCACTTCCCTCTATGGCGGAGAACTTTTCCTCCCTGGTGGGAGATGCCCATCTCCTCGAAACTATGCTCACTGGTGTAGTCGAACGATTGGTAGTTTTATACCGAGGCCATTTGTGTAGACCTGACGCAAGTGCAAGACTTCCTCTTCACGCTCAATCTCACTCCATTTTCTCTTTCTGTATTTGCCTCGCCTCAGCTTTGGCACAGTCGCGGCGTCGGCTGCTAAAGGAGTGAGAACGCTCTCGGCATAGGCCAAAGTCTCGAAGAGCAGAAGAAGGTTGCAGGAACGCTTGGGTCGCGGTCGAGAGGGTGGTGAGTAGGGCCCTAGAATGGTCGGGGGGTTGTCGATCGAAGCGACAATTGGCATGGCATGCGCCAGTAGGGATCGTTGGCGTTGATTGCGCACTGAGCGCGATTCTGTGATGTCATGGATATCTCTGTGTAGCTCTAACTTCAGCGAGATCCTTTCAATCTGCATACAAAAATGGGCTGATTTAGGAGGTGACTCCTGAATTTCTGCAAGGCTCGGAAGAGGCCTAGAAACCTTGTCGAAGCGTGGCTTGTGATGCTATTTTAGACTCTTGCACTAGAGGGACAAGCATCGGCCTCGTGTAGTATTCATTATGTTTGGATCTCGATATTTGACTGTTCTGGCGCACAAGGACCACAACCAGATTAGCTAGCGGTTATGGCCTGCGCACCCCATTACACCAGAGGAGGTCGCCAGGAGAATCGGTTGTTAAAGGCTAGTTCATTTTGAACTGAATTTAATTAGGAAGGTGCGTTCGCAGCCCATCAACGAACTAACAAGTAAAGGGAGTTGAGGTTGGCGCTTATGTACTGGGTACCAGTGGTTTCAAGAAGGCTCGGGGTTCCTTGATGGGTGGCCAGACCGCAGCCTGCGTGCAAGGGTAAATGACTAAGACTAATACAGTAAAGCGCTCCACGGCCAGAAATGACAGGCTGTAACCACGCAAATTACTGTATGACGTGTCACGACGTCGGATTATCGTCTAACAATGTACCGAGTAACAATACCGCATAGACACCCTTGTTTACGTTTGTGCTAAGCAATCTCGGTCTGTTCTTGGGTCTTGGCGCAGGCCCACTTCAGTGCATGCAGCTCACGAGACGGACAAGGCCGCGCTGGTATTCGCGAACGACCGAGCCAGACTATCTCAAACTTTGGCGGCCTGCAAGAGAAGTGGTCTTGCAGTGCAGGAGTGCCATCCAGAGTGGTTGATACCAAGGTGCTGTTCCAGCCGAGACGCCGAAAGACGCGATTTCCGCGAGTCATCGCCAATCGGACGTGGTAGTTTTAATACAGGGAGAATTCTGGATTGAGTTATGCAATAGCAAGTACTTCTGCACAGCAAAACACCGACTTCTGTAAAACGCTCGTCAACCTTCTCTGTTTTCTTCTCAACGCCTTTGTCAGCTGGGTAATTCTCTGAGCGCCGGCTTGGAGTCGACTCTGGAAAGGTTTGCGACTAGGCTGTCACTGTCATGGCTAACGGATTAACCTTCATGCTCACCTGATTTCTTTAGTCGCATTCGAAACGGATCGCTGCATGCTCGAAATGAAGTCCATCAGGAAATTCCGCTTCCCCTAGTTATGCCGGGATGGGTAACATAGGTCTGCGGGCTTCAGGGGCACACTCTGTTACCATTGTTCGCTCACCCATCCATTGCCCTGGCTGGACACCACACGTGCAGAGGAGACGTGACGCGGAATGTATCGCAGGGTAAGGAGTTCTCGCTATCACTGGCTTGGCCTAGATTCGTCTTGTGGGTGAATTCCAGCATTGGTGAGTTAGTGGTGGTCTCCGCAGCCGGCCACCAACCGATTCTTTACTACTCGTTATAGGCATCAAACGGGCAACAGGACGCATCCAGGGGAGCTGACGAGAATGAGATCTCGGTGACTAAGATACGCCCACGTCGTCTGGAGGATGATTTGATATTCATAGTTCTGCCAACGACGTGTTTCTTCCACACCACGGGATTTGTAAACCTTCTCTGCCTCTGCGAATTGCATTGACGAGCGGGGACGACACAAAAGTAGAGATCGGTTATGTCCAGACACAGGTTTGGGTTCCATGACGGAATTTTCGAATCTCTGTTGATGTACATAAGTAAGCCTCTGCCGATTGCAATATCCTGCACGCTCTGGTTCACTTGCTTTATATAATTTCATTGAAGACTGTGCCACCTTGAGCTACCGTGTCAGGGGATCTCTCATTCCTTCCCATGATCATGCATTGACTGAGCATCGCTGACAGTATACTCAATCGTCTTCGTTATCCAGTCTCCTTGAGGCCCTTCAACCTCATTGCCATCACTGCCTGTCTTGACGCTCCCCGAGTGTAGGATATGTTTTTGATCATCTTCGACGCTCATGGCATCGTCCTCTCGCTTCTTCTTGATTTTTCTCATGTCTCCCATCACATACACCGTAGTACTGTGCGGCATGTCGTCTTCAAACTCGAACCCAGTGCCCATGGCACTCCCGGGCGGCGGACGGCGAGATGAGCGCAGGGTCCGGCTGTTGTTATAGCTGTGTCCCTTTGACCGTGTGGCAGATGGGGTCGTGAGACCTGAGTGCACGCGAAAGACACGCACCAGGATGCGTTCGAAAGTGGTTTTGAGAGGAGGAAGAGCGGCAGCGAGGAGACCAGCCGAGAGCTCGGCGCTGCGTTTGTCAGACTGTGAAAAGAACACCGTGGTGTCAGAATATTGACTTACACGACCAAGATCGTCAAGTCGACAGTGTCGTCTAAGAATCATGAGTATGAGAATAGAGCGCCACAAATGTATACTCACAAGTAGGATCCTTTGAATTCTGGTTTTTTGGAAGCTGTGTTGCCTTCGCAATGGCACAAGCAGTAGCCCTGGAACCATGTCAGAATGGAGAATTATCTTAGTAAGGACTATGGGCATACAGCAAACCGATAAGGAAGATACCGCGAAGCGCCCATCTGTTGTAGTGAGAAACCTTGACCTTGGCAAGGTAGAACAAGGGCCCAAAAGTGAAGGCGAAATCGGTCACAATGTTTCCCACTGAAAACGGTCAGAAAGAAAGCACGCAGGGGACCTGCCGCACTGACCTGTTTGCGTGTACGAAAACGCCAGACTGGCTCGTTTCGGCCAGCATGTGCCCTCAATACTTGGATTCCACAGTTTGTTCATAGGTTGACACTGCGCAAAAACCCCTGGGAAGACAATGAGGTTGACCAGCAAGCTGAGGACTATACAGCCCATGACAGCGTAGTTGAACGTCTTGCTCAGACTGAGGCGAAGGAGGGAGAGTCCGATGCCGACTTTCATGAAACACATTCCAATGCCGTTCAAGAAGATAGCGAACTGGGTATACTTGAGCAATGGCACGAGATCGGCTAATTTGACCTGCGATATCGTGAGGCCGAGTCCCTTTTTCATTTGGGCGATTGTGAGGCCTTCGCTAGCACAGCTCGTCAACTGGCTCAAGTCAGTGATGGGAGGAACGTGACATGCGTTAGGAAACTTACAGCCGCAAGGCCGATGAAGACATCGTCCCATCCAAACGATCTCGATGAGAAAACTCGGGTATACAAGCGGCCAGCGACGAATAATGTAGAGAAAGTCGTCAGGAAGACAGTCATTCCGACTAGTTCTGCTTGTCGGCTGGGTTTGTCCACCACTGGCGCGTCGGCCATAGCTATTGTGCCCGTATAGATTGTTGTCTATAGAATGGGACGAAAGTTGAATTGTCCAGCTCCAGAAAAGGACAGCAGCGCTGGTGCAGGAGATATATCGAAGCTTCATGGCAGTCCTGCAACTCACCGTCTGAGGAGTGGCTGGCATGAGTACAGGGTTGTTCTGGTCTAACCTTCTGTGGTCTGTGGTGCTATGATCACCATAAGAGTTTTCTTTGGCCGTAAACCCATGTTCTGAGACGGCCGCCGGTAACCATGAACATGGCATGAGCAGGAAAATACTGTCGGCGTGGAGTAGCGTGGACTATTCCACAAGCAACTGTGGCTCCATAGAGACCGAAAAGCACATGATTGGCCATTTCAGTGGCGTATTTAGCCCCGTCTCTGGGAAGTTGGACTAATGCGCCGTAATTGACCCTGGTGAAGGGGTAAAGCTTATTGTCGTGGTTAAAGCCCCGCCTCAGGGTCGCCGGCCGACTGGGTGTTGGTTATAGAGCCCAGAAGAAGAATTCTCAGACAAGGCTAATTAGATCGCCGAGCGATTTCGTCAGCTTCCCCAGACTGGTTGCTCCAGCTATTCTCTAATAGGGAAGATTAGGCTTCCTAACCGCTAGCCCGATCATCCAGTCGGTACGGGACCTGGTCCGCGGCCCACTCATCCTCCCATGCTCGGATTATGCCGCCTCTGGCTGATGTCTTGGTCAGATCTGCCCGATGCTTCGAAAGGAGATTCTAGACCTTTTGTACCACACCTGATGCTCCTGCATTCTATATGCCCGTTCAACTCCTGAATAGCCAGCCAGGCCAATACCTTGTCGGTCGTTGTAGTAACTGCAGTCGCGAGGACTGAGCCTCTGCTGTTATGACCTGCATTACCGGGTAGAGGATGTCTCCAACGTGGCTAGGGCCGGGGTAGGGCCGGTACGCCTTGTTTCTTCTGTCCAGTCAGAGCGCGCGTTTACAGGCCACTCTGAACTGCCGAATGTTCCTACATCAATCTTCAAACTACGAGGTACATACCTCCCCGCCAAAGTTTGATTGATCTCGTGTTGCGCCGATCCTGACAATGCTAGGTATAGCTTGTAACACCATTGAGCCGAAAAATGCCGGCTAGTGCCCACAATCATTCCGCTCGCCATTTCATCTTGAAAACAAACGGCCTGGTAAATATGCTTAGTGGCCACTACACACGTTTCTGGGGTATACGCCGGGCAAGGGTCCCTGGTTGGTGCCAAACCCTAAGCACCCTTGTGAGGACAAGCGTAGATGCAAAGCTTGAACCCTCGGACAAACGTGGTCGAGGAAAACCAGCCAGTGGCATACAGTACACACAGGGGGCATGGGGCAAGGCGGAATGCTTGTACTGGCAACCCCTTTATCCCAGTTCACTCCTTCGATACACCTTACTTTGATCTTCCACGGCGCCGGCAACGGTCCCTAATATCCTAGCCGCCTCCTCCCGAGATCAGCATTCCTGGCCCACCAAAGCATTGACAATTAGGCTGCTGGACCCCCACAATCATGGTTGGTCAACGTCTCTCAGGGGGAAATGCACCTCTGGAAACAGGCTCGACCTTCGATAGTCCACGACACTACCGATCCCGCTTGGGCAATGCTGTGATCTCGCTTTTCGAAAAGAATGAAAGGTTGACCCACGTGGCGAGCGATAAGTAAATGCCGAAGCCGCGTATACATCTTAGGATACATGACATGAAGAATACTTTATGTCGCCTTCCCGCTGCTGCGTGGATTGATCCCTTCCTTCTCTCAACGGCCTGGATCTGACCTGTAGTCACTCATTTAAATCGTTCAGTCACTCATTTAAATCGTTCAGTCACTCATTTAAATCGTTCAGTCACTCATTATCATGTCTTCTTCGTTTCGGGGAGGGTTCGCCTCCGCTGTTTTCACTTTTGGGACACTTGCAACATCTTTCGCATTACCACAAAGCACCAGCAGCTCTACCGACACCGTAAGTACTGCTAGCGGCAATGCCACGCTCAGCACACTCAGCGGTTCTGCACAGCAATTTGACTACGTGATTGTGGGAGGAGGGCTTTCGGGTCTGGTAGTCGCCAATCGACTCTCTGAAAACAGCACCGGTCAGTGTTGGTGTTTCAAAGGTCTGCGACTCCTCTGACAGTGCTCTAGTCTCTGTTCTCGTCCTTGAGTTTGGACCGTTCGATCGAAGCAATACAACTCTCTGGCCGGCCAACGCTGTTCTCCTCAACACAGCCGACATGTTCAACATCACCTCAGCCGCGGAACCCGGGATGGATGGGCATACCTATTCCGTCCTGGCAGGTGCAGTGGCGGGTGGTGGCTCGACCGTCAACGGCATGGAGTTTGATCGTGCTTCCGCTGCAGACTACGATTCGTGGGAGTTGCTCGGAAACCCTGGATGGGGGTGGAACGACCTGTTTCCTTACTTCAAGAAGGTATGTCGACACAAAATTGCATACAGAGACTTGCTAAGGGGAGATCAGAGTAGCGATTTCACGCCACCTACGCCCGCTATTGAAGCAGTTTACAACTACACCTGGGACACGTCTGCTTACGGAAACGGCCCATTGCAGGCGTCTTATCCCGAGTTCCAGTATCCTGACAACTGTAAGCATGAGGCAATCCCATCCTAGATATGAACTCAAGCACTAACATAGATAGATCCTTTCTTTGATGCCTTTGAAGAAAAAGGAGTTCCTTTCATCAAGGAGCATGCTCTCGGCAATGCTGTTGGTGTTTTCTGGACTCCTGCCTCTGAGGACCCTAAGAAGAAGACCAGATCGTCGTCTCTCAATGCATACTACGACCCGGTTTCTGGCCGTAAGAACCTCAAGATGTTGGCTCAATACCAGGTGACCGAGGTGCTCTTCGATAGCGGTCTTACAGCTCAGGGTGTCAAAGCAACGGACAGGACCACTGGCAAACAGTACCAGTTCAAGGCAAATAAGGAGGTTGTTCTTGCGGCGGGCGGTGTTCATACACCGCATGTTTTGCAGCTCAGTGGCATCGGCCCCAAAGATGTCCTGACAGCCGCCGGTGTACCCGTCAAGCTCGACTTCCCTGCCGTAGGAAGCAACTTCCAGGACCATCCTACTGCTTATCTCAACTGGAATGGTAAGTCAATCCTTTGTGCTATGCACCTCAAGCCGACTGTACTGACCAGAGTGTAGTGAACAATAGCTTTCCTTACCCCGGCATCCTCTTCGCCAACGCTACATACAATGCTGAAGCACTAGCTCTGTACCTCAACAACCTGACTGGCCCATACACCAAGGCGCAAGGAAGCAGCGCCGGCTTCCTGTCGCTCGACATGATCACCAAAAATGGAGCCTCCATGATCGCCTCGCTCTTGGCCCAAAACCCTGTCAACTATCTGCCTGCGATCTACAGCGCCAGCAAGCAACTGTTGGCGGGCTTCCTTGCGCAGCGTATGATTCTCGCTGCGCAGATCAAGGAAGGCTGCGTGGCTGTTCTGGAACTGCCATTCCAGGGATCTGGCTCCGTCCCAAATGCCATGCAGAAACCGCTCTCTCGTGGAACAGTCTACTTGAACTCCAGCGACCCTCAGGGAGAACCAGTTGTCACCTACTACGCCTTCACGAATCCGTTTGACAGGGCACAGCTCGGTGTGATGGTCAACTTCACACGTCAGCTCATGGCAAGTGATGCCCTTGCTTACCTGGATCCTGTCGAGACTGTCCCCGGCCCGCAATACCAGACTAGTGATGACATCTTTAACAAATTGTTGGTTTCTCAGTCGACTTTCGGACCTCCAGCTCTGAACCCAACGTTCGCCCATCCTAGTTGCTCGTGCCCGATGATGCCAAAGAGTCTTGGAGGTGTGGTCAGCTCGGACTTGCTGGTGTATGGCACCAAGAAGCTCAGCATCGTGGACTGCTCGATCTTGCCCATCATCCCTGCAGCACACTTGCAAGCTACAATGTACGCGGTGGCTGAGAAGGCTGCCGATCTTATTAAACAGCGTGCCTAAACATTTGTTGTTACGGGAACACTCCATTCTGTCTATGCTTCACCTATCATGCATGCTACCTAGCCACACTGTTGCTGAAAGATATACTCCAAGCAGTGCCAAGGCGTCAGCGAGGCGGTCAGCCGCGCTCACATTTGTGCAGAGGTCGCTACAGAATCGCCATTCAATAGAGAATCTACCCTTAAGTCACTAAAATTTGCTGTCCCACACAGCCCACGGGGGCTTTCGAGAGTAATTGCAGAAAATAATACAGCTATCAAGTAACGACGAGTTCTACATAAGATCGACCGTAGGATCTTCGACGATACTCCGCGACCCCTTCTAAACACCGTTGAAGCCTATAGATAGTCGACGAGACTTGACAACTTCATTCAAACTTATTAGATCTTCTTTAGCTCGGAGTATTATACTATCTCTCACTTCGATACGAATTACTCGAGATATCATAGAATTAATTAAAGATAAGGAACGAGTAGTTAAATATAGAAAATAAAGGGTTATTATTCTGAATATCTGCGATTCCGGCGTGACCACGGATTATCCTCGTATAGCGAGCATGCCATTTTGCTTCGACGGAGATTACGGCCGTCTCTGGCGTCGGCCAGAAATGCATGAGACCGGCGGCTTCTCCGACCGAACAAGCTTGATGAGTCCGTCTTGGGACATCGAAGTACCCGCCATGTCATTGCCTCTAACGGCGGTGGAATCGCCGCGAACTTCGTCCCGATATGTTGTTAAGGTTCCTACCGGGTCCTAACTGGGTTAGGGTTCTCAGTAACAAGCCTTGAATAGTATGAACTGGTTGTGGATCACGCAAGGTATGAGCAATCAATTGTCACTAAGAACTGTATGGTCCAATAGTTAACATGAGTTGGCTACGAAGGGAGTGTAACTATGGGGGAGGTGGGCTCAGCTATATAGTCGTGAGGTTCTTCCCAATGTGGTAGGGGGAGAGGAATGTCGGAATGCCGGTATGCTCGCCATACCTTATTCCAATATTCCACCATTCCGTTCTTTCCTATTTCGGGTAACACGTGACCTTGTCTAGCCTTGCCGCTGGTTCAGCCTGTGCTCGGCTAAGTTTCCCTTCCAGCGTTCCTTACATGGCTCCCACGGGGTGTCCAAGGCTGTGTCTAACATATGTCTTGCAAAGATCTCATGTCCAATCGTCAAAGGGCGATTGTTAAAGGGAAAATGAGATTGGCCGACGAGGCGGACAACCTGTTAAATGCGTAACAGGGAAGGGAGTGACAGTCAGTTTGTTACTACAACCACTTCGTAAGTAACGTTCCTACGGGAGCGCTTGAAGGCCCGTTTCGAGGATCTCTGATCTTCAACTCCCCATTCCTGTGTCTTTTTGCTTAGCCTCATCGTAGAAACCTCGTAATCAGAGTGACGTAGAAACATTTGGTCGGCGACGAGCTGCGAGAAATTTGGTGTCGGCACTGTGGTAATTTGAGAGGTGGAGACAATGACCAAAGCCATCATGGTGCCCATCGGCGGTCGTCGCTTACTCAACCACGAAAGGCGCACTTAAACGCTTCTTTTCGAACGCAAGGTGGACTTTATGAACGATTTGCATTCATAGGTGCTAAAGATCTTCTGAGAATCAAAGTCCTAAAAAGCCATCCTGTCTTCTATGACGGTCCTATCGCTGATGCTCCCAGACGTACAGTCTTCCAAAGTATGGGCATTGGCGGCAGCAATCAGAGATTCTCTCCACCTAGCGGTACGTTCAACAGCACCACGTAAAGCCGTCAAAGCCTCACACCACGCCTGGAGAGAGCTGCCAATCACCCAGCCTGCCACAAGAATCGTGTCGTACTGTATCTGCTTCAGGGGATTCACTCCTTCCGATAGGCTTGGAATTCGTCCGCTTGGCCAAGTCGCGTAGATGCGTAGCGTTCCATCGTTGTATATTGCCGTCAAGGTGTACGCTTTGCCATCAAAGGCGTAATTTCCACCGTATGACTGTAAGGCAAGAAAGCTGCGAGCACCCAGGATACCATAGTGATAGGCGCTGTACCTCTTTTTACCAGGGCTTCCTGCATTAGACATTTCCAAGAAAAAAGTTAGGGAGGATCAGAGACTCCTGTCGCTTTGATGGCTGAATGTACCCCCGCAATTCTTCATGAATCTCCGGACGAAGTTCGCAGTATTCCGAGCCGCAGTACAAGTCTGGTCTTGCGCAGCACCACTCGTCCTCTGTAATTGGTTCGAGGCCGTTGAACGCCATATCGCAGATGCACAAAAAGTTTTCCACCGATAATCGCATGAACGATTTGAAGAGACGCGAGATTTCCTGCTCGTTCAAGTACTCTGAGGCATGTTGTCACTGTCGGAATTGTTGTAACGAGAGAGAGACCGGTCTGGAGACCAGGTAGTCTCTGATTTGCGCAATATTGTTAGGCTCCGGAAGAGGTTCGGGCAGCAGGCGGCTGTTGTCTCGAATGATCCCGTACGCAATAAGGCTACGCTCAAATTCTGCCACTTGGGTTCTTAAGTTTTGCCGTGAAGGGCGCAAGAGAGCGGGTTGGGATTTTGGCCATTGTTCGGATCTTTCCGCGTAAGAAAGCATTGGGTTCATGCTCGTTCGATCAATCTCGTCGTCCACCGTTGACACTTCCAGCAGCCATTCTGCAATCCGTGCCCCATTTTCAGAAGCCCTCTCACTCTCCTCCCGCCTATTTGTCGCGGCCTCAGACTATTCGTCTGCTAGATTTGAACAGGCTTCCTCAAAGAGTCGCAACTTTCCCAGATCGTTTGGTAGACGGTCTATATCCTCCTTGACTAGTAGATTCCGAAAATAAGGCATAATCGGAACAAGAAAGCACACGCTGTCGACAAAGCGATGGAGATCGTTGACTAACTCTCCGAACAGCTGCCGATCTGAGATCGCCCATTTCGCTTTGGTCAGTTGGCTTGTCTTCTTTTTTCGCATCGACGCACGGTGGTAGAAATTGGCGAGACTGGCTCTGAACCTGATGAATCGGGGCCCGCTAAGTACAATCTGGTTGACTGGCGTCGTGTCTGAATGCTGACACTCAACTTTCGGACAATGCGTACTTTGTTCGTAATTGGTCAGAATCAGTCAAGAGTACAGTGATGGATTGCAGGACTCTTTCGACAACAGAGACAGTATTTGCATCATTCAGCAGGAGATGTCGACTGCGCGGGTCCGAGCTCAGCAGCCCAACACCATCAGCCCATTGCAAGAGCCGGGTCTTCTCAACATCGAGTTTTGTGAGCAAAATCTCGAAATCTCGCCCTTGTGTCTTGGCGGTATCAATGAGACGGAAGCAGTCGATGCAAGTAGAAAGAGCGCTACGAGTCCTAGAGCTCCGAGAGACACTCCAACAGGTTCCATAGCGTCTCTAGAGGCGAAGAAAGAAGCTGGTTTCGATCATTGAAAATGAAAGCATCCTGCGCGAGAACGTATTTCTGAGAGATTGAACGTACTGCTCGACGCCCTGAAACTGAGGCAGTGCTCGAGATTGTGCTGGTGCGCCTTGCGGCCAACCTGCACGAGCAGGTTGCCCTGTCCAATGTCTCCGGGGGAGTCAACGGACTCGGGATGCCGGGAGCCAACAACCGATACCCCTGGAAGATTGATAGGCTAGGAGACACTCGCACGGAATGCGGAAGTGGACTTTATGCAGAGGACTTGATTAAAGACATCGTGCATCGCAGAAGCGCGATGTTAGTCCGACATGACATGGAGAAGAGTAGGTCCGCAGATAATATGCATGAGAAGAGATTTGAACTACCAGGCTGGAGGAACCAGTTACTGAAAATCCAGTCCTTTGTCCCTAGCTAGGGATGAGGCTGGTGCATCTTTGCAGTCAACTAGGGCGTGTTATAGACTAGTTAACCATACAGTCATGTACTCCGGACCTCGTGGGACGTCGGACTGCGTGGAGCTCTTGAACCCTGCCAAGGTACGGTTTAGTCTTTGATCCTACCATCCTTTGTTGCTGGCAGCTTCAGCAACCAAGGCCAGCTGCCACCGACATTAATTATCGAGTGTGAGAATTTCAGTGGACGCTGCTTTTCACCGCCCGCCGTTCAAACCTCTCTTCGAGATGACAGGTATATGCCGTCCAGGTGAACGCAGCCTTGTTGGTCAGGTCAAGCCTTACTGAGGCACGAAGTTGGTCCCTTTCTCGCCGCAATTTCAGTGTGATATTTTGGTTGGGCTATGATATGTCAGCTTATATAGCGCTCGCTGATCGAATGCATCCCGCCAGTCCCTGGTCCTGTGGTAGAAATGAGTAATTTGAATGAGCGCACACCTCCCTCATTCCGGCTGTCTCCGCTCGTCGTGTCCGCAGCCTGCTGTTACCAAATAGGTCGTTGATCTCATTGGAACTCGGGAAGTCATGGGCCTTCAGTCTTACCGTCTGTCGTTGATGCTCTGACTTTCGTCGTCATCCAAATATGACTGCATGACTCTAGTTCACTTTCTCCACGAGTGGTGGAGAGAGACTACATCGGCCGAGTAACTTTTCGCGTAGCTGCCATCCCTGTAGACTTGCACATCCCGTGCCTCAGTGCTGGCGGGATTAATACTTGGGCAGTCTAGCCCTAGAAGAACGTGAATACGGCATTGTCGCTGGTGGGATAGCAAAACTCCTGCCAAACTACCGCTTCCTGTAGCCCGCACAAGTCGAGTTATATAGCACAGAGGTAGCATTACCCCTGGCTCCATGCGGAGTGAGCCGTGAGCAATTTCACACGGATTGAATGCCCAATATAAAAATGTTTTACAGCGGTCCGGCATTAATGAGTGAGGATCCTAAGACGTGATATAGCCACCTGAATCCCCTGTAATGTAACATCGATGTTTTCCTCAACGCCCAAAAAAAAACAAGAATCAGTATTGGGTCCCCCTCATTATTCCCTGTCCCGTTGTCCAATATTAACCTAGGATTCAGTTACAATCGTCACAACCGGCTTAACAACAGCTATATCGGTGACTGGACCCCCTTGCAAGATATCGAAATCCCTTTCACGGACCCATTGGAGTTTGTTTGCACAGAGAAGTGCGTTAGCCTCAGCTTGCCGAGTCTTCTGCACAAGCCGTAACGCTTGTTCCGCAATGGCTAACCTTTCAGGTGGTTCCGGTACAAACGCGAAGCATCTCTCCGCCTCATCCATTGGCTCCACAATCTCGCTGAACAATGCTGCAGCTTCGCCTGGATGTTTGTGTTGTCGCAGCACAGTTGCCAGTGTTAAGCGGATCCAGAGCAGCGATCTATTGTTTTTCTCCCTGCTGATACCGGTACTCTGATCAATGAGCTTTTGAAGAGCCATCCTAGGTCGGTCATAGGATCCACGGTCGAAATCTATTAGGGACGTGATGTACTGCCACTGACATGTCCGCTCAAAATCGGTTACCAATATCTTGGAAGATCTGATCGCCTCTAGAGTTTTGTTGGCATCATCCAGCTCTGCCGTGTCTCGATATTCGAGGGCTAGAGACAGGACAGTATCGACGGTCAGATTCAGGTCGTCGCCGAAGATTCTTCGTCTCTGCCTCCAAGCATCCAGCAGAGCTCGTTCCGCTGTTGGATAATCCTCCAATTTACGGCAAACCATGCCCAGTGCCGTTCGCGCCATGATCGATAGAGGATGAGCATCGCCCCCGATCGGAGTCCATTCAGTGAGTATTGTATCATAATTCGTTCGCGCCGCGTCCAGGTTTCCCTGTTTTTCCAGCACGTACCCTTGATAAAGTCTTGTCACCAGACCATTCATGGAATTTCCACCCTCCAAGCGTTTAAAAGCCTCCTCGGTCTCACCAAGGCTTACCGTGGCCTCATCGAACTTTGCACAAGAGTATTGTGCGTAGCCTAGTAATTGAATAGTAACATAAAGATCAACGTTGTCCTGGTCATAAATTTCTCTTTGCACGGATGCAACCTTTAACAGCTCTTTCTCTGCCTCTTCGAATCGCCTTTGCCAAAAGAACTCTTGGAGCATGCTTGTTTTCGTCCGGAGGGTCAGCGGATGTCGAGCACCCAAACTACTTTCGAATCCTGCCGCCACCGCCTGCTTGTATAAGAAGCCTTTCTGCCAGTCCTCCTGCGACCGGCCTCCGAGATTGAAAAATTGCCCGAGCCGCATGAATGGGAGATAGGGGGCCACGTTATCTTCTGCATTCTCCTCCAACTCTTTTTGCAGTCTTTCATGTGGCTTGATAAAATAGTCTTTGATGGGAATCTTCTGTTGGGTGCCCTCGTCGAGGCCGTCATACCAGGTCTTAAGCAAAGTTTGGACCACCAGTTGTGAGGCAATGCCGCTCTTTTGTCTCGCCTCAAACAGGCTTTCTGACCAAGTGACACCCTCAATTCCTCGTAAAAATCGAGAAAGTAAATCAAGGACATTGTCTGGAGGCATCCGAAGCGCCGACACGTGCTCGTGCCAATGAAGGACTGCATACTCGTAAAACACTGATTCTTTAAATGGTAGATCGTCGTCACCATCTGTGAGCATGTGAGGCGGCAACAGATGCTTCCGCAGCAGCCGTAATGCAACCTTCCAAGACTGGTACATTTTGCTGGTCAGTTTCTCAAGGCATTTCTTGGCCAGAAACAGGTCAGGATCCTCCGACCTTGCGTCCTTGTAAATGTAATCCTTGAGGGTGCGGTGAGTGAGCCCCACACAAGACCCTCGAACTCGGACTAGCGAAGAGCACAATGCAATAGCATCCCCCGCCAAGTCCTCGTCGCTGCGCGAGGATTCCGTGACCTCGTCGTCATCGTCACCACCATCATCAATGATTACAAATAGGGTCTGAAGGGTCAGACACGACCGCGCTGCAGCAAGCACCCTGAGAATGAGCGTCTGCCGATTTTGATCATGCACGTCGAACCTTTCAGCACTGTCCCTAATGACCTCTTTGTAGACTCGTTCAAGTTCAGTTGGGAAGGTTTCTAGTCGCCGCCGGCGGGTCTGAAGACTGGGGCCCTGCCGAATGTGGCTCAAGAGTAGATGCACCCAGAGAAAACTTCCTAGGCTATCTCGCTCGATTCGATTCATGATCTCGTGCTGGATCTTCTGTAGTTGTGGGGATCGCGAGATCTCTTGTTTTGCATAAAGTTCAATGTCCGAAATTGTTTTATCAGCCGTCAATTCGATCAGGTACGTATTTCCTATGGTTGGCTGCTCTCTGGATGTCAGTATAACTGAATGGTCGGCATTCGTCGAGATAGCTGATAGTGTGAGCGCAAGAAGATCTCTGTCGTGGCATTCGCTGCATTGATCTAAAGCATCGATGATTAGAGTCATTGGGGGAAGTGAGATGATGATATCTTTAGTGACTTGAGCCAGCTGTTCAGTACCACACTCGCTCGCATGTCCGAATGCAGTGCGAAGATTGTTTAGCCTTCCCAGGAAGGGAACAATATCGTGGTATGAATCAAGAAGCCTTGAAGTGCAAATTCGCAGAAGCAGGGAGAGGAAGAGTTGGTGGATTTGGTCACGACTGCGGCGATACTGTGTGCCGAAGGAAAAGAATAGCACTGTCTCATGGTGGAGCGAGCGAGCGAGCGATTGGGCAAGCACCGTCTTTCCTACGCCTTGAGGGCATATTAGCAAAAGAGTCAACCGCGAGGATATAAAGGAAAGTTGGACCGGGATCCCCTTTTATCCAGAGCGGCCCCCTGTCGCCCTCTGCAGTCTTCCACTTGTTCCATATTGGATCTGAGAAAATCCATTGGCCAGTTCCTGGCGTCGGGTCGACGGTAGAAGCTTCGGCAACTCCTGCCGCAAATTCTAGCCAGTTCACCGTGCTGCGAAGCATGTCGAATGCGCGGGCATCTAGACAAATGCACCGCGGTCAGTGGTTAGGTCTTTTGACAGGCTCAATCTCCGCTTATCAGGCATGAGTTACATACCACGGATTTGACGGTGCTGCAATTCCAGCATCACTAGCAACCGTCAGTCGGCCCCCAGGGCAGGTCCAGGTTCAAGGGAAGCGGAATACAACACACAATGCCGAGTTTGGTGATGGTCAGTTTTGATGTCCTGGAGGATGGCGGTCTGGTCTCGAGTTTTGCGAAGATAAGTTTGGTATGCAGCTCGAACCTCTTGGCGTGGTTGACACAAGTTAGCGAACAATCCCGAGCATGTTGGGCCGTTGGCTTGTGCGACTTGGGCCCATTCAGATCATTGACTTTCGGACCATGCATACTCCTCCGCATCTCCCCACCCAGTGAGGCTGAGACAACGCACCCAAAGTGCGACCTATCACCAGGTTAGGGTATGATTCCAGACTCACCGTGACGGAAATTTGCTTGAGCGGCTATTTCATTGTCGACCTTGCCCTCATGGAAGACTTGTCCTGTATGGATGGCAGCCCGTCAGGGTTTGCAAGTGAAGAAAGCCCCGGAGGGATAATCTCACCTTGATGTCTTATAGAGGTGATCCGCTTATCCAGCCGACTCTTGCGCGTTTGAAGCTCGGCGAAGCAACGGCTCAGCTTTTGAGATACACTCCCTCTAAGAGCCTGACTTGCTTTGCCTCGACTAAAATGTATCTCGAGGCGGACAATATAGCCAAGGACATGCGCAAAGTAGTCCACAATCTCATCCAGCACTTCCTGATGGTCCCTGAAGGTGCGTGCTTCTTGTTCGTAACACACTGTGTCTCCTACGATCTCCGCAAGAGCCTCTCCAATGTCGTCGAGAGACTGCACGTAGGAGGCACCCAACTATTCCCCATTACCGCAGTCAGGAGTCAGAGACAGAAAAGCATCTCTTGGGTGTTATCGAAGACGGGATTCGAGTCTCACCTGTAAACATAGACGAATCGCCCCCCAAACCAGTGCCGTCACATGGGCTTGTTGCCCTATAGCAACATCACCAACTGCCGCAAAATTATACAGTGTGCGAATGATGTGGTGCAAGGCCTTCTTCCATCCCTCGTTTGGGACACAGGCTGGTCGTTTGTCCGCTTCAATCCACCTTGCCAGCTCCCCGAGACTGCAACACCGAAATTTCTTCTCGAGCTCGTGGAGCTTGAGTTTCTTTCGTCGATCACGGGTGAGGAAATGATTGAAGTGCTAAATGGTCACGGAGGGGTTGATCAGTTGAGAAAGAACATGGATGGCTCTGGGTTGATCAGCTGGCGCCTCTATCTAAGCGCCTGTAGTGATGGGGGTGAGGCCTGGTGAGCCCTTAGGCATACCCTAGGCAATACCCCAGGCTGGTGGGTAATACCCACGTAATACCCGAGGCGCCAGGCAGAACCCCGGTTGGCCTGGCAATAGCCTAATGAGCCCTAATTTCAATGGGCCGAGGTAGCTACCGCGGTGCAGTATCTCTTGCAGCTCTTGCAGAGGGTAGGCTTCGGGGGCTTCGGAGGCCCCCTCAGTGACAGAGACGGGTGGGAAGGTGGAACTCACTTTAACCGCCCTGAGCCAACACTCTTCGACAACGTCCTGCATCTTTTTCGGTCGGGTTTTGTCCAGGATGGTCAGGATCGCTCACATGTCCACTGTGGTACAGCCAAAGTGATGGATGATGGTGACGGCCATGGGTTTCCTTGAATGGCGCCTCCATACCCTTTATGCTGATTTAGGAGGCTCTTTTGCTGCACTTTCAGCCTGCCTGCTGAGTTCGATCTCTTTTTGTCTGCACTACAGGGCGACCAATGTTGCTACGAGCATGTCTAAGGGCGCTGGCTGTGCAGTGCGGTCTACTTCTGTCTCGTATTTCGAATGCTTCTGCATAGCGGACTGGATGTGTAGGTGGCAAGGCAGATTGTCTCTAGTCCTCTCCCTGGTTGGCTCACGGCATGATGAGTGCTGCCCAACGACGCCTGCCAGGGGCGTGACATGCTCCAATCGCCAATGCCAACTCGCATGGCTTGGGGATTGAGAGCCTCATTCGCATCTTGGTCGATTGGAACACGGCGCCGTCCCTCACTTGCTCTGTTTATTCGCGCGCAGCGGAGGCTTGCTTTGTCTCCTGCAGACTTACCCAGAGAGGACAGACTTTCGCCGAACCTATACATATTTATTATCCTGTGAATCTCCGTTGACGGGCCTGTGTACGAGCATGGCGGACCGGCGATCGAGCGACAAGCAACGGCGTGGCCCGAACCATGCGGGGTCCCCGATTAACTGCCCCAGCGGTTGCAAGCTCCTCCATGAGCTCGGCGACGACCTTAATCTGGCGTCCTGCGAATGCGCCGACGGTTATTACGATCGAGACCGTCAGCGCTTCTACTCTGGCAGTGATGTCCGTGACGGCAAATCTCCTGAGACCCGTGATCAATATCGGAAGCGCGTCGCAGGAACTAATGCCGATCCCAGGGTGAACGGCCAGGGTGATTATTTTCTACCAAGAGATGGGATCAGATACGACGTCCTAGAGGATCTGAAGGGGGCGCTTTTCGGGAAAGACACCCAGATATGGGAACATGAATTAGTGGGTTTGCGCCCATTCCTTCTCTATGACGCCGACTCATTCGTCTAGAACGGCCAACGAGGTTGGTTAATTCGGACCCGAAGAGGCAATTATCCCATGCAGGTTAGCGGTCGAGAACATATTGACGGTCCTATCCATGGACTTTAGGCCCCGGCTGACCATCACAAGGCAATCATTGAGCGACTACAGAAGAAAAGTCAAGACGAGGAAGACTCAGGTCGTCCCTGCTCCAAAAAAGCACCGCCTTCCGGCGCATCAACAGCCAGGCGGCCTCCAGAATTGCAGCCAACGTTCTCATCACCAGGTGCGCCAGGACTTCCATCAAGCTCCAGTTATTCTGCCGGTCAGTCGGCTATGGGATACGGGTTACCATCGTAAGTCCCCTAACTGCCCTCGAAAGTTCGACCTGTCTGACCGTGCAGAAACCATTCGTCACGACCCGGGACAACCCACCTCCACGCACAAAGCAGTCGGCAGAGCGCGGTGGAAGCAGATGGCCGAGAACTGAGCCCTTTTGGGAGCAGTCAAACCGTTGTCTCCTCTCGAACGACGCTTCCTCAAAATATCACTTCAAGCCTCCAAGGCCCGCGACGGCAGCAAAGCGGGGCCATGCCTCCGCCGCCTCCGTCGAGTCAGAGGGACAGAGAACGGCGGCATAGCCACCTCTCCCAAGATACTCGAGGAAGCACGAGCAGTCAACTGTCCGAAGAACCTCAAACAAGAAGCCATGTATCACCTCGTGTTGGCGGCGAGTACGGCAGCGACGATGGCGGCGACGACCCTTTCAGCTCCGAAAGCCGGTCATCTCGCACCACCAGACCTGCTGAGTCTAGGAGGCAACCTGTTCACCCTGGGCACACTACGCATGGTAGGACAAGTCAAGCCGGTCCGCAGGAAAGCACTCGGGCGCCTAACTACATCCCCATAAGTCGGGGCCCGGGAGGAACTCAATTACCGGTCCCCGGGAGGAACGATGGACGAAGCCAACGGAGCGTTCAACATGGTCGCTCTTCGCATGACGACCTGAGTGATGTGCCGAGGGCCATGACAGACCCCGTAGAAGAACCTACCTCCCGAACCACACGCCCTTCCATAACGTCGTCATTACCCACACGGACGAGAGGCACAGCTGGTGATGAAAAACAGATGGGAAAGCATCCACGGGGATGAAGAATAAAAAGGATGGATTACCACGTACCACAATCGCATAGGTTCGTGGTTACGCGACGTAATAGACGAGCACAGGACAGTCACTGGTGCAGCATCATGTACCTTGACATATATTCATACAATGAGGGGGATCGATCTGCCTGCATGGTTGGCCACCCGTTAGGTTTCCGGAGGTCTGTATAGTTTTGGGATATTGCGCGGGTCCCTCGACGGAATTGTTTAATATATGCTACCTAGGTATATTACAGCAATAGCTCCCTGCAGCCGCAGGGGCGGTATCTCTGTTTCCCTGGTACCCTGTTCGGTACGTCGCTCAGATATCTCAGGGACCAAAAAAGTTTGTTGCTAAAAGTCACCAGCCCAAGTGTTGTTCTTTCAACGCCAAATGGACCTACTACATCGCACCTCTTTGCATCCCCCCAACAGGAGCTTCCAGATCTAGTACCCTATATGCACCATTAATACTCTATCGTCTCCTCTGTGAAGAGGCTTGCTCAAGCGGAAGATCTCGAGATATGTAGACGTTTCAACGTCAGCTGCTGACTCTTTGCCCAAGGAGGAGACTGCTCCACCCATGTAATTATGTGTGCGAAGAGGCCTATCTGTTCTTCAACAACACAGCCATCGATGCCCCGACGGCGGCTTTCACCTGGGGGCCAGTCGAATCCAGCATGTGTCGGAGATCCTGATCGTTCGACCCGAGAGACATGGTGGATTCCAAATCTGTTTCTCTTGCATCGGGCATGCCTCCTCATAGAGGCCCAAGGATTGAAACACGGCTTTGAAGATGGCGCAAAGCTTGTGCACGAGGTCCTAGTAGCTGCCGGTAATGGGGAGAAGGGCCCAAGAGAAGGCATCGTCCGCTTACGGGAAAGATACAAAGGAGCGAACGCTAGTTGAGATTCCGATTTCCATTACACAGGCCCGAACGGCGCGGAATTTGGAGATAAAAAAGCAGGACCCCTTCGTCCAACATGGAATGCACAGGTGCAGGGAAGAGTTGAAGGCACAAGGCCGCCAAGTTGAAGTCGCAACCGCCCCAGTCGTTGTTTAGCACGGCATCTTCAATCCATTGGATATGGCTGCCCACTTGTGGGGGTCAATGCTTGTGCAATCATGCTGAACATATATTCACGACGAGTGTATTATTGCAGAGCATGTCACCCCGTCTCACTACTTCCTCGCCTCTTTCAAACTAGCCGACCAAAACTCGCTGGCCTAGAAATGACAGGTGGCCCCATCGGTTTGGGAGGGCCCCAATCCATGTTGGCAGTCTCATTTTCTCCAATAAAATGGGAATCCAAAGGTGTAAGCGCTCCAATCTATGGGCATTGGACGACATGGAACTTCCGAGAGTCGCTCGGTGGGAGGATAAGATTAGCTGAGAGGTTCCAGTATCGCTCGAGGACAACATCACAGGATCAATATCTCTCGAACAGGTAAGGTTGAGAAAGACCGTACATGGTGAGAATCCAAGACTGCTAGTGGGCGGCTGGACACTCCTTGGATCAACTTGGTTGCAATGTCCAGATGTCAGGAACCAGGTAACGCGGTACCAGGTCTGATGGCCGATGCTGAGCTGAGTGTGGAACTTATTCCAGAAAACGCCTGGACTGCAGTATCACCGCAATCCGCACATCGACCCGCCTCGATTCCACGGGCTTGGGCTTCATACGCACCGAGATCTCGGCTGCATTTGAGTCCCAGATTGGAACGTTTCATGCCCAGCGCCGTGCTTTTGCGCCACGTTCAACGCGGCGAGGACAATAGTTCCAGACCCTTAATTCCGGTTCCGAGTCGTGAGGTTTCGCCTTTGAGACCCTGACCAATGCCGCAAGCTGGGAGATCTGGCGGCGGAGTGGGAGAACCGAACGACGCTCTTGGTTCTGGAAGATACATCTGACACAATGAGAATAATTCCAATGCCCCTAGTCGAGAGAAAAGTTCTGCAATGGATATGTCCAGGGCAGCGGCTTGAGGGACAGGGTAGAGACTCTTCAGCTTCAGCTTTTTGATAAGGTCACCGAGGACCAGAGCATCACATCCTGGGCTTCGGAGGCAATGCTGCTCTCCACTTTCATAACTTTCAATCGTGTTGTTAATGTATTTGAGCATGTCTTCGATAATCGATAGTCGCTGAGATTCGATCTCGCCTGCAGGAGCGCAGTGTCAGATCTCTTGCAGCAGTGAGGTAAAGATGTACTTACTGGCAATTGCGGGTGGTATTTGGAGTCCATTATCCTCAAAGCGAGACGTACAATTATAAATGACTGTCCTGGTCAAATCTTTGTATTCGGATATTCTTCTGAGAACCCAACAAATGTAGATCCAATCGGTGAGACCTGGAAATGACTTGTCTCTGGCGGGCCATTGGCTATCGAACCAGAGATCTGTCCACACACATGTAACTTCATGGAGCTCGTACTTGTCAACCAGAAGAACAATCTCAGAAAACAATGTGTAGCCGATTTCTCGCGGGACGTTTCTATTCAAGCCATGTATGATACCAAGTAAAATCAACATAGCATCGGCATCGTCCTTAGGCAACGGTATTCTTGTCAACTTCTCAAGCCCCGGCTCGATTCTCTCCTGAAAGTTGCCATCGAACATGGCACGAAACACTCTTGACGCCAGCGTCAGATGTTTCGAGGACACTCTAGCCTCGATCTCCTGATATTCATGGGACGCCGAAGTCCCTGCAGCAGAAGTGCCATCAGGCTGCTTTGTGAAAGTCTCAAGCTGCGCATCCGCACCATCTCCGAGTTTCTTGGTGGGACTTTTTCTGAAACCACGGTCGACGCCAGATGCGGTGATGCTTCTGTTGAGTACCAGCAGAATATCGCCTTGAGGGTCAAACATATTTTTGGTCGTTGGCAGCCAATAGGTCCAGCGACTGGGCAATAAACCTGTACCCATTGGCTTACTCTCGGTACCCTGGGAGCAAGCAAGCCGATACGGAGAATGATTAGCAAGTCGACTTGGGCACACAGGTGAAAGTTATGTGGCGGATGGGGTGGTCGACAACGGCCAGGTTGAATGCGAGGCAGTGAAATGGGAGAAGCGAAGAACGACCCCCTTGAGCTCCAGGAAAAGCACGACTGTGAGCTGGTGCGGCCAAGAAACGCGATATAATTGCGACAATTACTAGTAACCTGGGCACCAAGTCACCATCCACGTCAGGCTAGAGCAGAGGAGACAACCCACACCAAAAGTCGGTCAGTCTCTTTGACCTGCCTTCCAGGCATGTAGGGAAGGGAAGATATAAGAGCTTATCAGCGCACTGGATTGTGAAACTTCCCCCTAGTCGCTATGAGCGTCTCAAGATGGGGCTTACCGGGCTCCCAAAAACCTGCCCCCTTCTCGCTACCTATACCACTGAAGTCGAAAATACGGACATTGATTCTTCGATCGTGCGCCACGCTGATGCCTATTCCATTTCATCCCTGAGAGCTCCATGCATGTGTCACTGTCATCATCACATCATGAAAGTCATGCTATTCGATTGCTCCGAATATGTTCCTGCCGAGTATACGCCATCGCAAAAATCCGATAAAGTTGAACACGGCACTCTTTCGAATCGTTCTGCTCAAGCCAGATATTTGTATGAAGGTTTCGCTGGATCAGGCCCCCTTTCTAAGTACTCCTTCTCTATCAAAGCCTCGATCTTTTTCTTGATCATATTCACATCGGGTTGGAATCGCGACGAGATTTGAGCCAGAGTCTCTGTCATAAGCTGGGAATGCGATAGACTCTTGCGCGACTTCATGATACGAACAATTGCCGCCTCGATGACAATCCCACGCTCTTCTTCTGTCCGCTTCTGGGTCGCGCGGCGTTCCTCCTGGTTCTCAACCCTGTTGCCGCCACCTCCAGCAACTACGCTCACTTTGATCTTGAGAAACTGGCTGGTGAAGTCTTCATTGAAAAAGAATCTGTCCAAGGGCTTGATATCTTTCGACACAGGTTCTTTCCGGAGAACTCTCCACCTGTTCACCAACGACAGCGATTGCAGGTTGCGGATGAGCTCAGGCTTGGGAATATTGGTCTCGGCTGCAATCTGCTCAAAAGTAAGACAATCTCCCGGTGGGAGATCATTGAAGAGCATGAGAATGACCATGGCATAGGTCGAGACGTGGAGTTCATATCGTCGCGTCTTCCCGCCATTTGTGAAGGTAGCTCTCATGTCAGCGTCACCCAGCCCGGGCATCCATGTCAATTTTCTACCAGTATGCTTATCAAGGTAGAACTTCTGAAACCTCTGTCGTACCTGTTCGACCGGAGCTGGAAATTTGCACTCGTTTCTGGTACCGTCATCGTCGGATTTGCTAAGCGTTTCAAACGGCCAAATAGTGGTAGTCAAGACCCTGCAATCCAGCTCAACGCGTTTTGGATCGGGGTCGCCGAGTTGGTTGACGTATTCTCTGTATTTCATGTTGAGATCGTCCGATGTCTCTGTATCTCTAATCAGACCCTCCAACTTCTGGGTGAATTGGTTGCCAATCTTCATCTTCATCTTTGAAAGCATTTGGCGTTCCATTTCTCGACTGACGGACTTCTTCATCAGGAGGCGCTTGGCCATGTGCCTCTTATAATACGTCTCGAACGTGTCTTTGTTCGCGAGGTACTGGAGAAGTAAGATACCGTTGTCGAGAATTGTGTCAACCTCAGCATCACTCTTGTCTTTTCCCCCCCGTTTGAGATATTCGTCAAGGAAAAGAGACAGATGCTCGGGGCTTCGCTCGTTGATGTTGATGAAATCTTGGAATGCATTTTCCAGGCCTTTTTCCAGTATTGTATCTTTCTGGAACGCTTCAATCCAGAGCCTGTCGAGCTTCGCCTTTAGGGCTAGGATCTGCTCCGCCCACACGATGGCGGCCTGGGTCTGTTGGCTCAGCGCCTTCTCCTGTTGAATGCCTTTGCCGTCAGCACCGGATTTCTGGGCGGATTTTGGAGCAGGCGTGGCATCGCCAATCACATTGGCAGCCTTGTTGATCTCCATCCCCAGCTCTATCACGCGCTTCTTGACCACGTCCTTCAGCGCAGTTTTCCGCGGATCCACTCTGGCAACGAGCTCGAAAACATTGGCAAGATCTTGGACCTTGTCATTGTCCAACATATTCCGCACTCCAGTACCCTCCATATTGATAACATCGCGAATATGTGCCGAAATTAGCTCCCTTTCGACCACAGCCTTGATTTTTTGTTCCGTAATTTGGGAGATAGTCTGCTGGCACCGCTCTTGTTCTTCGGCCAAACGTTTCCTTGCGTGCGTACAAAAGGTACTTGCGTCAGCCTCAACCAACAAAGTTTGACCTTCGGTGGCGTAGAATTCGCGGCTCGCTTGGAGGAATTTGGGTTCGAATGATGTGAGGTAGACTTTGCTGGGTTCGTCTTCGGTGAATGTTTCGTAGAGGCCCTCCAGCATGTAGCAACAGGCACGAACTAGCGGTCGATCAATGATTTCACCTTTGCGTTCCATCCTGATCATGTCAAGAAGAACGGTCTCTAATAGAGAGAGCACAGTGATCGTCGGGTCGTCATGCAAGGGAGTGTTGAGTACCTGGGTTCGAAACAACGCCATCGAAGCTGCAAAAGTCGGGGGTCTCTTCTGCTCTTGAGCAAACATGCGATCCTGGCCGGGCTATGAGCATCGTATCAGTGCACCCGAGAATGTCAAAGGAAACTAACCATATACATGAGAACATCGGTAATCATGCCGGTGCAGAGTTGATGGTCGGCAAAGGCGTCCTTCAGGGCTCTGATAAATCTCTCGCCGGCCACTCTGCTCTCCTCAGATTGAATGGTGGCATTTTGATCCGAGCGATCAGCCAAGAGAGTCGGCGTTATGAGTGAGTATATCTTCATGCGAACGTTATCCCGCAGCCATGTCTCTATTAGCTGTACCACTCTATCGTACAGCATATCCTGCTTTTTTTTCAAGACCAGTTTGTATGCATTGCGGAAGAGTTCTTCGAAGGAGAGCTTGCAAGCGTTTTTGGCAAATATCTCTTGGAAGGCGATGGATAGTGTGTTCCATGTTGAATCAAAGTCGACATCCTCTTTAGCCAGACCCTGATTGCGGGGCACGTTAGCAATTGCCAGACACGAATACATTTTGGGTGAGAGTGACGAGCCCAAAGGATTTTAGCAGGAACATTGCAAGATAGAGGGAGTCAATGTATGACATTGAAGTGAGGCAGGTGGATCAACAGGCGTCTAGCTGAGCGAACAAAGAAGGTAGAAGCAAACTTCTGCCGGACCAGGGTGCGAATCGATTTCAGAGCTGAGGCACGTACTCTTCTCGGGGCTCTGATCTTAGGGCCGCCTTTCTTAGCCAACATGATGGGCAGGACACATTGCCCGCACCAAGCCAGCACTCAACGTCGGGTTGTTTCCAAGAGGCTGAGAGGGTGCTGAGTCGAGGTGCAGTTCGTGGAGAAGCGTTTTGGGGAAGTGCTGTCGTGGGACGGGGACGGCAAAACGGTGCCTCAAGAGATGGTGGTCCGAAGTCGTCCTCAATACCCAGTATACGCCAGCTCGAAGAAGAGGTCAAAAGAAAAATGACAAAGAAAAGGCCGCTCGTGCCAGTTGTCGTGTATTGACTGTGACTCGTCTCGACACCACGGCTGGTGAAGCGCCTGGCTGCAGGTTGCCGATCCAGTTCTGTCAGTGCGAGGTCGCGTCGGCATCAATTCGGGGCGCAGGCCGGATCGGAAAAACAAAAGACCCCTCTCGGAAGAAACCTTCGTCATCGGCGGAATGCCTCAACCACTCCGTAATTCTTCTTCATCCACATCTCCTCTCTTCAGAGGTTTCTAGCAGCATGCGATTAATATCACACGCGGCCCGAAGGGCTGGAGGCAGCGGCTTCGCGTCCCAGTCAGTCAGGGCCTACTCCCGTCTGTCGTCACTCGCGTCGAGAACTCCACAGGTTTGGCGACAACCATATTCGCCTAATCGTCCATTTGCACCTATCAAACGATACAACTCTTCATTGTCTGTACCCGGAGCAACACCACGACAGGCAGAAGAACAAAATGAGCCTTCCTACGAACTGAGCTTCACCTGCAAACCCTGCCTCTACCGGTCGACCCATCGCATCACTAAACATGGCTACCACCGCGGAACGGTTCTGGTGACCTGTCCGTCTTGCAAAGCCCGCCACGTTATCGCCGACCACCTCAAGATCTTTTTAGACAAGAGCTCAACACTTGAAGATATATTAAGGAAGAAAGCAGCGGCCGGCCAAGATTTCACCAAACTATTGAAAAAGGGAAGACTAGGCATCCGACCGGGCGAATTGGTGGGCAACGAAGGTGAAGAGGATCTTGAGTTTTGGGAGGATGGTACCGAATCTGTGCACACCCCGATCGAAGAAAAGCAGACAGGCCAACAAGGTTGATGTGAAACTCGATTAAAGAGGCGCGGAATGCAACTGAGGAATCTCTAATGCGTCGCTACGCTTCAGTTTGACACCAAGCAGCGCGGCGGTCTGCTTCACCCCCACCGTCACAATGGCCATTCACGTTCCAATCAAGGGATTGACCATGTTAAAGTCAATCTCGTTGAAGCATCAGGCCGTTTGTTGCCAACCACTCTTTTTGATCAGACTCGATGTCATGTGATGTCAAAGGTCCACCCTCGAGATCAGGAAACCCCAATCGACACTCATCTCCTCTCCGCCACGCCGAGTTCTAATCAGCACTTGACGAACCAAGTGTCCAAAGAGCTACCTCCTTGAGATCAAATTGTACCTCCCGTTATCCTCCGGTAACGAGAGGACTCATACCTGAAGACGTGGTTTTTGTACCAAATGATGTACCGGATATGGAGCGCTTGGAGATTTCTCTTCGCCTGGACCGGAGTGCTAGATTCGTTTGCAGAGGAGTGATTCGCGGAAGAATGTACAAAATGTATGTATGAATATGATCGAGGTTCTAAGAATTGATACTTCTAATTTCGAACACTTCATAACTAGCGTACCACTGAGCGATGATTTCTCCCCGCGAAATCCGAAGTCTAGGAAACTACTCTTTTCGTGACCTTGACGCCAATGTATGCTGATGCGCTAACGAACAGAAATCGTCCCTCTTGCTCTACAGGTGACCTTTCTCTAATACCCATTAAGAACAGTCTCTCTGACCAAATACACCCTCGCCTCCCAAGGGGTCAAATACCTGCCCACCTCCTCCTCCCCTTGTCTGAGATTACTGACCAACAACTCCTTCTTCATCCCTTCCAAGCCATGCGGGTAATGCAACGGCTGGAGGTCGTCGGAGAAATTGAGAAAGACGAACAGCTTGTGGTGCCCGTCCGGGTGGGCCTTGGTGAAGGTGAAGACGTCCTGGTCGAAGAAGTCCCAGACCTCGAAGTCGGTGCCGAAGACCATGAGCTCGGCGTGCTGCTTGCGCAGCGCGATCATCTTCTTCCAGAAGGCCAGGGGGGAGTGCGGGTCGGCGCGCTGCGCGGCGACGTTGACGGCCTCGTAGTCGTCGTGGACGCGGATCCAGGGCTTGCCGGTTGTGAAGCCCGCGTTGGCGGACGCGTCCCACTGCACGGGCAGGCGGGCGTTGTCCCTGCCGACCAGCTGGAGGCCCTTCATGGCCTTCTTCAGCCAGAGCGGGTCGTCCTTGTGGCGGGTCTTGACGTCGTTGTACGCGTTCAGCGAGTCGATGTCGCGTAGCTCTTCGACTCCCCAATGTTCCGGGTGGTTGTACATGCCGATCTCCTGGCCTTGGTAGAGGAACAGGGTGCCCGTGAGAGTGCACATCAGCACGGCCAGCATCTTGGCCGCCTTCTCCCGCCATTGCGGCTTGTCCGTGGCGAACCGCGACAGGCTGCGGCCTTGGTCGTGGTTCTCCAGAAACACCGTCGTCCAGGCATCCGTGCCGCGGATCAGATGCTGCACCTTTCGAATCGCCTCCTTGAACTGCGGCAGAGTGTGCCGGACAGTATGGTGCTTTTTGCCTCCACCCCCGTTCGGGGTGCCCAGCATAACTACGTCGAAGTCGAACACACAGCTCAGCTCTCTCGCCTCGGCGGAGACGTATTTCAACACCTCTGCCGCTTCTGTGAAAGGTAATTCCCCGACCATCAAGATGTCACCGTATTTGTCGAGGACCTGTTGACGTTGCTCTCTCAGCCATTCATGCATGCGTGGGCCGTTGATGTAGTGGTCCTCCGCAGGCTGGAATTCTTCTCCATGAAGCCTCGTCACCGCGTCGGGAAACAATACGTCCTTGGAGTACAAATTGCAGGCATCCACTCGAAAGCCGTCGATGCCCTTGTTGAGCCAGAACTCAATGGCGGATTTGTAGATCGCTTTGCGGGCCTCCTCATTCTCCCAGTTCAAATCCGGCTGCTCCTTCACGAACAAGTGGAGGTAATACTGGTCTCGCTCTTCGCAGTACTCCCATGCACTGCCGCCGAAGATGGATCGCCAATTGCTCGGTGGGTGTCTCTTGCCGTTGATGATTTTCGGGTCCCGCCAGACATACCAATCTGCGTACTCGTTGGTCTTGCTTTTGCGAGATTCCTGGAACCACGCGTGTTGGTCGCTCGTGTGGTTGATGACCAGGTCCAGAATCAGCTTCATCCCCCGGTCGTGGCACTCCTTGATCAACCGATCCATATCGGCGACTGTCCCATAAGGGGGATAGACATCCTCGTAGTTGGAAATGTCGTAGCCCATGTCCTTCTGCGGCGAGTCGTACATAGGTGACAGCCATATCGTCTCGACTCCGAGGTCTTTCAGGTACGGTAATGTGCTGATGATTCCCGGGATGTCGCCAATTCCGTCGCCATTGGTGTCTTTGTATGAAGCGGGCCAAATTTGATAACAGGTGCTGGCTTTCCACCAATTCGGCTTTGACGCAGACATGTCCTTGTCAACGACTTCACAAATGTAGGGCTCGATCGAACTTTCTTGAAATTATATAGTATGGGGAGAGAAAGAGAAAGAGAAAGTGGCACCGAAAGTATCAATTCAGGGCAGCGGGAGAGGAGACGGGATATAGCCTAAAACGTCCTGGATAAGCGATTGCAGTAAATACCTTTGAGCAGGGGTTTAGACCATGAAGAACAACGGACCGCCTTCTCGATGAGTTATAGAGGCCCTAAGGGGCACTCTATCTCAGGGCAAAGTTGTGAGATCACACTCACGGCGTAACCATCGAAGTTTTATTCGGAGAAATTCCAAGGGGCTTGAGGTTTTGGCGGTACGTGCTGCAACCTTGGAAGCATGTACCCGGGTTACTCGAGAACGAAAAGCCTAATGGCCGTCGAGCTTGTCATTCACCCGCCTCTGACTTTCATGACTGACTTTCATTTACCTTGCATCAAATTTTCTTCATGTCAGCCGCGACATTACGTACTCAGGATTTTGTGGCAGGGCAGGATCCTCCTCCGATTCGCCTTATCCCAGAACACACTACAACGAACGGCATTGAAAGCGGTCGAACCGAAAGCTCGATTTGCCTACAAAGCTGCTGTATTATCCAGCAGTGTGCAATCAAGAGACACGCGGCGGTCGTACAGAAGCTGCTTAGCACGGGAAACGTAGATGTCAACTGTCAAGATAGGTACGGCAGGACCGCATTGTGGTGGGCGCCACGGAACAGACACGAGGCGGTGGTTAATCTGCTCCTTGAGGCCGATAATGCGGATATCAACCACAGGGACACCAAGTACAACAGGACGCCGCTGGAATGGGCCACTGAGAACGGCCACGATGCGGTGATTAAAGCGCAGGTCGAACACGTCGAAGAGAACGCCTATTCTAAAGTCCTCGAGCACAAAAGGCCAGCTCGATCGAAGATGAAAGTATCCGACATGGATTCTGAAGAGGAGGACACAGAGTTGCACTGAGCGATCTTCAACCAAATCGACACCGATAAAAATTGGCTCGTTTCGCGAGATGAAATATTCTTTCATTTCGCTCGTGAGGCTGGCATGACATACGACGAAATCGCGAGCATGATTCGAGAAAATGGTCTGGATGGTGTCGAAAGAGTCCACTGTGAGATCTGGGCCTGGTCCTGGTCACTAGCACAACGTTGTTAATCTCTTCATCCAGGGGAACAATTCGACGACTTTTTGATGTCTTCAAGGCGTCGAGACCAGGACCAACTTTAAGATCTCTTTAATCGCTGCGACGCTGATGGCGATGGGTTTATAGCTCCAGCAGAGCTCTGCTCCGTCTCAAGAGCTAGAGGTGAAGATGTGACAGATGATGATCTGAATGCCATGATTCGAGAAGTTGATGAGGATAGTGGCGTCAAACTAAACTGTAAGGTCATTGCTCTCTTTTTTCCTGAGAATTTATTGATTTCCCGTTTTATCTGGATGACGAATTTCGGGGCTTGTGCGTAACACCCTGAAGACCCGCCATTCGACCAGACAAAGCCACACTAATGCCATGTCGCTTCTTCTCAACCGGCCGGACGGGGTCCCAAAGGAGAGTAGGGGGAAGAATAGGTTTGCGGCGGCACGACCGCAATGAGCTGCCAAGTCTCACAGAATGCTTCGAGATGGACACAGATACATCTCTGCTTCAGCCTCATTCTCAGACAGGGAAAATGAGGGCCGTTAGGGGCATGACGGACTGTCTAATTTCAGCCAAACATCAACACCCACACCAGCTCCATTGCTTTTCGACTTCTTCCCCGCAGCCAACTTGGCTTGGAGTTGAGGATGTTAGGGGCAGCCATGGCGGGGCGACGGTAGAGGGGAAAGAGGAGTAGCAACACAACCATGCGCCTGGACGGTCTGGCTGTAAGGATGAAATGCCAGAGAATAGTGTAGTTGTCTCCGCAGCCTGAGTTGGAGCTCTGAATTGCACTGCTCCTCCGTACCGCATCTACGGACCCGCTGGACTCTCAAGTTACGGACGACAGCCAGCCAGGGTCTATCGTTGTAGGAGACGACGAAGAATATGAGATCAAAGCAATCCTAAGGGATCGAACCGTACGAAGAGGAAGACTTGCTCCCTGGCAGAGCCTTCCGCATGTCCAATGAGGGTATTGAGTCGTGCCAACGCCTAGCCGTCTCCAAGGCTGTGTCTAACAAGGTCTTCGAAGCGGGCGGAGATTCATCATTGCCGCGTAAGAGAGCACCACAGAAGCAGCGGACCTAAGCAGGGCGAGTATATTAGAGAAGGTGGCCAGATTGAGATCCCGCAACATCTCAAACGGGTCCCATCGTCTAAAGTTGACGAAAGATGGTGTTGTGGATGAAGAGGAAGACCAAAAGGATCTAGCAAAACTCCGGGAGCACTTAGGGAACGATCAGGGATGGCTCAGGGATGGCCTAGGAAGCAAGAGGTGAGCCCAGGGCGAGCAAAGCGGCGAGCGTCTCATCGTAATGGGAACACCGGCGACAAGTTTTTCGTTCGATACGACCTAGTTGTCCTAGGCTGTGCAAGTACAGCCGTTTCACCAGCGCACTAGCCTAGATGAAGAGGTGGGATTGGGAGATGGTCATCCAGGGTAGGATAGAAGAGGCACGACAGGCGAAGCGAGAGATTCGCAGTGTAGTCTGTCCCTTGAGGCATGGCGTGGGGGAGATCAAGACGAATTTGTCCGAGAGTTTTGCCGTTCAAAGCCAGGCAGCTCAAACAGCTTTTCGAGACCCGAAAAGCATTCCACTTCTGATGCGATGCCCCTGTTTCAATGTCGGAATCTGTTCCTGGCTTTTGCGACCCTCGAAGGACTCTTAGCCAGAGGAACCACAGAACTGCTCCCCTCAAAGATCTGGCCTTCTAAATGGAGCTCTAGATCTATCCGTCAATGAGGTACTGTATTTTGCTCCGAGGGACCTTTCGCATCCACTCTTTATTGGTCTTCCGGCGCATAAAAACACGGCAAAAAGGAAACAACGTGGTATCCACCGCGCACCATGCGAATAGCGCGCCAAAGTTTAAGCCGATCCGACTGTGTGTATCAATTATGAGCGTGCGGCTGGCGTTGACAATGTGGTATAAGGGCCAGGCGTAGCCAAACTGGAAGAAGCCTGGCGCTAAGGGGATCGCATAAAAGGCAGTGGAGACATTGGATATGACCCAGAAGACGAGCCAGCTTGGATGAGTTGGTCAGCGCTGATGCTTGTGTAAAGGGTGACGAGGCGGCAACAGAACCCAACAGAGCAGTCCGCGGCTGGCCAATGATCATGGTTATGTTCCTCACTAGCAAAACCTAATGCATACATTTCCACCCAGTTCAACATCCAATACACCACAAGTGTCGCATGTCCGTAAGCATCTGGGTCCTTTGCAAGCGTGGCGCCTTCGTGTGGGTAATCATTAGAGAAGGGGATGAGGAAAGCCAGTGATACCAGCGAGTAAGCCAGAGATATTAGGAAATAAGTAGCTGTCGTCATGAGTGAACGCAAGAGAACCAGCTCCCAAAAATGCAGGGGTGGGTGGCCCTTTGGGACCAGGAACTTGGTGTATACCGGTAGGAAAAGGGAGAAGGAGAAGAACGCAATGATGACCAGGTAGATGAGGCCGATCGTTACGGCCGGTGTGGCCTGTGCAGGCACAAAGAGCCGAAGATCGAACGAGGAGAAAGCAATCGCCGGGTTCAATGCTTGTGGCGCACGGGAGTATGTGGCCGCGTCGAGCGAGGTGTTCGACAGGACATTCCAGATCCATTGTTCTCCAAACGTTGACACCACATTGATTTGAAATTCGAACAGCTGAGGGCCAATGTAGTCGCTGTAGGTTGTCTAGTCTCGTGCCGAGTTGAGGACTATCTGGCAGGCAGCAAGGGGAGAGTAGCTAGAATTTCCTGTCATTACAGCTTGTTGGAGAAGCGCCGTTGCGTTAGCTATTGACATTAATGGCGGCCCAGGCGTGCTCATCGTAGACGGCTTGTCTCACGGCGAGCGGGTTGCCGCTATATTTGTCCGGAGATTCGACCCTGTATCCCAGTGTATAAGCAGGGAGCACTGCTTGTTCCCGTGCAAGCTGTTCAACAAATTGTCCAACTAGGGGTGTTGTTCCTTCAAAGGGCGGAATCCGACCATCAAAGCTGACCACGGCCACGGTCAAAGTCGACAGGTTCCGCGGTACATGGAATAGAACGGCCCAGTAGAGAGAAAGGACACAAATAATGAAGCAGAAGAGTATCAGGACTGTGAGGGACCATTCCTTCGCGAGTTCCTTGCGCACAGCCTTGATTGATGGGTCGAAGAGGCAGACTGGCAAAGGAGGGGTTTCTGGTGAGTTCTTCTCTGCATCATGATTACTTCCGCCCGGCGCTTGGTTCTCGTCCTTCTCGTACGCAGAACCTTTGCCGTCATTCTTTGGCAGTTCGGCTCCCTGTGCATGTTTTTATTGCAGAGCATGGTTCGAGCTGTTTCGTTTCATGTTTCAGACTGTGCGGAGGTCCATTATCTCGAAGCCATGAACCCCAATTCGATATTTCTTAAGCATAGAGACGGGGGCGCTAGCGATTCGCATTGCAGGGAAAAGTCGTGACGTTTGTGGAGGTTCTCTGCTTGATGTCATGTTGCCAATATGTCAAAGCCACAGTATTCCACGGTAGATGCCCTGCCACTTCAGACAGACCCGGGGGGCACCGTTGGCATTTAAGTTGCGTATACCGTGCGCTCGATGCAGCTGTTCTGAGAGTTTATATGCCCAGCGAAAATGTTGGCATGAGTTTTGGTCTGTTGATAGAGAAGCCGCACCACCTTTGCCGGAACAACAATATTCCGGAACCTGCGGGGTAGTGCAAGAGACAAATTCCACTCCACTCTTTTGACTCTACATTTTAAATCCAGTCCTTCATCGTCCCTGTGTACCTCCACTAGTGTATGACTACTTGCTATCGGGCACTTCTAATCATCAGACGAGAGGCGTGGTGATCAAGCTAAGGTCTCGTCCGGTCTCTACTGCACCGAGTCCAACCGGGAATCGGATCTGAAATCCCCATGCGCCGTGCGGCTAGCTCTCACAACTTACCACTTACAATTCTAATTAGCTGTCACTAATAAAATCTACCGACTTACAGTGGAAACATGAGACCACACCAAGATCTGCAATGAAAATCTAGCCTTGACCAAGATTGAGACAAAGCGGAGTGTACGCAAAAAGTCAGCTCAACAGATAAGTTTCCCAGTATTGCTATTGATTTAGGAGTTGCAGTTTGTCATCTATTGGCTGGAGAAATTATACATAACTCCTAGCATGGGGCCCCGATTTATGCATCGACGTGTGTCCCACAAAATGACAACCGGAGAATTTCTGTCTGAGGAGGAGAAAGTTGTACAGAGCATCTGTTTATGTGAAGGGTGAATTTGAAAGAAATCTCTCCAAGCAAAGACCAAAATGTTGTTCCTGAGAGTGTCGGCAGTTCTGCTGCTGGTGAGCAACTCTTCATGGGTTCGAAGCATTGTACGAAGCCCGCACAAGAGGCAGTCCTTCGAATTTATCAATGCTACCCAATAAAACAGCACTATCGGATCCGTTGAAGTCAGCATCTCTCTTACTGTCAGCGGCAGGAACCAAACAGCGCCCCTTCTTCATGGCTGGTGAGACATGTTACTAGTTACAGATTTGTGTAGCGCTGACGAGAAAGGATGCATGAGGATATCTCTCACTCTGGGGATGGCGGCATCTGTTGCGGAGCCCTGGTCAACCGTGCCCTACAAGGCTCCGGCGCCATTACAGGATTAGCTCCTGGGATCCCTGGAAACACCGTTCTAGAGGCAGAAAATCCCATTCTCCATGGGGTCCGGTCATAACGGGTTGGAGGGGTGTAGGTGATGTCAGTCTGACCTTGGCCTTACTACATCATCTATCGGATGCGCTTCCTGTTGCTCTGGAGCTTGATATTCCCTTCAATGCAATTGGTGAAGCGGGAATCATGAATGAGGGTTTTTGGGGGTATAGATGTGCAACCAGGCACATACAATGCCTCGTTCTACATCAAAACGAACAAGGTGCCAAACAACGGCACTCTCACTCATATCGATGTCTCACCACGCTCCAACCTAACGCCCGATGTCTAGAGCACATTAACAATTCGGTTCAACCCAGGCAACAATATCTCGAGTTTTGGATATACGCAGGACGCCATACAGCTTACCAATGCCGCCGAGACCCCCAAATTCTAACAATACATTTGCCATCACGTTTGACGCCGCAGAAGTTGCGGGCAATATGTACTACTTCTCCTTGGTCAGTCTCTTCCCAGAAACCTTCAACGGCCGCGCCAACTGCATTCGGCGTGATCTGGGTCAGACAATTGTGGATCTAGGAACAAAGATTCTGCGCTTCCCTGGAGGCAATAATCTCCAAGGCCTGAGTGTTGACCAGCGTTGGAAATGGAACGAAACAATTGGACCCTTGAAAGTTCGCAAAGGCCGTATTAGAAACTGGGGATATATGAACACTGATGGTCTGGGGCTGTTGGAGTACCTGCAATTCTGCGAGGATGGCGGTATTGAGCCTGTCCTTGCCGTGTACGCCGGCTTTTCTCTGGATATATGGGGCCGAGACGGCGTCTCCTTTCCGGAGGACCGTATGGGGACGTGCTCGAGGACATCCTCAACGAACTCGAATACGTCACTGGAGACAGGGATACACCATATGGCGCTCTACGTGCTTCCCATGGCCGCGCTGAACCTTCAAAGTCAACTATATCGAGATCGGAAATGAAGATTGGTTCAGTTTAATCTATCCCTATCGATGGGACTATCTCTAGAGCAGCATCAAAGCTGTCTATCTCGATCTCACATTTGATTTCCACCGCCTTTAATGAGAATCCCGACTACAATATCACGCTGCCTCCAAGGCTCGATGTGGGACACACACCATTAGGAAGAAGCATCCTTTTTCGTCGAGGGCTTCAACTCCTATGACAACTGGCAAGAGTGCACAGACAATCAGAACGTCAGCGTATTCGTCGGCGAGTACTCGATGTATCAGATTGACACCGCATCTGGACATGTCAACTACTCCTGGGCCCCAGACATACACATCTTCTACCCAACACTTGCGGCTGCGATTGCAGAGGGCCTGTATCTGCTCAGTGCGGAACGCAACCCAAATTTTGTGAAGATGAGTGCCTATGCCCCCAGCTTTGCAAATCTTAATTACGAAGAGTGGACTCCAAATCTGGTAGCTTTACGGGCTGACTACGACATGACGATTCTCAGCACGAGTCACTACATGCAACAACTGTTCGTACATCACCGGGGGGGCAGAGACGTTACCAACCGCAGCAGTGATGGGAAGTTTCAATCCGCTTTCGTGGGCTGCAACAGCGGGGGAAGGAGAGGGCACGGTCTACTTCAAAGTGATCAGTTCCGGGAACAGCTCTGTGCTGTTGACGCTCGATTTTGACACGGCTTGGTCAGCAATAAATGGAACAATCATTGTAAGTGAATCTCGAGTCTGTTTCTACCCATATCACTTCTTAGCTTGCTCGACCTTAGTTGATTCCGCTGCTTTGTCCCATAGTCGTATATAGGGCTGTCATGCATTTTTAACTGACAAACATGATCTCTCAAGACTTCGTCCAAACTCAGCGACTTTAACTACATTGGCAACGCAACATCTGTTTCGCCGATTCCTCTTATGGATCTTCCAGCTGGCACTTGGAATCAAACGGTGTTCAATTGGGCTGTTCCCTCATGGTCGATCAACGTTCCGCAATTCTCCATGTAAATTTTCTTGTTTGGTGAAGACTATTCTCAAGCCGTGCTTTTGAAATGATGCCAACATCGTCGAGCGGATATAAGTCAGGATGGGAGGTGACGAAAGATTATCTCTTATGCAAGTCGTGGAGAATACAGCATTGAAGATACAGGTGTCATGTCTAACGCAGTCCTTATTGTTAACTATTCCTGTTGTGTAACACAACCGAGAGACAGACTTCAAAGGAACTAGAATTTCCCTTTGCATCCGCAGAGCATGCAAGAAGATGGGGAATGGGGTCAAGACGGACTAGCCCTGGCCGCTATTCACCACGGCGATTGATGTCGACGTATAGACGAGGCAATCACACGGTGGCTGAGGCCACCAAGGCTGTGAGTCTCTAACCTATCTAGCTGTTACAGATTGGGCCTAAAAGGGCAAAGTGAAGAAAGGCAACCAGTGAACGCCTTTATCTGCAATGTTGCTCGTGCTGACCGGTTGCTGCCTGTGTGCTCGACATATATAAATCTTGGGACTTCAAACTTATTTTCTTCCTGTATTTCGCTCTTTCTTCACCTGTCACAGAATATGCTTGACCAATTCCCAGCGGAGATCTTGGCACAGGTGCTCTCCGTCCTGGAGCGGACGGACCTGCAGGCTATTCGCCTAGTAAGCAGGGCCTTGTCGAACAATGTTACCCCTGTCTTGTTTCGAACAGTCTATGCTTCATGCCTCACCCTGGATCGGCTTCAGAACATCTGCCGTCACCCCACACTCCGCCACGCTGTCGAAGAGCTTCAGTATCAGGAGATGAATTTTGACCTCATCATCGATAATCGACGCTCCTGGGACAACCAAGATCCGCCCTTCTTCAGACATAGGAGAACGGAGTACTTGGCCGAGACGATTGCCCAGTCGATTGCTGGCGTAGACCCCGAGCTACCAATCTTCGCGGAAAGAATACTAGCGACGGGTCGACTAGGTGACAGAGCGATGCTTGACTCGGAGCAGCGGCCTAGCCAAAACGAGATTCTAGCTATGCTCGATGCCATCAGGGATTTGTATGCTGAAAAAGCTAGCTTACAAAACCCTCAGCGCCTCTATGAATTCTTCCGCGAAGCATTACCGCCCCTCCAAAATCTTCATCGTGTTGTCTGCGTCGAAGCCGAAGCCGGTTGCAGGGCATTAGATTCTCCGCGACTGGAAAGCACAGGTGCTCTTCAGCAACTAAGGAAGATTTTTCCTATGCCAGATTATGCCCTCAGGTTGTGCCTCCAACCAGACACGCACGACTGGCCGTCACATGGATTCATGGGCATCTGGCGTGCTCTGAGCGACCTTGATTCAAGCTCGGATATACGACATCTTGAGATAAAGCGAGACGGAAATCTCTTTTTGAAGCGCGGCATATATATCCGGTCGCTGGGTCCCCAAGATGATGATGTGCTTGTTTACGGGTTTCGAAACCTGACCGTACTGAGTCTCTGCCTCGAAGTGGATGTGGGCGTATTGTCAGGAGCAATCCCTCAAGCAACCATACTGGCTGGAGCGTTGGCCAGAGCATCGAAACTGAGGCGACTTGAGATCTGCTTAACGTCATCCGGGGTCAGGATCGCTCCTCCGAACGGGTCGGCAGCAAATTACAGTCACTTCGGCATTCCTTTCGGTGACCTGGATATTGCACAAGAAAACATATTGCCTTTTGTCACCTTTCCGGACCTTCACACGGTTGTTTTTGAGGAAATCGATTTTACGATCGAACAGATATGTTCTTGGGTATCCATGCAACCGAGGCTGAGGCACCTTACTCTGAGAAGACCCTATCTGCGAGGAAGGTGGCAGGATCTGGTGCAAAAGTGGTGGGAAACTCCAGAATTTCGGCTTGATTCCTTCGAGTTAAACAGCCCTTGGGATTATGATAACAAAGACCTTGAAGAGAATCCACTGCAACTAGGCACAGAACAACAAGTGCCATCTCGTGTTCCAAGTGATGCTATTCTTGACTTTATCAACAATGGTGGAATCAACCCCTTTGAAGCCCGGAGCTGGAGGAAGCCATGGCACATCTCAGAGGAGAGACAGAATTATGTTGAGGACGACAGCCTCTCGAACTATTCAGATCTCTCTGAATGGTTTCCAGCAGATCATCCTACGCCTGTTGAAGACCTAGATGGGCCTGAGTTTGACGAAGACTATGATTTCGACGCCGAAGAAGACAGCGACTTGGAGATGGAGGAGTTGGGCCCAGTAGAGTTCTTGTAGAATCTTGACTGGGCTTGTATAGATGTACAGTTTTGACATAGATAGCGCTGGTGAGCGGCAGCTTTTGACGAAAAGAACTAAGTGACTGTGCTCCAAAACTTCAGCCTTGTTTGGTTTGATTAGTGCGGCCTTGTCTGGTTCAACCTCGGCTGTTACGGGACAGCGTCTAAACCTGGGCAAGCCTGGGTGTGATCAAGTCTGATCCATCCTCATTCGCAGTCTTCGCACGTCGTTCTCAATGTTTTCGTGTAAATAAACTCCTGCAGGCCATGGACAGGTCGCTCGCGACCTTATTGAGGTCTCTACGGACATCAGAGCATCCAGACGATGCCGCCCGGTAGGTGAGAGCGCGTCTTGATCAGCCGGTCTTGCTAAGTGATTTCAGATTGCTGCCAACAGCCACTAGCCTCCTCTCGCGCCTTTCGAATCCTCTCAATATAACGTTGTTGACATCACAGCTCCTGTCGAACGATGTGCTCTATCTGGTGCCAACAGAAGTCGCCCGATGTCGGCAGATATTCAGCGTTTTTTACACAGCAGTGCTGCGCTTGATTGAAGATAAACATAGCCCAGCGCGGGAACATACGAGGAGCCAACTCACAGTCACGGAATGGACGATGGCTGTTGTGCACGGGGCAAACGACAAGTCCCCTCGGTGGAGGCATACGTTATTGCTTGGGGCACTGCTCCTGGCTTTCCAGTCGAAGGACTTTGAAGGACTAGCTTCAGGCCTCAGGAACAAACTCGAGGGAGCGCTGGTGGTCGCGTCAAACCTGGCTCTCCAGCAGAAAGACGCTGAGCCTAATTGCGAACTAGCTGTTGTCTTCGTCTTGAACCATACCTTCCCAATCCTCTCCGATGCCCACCGGGAACAAGTCAGTTACGATCTGCTGCTGCCGATATTGGTCGATGCGACATTCTTCTCTCGGGAGGGTCTTGAGCACGGGTATTGGCTCGGGGTCATCGACTACGACGTCCGGCCCTCTCCCGAGCAAAAGTTCAACTGGACGTCGAATTCCACGTCTTTCCGCAAAGTCACTGAGATCAAATCAAGAAACCTGGTATCTGCACTTGGCGCTTTGTCGCGCTTGATCGCTCACAGCATTGAGAACGTCCATGACAGATCCCTGATCATCTACAGCATAAACAGAGTAGCTGAGTTTTCACGGACTCTTGCCACCTCGTGGAGACAGAACAAGTTGTCCGAAGTCGACACTAGGGAAGAAGCTCAATGTTTGGACCAGGAAACTATCAACAAGACCTTCCCTGTTCTCCTACAGGTTCTTAGAGACACCATGTTCTCCGTGGTCATCAGTCTCCGATCTGTGCTAGGAAGGCTCCTCTGCGACAGGGTCTTGGCCTCTGATTCGAATTGCCCAGGCATAGCCATGCAATGCCTGCACATTTTGCGTGATACATACTTCATAGCACATCGATTTGGCCTCACCTCATCCTCTCAGTACGTATTCGTCAACTTCACAGCCATCGATATTCTGAGTCAATACACGTTGCAAGCAGAGAATTTCATGGAATCAATCCGACCAGCTGATCTTGGTCGGATTTCTCCTCATCCCCTCGACAGACTCCAGGATCTCTTCTTCCTCAACACTGCCGAACATTTCACCTTGACACTCTCTCCACAAACCAACCGAGAACTTCTCTTTAATGCCGCAGCACCGTATGTTGATCCACAAGGAGATCCGCGTTTGGGAGAGATCTATGAAGCTGCTCACAGTGTTATGCTGGCCATCCTTGCTGCTCCCCAGAATGCAGAGCTTGCGATGACAATGGTTCCATTTTACGTCGAGACACTGCTCCAAAGCTTTCCAAAGCCACTGACGCCGCGTCAGTTCCGATTAGCGATTAAATCTGTTGTTCGTCTTGCAGCGCCACCGTCCGCCATTGCGGTCTCTATGCCCCTTACGCAGGCCGTTGTTCTCGATCTGCTCAGAGAACGGATGGACCACGCGTCAGAGGATTTAGTTCCTCCCAACCCAGATCTTCCCATAGAGAACAGTCAACCTCTGTCTGAAAAGGCTGTCTTTCTTCTTGCAATTATTGATTGTTTGAGTTTCCTGCCAATTCCATTATTGGAGGATTGGCTTCCTTTAACTGCAGAACTCTTGCACAAGGTTGGAAATCCAAGTCAAAGAAAACAATGTCAACAACGACTTTGGGACACGCTGAGCAATGGCGAGATGGATGTTGAGCGTGCGGCAACTTGCGTTGCTTGGTGGACTTCTAGAGGAGGTCGTGAGCACGTCTTGTTCGGAGAACAGCCGGAAGACCAAGATTACACCATGAGTGGTGCGTTGAAGTTCGACAATAAGCTCTGAGACATCGGCATTGGATCTATCAACCTTTCTTACCACAATGGCAGTTGTTTGTCAATGTCTCTAGCCCCCAAAGTGCTTGCGCTCCCCATTGAACAAAGCACCCCAGCTTGACATCTGAGAAGGTTTGCTCCTGGTGAGTGCAGTTCACAAAGCCCGGCTCTAGTGCGGCATTAAACCTGGCCATAAATATGCTTCCTCATACTCAGACTCCATCAACCATCCGTCTCAACATCTTCTCAGGTCTCTTGTGCAGTGCTATCCACGAACTGGTTGAGATTCTTCTCACAATGGTTTCAATCAGGCGCACCAAGAACTTTGCGAATGACCCTCAGACCCCAGTTTTCCTTTACACAATTCTCAAGCAATTGGACCTCAGATCAATCAACTGGAATCAAGTCGCAGACAGTCTCGGCATATCCAATGGTCACGCAGCCCGAATGAGGTACAGCCGAATGAGATCGCAGTTTGAAGATGTAGTCAACAGCCAGCCCAAACCAGCAAAGCCGAGGAAAGAAAACACCAACACGGGCGAAAACAAGTCTTGCAAGAGCAAACCAAGGAACAAGCGCCTTCTTGAGGAAGAAGAGAATGAGCGACTGGCCAACCAACGAGCCGCTTGTCAATATGTCATGCACCCAGATCATGACCCCAAAAGAATCAAGGTCGAGCCACAGTCATACATGCATCTATGGTATCCCACGTACCCTACAGAACCGGCGCAAATGTACCTAGGCTCATTCTGGGATCAGCCAACCATCTCACTCAAACCAGTGCCAAGAGCATCGTTTGCAAATGCTGGACTGCTTGCGCAGAAAGTCACGCCTACACCTGCTATCAAGACAGAGCCCCATACGACTTCAACAGCTTGCAACGATGTAAGGACGCCAATTCCGATCATCAAGCAGGAGCCCCAGGAACCTGTATGCGAATGCGAGGGAGCTGATGTCGGTGCCACAATCGTGAAGAAGGAACCAGAGACACCAGCGGAAGACCAGGCATTGCGGAATGCTGTAGGTCGCGACAGTGTTTCACTCAGCTATCCCTTGTCTCGGACCATAAATACCTTCTTCGGGCCCCAGCAAACTCCATCGGCTCCATCACAGGCGCCGTCGCTCCCTGCCAATATGGCTCCATATGCCACCACACAGGCATTCTCGCGTGGCTCCTATCTGCCATTAGGTGGCCACAATCAGAGCCAGAATGTGTTGCCATGGTTGGCAGTTGGTCCAGACCAAAACTCACTTACGTTGTCGACAGATGATACCTCCGACAAGATGATCCTGAACCCATATGCCAACTCATACCAAGACATGCTGAACATGCCGTTATACAGACTAGATCCCGAGACATGCGCTTTGCAGACGCCAAACGCAAAGAATCGGCATATTTCAATGCAGTCCGGCGTGACTGAGGAACGAAGCGTCGAGCAGGAGCAGCAGAATCAGAGCGGTCGTCTACCATCTGTTACCTGGACATTAACAACACCGCTACCGCTACCAGCGAACCCGACCACGAAGAACACCAATGGAGGAGGTAACACTAGAACGACTGTCGTCCCGTCGGGATCCTCCATCGCGTCCAGCGAATTAGGTCTGCAGAAAGGCACCAGTGGCCAGCCACCAGCTATTTCAACTATCATCGAAGTGGACTCAGATGTTGCAGGCGAAGCGGAGACTTGTTCGACGATAGCGGTTGATGGCGTGACAGGATCCAAGATCAAGAAGGAGCCGGTGGGGTTGTAAGAGTTGGTAGGACTTTGCAGAACGGGATCTTTCTGAGTAGCATCACTCATATGCAGGGCTCTTGAGGAGGGTTTCCAGTATCTGAATGCAATTAAGTTTTTGATGGAATTCTGTTTACCGGGGAGACAAATGGATAGAGATGGGTCTCGGAATACATGTCACTTTCAGATATATCCTTCCTTGATAAATGACCAACCATCTATGGAGATTTCGCGCCGTCTGCCGTCTTCTCTGTGATTGTAACGTGTCTGCGGCTGTGCCAATGATGGGCAGGTAGGTGAGCTCGCCAGCCTGAGGCCAATTGCGGGGAAACTTTTGAGATCTTGGACGTTTCCGCTTCTCCTCCGCCTCATTCATTCCTCTCTGAGCTCTCCTGGAACTTTCTTTCCCGTGCGAAAGAGTCCATCATGTGAACACAACTCCATGTAATCCTGTCTCGATAAAAACTGCCCAGATCGCTCAAAGATGTGCTCGTCACTCACATCCCTCTCCCGCTTTGGCCGGGGCTTTGGCCGGAGCTCGTCCTCTTCCGCCAAAGCGATCGCCATCCCTCCCGTCGAGGTCCATGACGTGGAAACCTCGGTGGACAAACGAGCGCGGACTGTCAAGCACCTGCTGAGACTGAACCATGCGAACTATTCTATTCTGTTCAATCATTTGAGGTTTCACAACCACACGCCTCATGTAAGGAGCTTTCTTTCCCCCTGGAATTCCCGCATTTGATGTCCCACGTTTTTTTCTTTCGCCAGTTTCCAGATTACTTGACGTTTCCACCGTGAGAAGGGAATAACTCACTTTATTCATCATAATAGATCCTCGGTTCTGCGTATCTCTTCTCGGCGTCCGCGGACCAATTATTCGCCATCTACGACGACGCCGCTGCACACGAAGGCCATGAACCCTGGGTTGATTCGCCCTCGGAGATCGCCCTGCACGACTACCGCGACTATCTGGGCAAGCGTGAATACCAGCGCGCGTTCGTCGACTTCTTTGAGGACCAGCTCGTGCTAGCTGGGTACGACTGGAAATGCGTGGTTGAGAAGTTTCTGTTCGAGAGGGGAAACCCAAAAAAGGACGAGCCAAACGTGGAGCCGATCTTCAACTGCTTGACCGCTGGACTGGGCCATCCGTTGATCCATCTCGGGTATGCGTATGAGCTGAATAGCAGGGAAGTGGCGATGGAGGCGCTGGGGCTTGCGGCGACCTGCTACGACGTGACACTCGCAAAGCTGCTCGAGACGGCGACACCGGCGTCGCATTCGGCGAATCCGCTGACGTACTCGACGAATAACCTGTTCGAGGTCTTTGCCAGGGTCCATGGCGACAGCCGTCTCGACGGCGTGTTCAAGCACCCTGGCGGGGACAATCTCTCACACCTGCTGAGCGACGAGGCGCTGACCTCGATCCTGCTCGAACACTTTCACGCGTGGCGGATCATGGACCCGACGAAGGACTTCGCACAGTCCCAGGCGCTCGCGACAGCTCTACTGATCGCCAGCGCGCCCAGCGTCGGCTGGACACACGGGTGGGACTTCTTCCTCGTGCACGTCCTGACGACATCGCACGCCGTGCGGATCCTGATCCCCTTGCTCGACGCCAGCCACCACGTGCCCCTGGTGCGCGAATGGCTCCTCATCGCCCTGGCAATCTACATCGCCCAACTTCGACCCTTGATCAAGATCGACTACGTCACCGACGTCGACCTGCACGGCCGCGACTGGGACACCTACATAACCCGCGAGGCCGTAGAGGGCAAGTGGAAGTTCAGCGCGCACTTCGTCAAGGCGTGCCGCGCGATGCGCGAGGCCGAACGAGTCTGGGGCGGCGGTTACGCTGGTGACGACAAGTACTACCTCAAGGCCGCCGTCAAGTTTGCCAGCGAGTTCAATGACTGGGGCGGGTTTGGGGTCGAGGAGGGCGACGGAGAGGCGAGGGACGCGGGCGGGGAGAGCGTCGGGGGGAAGGCTTGATCTTTCTCTTTCTCTCCTTTTCTGTTTGGGGAACTTCGAGGAACTTCGCTATGTAATACATAACTAGCATGGACGGTATCGGCCGTGCGATGCGATGGCGTGGGATAAAATGAAATAGCATAAAAAAGGGGGAAATTATCACACCTTTCAATCTGACGAGATCACAAAACAAACGACAGAAACAAACGAAGCCTTCGGCTCGACTGGTTCTAGGTATTACCATATACATTAATTGGTACGATCTATTGGAATGCCCTGGAATACGTATCTAGGTACTTGTCCCAATAGGGAGCGAGAGCCTCACGGAGCGGATTTCGCTCTCGATCGGCTTTCGTGTCCGGCTTGATCGGCGGACGTCCTCCGTCGCCAAGATATATGGGTACATAAGGTACATAACGGATGACTCCTTTTCCTCTATACCAAGGCTGAGCTTTCGTTTTCGCCTTGTTCCCTTCCCTCTGCTACCTGGCTCTTTCACCTGCAGTTCTTCAAAGCCAAGTAAGTGACCGGCAATTTGCTTCATCTGCTCCTACCCCATATTTGGAACAAACCGCCAACCCGGCTCATGGACGCTGTGACGGCAAACGAGTCCGCAACCAAACGCTGCGTGACTGGGGACAATGCTCGACATTTCGTCGCCGACGTCCTCCAGGGCAACGGTGTGTCCGAGGAGAATGCCAAGATCATAGCCGACTGTCTGATCCAGGCTGACCTGCGGGGGGTCGACACTCACGGCATGAATCGCATCCCGTCGTATATGGAACGCATTCGGCAGGGAGTGCTTGATCCCACTGCCCAGCCCGTGTTCAACCGGGTCACCCCCGTGGTCGGACAAGTTGATGGTCGCAATACGTTTGGATTCCTGTGTGCGCATCTGGGCATGAAGCATGCGATAGAGATCGCTCGCACGTATGGGATTGGAATGGTCAGTGTCAAGCATTCCAACCACTTCGGTATGTCTGCTTGGATCGTGCAGCAAGCCATCGACGCCGGGATGATGAGTCTGGTGTTTACAAACTCGAGCCCGGCGTTGCCAGTGTGGGGAGGCAAGGAGAAACTCATGGGCGTGAGCCCCATTGCATGTGGTGCGCCTGCAGGCAAGGCGCCACCGTTTATCCTTGATATGGCGCCCAGTGTTGCGGCCAGGGGGAAGATCTACAAAGCGAAACGGCGCGGAGAAAAAATCCCACTCGATTGGGCCTTGGATAAGGATGGGAAGCAGACAGATGACCCGGAGGCGGCATTGGAAGGTGTTATGCTCCCCATGGGCGGTCCCAAGGGCTCCGGTCTCTCGATCATGATGGATGTCTTCTCCGGGGCGCTGTCTGGCAGTGCGTTTGCTGGCCATGTGAGCAATCCGTACGACCCCAGCAAGCCTGCGGATACTGGACATTTTCTTATCGCCATCAAACCTGATCTGTTCATGGGTTTGGACGAGTTCAAGGACCGCATGGACTATCTGTACCAGCGGGTTGTGGGGTGTGAGAAGATGGCGGGTGTAGAGAGGATTTTCTTCCCAGGGGAAATCGAGCAGGTCATGGCTGCCGAGCGGATGAAGTCGGGGATTCCCTTGGTGGGAGCAGAGATTGAAGCATTGAATGCAGAGGCTGTAAGAGTAGGCAAACCGCAGCTCGTGCTTATGGAGAGTCAGCCTAGTGCGTAGGATCCTGTCTTGCTGGGTATGGGTTTTGGTGGCGCCGGTCAGATGGGATTCCCAGGGGCTGACAAAACAATTGCATCTTGTTGTGGATGGGAATTTGGGGGCTCCGTCTTTTCCCTCGGGCTTCGACTCGGTGACGACTGTGTGACCCGAGCGCCCGTCCCTCGCTCGCTCTTCGGTAATCGAGGTACAGTAGGCGAACAAGCCACTTTCATCATCTCGCATGTGGCACAGGGGCGAAGGGGCTCCAGAGGGGGTCATTGATCCCGATTTCTGCTTGAACCAAGTCAGTCATCTCAAGCGTCAACTCGCTCATCTGGTGCCTCTGAAAAGCTTAGCAGGAAGATCTCTCGGTAAGACCTAGACAGTTTCTCCCCAATTAAAGAGCCAGACCAAGGCCAGACAGACATAAGATTTGGACCAGAGAAGTCGTGGAGGCGGTAAAAAGGCATGTAGGTTCGCCGGTGTGACGGGAGGTGGTAAACAAGGGCTACATGTGGAGCAGGCGGCCGGTCAGGAAATGAATTGCGCCCAGTAGCGAGACAGACATTGCACGCAGGGGAGAGAAAAAGCATGGATGGCATGGACAGATCTTCCCTGGAATCGGGGTTGGTGTCGTGGTGTTGGTGTTTCGCACAGGCAGCCTCCCACAGCTGCGGGCTCGGATATCTTCCCACCTTGCTTCCCACTCACCAACTGCGACCATCGCTACAGTACCATCGCTTGCAACACTCCCATCTTTCACCTGCGCCACACACACACACACACGAAGCACGAACCTGAATCTCGTGTATTCATATCACGCTCGCCATTCTCACCTACTTTCCGCGTCGATGCTGTATCTGCAGATCTTCCTTCGATTCCACCCTCCAACTGTGCCTCCGAGACACACGGTTACGACACGATAACCTCCCTCAGTCGCCACATTTCAAGCCGTGTCTCCTTGCCCCAGGTCTCCTACGACAACACTTACTGCTTCATCGCGTCTTCCCTGTCCTGCTCGCGCCCCGGCCATCTTCCTTCTTGTATTTCTACCCACGCTTTGTCGACCTGTCGCGCATCGATTCATACCAATACCCCAACCTCTCCGGCATCCGTTGCCCCTCTGCTCACATCTGAAAGCACATATTCGATCGAATTCGCCTCTCATCTGCTTTAACCTTCTTCACACTCGACTGCGGATTGACTTACGTCGGCCTATTGTCTACATCACTCTCATCGTTATCAGAGCCATCGGTGTATCGGTTGAGCGGAAAATCTGCTGAGGCTTGGGGAACACGTCTAATATATCCGACTTGTGTCGCGATTTGATGAATAGGGAGACTCCAGGCAGCGGAAGTTGGTGAAACTCACCAATATGCGAGTGGTTTAAACGTCTTGACCCATGTCCTGGCCGGCACACGTCGCTTGTGACTACCAACACAGGTGTCTAGACTCTAGGTGGCTTTTCCCCTCTTATCCGCCCACGAATCTGCCTGTGGCCACAAACCAACTTGCACAAAAATGTCGGACCCGGCGTCATCTGAATTCACCGATCCCTTCAAGGATGCAAACCTTTCAGCACCCCCCACGCAACCAAAGGTCTCTGGTTTAGCTGCCCCAGACCGGCGTCAGCAGCAAACTCCTCCAACATGGATCCCTATTGCACCCATTCAATCACATGTCAGCATGTTCACTGGGCGATCTGATACCGAACCATTGATATCGCCTTCGCTGTCAACAAATTCGGACGAAGGCAAGTCGACATTGAGTCCAGGGTCTATTAACCGTGTCTTTCCTGTCCGTTCAACCGTTTCCATCGATCCTGTCGCTACTCCAATGCCTCGTATGGATTCGACCAGTGGATTTCCGGAGATGAGACCTCCTGCCTGCCGAAGAGCTTCAAGTCGCCCTGTTTCTGGTCCTATATCCACCTCCATAAGCAACAGGCCGACGTCCGAAGTGTCCGAAGTTGGCCCGGTTTCCTACGCTGCTGTCAGTGTTGATCACCAGCTTCTAAACAGTATCGTCGCAGATGACGTCTCTTACAAATCGGATGTCTCGAGCACATCTGGTGGGGTGTCACTCTTTGCGGCACCAGAAGCGGGTTTGGTCACGGCACGGTTCAAGCATGTCGTAACCGAAGGGGGCCATGCTGTAATCACAGGAAGAGAAGGGGAGACATTACAAAGATGCGAAGATGAACCAATCCATATCCCTGGCGCCGTGCAGAGCTTTGGGCTTCTTGTCGCTTTCCAGGAAGAAAACGAAAAGCTAGTCGTGCGGGTCGTAAGTGAGAATTCGGTCAAAATCATCGGCTATACACCTCAACAGCTCTTTAAACTAGAGTCATTTCTTGACATATTCGGCGAGGAGCAAGCGGACAACCTGCTAGACCATCTGGACTTCATTCGAGAGGAGGGTGGAGGGGACGTGGTGGCGAATGGGCCGGACGTTTTTCTGTTGTCTATCAAGCCTCCGCAGGCTCGAACGCGGAAGTTGTGGTGTGCTATGCACCTGTCTGAGGCAGATCCAAGCTTAGTGATCTGTGAATTCGAGATCGAAGACGACGCAATAAACCCGTTGATTTCCCCAGACGACATGACTCCCCCGGTACCCGAAAACACTCTTGGAGGTAATCCTACCACTGAAGAACTCCTAGACAGCACTGTCAACGTCAGCAAACCGTTACGTGTGTTGAGGAGTGCTCGTAAGAAGAGGACCGAGCAAGCGGCAATGGAGGTATTCAACATAATGTCACAGGTACAAGAGCAACTTGCCAGCGCGCCGACCTTACAGACCTTCCTCAAAGTCCTCATTGGAATTGTCAAAGAGCTGACTGGCTTTCATCGTGTCATGATATACCAGTTTGACAACTCCTGGAATGGAAGAGTCGTTGCAGAACTGGTTGACCCGAGGTCGACCCGAGATCTTTATAAAGGTCTGAATTTTCCCGCATCCGACATACCCAAGCAGGCACGAGAGCTCTACAAGATCAACAAAGTCCGTTTGCTCTATGACCGTGATCAGGAGACAGCCCGGCTAGTATGCAGGACGATGGAAGACCTGGAGAAGCCTCTCGACATGACACATGCCAATCTTCGCGCGATGTCTCCGATTCACCTGAAATATCTCGCTAATATGGGCGTACGGTCGTCCATGTCGATTTCGATCAACGCTTTCAACGAACTGTGGGGATTGATCTCTTGCCATTCATATGGACCAAGGGGTATGAGAGTGTCGTTTCCGATCCGCAAAATGTGCCGGTTAGTCGGGGACACCGCTTCTCGCAATGTGGAGCGTCTTTCCTACGCCTCGCGATTGCAAGCTCGCAAACTTATCAACACCTCCTCTACTGCCACAAACCCATCTGGATATATCGTGGCCTCGTCCGACGACTTATTGAAACTGTTCGACGCCGATGTTGGTGCACTTTCTATCAGAGATGAGACGAAGATCTTGGGCAACCCCAGAGGCCATCTTCAAGAGGTCCTCGCGATGGTCGAATACCTCCGAATGAGAGGGATGAGCGCAGTTTTCTGTTCCCAGGACATCACTCATGATTTTCCTGATCTGCGATACGAACCAGGCTGGAAGTTCTTGGCCGGTGTCCTTTTCGTCCCTCTGTCGACTGGCGGAAACGACTTTATTGCGTTCTTCCGTAAAGGAGTGCTACAAGAAGTGAAATGGGCCGGCAATCCCTACGAAAAGTTCATCAGAGAAGGAACTGAAGGCTACCTTGAACCTAGAAGAAGCTTCAAAGCATGGAGCGAGACCATCGTAGGTCGGTGTCGAGACTGGACGGACGAAGAGATAGAGACAGCGTCGGTGCTCTGTCTTGTCTATGGCAAATTCATCGAAGTTTGGCGTCAGAAAGAGGCAGCCCTCCGAAACAGCCAACTTACTCGTCTTTTGCTGGCAAACTCTGCGCATGAGGTTCGCACTCCGTTGAACGCAATCATAAACTACCTCGAAATCGCGCTCGAGGGCCAGCTGGACCAGGATACCCGAGAGAACTTAGCTAGGTCCCATTCCGCCTCGAAGTCATTGGTTTATGTCATCAACGATCTCTTGGACCTTACCAAAACAGAAGATGGACAGACTTTGGTCAAAGATGAGCCTTTCAACCTCCAGCAGATGTTGAAGGACGCCACCGATCCCTTTATTGGCGATGCAAAGCGGAAAAATCTGAAATTCGAGATCAGGATACAGCCGGAGCTACCACAACAGGTGATGGGCGATTATCGACGAGTGCGACAAGTGGTATCCAACCTCGTAGCAAACGCAATACAACACACAAAAACAGGAGAAGTCGTCGTCGAAGCCTATCCTTCACCCACTGCACAAGCGCAGGGCAAGACCGAGATCGAAGTTGTCGTCGAGGATTCCGGAGTAGGGATGTCTCAAGCCAAAGTCGATGCGTTGTTCAAAGAACTTGAGGAAGTCTCCTACGAAGAGGATTTGCAGGACGATAACCTGATCACCAGCGATCGAATCACCGAGAAGGCGCAGTCCGAAAATATGGCTCTTGGCTTAGGTCTGGCCGTTGTGGCACGTACTATTCGGAACATGAATGGGCAGTTGCGAATAAAGACGGAAGAGGGAAAAGGATCCCGTTTTGTCATTGTTCTAAGTTTTGATACCTGTGGCTCCACGCCTACCCAGATCGGGCATCCTCCTCAACCATCAGACCCTATTGCTCGACCTCCCACGGCTCCTGGGCAGCGTGTGGGTGAAGTCACCTTGATCCACAAGAATCTGCAAAAAGGTTTCGAGCCGCCTCCCATGCTTCGCAGAGAAAGTGCGGGAAGTATGAACAGCATGACAAGTTTGAAGAGTGGCAAGAGTGCTCTCAGCCTCAAAAGCGATGCAAGCCAAAGGAGTGATGCGGACAGACTCATTGACGCTATTCAACAACCTTTGCAACTGTCCGAGCGAAAAAATACAAGTCCTAGTCCTGCCGCCAAGGGCTCCCGTCGAATCTCTCTCAATTTATCAGATCCACCATCGAAATCCCCAAAATCTAGAAGCCTCCCTTCTCCGCGGGAACTGAAGTCTTCGTGCCATCGGACAGGAGGGTCAGAGAAGATCAAAGACTCTGGGACCCCACTGCGACCTGTCCGAGTACCTGAAAGCCAGCCTGAACAGCCTAGTGGATCAATATCAGGCCCAAAAATCCTTTTCGAAGAGCCGGAGTCTGTTGCGGCTAGGTCTGATACAACAGAAACCCCCAAACCCACGTCATCCGAAAACTTTTCGGTGCTAGTTGCAGAGGACGACCCCATCAACAGTAAAATAATGAGAAAACGTCTCGAAAAGCTTGGGCATGAGGTCTATACGACAGTGAATGGTGAGGAGTGCTCTTCGGCCCACGGTGAACAACCTGCTTTGTTCGACGCCGTTCTGATGGACCTTCAAATGCCCATTGTGGATGGATTCAGCTCAACGAAGATGATTCGATCCTTTGAGAAAACGCATGGCAAGTCATGCCTTTCTAGCAGAGCCAGGCACAACGGACGAATTCCCATTTTCGCCGTCTCTGCTTCGCTTGTCGAGAAGGAGCACGACAAATACATGCAAACAGGCTTTGATGGGTGGGTATTGAAACCGGTTGATTTTAAACGGGTGGATTTGCTACTAAAAGGTATCGTGGATCAGAAAGCCCGGAATGAATGTGTGTATGAGCCGGGAAAATGGGAAAGGGGAGGATGGTTCTCTCCCCAGGATGAACAGCATGATTCGTTCGATGTCGACACCAGGCCGAGTCAAGAGAAGCCTTTCATGCAACCAGGTCCACCACAGACTCATCAAAAAGAGACATTGGACACCAGACCGGCCGAGCAATCACCGCCTTCAGAAGCAGCTGTTGTCACAAGAGGTGAAAGGATGGCATAATGAATGTGGCGGAGCGAGTGGCATCCAACACTCTGGGGGGTCCATAAAACGAGTGCCTCCTACCTCATCCTCTATTCTATACAATCCATGTGTATAATATGTGTTATGAATTCCTGCGATGAGCGTTCTTTAAAGCGAGGATTACTCGTGTCGATCATCGCTTCGGGAAACAGAAATTTTCGTGTTTGCGAGCTAGAGCTAGAACGAGTTTCCGATTGTTACCAGGATCAAGTCCTCCATACTGTACCAGGATAATTGCGTCACTTGTGCCATGGTTCCAAGGGGCCAAGGCAAGAGCGAATGAATGCGGAGGCCACCGCCCGGCGCCGGTCGATACAGTCAATAGCCTCCCCCTTCACCTGGCTCCGAGGGGAACAAAAAAAAAACTTTAACCAAAAAAACAGAGCGTCCTCTCGACTCTCGAGTAAAGTCGAGTGTAGACACAGGTCTAACGGGGAACACGGGCTAGGGCGATGGCGTGTAGTGGCGGCAGCGTGACATGATACAACATAGCAGAACCCCGTTTAAGGCAGAACAGGACAGGACAGGGCCGTCAAGGCGCCGATAGGGAGGGAACTACCGGGTCGGCTGGTGGTAGCATGTATGCTCATGCCACCTTGACAGGTCTCCGTCTGAGGAGCAATCCATGCGCATGGGCATATTGGTGCTCTCGAACTGGTCTCGTATGTGGTCGGAACTTGTCGACGTCGTGAGGGTGTCGTTGGTTGGTGTCGCGGCCATCCGAGGCCTGCGGTGGCCGCTGTTGCTGTTGCCGCTGTCCTTTCCCCAGTCGGCCTTGAAAGTTGCGTTGATATTACGCTCTTGTTCTTCGGCGTTGGCAGGGTCTCTTTGCCCGTGGATTTTATGGCCCTGGCACCCGCGACGGTCCTCCACGAAGATCTCCGGGAGCATAATGGAGGGGGACGGAGCCAGTGCCCATGCCACATCAGACTGTCCGTCCTGGTCTTCCAGGCCGAGCGCAGCTTGCTTCCAAAACGGCGAGAGCTCGCTCATGGTCAACGCATCAGTTCTTCTCCTGAGAATGGTGTATTCGCACTCCCATTCCGCCGCTTCCTTGTCCCTGCAGAGTGAACGCGCCAAGTTGGCCAATAAGGCAAAGGAGGGAAGGATGAAATCCTCAGGTATATCCGGCCTGTAAACCATCAACATCTCGAAATAGTTCTCGACCTTCATACGAGTGAAGTGATAGGCCCTTTGGAGGTTAAGGTTGTCCGCTCTCAGATAAAGGTGGGTCAGATAACTGTACGTGTGCGAAAACTGGCCCGCTACTACATCGCTGTACGCCATTCCTTGCAGCCGTTCAATGTGCATCAACGCAAATCTTTCCGCTGCTTCATATTGTTTCAAGGCCATTAAAATTTCCATCGCGCTTCTTGCACCTCGGAGAGCTTCGGCATCATAAGTTTTCCATTCGGAGAGTAAATTGGTCAATCTGGAGCTACCAAAGGCGGGGTCCAGTCCTGGCGGAGCGTCTGTTTGCGATAGGACAGTTTCAGTATCGAGAAGAAAGAATGCGTCCCGAGAAAAGTAGCTGGAAAAGGCCTTTTGAGAAAAGTCGTACGATATTTCGCGTAAATGTATCACGTCTTTCGCTTCAATTCGACTGAGGTTTTGAAGCATCCACAAACGAGTGTCGGCAGAGGCTTGGTGGTGCCCCTTGACGAGGTCAGCCAGTTTGCGCAGTAACAGAGCTGCAATCCTGTCTTGACATCCCGCCAAATATGCAATAAGCTCGACAAGTTTTAGTAGCTGAGAGGGATTCCCGGAACGCACAATATGTTTCAAGGAGGACAGTGCCCGCTGCCACTGCCGGCATGCTTGTATTTTGTGTCCAAGGTTGTACCTTTGAATCCCTCTTTCTATCGACATGACGAATTCGTTTCGCAACCAGGGAGCGTGATCACTGGATATGGACGCCAATCCCATGATATCATTGCCACGTTTCCAGATTCCTGATTGAAGAGAGTGCTCAACAAACGCCTCTAAGGAATGCATAAACCATTCGACGTTTCGCAGTGATGCAGGCGCACTCAAGGGGTGCGGCGTGGGTGGCGGCGTGAAGCAAATGAGGTCTGGTAGCGGACTTGATCCGGAAGACATAGGCTCCGCCTGCTGGACAAGGAGCCCAGTTCGCTTCACGTACCGTTCGACGTCGTCCATATCGACAGGACGGTCTCGAAGAATAAAAGCGGATTTCTTTCCAAGCAACTTCCTGTTTTCCCGCAGGCGGAGAATTTCTTGCACCTCAGTACGTTTATTCTTTTTGTCAAGACGCCAAGCGCGGATCCTCGATTTGTACATTTTCTCGCTTGAACTGGTTAGAGACGGCATGTAGCGGGGTGACAGGCTGGCCTACGTTGCCTTGAAGCCATGTTGGGTTTCCAGGATCTGCATAACCTCTTTCAATGGTCGATTTTCTTCTCTGTAAAGCCGAGTGATCAAAGCCTGGAAAGGCTGCCAGCCGGAGGCAGGATGCGGATATTTCGGCTTGCCAACCATCTTAGGAGTTTGTGGCCAAAGGGCACAGGAAGCCAGGAAATAATTTGAAGGAACTCGTTCAGCGAAAAGGGGCAGCAAAAACAACAACAGTAGGATTCATGTTCAACTTTTACGTATTTATGCGGAAGCGAAAGGCAGACAAAAGCGAACAAGCGTCCTGCATTCAGCCCAGAAGCGAGCCACAAGGCAGAAGGTGAGGAAGAGTGACGGGATTGGGCCGATACCGAAGTGCCATGCATTGCATTAGTCTCGTGCTGTCGACATTGGCTTGCAGGGGCCAATTGTGAATCCCACAGCCTGAAGGCGGCGCCAGGTGCATACTGGGTATTGCATGGGCCACGGCCAACGCTAGGATTGTTGTCTCTGCTCGGGAGTTGTGGAGCGCCATTTCATGCTTTCTTATCCTGTCGCATTCGCATCATGTACCAGAAGAGAAGTTGCAGGGTGAAGTCGTTCAGGCTGCAGTAGGCGGAAGAGTCGAAAGGAAGAACGAAAGGGAAAAGCATCACGGAGTCGAGGAGTCTGTGAATCTTGCCAAGAAAATAGCACGGGAATAATTGACGTCATCGCTCACCAAGCCTCCGTGTCCAAGCACCGCACACGCAGCCTTCCTCATTTAAGGTATCCTCATGGAAATAGAGCCAAGATAAACGGCCAAATATGTATGCCAATGGCTGCGTCAAGCAGCAGCGAAACAAATGCCGCAAATGCCATCCAAGTCCCTCGGGGCTGATTTCCCGCATCTCCACTCACTTTGGCACGCGGAACAGGTTGGACTCCTCGATCTCTCTCCAAAGCCTGATTCCGTCCGAATCGTTTGTGTATTCATACCACAAAAACATGCCCAGCCGCTCCCGCATACTTGGCCAGCTGCCAATGCCCAGCCGTCGAGTAAGCTCGTCCAGAATGGAGCGATACCATGGACGATCGGACGACCCTACTGCTGCAATTGCGCCCATCGCCGTAGCCCACAGGATCAGGTCGGATGCTTCAGTCCACCATGGCTGGATAGACGGGTCTAATAACTGTGTTTTGATGGCCCGAGCGAGTTGGTGGAAAGGGGCGGCAATCGCTGGAAGCGGGAATACCACCAGCAGGCTGTAGACGACTGTGCCCAACCGCGCAAGCCTGAGCAATGGGTGCTCGTCTTGAACCTCCGCAGGAAGCGGTGTCAAAAGCAGGAGATTGTGCTGCACGAAATTTCTCTCGTCTGAAAGGCAGCCCAGTTTCTGAGCCTCTGGTCTTTCTTTGACATGGTCGTCCACAGCAAACGTGTACTGAATGATCCATTTCAGAACAATGAGGAGCTTTTCTACCATCTCATGTCCGAGTATTTCCGGGAGGACACGGAACCCTCTGCCGAGACCGACAAGCGGATGGGTTTTTCTTGAGGCTGCATTCAAAGGTCCGATAACATCGTCATGCATCTTCTCATACGACAGCATTGGTTTGGTAAGAGTCTGGCTGGCAAGAATGATGTCGCCACTATCAGGTCATGTCAGCCTCGGGCTCAGGTTGGTGGAGGAGGGCAACTCACAAAGAAATAGCTTGCGCTAGCCCAGGGAGCTTGATTTGAGAAAGGCCTCCTCGGAGAGTCAACATTTTGGCCAGACCTTGCAGATGCACATTGACAGTATGCAGGCGGCCGCCGTACAGATGAAGGAGTTGCAAGGTAGTCAATGGACCTTGGGATGGTGCAGCGGCGGGAGGATGAAGTCGAGGCTCTCCGTGATATGACAGGGCGTACACGGCCAGGATATTTTCATCCTCGCAGCTCATCGAAGAATCGGCGAACTTCTGATGCACGCCTCTAATGGTTTCTGTGTAACACTGCACTTGTTCTCGGGACTCGGCAGGGGACAAGAGAAAAATGCGATTGCGTGTGAGCTGACAAAACAACGACGCGTGAAAGAGACTTCGATCGCGAAAGGTCATCCGAAGCCATTTCTCAGAATGTGGACTGAAGGTCTGTCCTTTCTCAGGCGGGAACATCAGAGACAGGAAGCTATTCACTAACGCCAGAGTCAGCCTTTGTCTCTTCTTTCGTTTGTACAAGGGAACCAACACCCACCTTGGTCGAGGACAGGGCTCACGAACTCCTTGGGCAAGTCGCATGGATATGTTTCAAAGGGGTCATGATGCCCCGAGACCACCAAGCTTGACAGGTGGGTGGCGGGAGTGATGACCAGCTCGCTTCCTGGCAGAGGCGACTCGTTGACAAGCTCGATTGACTCTTCTTCGCTCTTGGGTGTCCGATCTTCACTTTCGGTCGAGGACGATGCGACGGTCTGAGGAGTCGCGGGGGCGAGGGTTCTCTTGGAAGGCTTGACCTGGCCGCGGTTAGAAGAACGACGTCTTCCGACCGTTCGGCTTGCGGTTCCATCGGTAGACTTCTTGACCCGTCGCCAGTGGTAGTTGGAAGCATTGGAACGAACGAGGGTTTTGTTCCTGGAGCGTTCGGCGTCGGTGGAGGGGTTTGCGGTGACGAATTGGAAGGTTTTAGTGCCTCGTACATCTGCCGCTGCGATTCCAGCGCTTGGATCTGGCCTCGGGGTCACGGCTCTCGCCTTGTGCATGTCCTGCCGTTCCTAGACATAATCTTGGACAGATGGAGCGTTGGAGAAATGAGCTTGGGTGCGTTGTGACGGTTGTTCACGCCCGCAGTGGGAAATCAAGAGGGCGACCGCATGGTGCTTTGGTGGTAGCGTTGTGGGGTTTGCGACGCAGTCTAACCAAAGGTCCAAGGTCCATGCAAGTCACAAGGCCGCGGTGTGGAAGCCGGCAGTCGAATTCGTCCGTCGGGACCACGGGGGAAGGCGTAGGGAGGGCGCAGGAAGGGATGGCAATGGAGGCGAGAGGGTAGTGGATGGCTGATACTGTATCTGGAGGCGAAGAATACGAGGGCATGTGTGGGAGGCCGGGAGGGGAAACAGCTGGTGCCGTGGTGGATTTTATCCGGGGACCGCTGAATATGCTTTTCTCCCCCGCAAACCTGCACAGCAACTCCACGCTTTCTTTTGGTGAGGCTCTTGAGGTCTACCAAGTATGGTCTGGAGCGGCCAGAGCGACCAGAGCTACAATATAGACTTTGCCCACGCATCGAGGCACAGTCACAGCTCAGCAACTACCGAGTATGTTGGGCCCCTTGCGAGTAGCTCTCCCGCCTCGACCTGTACCACGATGTCCAGCACCACAGGTACCACCATCACGACCCCGACCACAACTACAGCCGCCACAACCACAGCTGCAATCAATACGCGTGACTGTAGATTTGTGTACTTGTGTAGTCATAAATAACCGTGTCACACATCGTTTGACTTGTGGACTCTTAATGGACACGAGCGACATTGGGTGACATGACGATACGAGGCGTTGACGTCATGCGACCTGGAAACGAGGCTGCGGCACTTTTTGGCTCTCCTGACAACCACTCTCTGCCCCATGCTATGTATTTTACTGGGTACATATATACTCCCTAGACTCACTGACATTGTGCTCTCTGCGGCAACCTCCAAATATGCCACGCCGATCTAAAAGGAGAAAGACTGCTTCTGATACAGCAGTGACCGATGAAACCGCTCCGTCCACTGTCAATGCCACTGCTCCCCCCGACCAAAGGGACAATGCTATTAACTCTGAGTTGAAGATGGAAGCCGAAAGCCTTGAATTGGGCAAGGCAGCAATGGTAGAAGAAGGAGCAGAGGCGCAAACCGTGATTCGCGGGAGCAACAACAACGAAGCTCATGTTGACACAATCAGCAACGCCAGCGAAGCCCCTACCTTTGACGACATTGATCCCGCCGAGCAGGTCGACCCTGCCATCTTCGATGAAGAAGAAGTTCCGGACTACGATGTAGATGAGGGGGTCGCCAACGCCAAGTCCAAAGGGCACATGAACGGCGGCCGACAGGGGGGCTTCAACGCCCTAAAATCCTTCCACGGCCAGATGTACACGGGCATGGCCATCGGCGGCTCGCACAAGTGGAACTACGACCAGGGAGTGTGGAAGGAGACGAAAATGGAGCCGGACCTGTGGAAAGTCGACTTTGAAACGACCAAGAGACGGGCGCGCAATGCTCCCAAGGGGAGTGGTGCGCCCGTAGGAACCGAGTATCATTGGCTTATTGTCGCGCATCAGGTATGGTACCCAGCCAGCTCTGCACCAGGACCCTCAATCGGCCTCATGGCTGACTCCTAGGGTTTCATTTGTCACTGCGATAACAGCACGTCAAGAAAATCGACGCAAACACGTACACCACCCACCTGGTCGGGTCAAAGTACAAGCTCGCACACAAGAACGTCAACTCGAATTCGTGGTCCGTGCCGACGGTCAAGGGCCAGCGCGAGCGCGAGATCGAGCTGCTTGAAGACGCGAAGCGGAGGGTCCAGGGCCTCCCGCCCGTCCTGGCAGGCGAGAAGGTCAAGGTGGAAAAGGGGGCGGAAAAGGGGCAGCAGAAACTTGACTCCCTGTTTTCGAGATCTGGCGGTGGTGGAGGAGCAGAAATAGGAGCAGGGGGGAAGAGGAAACGAAACCAGGAGACGTAAGAAAAGAAAAGGGAAGAAAAGGGAGGAGCAAGCGAACGGAACGGTGTTGTCGCAAACTGTACATTAGTTAGAGCCCGTGTTGATGGATGGACAGATTCACATGCTCACATGCTCATATATCTCTACACATGTACCAGCATAAACCTAATACTAGAGATGTTGTCGAGGAGCTACGGAGCATGGAATACCACAATCAAGAGCCCGGGAGCGGGGAGGGGAGGAGGAGGAGAAGAAGAAGAAGAAGAAGGAGAAGAAGGAGAAGGATGAGTTTATGCTCATGTTCATGTTCGTGACTTTTTCTTTCTTTTTCTTGTCTTGTTGTGGCAATTACTGCTGCTGCTGTTGCTGATGCTGCGGGCGAGTCCGTCGAAACATCTTGCATCCACCTGCAAGACGATTTGGAGTCGATAAATATCAGGCCCGGGCATCAACATACACGGCCCGGAAGCTTGCGCATTCGTGTCTTACTTTGCCTTCCCGTTCTTCACGGTCCCTCGAATCTTGCGAAAGACCACAACTCCGCTGTGACCGTTGCGTTCATTGACTCGCGTGATGCTCCGACTTCTGAGAAGCCCATATTCCCAAGTTCGCCATCAATTGCGCCCGTGCATCTTCATATGCGAAAAAGGAAAAAGAGACTGAACCAATCAGTCCCTGTACAATCTCCACAGATGAATTCTCGTTGTTATATTGTTTTTCCTTGCTCGCTGATCCCCTTCTTCATCGCTGCGGCTCGTATCCATACCCACCATTCCCGTACCCCATGTTGTGCGCGTGCGGCGTATATGCATTATAGTTGAAACCGCTGGTGGTGGAATTGTTGAAATCGTCCATCCTGACGTGTCCCGAATGGCTGTGGCTATAGTCTGTGTCTGCTGCGTTGTCCCGCAAGCCTAATCGCGAGTCGTTGGCGCCGTGATGAGCGCTGTAATCTCCGGTTCCGTAGTGGAGCGTGTCCTGCGAATTCGCATGGCTGTGCATCCCGGACCTCGACTGCTCGTTGTTCAGATCGTCCAATTTTACGTCCCCGCCGCCTCTCGCGGCGATGGCAGCCATCTTGTTGTACTTCCCCAGCTTGGTCTGCGCGCGGCGGCTCCTCACGTCCAACACAATCAGGGCAATCTGAGCGAGCAGCCCAAACACATCAAAGGAATACAACGCCTTGTAGGTGCGGCAGATCATCATCCCGTCGTCGGAGGCCCAGTTGGCTCGAGAGCAGCTGTGGCCCAATGTTCCGTACATGTTCCATGTCAAGAGGCAGTAGCCGACTGCCCAGATGATGAGGATTGTGACGTTGAGGATTAAATTGAACAGCGGCGAGAGGAAGAAGCAGGCGTGCAGGAACGCGGTGAGAAAGAGACATAGGAGAGAGAGGAGGCTCGCGGCGAGGACCTGGGATTCTCAGTCAGCACATTTGGCCGTTGCTCAGGCCGTGGTTGTTTTCGATTGATCAACGTACAATGATAAACGTCCAAGGCAACTTAAACCCATCTTGCCGCAATTGAATGCAGAAATATATCAGAATCCCGCTGACGATCGAGGCGCTGATGAAGGCAATCGTGCGGATGATGTGGAAGGCCAGTCGAGGGTAGACTTGAGGGCGTGACTTCATCTTGGAGGGCATGTTGGACAGGGGGTCGCCCGGAGGCAGACGGGGGGATGTACAGTATATGTATTATCGGCTGCAGATGTTGCAGTCGTGGCTCGCCGGGGCTCCCTTCGTCGGATGAGAGGTGGTCCGTTTCAAAATGGGGGAATCAATGAGTCGAAACAGGGAGGTCTGCCAATCCTCAATCGGTCGTGAAACGCGACCTGTGTCATGCACCAAGCGCAGTACACGGCTGCGCAGAAAAATATTCACAAGGCCAAATTCACAAGAGTTCCGAATCCAGTATATCAGACAAGAGCACAGAGGACGAGTACATAAAGACAAGAGGAGGATTGAGGCATCGTTTATTAGGTGGCCTTCTTGTCGGTTTCACAAAACAAGCCTCCGTTGCGATCATCATCAAATGAGGCTGAGAGCAAGCCTCGCTTGGCCTCGACCTGAAAATAGCTCTGCGCTAAGCCACTTTGGGACATCGGCAAATCATGCTTTCGTATTGGAGACAACTGTTTGCCAGTCAGGGGCTTGGTAGTGGGGGTTTCTGAAAGGGCACCAGCAAGGCATCAAGGGGATACAAATGGATCAAGGAATAGGTGGTACAGGTGGTACAGGTGCCGTGAGGAGTGTTGATTAGGCAAGAACTAACACAGAAAGAGAACAAGGCATAATAACCAGGGTATGTAAGGCATGGAAAAAAAAATGAAGGTCAAGCCGGAGAAGGAATATACACAGGTAATGATAAGTGATTGTATTGGGTTTTTTTGCGGAATCTCAAAGAACACAGAGACCGGCAAACAACACAAAAGCCAGAGTAATAGGTCTCCAGCACTTCGAAATCTCGTCTTGTCATCTCTGCCCTTGACCGAGTTCCTGTGATTTAGGCTGATTTCTCAACTTCACTCCTATCGAAGCGGACTCTCCTTGATGATTCCGTTGCCCGGTACGAAAGTTCCTACCCCGGCAGCATTCAATTTGAACACTCCTCCTCCCGAGCTGCCACCGCCGCTGGCACTTCCACTGGCATTTCCAGTCCCTTTCGGCGGGGAGTTTGGTAACGGTGTACCGGCCACCGACGAGGGCATCGTCATCGGATCCGGGGTATTTCTCCCGCTCTGCACGGCACTGTTTGCTGCTCCAGTGCCAATACCCTCCAGAGCCATCAATGTTCCACCGATGCTGCGGGGGGGAGGCTTCCAGCCATATTTCGTGCCCTTGCGGTAGATATCCTCGATCATCTGCTCTGCAATGCCGGCGTCTTCGTATTCTTGAAATTTGCGCCACAGACGTAGCGCCATACGTGCGTCTTCAATGCTGTCATGCCCGTCAACTTGCATCGCCTCATCCAGAGTTGTTTCTTCCTGAATGTATTCCTTAAACACGGCCCATGCCAGATATCGTAGCGAGAATCGTCGGTTTCTGCCTGGTGCGAGGTACAGGAACTGTGTGTCCACGGTCTGAGACTTAGGAACGTGAATATTTGCCTTTCGAAAATCAGATGCCAAACCGTGACCAACAAAAATGCAGCCAAGGTTAAGCAGAATCCATAGCTTTTTGTAGGCCACTTTTAGAGGCACAAGGTTGTGATGTGAAATCTGGGCGTCAAGGTCGCCTGGCCGAATGCCCGAATACTGGGTTTTGTAGTCTACAATCGGCTCGTAAATGGTGATGTAGTCATCGATGAAAGGGACCCCTTCGTCCACGCCCTGGCCGCGAACCACACTGACCCGTGCCAGACCAGACTTTGCTGGCCGAATGGTTTCTTGTGTTCCGTCTGCCTTGACGTTGATCTCGGCTTTCTCCAATTCGACAAACTCGGTGTCTAGTGCAATGGGTGTGCCTTTTTCTGGCAGTTCTCCTGGTCTCAGGATGATGCAGCCATCTTTGGGATAGAGACCGTTGATGCTATAGTGCTGGTATAATAGGGTAGTGTCCATACATCGTTTCCAGTTGTGATCGAGTTTGCCGTGTGCATTCTTGACTTGATATGCAATTACACTGGGCATTTTCCACGCTTTGTTGAAATGGAGGGCTTCTCGTGGATCGACTGGCGACACCAAAAAGTCGTTAAAGAGGTGCCAATTGGGAAACACTTTGTGATTGTGGGAGACCTCGGGCCCTTCGCTTGAGACCTCCACGTTCACCATGCTGACAAGGTGAGGTTGATGCCGCTCACTGGTGTCAATCTCGGCGACGAATCCGACGAGCTCGTAGATGACTAGGCCTGGAGACTTGTTCCGCTGATGCAGGGCGAGGTCAGAACCTTCGAAAACGTACACATTTCTATCCTGCACGATAACGCCAATCTCGGAAGGAAGCCAACCTGGGGTCTCCCAAAGTCCGCACATGGCAGGATTAGCCCCAAGTGCTGCATTGATCATTAACACGAAAGGTAGTTGCCGGACTGTCTTCCGGATAGCCAGCTGTTGATACCTTCGACATCGACTGCACCAACCTCTGTTCTTAGCTTCTCGTTCGATGGTGGTCTTTAGGCAGTACGCGAACTTGATGAATTTTATAGAGTGCTTTGGTTCGAGTTGCGGATAGACGAGGTCATGCACATACGTACTTGACGGTTTGGAGGTCTCATTATTGCAATACATGCAGCGGATGGCTTCAAAGGCTTTGCTCGCAATAATCTCATCAATCCCATCACTACTCGTCGACATTGTGATATAGTCGTGCACCATTTGCTTCAAGAAGAATCGATTCACTGCTTGGATCGTGGTTGAGAGCGGTGTCCCGTTGGCCAAAGACAAATGTTCGAAAAGGCTGAGATTTGCAGCTTCCCTAGAGGCTCCGAACGCCCTCAGAAGATTTGTCGCCTGGCAATTCTGGCCATTCGCTTTTTCCAGCATGTCGAACAGAAACCCAAATTCGCACAGCAGGCAGTGGCCCGCCACGCACGACGTGGTGGCATGCTGGATGGCCACGTTGCGGATCAGAGGAATGAATTTGTATAGCTGTAACAGTGAGTTGACAAACGAATTTGTAATATGCGTCTCCAGACCAGAATAGGGAGTTTTGTTGTAGTACCGAAAATCGAAGTCGTCAACTCCGAATCTGCTATACTTGATCTCGACGTTGCTATATTTGAGCATTCGTTCCTCATCGGTTTGTGCCCTGCCATTGAGAGATATCCCGGCCAATCCTTCGGCAGCGTCAGAAAGCTTCCTCCCGCTTCCATACGCCGGCGTCTCTTTCGCCTTTTCACTCAGGAATTTGGGCGCGGTAATCGAAGCAGGCACTTGGCCGACTCTGGTATCTTCCACTTGGTAGCGGAGAAGCTTCCGAGGGTTTAGATTTGGAGCGTAGTGGCCCATCTCGGCGGTCTGCATGTGAAAAAGCAGCGACGGGTCGACCGGCGCTGGCGGCGCTCCGATCTCAAATACCATGTGACTTGGCCACGCGGACAGAAGAGGTTCTGAATAGTATGGCATGCCTATGGTGTTGAGCGGGGCGTCATTCCAGTCGATGTGGGGGATCTGCTGAGGAGAAGGGTCTGCAAATTCTGTTTCCTTGCTGATATTATTGAAGCGGACCTTGGAAGGAGACCCCCAGAGGTATATCCATCCGTTTGAATCGGTGATGACTAGGGCATCTCCTGAAGCGGCAATTTCCATCCCTAGCATGAACTGGACGTTGGCTTGTTTGAGCATGACATTTACAGGGTTCATCAGATCCACCACCTGCATTTGGCCGGTTTGTGACGCAACGAAGCTGGTAGTCTGGAGTTTCGGGTGCAAACGCGCATATGCAGCACCTGCATGAAAAGGGATCGGAGGCAGAGATGTGAGAGACTTCAGATCGTAAACATTGGCCAAGGGGTCGACGATGGGTACGCCCAACTGCCTGACCGAGAAGCCGCAAGTGACCAGAAAATCATTGCGGGCATCCATGTCATTTACAGCGCTGGAGTGGGCTTTCCAAGATTTGAGAAGCTGGTAGTCGGTCAAACTGAGAATATGCACGTTGCCGTCGTCACTCGCAGCACACAGATGACGGCTTTTCCTCAGGATGGTGTACTTTGCCTGAGCAGGATGTTGCGAGACAATTTGGCCTTTGTCGATGTCGATGATGAAAAAGGTGCTCTGGCAGCCTGCCACGATGATGAGATTGCTTGTGGCAGCAAAGGCCATGCATCGGAGATCCGTCATCAAGCGATGTGAAATATGCCATTGCGTCAAGCCTCTGCGGGTGACAAAATGGACGCTGGAAGACGAGATAGAAATGATACCTTTTTCGTGGACCAACAGCTGCTTGACGGGCCCTTCTCCGAGATGAGCTTTGACCGAGACGTACCGTTGCAACTCAGGGCCATAGAATGAGGTGACTCGCCCCTAGCCTCAAAGGTGAGATGTGTAGACAAGTGTTAGTGTTCAAGGCAGCCCTACCTGGTCATTGCCGACCCACAGAAGTTCCTGCAAATCATCAAAGGCAACTGCGCTCGCTGGAGTCGGGATCGCATGCAGTCCCGACGAAGGCACTGCGATGCGTGTGATCTCATCCCAATCTGCCTCCATGGGCAAACTGATGTGGACGTTGTTGGATTATCACAGATCTGGAGGACGATGCATGATGGGAGCAAGCGGTCTGGGAGGGGGGGGAGGAAGAAAAAGAAAAACAAGAGCCTTCGAGGCGACTTGATTTACTTGGACATGGACTGTCTCATACCATTATGGCTGTTTGTCATGATGAGGAGTGAGGGCAGTGATGATTGATGGTTGAAGTTGAGGGCAGGAGCAGGAGCAAGAGCCATGATCATGAGTGGCTAATAGAGACAAGCCGGTGAGGCTGGTGAGGCCACCAGGCTCGACGTTGACTGTGGCGCCCACCTTCGCCTTCTCTCTTCTCTGTGTCGTCTCCTCAAGGTCTCCTGCGACCCGCCCTGGTGTCAATCTCAAGTCAACTACCTCCAACCTGCGCTTCTGCTTCATCACGAATTGACCTTCTCTATTTGCTTGTTTGACTGTCGGTCAGGTTGGCTGTCACGGGTGGCTGTCGACTCAACTTAGCCATAACCGACCGCAACCCCGCCGTCGCGGTGAGTCTGTCCTGAGGGGCCACGCCATCGACTGTGCCTGGGTGTTGCTTGACACCTATTTATTTCTCCTCCGAGTCACGACTCACGGACTATCCCTTTGCCTCGGGCTACTACCAAGTGCTAGGAGTGTACTGACACGGTTCTTCTCCGATAATTCAACAACGATGAGCAGCTACGAGAGTAAGCTCAGCCTTCCTGCCTCAAATGACTGGGTTGACGGGTTCTAGCTGAACATGCCTCTGATCCACCAAACGGCAACCAAAGCCAGCCACGCAGACCCGATCTCTCCACTTTCTTGAGTCTCCTTTCCGAAGTCACGCCTGATCTTCCTGAAGAACGGGCTCGTGAAGGGGCTGTCCCCGTTCCGGCCGATGTCTCCGCCGTCTTTCGCTCGCTTGCAGAGGCATTCGAAGTAATGCGTCGGATTAATGACAATGCCGACTCCAACTTGCTCGAGAGCATGATCCAGAACTTGATGGACACTGCCGAACGGCCTCCGCGGGAAGTCAAGGGTGTGGACGAGGAATATATTGCTGCATTGGACCGGGTTCACATCAAGAAAGTCAAAAAAGATGCCGACTGCCCTATCTGCGGTACTGCGTTCGTCGAAGACCCTCACCCGCTCTTGGTGCGACTCCCTTGCCATCAGAATCACATCTTTGATCTTGAGTGCATCCGACCGTGGCTTCTGGTGAATGGGACATGTCCTTTGGACAGGGTTGACCTAGCGCAAAGAGAGAGGGACCGGAAAAAGAAACGGCTGGAGGAGATCAAGAAGAATGCCGCTCCCGAGGACGAGGAAGAGGAGTGGGACGGGCTCTATGGCTGAAGCATGTCGACACTCCCTGTGCCGCTGCAGAATCAACAGTGGACAGTCTCCTCGTACTGCCTCTGCTTGTGCCGCGCGAGGGCTCATTCCAGTCCCATCGAGGGTGCAGACAGGTGCGAATCCGCATTTCAAGAGCAGCGCAGACATATCTGAGCCCCTCGGGCTCTGTTCCTGGACACTACGAATGCTGGCCAACGTGACAATGGTTCATCTGGAGCCAAATGAAAGGGTTAAGCTGACATTCATCCATGATCCTCATCACAACGGGTCTCTATTCCTCCCAGAACGAGATGCTGTCGCCTAGGTAGGACTGGAGGGGGGTTCCCTCTGAGTGACCCGGTGGAATGGGGATTTTTGCGGCCGTATCAAAAGCTTCCGAGCTGCAGGACCAGCCCTACTTTTCTGCTGACGGGGCTTATTTCAAGACGGCGCGTAGGTGCTATATCAACAGAGAGATGCTGACAAATGTGACTGTGGTCTCTTGATCAATGTACCTGACCCCGTTCGCATGTTGACGGAAACCGGGTTGCGGAGAAGCATATGCCTTCCGCCAATCACGAATCCCTGGTGCTTTTCTTACCTCGGTTTTTACCTGAATTGGGCACCATGTTTCCCTTTTGTCCCCCTCTATGCGCAGTCTGTCAACGTCATGATATATACCCAGCGATGGTCTGATCTTTGAAACCATTCGAGACTAATAGAGGGAATCTCATCGTTCGTTATTGTTTCATATCCGGGTCAGACATTCCACAGCGCCCTCTTCGGAGAGATTCATCTGTCCGTCGGATAATAGTTCTAGGCCTCAAATACGGATCGCTCACAGGTGTAATAACCTACAGTTAGCCGAGCAGCCTATATCACGCTGTCTGACTCCTCTTGTCCAGAGAGGCCGGCTACAACGCTGAAGAACTAGGTTGAGAGGCATACCCGATTGCCAGTCGACAGTGGGCATTCCATCAATATGGCGGCGACTCCCACATCCACGCGAACATGGATTCTGGCCAACCATCCCAAGGGCGTTCCGACCTTTTCAAGCACCGATGAGAACCCGACTTTCAAGCTGGTCGAACGGCCTCTTCCCCCGCTACAGCCAAATCAAGTCCTCGTCAAAGTCCTCTTCTTCTCGAACGACCCGGCCCAACGTCCGGCCATTGACGCTGCCGTCAAGGCGGAGCGGCACTACACTGCCCCAGTCGAGATTGGACAACCCATGATGGCGCGGGGACTGGCGGAAGTGATTGCCTCGACCGCTGACAACCTCCCCAAAGGAACCATTGTGCAGGCCGCTCCGGGATGGACTGAATATGCGGTCCTGAATGCTGCGGATTGCAGTCCGCGACAGCCACTCCCCAATGGCTTGAGTCTGACCCATTACCTGGGGGCGTTCGGCGGACCGGGTTTGACAGCGTATTATGGGCTGGTTGTCATAGGGGAAGCGAAGAAAGGGATGTAAGTCTCGCATCTTTGTTTGTGCGGATTGGAACATCTTTTCTCTCCCTACCCAGGCCCTTGAGATTCTGACGGGAAACTAGGAGAGTGGTGGTTTCGGGAGCGGCCGGGGCAACAGGCAGCATGGTAGTCCAGATTGCGAAGAATGTAAGATCCAAGTTCGAGCTGATCACCTCAGCATGCTCTTCTCCTGAGCTGACCACCTGACTCGTCATGCAGATTGTTGGCTGCTCAGAGGTTATTGGTATCGCCGGCTCCGATGCGAAATGCCGCTGGGTTGAGAGTCTGGGAGCAGACAAGTGTCTCAACTACAAGAGCCCGACCTTCGAACAGGATCTGAACAAGGCAACGGAAGGGTTCGTGGATATCTATTTCGACAATGTCGGGGTGAGTAACTCATCTCTCGATCCGAGGACTGAGATTGTGGCAGAACAGCAATGTACTAATGTACCGGCCGATTCAGGGCCACATCCTCGACCTAATGCTCGCAAGGCTGAAGCGGTACGGTGTGGCCGTTGCATGCGGCTCCATCTCAGGCTACAATTCCACAGAACCAACTGTGCTGAAAAGTATCAAAGCTCTTTCCCTCTTTTTTGAATTCTTCTTACCTCGAAACCCCTCCGCTGACCGTGTCTCGTGCCACATAGACTACTTCCAAGTCATCACCATGCGCCTCTCGATCCGCGGCTTCATCGTGTCAGACTACCTCTCAAAAGCACAGGAAACAGTCCAAATGTTTGTGCAGGCCGTGAAAGACGGCAAGTTGAAGATCTCGAATGAAGAGAGCGAGCAGGTCGTCGACACCAAGTTTGCGGATGTGCCGAAGACGTGGTTGAAGTTGTTTGAGGGCGGAAACACGGGCAAGTTGGTCACCAAGCTGGTCTGAAACAGAGGGGCAGGAAAACAGAAATAGCTGTAGCAACAACAACAAGACATCGTCGCCTTCAGGCCAGGGCCCATATTTTTTTGAGCTACGTATTTTCCCAGGTTACTTGTAGGCACTCCTTGAGCTCTCTCGCTCTCTGGGTGACGAGGAGAAGACAACAATTACTACCCAGTATGCCACCATATCTTGTAATAGAGATACATGGGCTATGGGGATTCCGCCTTCCCCGGCTACCAGACGGAGCTTAATTAGACTTAGGCGGCTGATTTGGTCAAGCACTGGCTTTGGTGACGGCCACACTTGCTTAATATTGCGTGTTTTTGAATTGGGCCGGTGATTGCTTCCTTTTCTTTTTTTACCCACTGAGTGTATGGGCCGCGCCTATTTGCGCCAGTATCTGTATCTGCACGCCGTACAAACTGTTGTGGCGTCGAAGGCATGAAACGAGTCTACTCTTCACTGGCCAAAGAGGCTGGCCTGGTGAGCCCTTGCAGGCGCCAAAATGATACAGTAATCTGTCGACCCTGCCGGCCCAGAAACTGGTGTCCAGGTACAGACCAGGGAGGAGTACCCGTACTACTTGACTTGAACCTCCTGCATGCGGCTAAAGAAGACGCCTTCGTCGCAGCCCCTGCACGCAGGCGCCATTATGTTTCATGCTCCCGCTACACAGCAAGCATGCAAACTACGCCAACTCCGGGGCCAGCAATGCCTGTGGCATATCTTGCACTGCGGGCGCATCAGAAGGTGCCACCGCCAGACATCCCTCTCTCGCGGGTTCCTAAGCCACGGTGATAACAGAGTGCGTGTACGAGGTATCCATTTTCTATTTCACCATACTATTACAACTCAACCCAACATGTCTCTGGCGTCGACGAGCTGTTACTGGCCAAATGGACAACTGGTGACCCAATACAACTACCAACCTTGCAACGCTGGCAGCGATCCTAAGCACGCGGCGTGTTGTGATCTGCGCACGAGCGTCTGCACTCAATTTGGATACTGCTTCGGCAACGCGAATTACATATATCGCGGAGGATGCACCGACTCGACTTGGTCATCGTCGAGTTGTGCGCAGGCTTGCAGTTTTGAAGGTAAGGAGGCGGTGGTGGTGCCCGTAACCCAGCCAAGAGACGAAACGAAGAGGGGCTAAAAGATCATTCCAAAACAGTCGAGGCGGATCTGTCCAATTTTGCCAACATCTACGATTGCGGCAATGGGGTTGGCATGGCGACTCAGAATCAGAGCTGGTGTTGCGCGTCGCAGGATGGTTCGAGCTGCTGCCAGAACCGTTTCGAGGTCTCGTTTGGCCAGCCGTATTTCCCGACGAGCACCACATCCACCACCACAGCGAGCACTTCCACAACGGTCTCCTCCAGTGCGAAAACGAATTCGACGACCGCCGCGACCACCGGCTCTGCTGCATCGACAACGCCGAGCCCAGCCCACGATAGCAGCACACGGTCAATCGGTATAGGCGTGGGTGTGGGTGTCAGTATTGGTGCTTTACTTGTCGCCATAATGGCGTTCCTGATATTCAAAGAGCGCAAGAGGAGGGTAACAGCGGAGCAGAGGTTTCAGGCCATGACAGTAGCTGGTGCTGGTGCTCACGACCCTTTTTCGGTCGCAAAACCGGAGCTGGAGCAGCCATCGTACAACAGCGCTCGAGTGCCGTACGCTAGGATGCACGAGGCAAACTCGCAGTCGTTATACGAGGTCCAAGGATGACTGGGCCGTCGTTTGGTCTCTCCGATTTGTGATCGGCTTTTTCCAGCATGGTAGGGAATACTTTTGTGCAAGCCAGCCAGCCGAGGGCTCCGAAGACGGCCATTGCTTCTGAACTCACGGCGTTGCTCCACATGAGACACCACGCTCTGACTGGAGCCACGTTCTCACTAGGCTACAGGCCACAGGACTCTGAGCAGCGAAGCCGTCTCTTCCACTGTCAATCAACAACCGCAGCAGACGAAATGTCGCTGAACAACCAACACGCTTTTTTGCAGACTGTTGAGTGCGGAGTGTCGACAGGTTGGGACTGTCCCAACCTCTTGTACGATACGTAAAACAGCCCAATCCGGGCCCTCTGCCAGAGGGCTACTCGCGTTGCGTTGGTTATTTGGTCTCTGGATCCAAACGACATGTATGTACTTATTGTACACTATTACATATGTAGACGTACAGTTTTTTCCTCCCCCCTCCCCCTCCCCGGTTCCCCGGGGCAGAGTTTCCGCACCTTGCTTATTTTTATTTGGTTGGAGCATACACTGTTGCGTTTGGTTCGTGCACATTCTTCGATATCGCCCCAGATCGGGAGTGTATGATCCCTGTGTATGTAGTATAGAATACATAAATGCGGCCACACAGGAAGCTGTTGCTGCGTAGAGCGCGCACCACAACCATGTAGATCGACCAACCGGTGGGAGACACCCCAAAAGCGAGCTGTCACTTTCGGAATCGTAGTAGTGGTGTATGTATAGACCGAGCTCGTTCCCTGAGATCTGGGACCAAAGCATGCCCACGCCCGGATCTTGAGAACAGGTAAACTGGACACCGGGGAAGTTGCTTGGGGGGAGATGACCCATTTGGCCATCAAGCTCAGAATACGGAGTACAGGGCAGACAGGGCTGATATGCGAGGGAAAGATGGTCATTTCTCGGAACGGCACGAGCTCTTGCTTGGGCGGTGGTTGCAGGATTCAAACTCGACACCCGCCACAATCCACTCGTCGAGTTGCCGAACGGGCCCAACACCGCAGAGCAAAACTTCGCGGCTGCCCGTCAATCAATCGCCAGACTCCGCCCGACTGAGCCGTTCAAAGAGATGCACTTTCTGACATGGCAGCGGCACCCGAGGTACTATAAGGGTAACTCATGTTGAAATTGAACACCTTGGTGTCGCTGTCGCCTTTCGAACGGGGCGCAACTTTCTGCCGGGCCTTGGATAGTAAGGGCTGCAGTGAGGACACAGACGGCGTGGATTTGACGGAAGCTGCGTCAGAAGTTGGTGAAGAGGCGGAGGCGGATGAGGAGGAGGAGGAGGATGATGATGATGATGAGAGGCGCGAGAAAATCGAAGGTCGCTTGATGGTTGCCATGTTTGCTTGTCCGGCCGGTTGGCGGTTGGCAATGAAAGTAAACTTGGGGGCAATTTCAAAAGGTCTCTCTCTGTCTCCCTTTCTATCGAAGGTTGGACGGGAAGGAGTAGTAGTAACGATATGTATGTACTGGGTACGAACGACGACGAGAAGCAGCGATCGAGCGGGCGATTCTATTTATGCTGAAAGTACCAGAGACCTGCTTGAGGGGTGTTGCCTAGCTTTTTGCTAGGACTGGTACGCATGCAGTAGACGTTCACAGATGAAGCAGGCGTTCACAGATGTAGCAGGCGTTCACAGATGTAGCAGGCGTTCACAGATGTAGCAGGCGTTCACAGATGAAGCAGGCGTTTCGTGTGCGTCAACACAGGCAAGCACAGATCAGGGCTGAGTTAAGGTAAGAAAGACTGGGATCTAGCGTTGCAGCTAGCGCTTACTAGGTGCCTGCCGAGAGATGCTTTGGTTTGCGCTGTACAGAGTAGCGGTGGCTGGCTAAGCAGAAGGCTGAAGCATCTTGTTAAGTTGCCGACATCGACGCCACGGGGGGATGGAGGAAGATGGAGTATTATGTCGTACTGTATGTACGTGCAAATAACAGACAGCCACATTCGCTGTTTGAGGCCAGCCATCCACAGCTCGACCATTACACTGTGGAGCGATGGGTGATATCGACATGGCGTCGCTGATCTACATAATACGGTGACGAGTGTTCAGGGTCCTCACTGATTCACGGCCAACTACGAGGTATTCCTACAGTGCCATTTGTTTCAAGCGTTGTCTACCCTCATATGCTTCACGACTTCCTCATCTGCAGGTCTGCTTTTTGCTTTTCAATTCACTTCTGCCTCCGCTTCTCTCAAGCATCGACTACGTTGACCGGTTGTCCCCCGGCAGCCTCTTTGATTCTGGGATCACTTACCTTCGCAATCTCCCTGACAAATTCTTGCCGCCTCCTCTCTTCGAGTGCCCCAGGCTTCCAGTACTCGTACTCAATCCATTCTCCCTCTTTCATCTGTGCCTCAACGGCTTCATGGAACCGAGCCCCCAGTTCCGGTTGCAGGGGTACCACTCCGGTCTCCTCGCAATATATTTCCCAGAGATCCAGCAACTCCTTGAGGATCTCTGGGTGCTTGGTGGAGAGATCTTCCGTCTCGCCGGGGTCTTTGGAGAGATCGTACAGCTGCCACGCCGAGGTGCCCTTGGGGTATGGAATAAAGTCGGCTTTCCACTGTCCCTTGCGAATCGCAGCCCGTCCGCAAAGTTCCCACCCAAACGCCTCGTCAGGATCGTGAACTAGATCTTGCTTGCCGTTCAGCCACGGTGTCATGTCCTTGCCGCGCATCGGGACGATCTGTCGGCCTTTCCACTCAGGAGAGGGATGTTTGATGCCGGCGAGGGAAAGTAGCGTAGGCGCGATGTCCATCACTGTCGCGAACGTCTCGGATATTTCGCCTTCTCGACCTTGATGCATCGGCGGATACCGGATAACGCAAGGCACGCGGACACCTCCTTCGGTCGTATATGCTTTGTACAGTCTACTCGGGGCGGTTGCTGCTTGGGCCCAGCGTGGGCCATACCAGACGAAACTGTCCTTGTTGCCAATGTTCTCGAGTGAATTATTGTAGTACTTGCCAATATGTTCCATCAGCTCACCGGCCACCATGGGGTATGCTTCGTACGCAGCTCCCTCGGCACCATTGTCGGAGAAGAACATAATGTATGTGTTGTCTAACTCACCGATGGATTCCAGGTAGTCGGTGACTCGGCCGATGTTGTGATCTAAGCACTCGACCATCCCAGCGTACGCTTCCATCGAACATGAAGAGGCCTTTTTGTGAAAGTCATCCATTTCATCCCACCCAGGCACTTCGTCCGCAACAACAGGATGCGGCTTGATATCTTTGGGTATCATTCCGAGTTCAATTAGTTTCTCTAGCCGTGCTTGACGAAGAGCTTCTGGGCCTTTCTTATAGATACCGCGATAGTGATCAATGTACTCCTTGGGGGCCTGAAGAGGCCAATGCGGCGCGGAGAAGGGGTAGTATGCGAAGAAGGGCTTCTTGGAGAGTTCCATGTCCTCTTTCCATTCTTTCAAATAGCGCAGCATTCGGCTTCCATATCCATCACTTGAGTACCACCCCTCGGGCAGATCTTTGACATAGTGGTCGTCCTCCATATGTAAAGCAATGACGCTCTTCTCTAGGAACTTTGGAAAATCGGCCTCTGGCCTCCAGTCGTAATGATTTGCGCACGCCGGCAAGAGGGCCAGGCTTCGGTCAAAGCCCCGCGCCTGAGGACTCCGCTCTTTGGTGAGCCCTAAATGCCATTTTCCACTCATGACAGTGTGATATCCTCCGTCTTTCAGAATGTCGGGTAGTGCTGCCACTCGAGCATTCAGGTACCCTTCATACCCAGGCATGCCTCGTTGGGGTGCGGTCGAATACTTGCTTCCTTTGGGAAAGTTCTGGCCCGAGAAATCGGTCCATTCAATCAGGTTGCCCAAGCCCGCAATATGATGATCGGTCCCCGTTAGAATCATTGCTCTTGTTGGAGAGCATGCGGCCGCAGCATGGAAGCCTGTGAGACGGATGCCATCTTTTGCCAACTTGTCGATATTGGGAGTGCGAATCTCGGACCCGAAGCAGCCGGCATCTGAAAATCCCATGTCATCAGCGACGATAATGAGGAAATTGGGGCGTTTGGCAGCCATGGCTGAGTGTCTATCCACGGTCAATGGTCAGGAACAAATGACACCAATGCCGCAGCCCCAACAAGGCAACAATGAGGACGAGAGCAAAGATTCCTAGGCCGGACCGATAGCGAGCAGGAGGGGGAACTGACAAAGGGGCGACGATATCGGAGCAATCTTACAGCGAAGTACCAGCTACATAACTGGGGATGGAGGGGCCTCTTGGAGGGGCAAGTTGCATTTGTCGCGTGCTAACGCGCTAAGCAAAAGTCCAGGGAGCAACGCTTAATAGGCCTGATGCCTGTAGGACCTACAAGTACATTGTAGGTAGCCTCACCAGCCCACTAGCCTAAGCAGTTGGTGACTTGGTTAAAGGCGGGGAGAGCTTGTGAACCCTAGGTGCCTTGGCTGGCGCCAAATTAATCCGGGGAAAGCCTGGAGCCGGGATCAGTGTTCTTGGTGGTGGCGGCCATGGCGTGCCTGAAAGTCTCGCTCTTCCAACTTCATCCTTCTCAGCCAATCTTCTGATAGCTTACAGTATATCAGATTTATTGCACACGCCTGTTACCACTAACTGCCATCCACTTGTCGATCCTTGCTCCTCCCACAGCGATACCACAGTCGGATCTACGCGACTCATACCCTTTACATCTGGTCATCCGAACACTGGATTCCCCCGCATCTATGGCGTGATTGACAGGGCCTGTCTTCTTGCCGTCCAACATTTTGGTCCATCCTTCTCAAACGAATTGCAGTCCGGTGGCCACTGAACCGAACCGTGCTGGAAGTAGCGATTGTGGTGGGTGGTCCATTGCGTTGGTATAAGAGCCCAGCCATGGCGTCTTCTTCCTCGTCCACCGGCTACCAGATTCTGCAGCAAGGCGACACACCTGACACTGTACCGGCCGCCACTGAACAAGAAGTCGCCATGGGCAAGTCGCTCGGCACATTTCGAGCTTGCTACGTGGTAGCCCTGTGCTGCATTGGCTCTTTCCTTTTCGCCTACGACACGGGCATTGTGGGAGGCGTTTTGACGTTTCCCTCGTTTCAAAATGACTTCGGTTACTCAAAGGCCGATAAGACGCAGGTCAATTCAAATTGTGTCTCGATTCTCCAAGCCGGTGCCTTCTTTGGTTGTTTCTTTATCTGGCCGTTGACTGGATGGCTGGGTCGACGATGGGGGTTCATCATCGCCTCTGTTGTGTTCTGCATCGGATGTATCATGCAAGTCATCAACTCCCATTCCATCGGCCTCTTCTATGCTGGGCGAGTCATCTCGGGCTTGGGTACTGGGGCAGCGACGGTGCTGGTCCCAATGTTCTCGGCGGAAATGGCGCCAAAAGAGATTCGAGGCAAGCTCGGCTCTTGCTTTCAGCTGTTTTTCGCGACAGGTGTTTGCGTCAGCTACTGGGTCGACTACGCTGCTCAAGTGGGCATTTCTAAGACTTCTTCAACACAATGGCAGGTCCCCGTTGGCCTGCAGCTCGTCCCGGGTGGCTTACTTGGGCTGGGTATGTTGCTCGTCAGGGAGTCTACTAGGTGGCTCGCGAAGAAGGGTCGCAACGAAGAAGCCTATGCTTCTCTTCTCTGGGTCCGCGGCGGCGTCGATAGTCCAGAGATTCGGGCCGAGTTTGAAGAGATTCTTGCTGGGGTGGAATTGGAAGTACGAGAATCCGAAGGCCTCACGTGGAAGGAACTCCTCTTGCCATCCAACAGATACCGAATGTTCATCGCCATCACGATCCAACTCTGCGCACAACTGACCGGTAACACCTCACTTGCCTACTACGCTCCACAGATCTTTGCTACAATCGGAGCTGGCAACAAGACACTTTTCATCACTGGCTTCTTCGGACTTGTCAAGATAGCTGGCGTTCTGACTTTCATCCTCTTCTTTGTCGAGAAATTCGGTCGCAAGATCCCCTTCATCGTCGGCGCATTTGCAATGGGGAGTTTTATGCTCATCATTGCATTGATCGTCGACACACATCCTCCGAAGTCATCGGCCACGGGAATCACATCGTCTGGAGCGGCTGGTATTGCGATGGTATATCTCGAGGCATTCGCATTCAATATGTCTTGGGGCCCCTTGCCGTGGCTCTATATCGGAGAGATCTTCCCCAACCGGATCCGGGAGATTGGTGTTGCGACAGGCGCAGCAAGTCAGTGGCTCTTCAATTTCGTCATGAGCCAGATCACTCCACATGCCATTTCCAGTATTGGCTGGAGAACGTTCCTCATGTTTGCTATATTCAATTATGCCATTATCTTTTACAGTTATTTCCTCCTCAAGGAGACTACGGGCAAGAGCTTAGAAGAGATGGAAATCGTCTTTGGTACCGTGGATCGGCTTCCCACCAAGGATGATGACGAGCTGGAATCGCACGCTGCACATGACGACACCACCAGAGAGATCCATGAAACGACTAAGTGAGATTATACACAGTGCAGATTCATAAAAATCAAAGTCAATTGATGAATGCGAGATAGATTATCTATGGGGAAAACGAGATGACAATGCCAAAACAATTGAACATTTACAGATTGAATCGAATGTTTCGCCGTAGCGCATGCGGTGCCTCCTTCCTTGACAGTACTTCGTATAATTGTCGTATTTCACTTTTCATTCACGGCCCAAGTATTCCTTCTATAGTTCTCCATTCTCAATTTCAGAAAAGGGAAGATATTTACTGACCAGTTTCGTATTACAACTGCCAGCACAATAGGCTCGCGACCACCGAGCCACAAGACGGGCCAAACATGTCCAACCCTCCACCCGCGCCCGCTGCTCCTCCGAGACGACGATCGTCTTTTGCATATGATCCTGCTCGAGACACTTTCAAAGAACTACCCGACACCATAGCTGAACAAGCAATTGCCGAAGATGTCGAGGAAGATGCAAAGACCACGGCTCCGGCAACGTCCAGTCCGGCAGCAGAAGCCGCAACGGATCAATCTCGAAAGCGAAGACGATCGGAATCGCCCGACAAAGAAGTGAAGGCTACGACTAAGGCAAAGAGACAGGAAGTTGATGGGACACCTCTAGTGAAGAAATCACGCGCTTCCATTTCGCCTTCGAGACGAGACAAATTTTCGCCCAGACCTTCAACAAATGGAACTCTTGCCGAGAAACCCAAGCCCAGAACACCGGCAGATCTGCCCCGAATTCCACGTAAAACGAGAGAAGAGGGCGAAGTCTATACATCACGCCGCGCGCCCGACGCGTATAGTAGACGACCGGACACCGATGACCGTCGAAGAGACCGAAGAGACGCGCTCCCCAAACGTCGATCACGATCCCCTCCTCGGCGACGTTCCCCCCTAGACGCCTACCGTCGCCGCTCTCCTCCACAAGAGCGTCGCAAATCCCCCTCCCCGATTCGTGGCTCTCCACCACGAGATATAATCCGTCCCGGCGGTGCTCGCGGTCGAGGTCGTAACGTGCTAGCCGAACAACAGCGTCTTGCTGCCGAGCGCGAGCAGAAGCAGGCGGAGCTACATGTTCAAGTCAATCGCGGTGTTCAAGATGTCTCAAACCAGTTCTACAATGCACGGCCGGAGTGGGTGAAGGAGAGGGGACGAGATTGGCGAAGGAACGAATCTCAAATTAAAGGACTTCGCAGTTTCAACAATTGGATCAAGTCGTGCCTCATCCACAAATTCAGTCCGGAAGAGAAAACCGAGGAGGAAGAGTTGGGTTGGGGGGAGGAAGCGAAAGAGCCAGCAGCTCAGAAGCCACTTCTTGTCCTCGACATCGGATGTGGTAAAGGCGGTGACCTGGGGAAATGGCAACTAGCTCCGCAAACTGTTGGGTTGTATGTCGGTCTCGATCCGGCCGAGACGAGTATCCAACAAGCTCATGAGCGATATCAACAGATGCGACGAGGTCGCCGTCCCATTTTCGACGCCCGCTTCGTACCGCAGGATTGCTTCGGTGCCTGGATTGGCGACATCGGCATTGTTCGCGAAGTCGGCATCGACCCCAATGCAGGAAATGGCCAACCTACTCGCTGGAGCGGTGGCGGCTTTGACGTCGTGACTTGCATGTTCGCTATGCACTACTCATTTGAGTCCGAAGAGAAAGTACGAATGATGCTCCGCAACGTGGCGGGGAGTTTGAAGAAAGGAGGACGATTTATCGGCGTGGTGCCGAACAGTGACGTTTGTGCGGCGAAGATCAGAGAATGGTTCAAGGATAAAGAAGCGAAGAAGGCCCTGGAGCATGGCTCCAACGATGCCAACTCTGAGAAAGAGGACGGCGAAGCCGACGAAGAAGGCCCTCAATGGGGCAATGCCATCTACAACGTCCGGTTCCCGATCGACCCATTGCGCCCCTTACAGCCAGATGGTTCCTTTCGCCCACCGTTCAGTTGGAAATACACTTACTGGATGGCCGAAGCCGTCGACGTCCCCGAATTCGTGGTGCCTTGGGAAGCTTTCCGTGCGTTGGCTGAACACTACAACTTGGAGCAACGCTACAGAAAGCCGTTTTTGGACATTTGGCAACAAGAGCAAGGGAATCGTGAGATGGTGCATCTAGCAGCGAGGATGGGAGTGACCAAGCATGAAGGCGGGGAGATGCTGCTGAGTGAGGACGAGAAGGATGCAGTGGCGTTCTATCATGCTTTTTGCTTTGTGAAGGTGTAAATGGACCCTTGGTTTTGTCCCTCCGTGGCGGTCTGCCTCAAACGCGTGTTCTTTGATTGGACGGATGGGTGGAAGGACCGACCATCCTTGCAGAGTTATTGAGGCTCATTGAGGTCCTGTTCGGAATGCGAACGAACCACAGGGGCAGCTTATGCGTATTGATATTCAAAAGTCTTGATAACTCACGACATCGGCCGGCTATGTAGAGTTATTTTATATCAGCCCCAGACTATACATCCTCTCCCCTGGCTTATTAACTTTACCAAGGATCTAATTCCATTGCGATTCCCATTGTGATTCCCATTGCGATTCCAAATGCAATTCCCATTATGATTCCCATGATCATGCCCTTAATCGAGACCCCCCGCCTGCGCATGCACTTTTTGGTTCGGGTGATTGACCCTCGAACAAATTCTGATGGTACCCAATCGGAAAGGGAAAGTGCTGAATTGACTGGCAAAATGACAGACTAGTTTGTCGCGACGGGCGAGCGGCTATAAGCAGAAGAATTAGAAGATGTAAAAACTTTGGTTGTGCTTTTTTCTTCATATATCTCTCAAGGACGGAGACGAGGGGATGGAACGAGAGAACGTACCAGTAAATACATGTCACGCGGTCCCCGGTGGACCTTGCCGCCCACTCATCAAAGCAGATGGCGTGCGTGGCGTTGTGGCACGTCGCACAGCACCAGGTGCTGCTGCTGTTGCTTCGCCTTTGACTCTGAGAGGGCAGGTCGCACAGGCAGATACCGCATTCGGATTCGGCAGGGGACGAGGATGGGGATGATGCGCGGCGGGTCCGGGACAGGGATGAAGACGAAGACGAGGAGCGGGAAGTGCGGGTACCGCTACCTCCTGCCGATGAAGACGAGAGGGACGGACCGCGAGGGGCAGATGGTGGTGGAAGGACAGGTCGCGCAGGACCCCCGAAGGCTGCATGTCTCGGGGATCTCTCGTCTGAAGATGGCTCTTCTCCGGACTCCTCATCTGAAGAGTATTCGTCTTCGTCGGATGTCCCATCTGAGGGATATCGCTCTTCATCAGACACTTCACCGCCATGCCTTCCAGAGGCTGCTTCAATGGCTGGCGTCTGTGCCATTCGGTTGTCCATTCGGTAATAGTAGCCGGCCATAATGGCCTCAATGGACCTGATTGTCTGACTTCGTAACTCGAAGCGGGCGGCCAACTCGCCGAGAAGGTCCTCGTCTCCGATTGATGAGAGTGGCATTGCGGTTCTCGTCGGCGACGCAACATGGCTGTTGCTGAGCTGGCGTCGACTAGAAGAAGAAGAAGAAGAAGAAGTAGACCTTCGAGGCTGAACCCTTGTGTAGCGTCCTGCATCCTGTCTTTCCTCCACATATTCGATCACTCTATCACCCCATTTCCGGGCTTTTAAGGGGGCCTGACTCTGGTGGTTTCTACTCCTCGCTCAAAAGGTCGCGTCAGCCATTTGATCTTTGTCCAAAAGCCGAAAAGTGATTGCTCTCGGTCGGCACAGCAGAATGGCTCAAAAGGACATACCTTTTGCAATGAAGCAGTTTTGCTACATTTTGCAACTGCGCTCCCAGCCTTGAGGGATTGACTCCCCGCGCCAGAGCATCGCAGATATCCACAAGTTCCCTTGTAGCTGCGTAACGAGATGTCGCTGCTACTGGATTTTGGCAGGTTGGTTTGTTAACACAGTATCCGATGCATGTATATTGGTTCTCAGGATGCGAGATGCCCAAAACGCGGCAGAGCTTCTGGATAGTAGGCATATTGAAATATAATCGAATTCGGGAACCCCAGAGTGTTAGGAGACAAGAGGTCTATGTCAGTATTCGTTGAAGACTGGATGATAGGCTTACAGGAATCTGAGCGGTCTTTATAAACTCGCATGCTCTCAAAGAAGCAAGAAAGATTCTCGCACAGTCAGACCTCAGGCCATGGTTTAATGCACAGCCACTGACTTTGTTGCTTCTAAAAGACTCGGCAGTTGATTCCGAGACAGCCAGGTGTAAATGAGGCCGTTCAGCCACCGGCGCACTCGAGGGGTTCAGGATAATTGGCTAGAAGCAAGGAGCTCCTTGTTCGTCCTTCATCCCGATGGCGCAATATGCGGCAAGAAAAGAGGCGCAGTTCAGGCTTCGAGGACAGATGCGTGGTTGCGGATGCGGCCAAAGAGGCCCGGGTCAGGGGGTCCAGACACATAGTGTATCAAAGAGCCCCTGACCTTTCACAGCCCCAGATGGCTTGCAAGGAGGCAATGCACCCTGCAATCGCTCCAATTGAGGCGGGAATGGTCATATTGACGAATAGTCTGCAAAGGATAACCCCTTGGGTGGCAGAAAGGGTATAGTATGGTGACGACCTCGCATTGACCTTGACAGGATTTCTTCGGCCTCCTGCGGACATTTCGTACCAGGCGCTTAAGACGCAGAGATACCGGCTGCACTGCCCATTCACTCACTCCAGGGCGTATCGGGGCCGTCCAGATGAAGAGGAAGCGAGAAGGAAACATCCCTCAGGCAAGTACCCATGATGATTTGGTCTAGTATCAGCACGACACTTTCTGGTGACAGCGAAGGTCTTTTCAAGGTCTCGCCTTTGGACGGAATCGTACAAAAATCCTTGTGCTTTCTGATACGAGAGTCCTCTTCGCCGGCGGTGACGACGGCACACTGCTCCTGCTGCGACCATGGAATCTCAGCATCAGAAGCGGGATCAGCACACCGACACTAGCCACGGCCGCAAAAGAGACCATGTACTGTGAATATAGAAGTTTTTCCCAACACTAGCTCGTGATTTCGACCTTTGTTGATGGCAGTCCATTCTGCACATAGATACATACTGCTGGTGGGAACACATTCAGTTCAATCACCCAGGTATCAGACAGGAATCGGAGGTAGCCAGGCACAAGGCAATCAAGCATAGGCTTAAAGTCGTTACAGTCGTCACAGCCTGGGTCCGTGTCATCGGGAATCATAAAGGCAGACTAAGAAACAGCACTTCGAGAAACTGAACACGTTGAAAGAAAACGCAGAGAGAAATTTGTTTGTGACCCAAGCGAAAATCAACACAACGCAACTGATCTAGAGTTCAAATGACACAGTCAGACAGAATCATTATTTCCAGCGCCAGACCAAAAGGGGATATTAATGTGTTAACAGGCAAGATCGAATCAGGTGGAGAGTAATATTTTGCATTCAATTTAAGGAGTGATTACGTTCGATGTGTATGTATACTATATTAATGCTAAACCTCCGCTATGCTGAAAAAGATACAAATTATGCCACCAAATGCAAGCCGCATTATAAAGACATACTGCCCTGCAGCCCTATGCTTGTTCACGTTACTGATATTACTTAACTCGACTCGTTCTCCGCGGCTGCCCGACTTCTAACTAACCCCTACCAGGCACCGACCGAAGTGGGCACGGCCATGGTGATTGTGATCCATTGGCAGCCAACACACTCACTCAAACCGTAGAAGAAGTTTGGCGCCAAGGTAGGGGTGGCGGTGACAGTCACCGTGGCGGGAGCAGGGCAACCACTAGAACTGGTGGTTGTTGGCTTGGGAGGGGGGGGATTGCACTGGCCGTTGGCGGCTGTGCCATATCCGCACCAATGGGACCAAGGAGTAGTTGTAGAAGTGGTAGAGGTGCTAGTCGAGGTTGGGGTCGGGTTGCACTTCCCATTCAAAGCAGTGCCAAACCCACAATAGTGAGAAACAGAGGTAGTCGGGCTGCTGGTTGCACTGCTGGTGCTAGAGCTGCTCGCCTTGGTTGTTGTGCTTGTGCTACTGCTGGCACTTGTGCTAGAGCTGGTCGTCTTGCTTGCACTGCTGCTGGTGCTCGTGCTCTTTGTTGCAGTGGTCATGGAATGCGAGGAGGAAGTGGTAGTAGTGACAGTCGAGGTGCTGGTGCTCGTTGGAGTGATACATTTTCCGTCCAGCGCGGTGCCAAACCCACAATAGTATGACGTGGTCGTTGTAGATGAAGTGGACGTCGTAGTCGTTGTAGGAGTAACGCACTTGCCGTCCAAGGCCGTGCCAAACCCGCAGTAGTATGATGTCGTTGTAGAACTGGATGAAGTCGATGTAGTGGTTGATGAGGGGGTAATACATTTGCCATCGAGGGCGGTTCCGAAACCACAATAGAAGCTCGATGTAGAAGTAGAGGATACAGAGCTCGTGGTCGTAGTTGGAACAATGCAGGAACCATCTGCATTAGTGCCGAAACCACAATAGTAGGAAGTGGTGGTGGTGTTTGTCACTGGAATAGCCAACGCGCCTGTGGCAAGTGCCGCAATAAGGAAAGAAATCGAAGAATGCATATTTGATGAATAGTGATTGATGATATGCTTGAGAATTGGAAACGTATTCCTTGGTGTTTCTTGAAGCGAGTGTGGTGAGGAAATTAGTCTGTTAAAACGATTGTGGTAAGGAAACGAGAGGTAAGGAGATTGTTGCGATGATTGTTTTGCTGTTGAGATGATGGGCAAGTCCGAATTCCAGCAGCGAGGTACTCACCTTCTTATACAACAGTATATGAGCCTGAAAGTATACCTGGTAGTTTGATGCTGTCATGCGAACCATGGTGACAATTAAGGTGTAGCATTGCTTGCGATGGTTGAAAGTTTGCAGAGGCCATGGCACTGAGGCTCGGGGCTTAGCTGTAACGTGTGGGTGGTGTTGTTCAAAACCAGGATCGCATGGCGATTGGCTCGCATAAAGGTAGATCATGCGAGTCATATTCGAATCGACATCGAGGCTGAAGTGAGAGAAATTCTGTGGAGAGAGCTCTCAAGAGCTGGGCGGCTGAGCGCGAAAGGCTGGGATCCAGTTTCAAGGCGCAGCAAAAACAAGAGGTCGAAGCTGAACCAATCATGATGTCCCAAATTAAAATATCTAACCGCATACGGTTCGGGCAGCCGGGGTTCCGGAAAAGCATTTTATCCGATGCGAGAACACGCCATCGATGCCATGAGGTAGTATTTTTCCAGTGGCACCTCGAGCAGATACAGTAGCAGCTACCACAGTATGGACTGCACCAGGCTGCGCTTCTTGTCTCAGGACTGTACCTTCTTTTGGATCGAGAGGGATGGGCACATGACCCGACTGAGTCCATGGATATTTCATGACGTGACGTGTCCAGAGGCAATTCCGAGAACGGGCGTTTCTATTTTCGAAGCCTCCACATCTCACATCCCATTGCGACTTGGTTGAATGCCTTTAAGCTACCTCAAGGCGTTGTTCACGGAGCGCCGCGGAGCAAAGCTTCACCTCCAGCATCCGGGAAGAGAGCAAGGACCATGCATGGCAGCCGCTGAGACATCAGAAAACGAGCCGTAAGCAGGGAGGATGTGTCGATGGCACGGTGGGACAGGTAGTCACGATGAAGGTACCGATCTCTTTGGGCCGAGGCGATTTCGGAGATCGTAGATCGTAGAGCAGGGCTCATACATTAGGTACGTAGTTCAAGTACCAACATTAATACTTGTTAGACAGTGTTTGAAAAATCAATGTCAAGAGGACTCGGGAGGAGCGAGCGAGGTACCCGGTACCTCGTATTGCTCGTACAGGGGGGCAGTTCCAAGCTTGGCGCGTTCGCCATGCTCCGCCGAGACATTTTCCAGGCGCGTCATCGACTCAACACGTGCCTGCAATTTGTACCTACTCGTGCTACCGAGCAGCGAGAGCTCCATGTTGTATCAACAGAACAATGAGGTCTAAACACTAAAGTCTCGCCATCACTCCCCCCAGCAACGTCGCCCAATATGTTTGGCGCTTTAAACCGCTTTATAGCTCGCCTCGACGGTGAGCCGCCTCCACGCCAGGCTGATGCAGGACCTCCGGATACCTCATATGGCTTTCAAGTCCTTCGAAACACGAACAAGGACCTCCCTATTGAGCCCTGGTTTGACTTCATCATCGGCATCAACGGCCATTACCTGGTATTTGTTTAGCTCAATAAGGAGCAACAAGTACTAGATCGCATGCTGACTCCCTGAAGGACTCTCCCGATCCCACCTTGTTTACGACGGAACTGCGCAACTGCGCCGGTGGATACTGTTCCCTGGATCTATGGAGCGCAAAGGTACGAGGTCCCTTCCGCGCCCGGAAATTATGCTTTCTGATCATTGTGCAGGGCCAGAGAACACATTCAGTCAGCGTCGCCGTCCCCGCGCTCCCCGAAACGCTCGGGCTCTCCCTACAACTCGCACCTCTCAGTTCCTCACACAACATCTGGCACGTTCTTAGCATTCCCTCTCCTTTGTCTCCCGCCCATCAAGCGGGGCTCGTACCACACAGCGACTACATCCTAGGCTCCCCAAGCGGTACTTTGAAAGGAGAAGGTGCTCTCGGCGAGCTCGTCGAAGACCACCTTAACCGCAGTCTGGTGCTGTGGGTCTACAACTCGGAATTCGACGTGGTTAGAGAGGTGGAACTCGTGCCGCGAAGAGGATGGGGAGGAGAGGGCGCTTTGGGTGCGATCCTTGGTTTTGGCGCCCTGCATCGTCTACCCGTGGGGTTGGGAGAGGAGGTGCAAGCACCAGGAGAAAATCTATTTGATGCTGATAGGAAGAGCTGGGAGAATGGACAACAGGAGATGTTTACCAACACTTTCCAGGCTGCCCCAGCTCAGGATCTACCTCCACCACCGATGGTTAACCCGAATATTCCTCCGCCGCCACTGATGAATCCCGATGCTACACCGCCCAATGCATCCGCAGCTTCCAGATCACGAAAAGGCAGACATCATGGCGCAGCCGCTCTTGGTAGTGGCTTCGATGATATATTTGCTGAAGGGGCAAAGAAGAGTGCCGAGCAAGATCATGTGCCTTCGAGAAAGGGCACACCGCTTGCCCCGCCGCCGAAAGTCACATCCGCTGGACCAACACCACATTCCGTCACCCATGAGCAAGGAGATCCACTGGCACAAGCTGGGGAAGATCTTGGTGAACCTGGTGATGCCGAAGAAACGTGAGGGGGTATGGTCGGCAGACCCCTCGGTGGTCACAGGCAGTCTTGAAAGGAGTGCCGATGAGGAAACCCAATCTCGAACGTCAAGCCTCGGAAATGAGTGGTTCAACTTGATGTACCAGTTGCACCAACCTCATCGTTCCACCACCCCATAAACTCACGGATCCTGCCGGACCTCTCCTTCGCCATTGCCTTTCCAGTCTCAGTCTTCATCATGGCCTCCAGCTTAAGCAACTTATCCTCAAAGTGCTGAATCGAGTCTTGCAAACTCCTAGCACCCTTGGCCCCACCAAATGTGAAACATCGAGCAATTCCAATGGCGCCAATGGCATCAAGTCGATCAGCGTCTTGAACAATAGCCAGCTCTGGTATGGCGTCAATGAGATCTTTAACGCGTCGAGGATTCTTCACCTCAGAGGAATACGATACACCCTCGACCAACAACTGAATATGCTCAGCATAGCTGTCTGGCATCCCGGCTTCAACCACCGCCTTTCGCAAACTCAGCTTTTGTCGCTCCGTTGTCACATCAACATACTTCTTGTCCTCAACGTCATGCAACAACGCGCCTAAAATGACACTCAGAGGATTCAACGCGGGCAAAGCCTTCTGTTTCCGCTCCTCTTCTTCCTTTTCAAGGATTGTTAGAGCATTGCTGAGGACTCGCCGCACGTGGTTGAAGTCATGGGACGCGTCAAAGCGCGGGTCTTGGAAGTACCCCTCGGTGAAGGCGTAGATGTTCCGGACGGTGGCAATTTCGTGGTCGGAGAGGCTGGGATAGGTTGCTGGATCGATGTACTTATGCCTGGCCATGTTGGACGTCAAACTGAATGTCGAAAACACTGACAGCCCGAGAAGAGTGAGAAGAGTGAGAAGAGGATATCCACCTCGGACGTGGGTACCGGCGGCACGCGACCAGAAAGATTAGCAGCTGGAAATGGAAAAGCTTTATCTTGGACCTCTTCAGCTCATAACTGAGTTATCCGGAGCAACGCCCTGCCGTATCCGAGTTCTGTCTTCCTAGAAATGTGACGGCATTCGTGTATCGCAAGTGAAGAGATCGATGACAGGAGATGATTTGCGGAACTTTTTGAGCCTCCCGTTTGCAAGGCGCCGAGACGCCAAGGCGGTAAAACGTCGGAGTTTTTTCCTTTTTCATGCTCAGTGGGAAGGTGAAGGCAGCCTCGGGAAACTTCCTTCCACTTCTCACTCAGCCTTGTCAATCACCTCGCTTACAGGGCGGGAGGGAAAGGGAGGGTTTCTCCTCCTGTGCCTGCTTCTCACAACTACTTGCAGCGTTCAATGCCTCCGTCGCAAATTTCTACGCCGCCAGACCCTTTGGAATGCTGTACGTCAAGAAGTACTAGCTAAAACTAGTGATTGAGGTCGGATCAATACAGGAGCAAATGGTACTGTGAAAGTTCGATGCAAAAAGCGAGACCAACACCCAGCAGGATTGGGTTCTGGCACTGCTGGAATCCTTGGAGGCGTGCGCCTTTGCTTACAGTTGAAATTAATCCTGGTGCCTTTTGATACTCCGTCTCGACTTCGACTCTAATTTGGAAGAGACTCCTTTAACCCCAGCTCCATCACGGCATGGATGTTGCCAGGTATGTTCTTGGTACTGCGCAGCTCCAATCTCGGATCGGCTTGCTCAAACAATGCCTTCCAGCCACTTTCGTCCCTCTCGCATCCGTTAAAACTGAGCATCATCTCTATATCCAAAACTCTGAGAAGCCAGTGGTCAGTACACTTTGTCATGTTTCTGGGACACAGGGACTTCACCTTGCTCGACTTTCATCGAATTTGCTCAAGACACCGACCTCAGGCATGACGGCATCAACGATCACAATCCTGCTATTGCGGCCCATGGCGGGGGTTATGTTGCTCAATATCTGTGCAGCATACTTGTCCGAGTAATCGTGGCAGATGAACCTCAGCAGATACACATCGGCGTTCTTGACAAGCTGCGGTGTGAAGAAATTATGCGCTTGGAATTCGATTCGTTCAACGTGCTTGTCGTTGGCTCGCTCTTGCTGAGCTTGAGTCGCCACCTTTTCAAGATCTTGTACGATGAACTTCAGCTCTGGCGCGATTTCGGCAATCTCAAAACAGCAATGTCCAAAGCTACCACCCACATCGACCACGAGTCCGTCACCGAATGCTTTCCAGTCGAATGCTTCTACCAAATGTTTGATGTTGTAGCTCTCTCCGGATGCTAGGAACCGCATGCAGCCCATGAACCGTTGTAACCGCGCTGGATACATTTCGAAGTACTCGAACATTGGCAGGTCGGTGTTGTGGCCCAGATTCCATGCCGTGGCGTTTTTTTCTTGGCTTCCCGGATGCTTGTCCACTGCCTCGACGAGGCTTGGAGCCGCGAGGAAGCTCTCCTCGGTCGCGTACCCGACCATATCCCTGAAATCAGGTGCCAATAAGGTCTTGGACAAGGCAGTATGAGCCACATGACCCGGTCTGGATTGCCGAAACATATTCTGGGTCATTGCATATTTCAGCACTCTGGCACATTGACCCTCCAACGTGCCGGTCTTTGCTGCAAGGTCGTTGTAGCTTATGTCTCCAGCGACAGGTACTCCCTCGGCGAGCCGATAGTGGTAGATGTATTGCATACATGCCGACATGAAATGCGAAAGCAAAAGACTCAGAGACGCTTCCGTTGGACCCGAGACTAACTGCAGCAGGATACCGCATGCTTCTCGGAGTTTTGTTCGCGCATCAAAAATGTCCTCATCGAGCCGTGGATATCTGTCGACATTGGTCGGTCCAGTCCCAGCGAAGAATGGGTATGCGTCTGCGACAAGCGAGAGCGAGGGAAGGGAGTTCTGCCGCAAGTATTCGGAAATTGTACTGGCGTTAGTTTGAATCTGCCGAGCCAGGTCGAGAATGGAAGCGTCGGTGGAATTGGACATGATTTTTCTTCGAGCCGGCGGGCCTGCTGCGGGATAGAATGAATGCTCGCTCTCAGAAGACAATTGTGTATTCAGGACAATCTACCGCAAGGTTATTATATGTGTCTCCATCCTCCGCCTCTATCTCTTAAGTAACACCCTTTCTCAAGCTCACATTATGCAACATCTCGCCACCCCAGGGAGGGTCAATCTGACAAAAGTAATCTGGGCCGTCCAATCTGAGCGATAGACGAGCGGGCTTTCAGGGGCGGCCTGATTGATGAAAGATGTACCACCACGGCCTTATAAGACTAAACGAGGCCAAAAGGGCCGGCATGATGATGTGATCGAGGCAAATCCAGAGTATTCACTTGCTCTGGAAGTGGATGCGGATGTGGAGCCCGAAGGCGTTGACCCGCGTGTCTCCATATCCAGTTTAAATACACAGGTACCTTCGTGTGTCCTATTATTTACAGTAGCGCCGAAGTTTCAAATTTCAGATCCGGCGGGGTATCATGTCTATCCTGCAGGCTATACGAACTTTCCGTGCACAGCGGAGAGCGAGACAATGGATGGACGACAAAGATAGTAGGAACAGGACGAAGTCTTAACCCCTGAATATTGGAGGATTGGAGCGTTGGTTCAGGGTTGGCTCGTACGCCATTTCCACCACTCGGTCCTCGATTTTGGAATGCTGCACCGCTTCGCACGCACATCAGTCAAGGCGCTCAGGCCTCCGGAATGTTATTTAGACCATGAATGTGGAATGAAAATGATAGTATACTGCCATTGGGAAAACGTAGATGTTTAGGACCGAAATGATGACAACTCTGCGAAACAATGCGCATTCAAAGCCACGCTATGCGGCGCTTTTTCCAACCCGGCGCATGTTGTCACGATTGTCATCTGCCTTTGTCTTCCGTGTCGACATATGCTCTTATCCTTTGCCCTCGATGTGAGCGACCAGCGTTACCGAGACAATTCAGGCGGCCCGTTATATCCATGCAAAACCCCACGACACACAACCAGGTCGAAACCAAGCTTCGTGCCATATTTCTTGCCTCGATGCCCGTGAGCTGCGGTCGTCGGTTGATCACGGTTGCAGGGATTGTAGGGCTTGAGATAGCCGGAGAATGAGTGATGGCATCAAGCATGCACGGCTCTGGAGTGAGCAATGTCGTGAACACCTTGCAACACGCATAAACCACAGATGGCGGGGTAGGTAGTCCTCCGTTCAGTGCATAAGGATATGGTTGTGACTGGATCTCCGTGTGGGCGTGAGGTTGTGAATTGCGTGTCTTCGGGGCAGAGCTGTAATCGAGGCTACCATACGGTCACTGCGATGATACAACTCTGTCAAGTATTAGGCTTTCAGCCTTCGCAACTGGATCTAGTTGAGCTGAAGACCCCGGAGGTCGTCGATTGAGGCATCACCGGCTTCCGTTGAGGCCGAGTAGAAGTTGCGGCATCTGGTGCAGATGGTCAGACCGGCCATGGGACCCTGTTTGTGATATCTGGCGATTTGAGCCCTGAGTTCTTCAACTTCCTGCTCGAGACGGCGGAGTTCTTCTTTTCGCTTTTGTCGGAAATTGCTTTGGGCTTTGCGGTTTTGCTCACGCCGTCGATGCTTTCGATCCATCATCTTTGTGTGAGTAAAATTTGACTGTAGAGGCAACTCTGTAAAATCGATTGCGGTGGCGTCTTTTGTGCCGAAGTCATCTGACTGTCCGCTGCTCGCATAGTCGACTGAGAAACTAACGCCCGAGGGATCCATGAACGTGTTGCCATAAAGATTACTAGATTGGGACTGCTGAGAGTTGCTTTCCTTTAGGGGTTCGCTTGAATGAAGCACTGGCGAACTCTCAGCTGAGTCGAAGAAAAGATCCAAGATTTCCATTGGGCCTTGATCAGAAGAAGCTGACGAGGGATAGGACCAGCCATATGCGACGGTGCTGAAATCTGATGGAAGGACCAAACCGATGTTTTGTTCAATTGCTTGCATTGCTCGATGATTGAATACAGTGTTGGCGATCTCTCAACAAGTCGTAGTGATTGGAGCCACGTTGGGTTTGATTATGTGAGGCTCAAGCAGAACGAATTCGCTGGTGTTGCTGATCTTTGCAAGTGTTGACCGAGGATTAAACATACCACGGCTAGGAAATGTGTGGTGTTGTTATATCCAACGAGGCTGGCTTGCAACGCACAAGGGCTCAGTCAACCCCCGAGAAATGACGCAGTACATAGTATCGGGCCCACAGGGTGTTCCTCCCCTTTCGCAAGGACATGATAGGAAAACCTTAGATCCTGACATAATGCAGGACTGGTCTGGCCAGAATAGACTCACCTTTGGGAAAGTTGGGATTCGAAGAGAGATTTTTGCTCTGACAAAGCATGGTGACGGAAAAGAATGAGTTTCGGGTTGCAAGAGTCGTGGGCGGAGAACAGTCACGCCAACAACAAAAAAGCCCAAGGTGCCTGGGAGGGGAAGCCAGACGAGATGCGGGGTTTTTCCGGTCAGAGAGGAATAGAAGAGTAGCCTCGGCAGCCACCTCTCCATAACGAGCTGGATGATGACTGGATGAGTGACGTGATGTTTCTATATTACTATACCTAATCGGGAAAGTGGGTTGTTGCTTATTAGAACCCCCGAGTACCTACCGCTACCCTCTTGTGAGGCCTTTAGCGCCTTGACATTGGTTTCCATTGCCTACCAAGTAGATGACGCTGTCACCGGTGTCTTTCTTCCTAGGTACTCCTGTGGAGGGTAACGTGGTGGTATGGTGTTGTTTAGCTACACTCGCTATATATCCACATACTACTACATACCTACGATACTGTTCCTCTTATCCTCCTAAGCCTGTCACCGTCCCATCCTCCTGCTCTTCACTTCCCCGACGCACCCCGCCGTGCTTCCGCCCGATACTGTCTGAATCAGCTCCGCCTACTGCATTTGGACCCCGATCCTCGATTCTACTTCGATTTTCCATTGGCTCCTTCAAAATCTGCCTCGCCTCTTCCCGTCCCTGATTGTGACAACCTACACAGGAAGACCTCGAGGAGAGGCTGTTTCGGCCCACCTTCTCAAAGCCTCCAATCCCTCAATAAAGCACTTGATCTCCCTTGGTAGAAAGCACGGAAGAAGAAATGTTGCAATAGTTTAGAGTCCTGTTAATCACCCCCGAAAAACTAATCTGATCGTGAAATGTTTATGTTCATCGCACGTCCCTTGACCCTCTGGTTTTGTTTCTTTAGCCTCGTTGGCCTAGAGGCAATTTCTACGGCCGAAACACTGAGCCCTGGCTCATCGGTGCCATGAATCTCATTTAGTCAAAAACCCATGGCTTGGATTGCCCCGTCTGAAAACTCACGGTCGGATTCCGGGAGGAACATGTCTTACCGTAATCCTTCGATATGGCATCATCGCCAATTGCAACAACGTCTTGGGTCCTTCCGAGCCTTAGATGTCGCATCACAATCAGTGGGAGAATATAGGGCCAAAGCTCTTGTCGTTCATCCCAAAGACCATCAGGTCTCTTCACCAGAGCCGTGATAAAATCAGGCGCCATGTTGCTCGTCCTGCCAGAAGTGCAGTAGCGGTGAACACAAGTATGCTTGCACAGCTCAGCCACATAAGAGATCACAACCTGGTCCCGAATTTCGACCATTTTGAGAAATGTTCGAGGCGAAACTCCATTTCCAGGAGCGGCATTCAAGAAGCTCAGAAATGTGGCCCCCTGAATGCAGCGCTTTGCGCAATCCTCGTCGCCCGTTGCGAAGGCGAACTCCGCGTGGAGGGTGAAACTCAATTCGGGTTCAGATTGGAGTCCAGGAAATTTTAAAACCTGGCAAGCGCACGCTGCGTAATCACCCTGTCGGAGACACACAAAACTCCTTGCACGTATGGTGAGCATGGTATTGAACCGACAGCTCTGAACCGGGAGATTCAAGAGCTTATTGGAGACGGGCTCTGGGTCCTGAGAACAGTCCAACTTGCTCATGGCATCTTCCGGAAGACCTATTCTCTGAAAAATGTCTCGAAAAATGGCCTCAGCAGGAATGAGATAGGTGAGTTTCATTGCAGGACTACAAGCAATGACAATCCCGTAGAGAGTCCGGAGATCTAGGCTCATGACCCAAGATACCACAGTCACCTGGCTCTTTTCAATAACGTTAGCTCTGCTTTGGGAGGGATTGCTTCACGTACCAGTCATTCCTTGCACGGCCCACACTTTGGCTAACTTCGAGTTCCAAGGCAGTGAGATGCTGCTCGACATTCCTAGGAGCTTGCCCCAAAGCAGCCCAGATTTCCCGCAGAACATCAAGATCTGCCGATTTGGCGGAGAGACTCCTGGAAATACCTGTTGAACACGATGGCATTCTGGGGGTTTTATTTGCACCATTGGCCGATGCGACCGACCGACCAATGCCCAGTCTAGAGCCGGGTTGATGGATTGTGGCCCAGGACTCCAGTGACGCTGGTCAGCCCCAGCGTCTGCTGCTGACTCGATGTCAAATTGAACCAAGTGGTCATTGGTTCGATCAGCGTTGGAGCTGCGTGTTGGGTCGTTGTTTCTACCATCATTAATGTTTCCGCTGTCGCCGTCAATGTCGCCGTCAATGTCGCTGTCATTGTCGTCGTCATTGTCATCGTCACTTTCGCTGTCACACTCCGATTCAGACCCATCTTCAGAATTATCCAAACTGTAATCATTGGGCTGGTCATCTAAATCTTTCATGAAAGCGTGAGCTGCAGTGAGGGCAGAACGCTCCTTACCGAATTTGAGGTAACCTCCAACCTTCCAAGTTTCATCACTGGCAGCGGCACTTCTAATTTTGAGTAGCCGCCCAGAGAGTATCAAAGACATTTCGCGGTCCCCTTCATTAAGACGGCTCAAATGTTGCGTATGGGTGTCCTGCCATGGTGCCTGCCAGGCGAACTCAGGGGCACTCAGTCCAAGAGCCGTGCCATACGCCGTAGATTTGGTGCAGAAGTCCCATTTGTCCTCACAGGCCAGGAGTTCGAACCCAAAGCCCTGCATGTCAGGATGTTTTCGGAGGACATCGACAGCCCTTTTTGCATGTTCTTCACATCTATCCATAATGATGATGAATGGACGCTCCCTTCGACGTTCGAGCGTTTTGCTAAGCATCAGCAATTGGAGAATGAACCGCGGAGTCTGAGGTTTGGCAGAGCCTCGACCGAATATCTTGCGCTGATTCTTTTTGGAGCAGATAATCTGCCAGAGGTGCTGCGAAATGTAGTCTTCCAGTGGTCGTTCAGCGATGCTGCTGGAGGCCATGCATAGCACCTATTATACTTATATCGGATCTCAACGATTTCAACCTGTCCGATGCATCCTTCCCTCTCTGCAGTCGTCAATCCTGCCCAACTTGTGAATCTCTTTGAAGGCCCCTTGAGAATCATTCCAGCTGATTCGGTCAAGGTATTGTTCACCACAGCAACTGGGGTCCCTCCGCTGTTGACAACCATTTTCTCAGCAACGGGCAGGAAGATGATGAGGTGCTGCTACAAATTTTGTTAGAGGACACGGAATCATTAAGCTCTGCGAAATACAATGTGGAAGTTTTCTGGGAGGAGAGGGGGGCAGGTAAATCAGCTACAGTCGCACCGTTGCCCAGCACTGCCTCATAACGCAGCAGCTTGGCAGAACGCCGCCTCAAAACATAACAATCAATACAGCTCAGGAGTGCATTTTTTTCCTTCTTTTTTTCTTTTTCATAAATCGAGCCTTGTTCTAATTGGAGATTTAGTAGTTTCCAAAAGGATGTACACACTTCGCAGAGTGAAAAGAGTGCCGAAGAATGCGCAGAGTGTGCAGGGAGCAAAGGGCGCAAAGGGCGCAAAGAGTGCGGCTCTCCTGTTCCGGCTCTAGGAATTGACATCGCCGAAGCGGAGTTCAGATCCAGCGTTGTTAGCCTATCTGGAACACTACGAAGACATCGCACGATTGATCACGCGCGTTGGGCACCGAAGGGCCCGGTTGATCAATTCGCGAGACGATTGAAACAATCCGAACATCCTTGCAATCAAGCTGCCCTCAATGGTTGCCAAACCCTAGTAACGATCTCATAGCAGCTGATGCAATCAGAGCAGGCATATACTTGTGGCTCTTCGTCCAAGTGGATTGCAATGACGGAAGGATACAGCTGAGGGAGGCTATTGCAAAGGCTCTGCCTTCGGGCCAGATTCGAACGCAAGGCTTTCTCCCTGGCGATTTCTGTGAAAAGAACATCACCAGGAAAGGCGGTTTCGATCTCGTATGGACAAGTGACCTCTCAAGATACCTCACCTTGGGGAATACTGATGAGATATACTTCTTCCGGCATGCTCAAGCACTGGAATTGCTGCTGCACAGCCAGGACTCGTATGTTATTACTCTGGTTGCAACGTACTGACAATACCCAGCAAAGACTTATATCCACGGGGCTTCCTGGAGGAGACCCTCCAGACTATCTGTCTTTTCTTCCCTTCAAAAGAGATTCGAGACGCGAAGCGCATTCGCCAAATTGAGAAAAAAATACTATATGGATCTAGAGGCGCAGATCACACTTCATGAGAGGCTAGATTTGTCGCAATACCACTTCTACGGCTATCGCCTAGCCAACATCCAAAAGTTCTATGATGCGTCCAAACTTCGCCGGGTGAAGCAATTCTGGTTTGACGATAGAGACCGAGTGCAATGGGTGACGCTACTTGTTGCAGTGGTGGTCTTTATCTTGACCCTTGTATTTGGCGTCATTTCGTCCATTACGGGGGATTTTACAAGTGTACCCCTCATTCAAGTGGCACTAGTATTTCTACTACTAGAACAGAGAGCAAATCTGCATCTATGGATATTTCTCTTCAGCAGCTGCGTTGGGGATGTTGAAGTAGTAAGGTCTCAACGATGGCATGGATTTTCCTGTCTGTCGATGGTATCTCCCTGAGTCAGACTTGATCTGCTGCAGGTTGGCTGATCATGTCGAATGCAATCGATTGCGCTTGGACATTCCTAGGGATTTCACTTCAGGTTCGTACTAACATCGTCGATGGCCCTATCGAAAGGCTTGGATAGTCTGCGCAGTATCTTTGCAGGTGCCAAATCCGCGGTTAAAAGTGGGTAGCTTCTGAGAAGGGCTGCTCTGAGGTTAGAGATGTCTCGCAGTCTCGCAGTTTCCCGATTTAATCACTCAAAGTCGTGTTGACATATCAGTCAAGCCAAAGTGCGTCTCTCCTTGCTCTTGTTGTCACATTTCAAAGAGAAAGATATGGTGAAATCGTTGAGAGCTCCAGGACATTGCACATTCAAACCGTTTTTAGAGATACCACTCTGCGTGTCGAAGCTCGTTTCGAAGACTGACCTGTGGTTCATAGCGCCCTGGGATCGTGTGACATAAGCAACTGACGCAGTGCGACCGAGTACGAGGTATTCCTGGAGGATTTGCCGGATAAAGACACACGCTTTCCCTCCAAACGCAGCCCCTCTGTGTGGCAATATACGACGACCACAAGAGGCCCATTGATCGAAATCGGTCGCTTGTCAATGCTGTGCAGGAATCAATGCTGCGATCTTTCTGGGAAGCCTTGTTACTCGATTGGCTGTCATGTCATTCTGGGTCAATGCTGTCTATGAGGCCATCAGGCAAGCTGTTCTTTTTTTTTTCTCTTTTTTTCCTTTTCTTTTTTTTTGGCGCTGAGATGTGACCAGATGCATCGATCCTGCGGCCTGATATTGCTGAACCAATCTGAAGCCAGATATGTTGATTGACTGAAAAGGAAGGGAGCAAGGCTGCACGCTGCCAAGAGACTATACTGCCTAGCCGGGTTAGGCTAGTTCAATAGACCTAACAAACTCCAGCCTTGCGCAGGAACATTGAAAACTCACTGTGCGTGAAGGGTACCGAGTATACTGTATCCTTCCATGCATACCTCTTCATGCCTGTCATCGACATCTTCATTTGAGCTCATCATTGGCTCGCAACCAAATCCGTGGCTTTTAGCAGAGACCTCATCCTGCCCAGTCCCTACGCGGATTGATATCTCTCGCGACAGCCGAGTAACAATGGTCCTCGCATTTGCTCACTACCTGATGTATTTCTTCCTTTTACTCATCCTTTTGAGGCTCAAAATGAAGCGACATCTCTTGAATAAACGGCACAATCCACCTCGGAGAGAGCTGTGTGGCAAGAGAATATGCGAAATACTGGGCACGGTCCGGGCCATGTCCTTCATTCTTGTGCCAGGCTTCTGCACTTAATGTGACCAGATCGAAAACCAGCTCCGTATGCGCCCTGGCTGACATTAAATTCGAACTTTCCGAGCTATTTCGGGTAATTTCCGACGGCATGTTCTCGGCTTGAATCAATGTCTTGTTGGAAGGTGAGCAGCCAATAAGTCAACAGTGAAGGCAAAAAAGGACGACAGGAACAAACCTTCAAACTCGCTGGATACTACGACTTCATGAAACCCGGTGTTTTGTTGGCACCTGGTCGATCAATCTCAGAGGTTCCAAGCTGCTCAAAGTGTGCAAAACCTTCAACCGCACAAGAGAGAAGCCAGTATCGAAATAACGTCCTGGAGATTCTCCGGACGGCCAAGGGCGGGCTCGTGTTATCTACGCGTCTGGGATGATAGGCTCCCCGTCTGTTTCGGCACTCGAGAATCCGTGATAGGAACTGACTTGGCTTCACAGAGAGACTGCCTGTCGTCGCGACGGTCTTGCACCATCAGGATACGTGTCCCAAGAAAGACAAATGCTGGCTGTTCTCAAACAGGGTGTCGTATCTCGTATTCGCTCGGTCCGAATTAAGAGGCCAAAAAAATACCAAATTTGCCGATTCGCTCGCGACAACCACCTATTTTGGGGATGGAACGATGGCGGCCTCGGTTGGCTAAATAGGTTGGTCTGACAGATAAAAGTTCGAAAACGCGAAGCCAATCGACACACCACGCTCTGTCAGACATGGCGCTTTATGCCCCAAATGACGAGAACATCCCGCCTCGCTTAGATGGAATGTCGTTGTTCCGAATCCACCAACGAGGTGACCAAGATTCCTCTTCATCCGCCCTCCATCATTCGTTTCCCCATTCAGCCCAGTGTCTCTGTCGCATTTTGCGTCTGCCTGTCTTTCTCAACTTCATTATCTTTTCAAATCGGCTCTTCGCCTCTCGTCCTACATCTCAGAGGACAGTGGCATTTTGCAACATCAAATTTCACTTTACCGGCCTGGATAGAGAGGCTCGCCTCTCATTGAATTCAAGATGCCGTTTCAAGTCCCAGAGTTCCTAGGTACTTACCGCTTTTGGGTGGGTTCCTCTCTGGCTGGCTCAGTTCTTCTGGTCAGGTTTGCTCCTCAATATTCAATTTTACAATCCTATACATGGACAGCCTCTGTAATTTTTCTCCTCCACGCGTTTGTCTGGGCGGTCTACGTTATTTTCATCTATCCTCACTACGTCAGCCCTCTGCGCAATCTCCCAACTGTCAAAGGAGGTAGCAGAATCTCCGGCCACTGGCGCACAATGCTCAAAGAGCCCTCCGGAGTACCTCAGCGACGCTGGGCACAAGAAATTCCCAATGATGGTTTGATCCGCTACTTGCATCTCTACAATCGGGAGCGTCTCCTGGTCACCAGCCCCAAAGGTCTTGCCGAAGTTCTGAACACCAAGAGCTACGAATTTATCAAGCCCGAATTACTTCGCACTGGTATCGGACGAGTCTTGGGCGTTGGTGTCCTTCTCGCAGAGGGCGATGATCACAAAGCTCAGAGGAAGAACCTCATGCCAGCATTTCACTTTCGCCACATCAAGGAGCTCTACCCAATTTTCTGGTCCAAATCTCGAGAGATGGTAGATGCTATCCAAAACCAACTCAAATCTTCGACCGAGTCACAGCCCTCGATTGAAGTCAGCGAATGGGGAAGTCGTGCAACATTAGACATCATCGGCTTGGCCGGCATGGGCCAGGACTTTAGCTCTCTACAAGACCCAACGAACGAACTGAACCGTGTCTATCGAGCAGTCTTCCAACCTGACCGCACCGCCCAAATCCTAGGCCTCCTCTCCTTCTTCCTTCCCGGGTGGTTTCTCAACAACCTCCCCATCGACCGAAATAGCAAAGTGCAAGCCGCAGCGGACGTTGCCAAAGACACGTGCCGCCAGCTGATAGCGCAGAAGAAGCAGCGCATGGCCAACAAAGAACCCATGCAACCGGACATCATTTCTGTGGCGCTCGAATCTGGCGGGTTTAGTGATGAAGAGCTGGTCAACAACATGATGACGTTCCTCGCCGCGGGCCATGAGACCACAGCTTCGGCGTTCACCTGGGCGATCTACCAACTCTGCCAACGACGAGACATCCAGGCACGCCTGCGCCAAGAGATCCATGCACACATCTCCAATCTCGACGCCAAAAATATCACCTCCGAAGTCATTGACGCAATTCCCTATCTTCACGCCGTCTGTCAAGAGGTCCTCCGCCTATGGGCTCCTGTACCGCTCACGTTGCGCGATGCCGCCTGCAACACCTCCATTCTGGGCCAATTCGTCCCCAAGGGCACCAAGATCATCCTCACGCCCTGGGCGATCAACCACAACACCTCGCTCTGGGGTGACGATGCCTCCGAGTTCAACCCCGACCGCTGGACCGCGCCGGGCCAAGCGAACGCCGGCGGGGCCGTGAGCAATTACGCATTCTTGACGTTCCTGCACGGGCCGAGGAGTTGCATCGGCGCCAAATTCGCCCTGGCCGAGTTTGCCTGCCTGCTGGCCGCGTTCGTAGGCAGCTGGGAGTTCGAGATGGTCGATCCCGACAAGGAGATTGAGATCAAGGGCGGCGTTACTGCGCGTCCGAAGGGTGGTATTGAGGTATACTTGAAGCCCGCGGAGGGGTGGGCGAGTTTAAAGTCGTCTGATTGTTGATATATTGTACTGGTCCCGGAGATTGAATTCAAGGGATATATTGACCACTTTGGACAGGACGAGATGAATGATTATATCGGCGCATGACGGAGTTCAAGGGATATAGAGTATTCAGTACGATCAGGCGCAGTGTTTCTGTCTTTTTCGAAGCGGAGGTTATCACGACTGTATCACAGCGATAGGGGTATCTCTCCGAGCTTAGTGACATCTATTTATATATTCCCACTCCCCAAATCAGAGCTCCATAGCAAGAGTCTCTCTCCTTCGTCCGCCCCGTGCGCTTTTGAGAGAACACGTCTATCTCTCACGCTCAGATGCGGTTGTCCGCATCTCCCGAGTCGCTCAAGTCACTCAATTCACTCAATTCACTTGACTTGCTTCCCTGACTGTCGTCCTCTTTCCGCCTCTTTTGCCTCTTTTGCCTCTTGCTCTTCGCTGCGTTAGCGGTCTGTTTCCCCGCAAACATATCCGTCAAGCTCTTCTGACCCTTCTCGCGTTGTTTTTCCTTGGCCAATTTCTTCCTCTCCTGCTCCGCCTTCTTGTCCTGCAACCTCTCATATTGCGCCTGCATTTGGTCCCTCTCTTTCTTGCCTTTTTCACTCAATTCGCTCTCCAATCGTTCAAACTCTTCACTTGCGGGATCCATTCCAATCAGGCTTTCGAGCAGTTTGATTTCTGTTGCCCAGATACTCTTGTCTTCGATCATTTTCTTCCCCTTTGGGTCCGTTGGGTCAGGCCTTTCGCAAGGTGTCTCGAGAATCAACGGCATGTTCTGAAAGCGAGATTCGTTCATGACGTTGTGGAACGTACGGAGTCCGAGAAATCCCAAGCCGATGTTCTGATGAAGGTCTCTGTGACTGTTCAATGGCATCTTAGAGTCGTTCAAGTGTAAGGCCTTGAGGTACTTGAAGCCCACGACACGGTCGAACTCGTCCATCGTCTTCTTAAACTCTTGCGGACTGCGCAGGTCGTACCCCGCCGCAAACGCATGGCAAGTGTCGATGCAAACGCCAATCCGAGACTGATATTCAGGTTTAATCTGAGAGATCACATCTCGGAGATCTGAAAACCGTCCTCCGATCAGTGTGCCGGCTCCCGCCATGTTCTCTAACAGGGGAACAACAGTTTTCGTTTCTGATAATGCCCGATTGAGGTTGTTGGCAAGCCGAGTGACCGCCTCGGCAAAAGAACTTTGTCCAGCTCCTCCAGGGTGAAAGTTGTAATATCGAATTCCGAGGGCTTCGCAGCGATGGAGATCGTCCACAAACGCTCCATAAGATTGCTTTGCCTTGTCCTCATCCTCGGTCGCCAGGTTGACGAGATAAGACCCATGAGGGACGACATGTGACATTCCATCATATTTGTAGTCTATCAGGGCCTTTTTGAAAGCGTCTCTGTTCTCATTTTTCAATGCTGGATTCTCCCATTTCCGCTGTGACTTGAGGAAACAGGCGAATGCGTTGCCTCCAATCTGCACACAATTCGTGACTGCATTTTCCACCCCCTTTGCTATGCTCGTATGAGCGCCCACATACATCTTCAGCCCAACAGTTCGGACAGCGAACGGCATTGCTTCAGCTTCCTTTTCTTCCTTCGTTTTGCGTTTCCGCTTGGGCTTGACGGGATCTTCCTGCTCTATTTTGTCCTCTTCGAGCTCGTATTCTTCCGAGTCAGACTCTGCCTTTTTTGCAGTCTTCACTCTGGCCTTTCGTTGGCTGCCTCCCTTGGTGGGCGTTTCGGTATGCTTGATCGTGGCCTTGGCCTTCTCCTTGAGCGCAAATGTGCCGTTCGTCCCCGTGCTGGCTTTTGTAGTCACTTCCTTTTCCACGGCCAGGGTCACTTTCTTATTCTTGGTTCGAGGAGTTCTCGGTGATACGCTTGCGTGGACATCGATTGGTTTTGTACGCTTTCTGCTTCTTGGACTCGGTGCACCGTCAGATCCGTTCCCAGTGACTTCACCTCGTTTGCGTTTTCTCCTTTCTGGGCTGCTTGAGTAAGTATCTGAAGTAGTGACTGTCTCTCTGTTGCGCAGACTAGGCATGTTGATTCAAAATGCCAGTAAATCAGTCATGTGGTAGAGGTTTGCTGCAAACAAGCGGCCATTGAAGTTGAAAGATCATCGCATGACTACCTCGTACTCGGTAGTTTAACCGTCTCCCGGACCCGACGCGTAGAGTGGCCTGGCTTGCTTCGCCTCGCCACACCTTCCTCAAGTTACTACATCGAGCCTCCAAAACATCTCTATCTCACACCTTGCTACTCCTCATTGTACCGTTGAAGCGGATAGGCTTTACTTTGCGAATCGCCAGCCTATGCGACCTCTCTAAATTCACTCCCTCCTACGCCTCTCCATAATGACAAATAAGCCTATGGACGATACGCCACAGCTCTCCCCCACCGAGTCAAGCGAAGATGAGTCCGACGAAGAACTCGTGGAGACTCTCGTCGCCGGCAGGGAGCGACGCAAAACTGCCGGCAATCGCTATGACAGGGACATGATACTGGAAGAGGTAGCGAATGTGGATGAGCAAGACGAGGTGACTTTGCTGTTCGCGGACAACGAAGAAGAAGAGGATGAAGAATTCAGAAGCGGCGACGACGACGAAGATGCGGACATGTCCTCCAGCGACGGTGACGATCAAGGTCCTAATGCTGCCACCGATGACCTCGAAGGAGAGAAGGAATTACAAAAGCAGGCCAAAGTAGATCGAGCAAAGAAACGGAAGGCAGATCTAGCCCTTACAAGCATTGCGGGTATTAGGAAGAAACTCAAAACTGACCACACAAGGCCGGCCGTAGCGTCTGTTGCCGCGAAGCCATCGAAGAAGAAGAAAGAGCGAGTTACATGGGTTCATGATCGCGATTCAGGTCGAAGTTCCCTACGCAAACAGACGATCGCCCACCGAGCAGAAACCATTGCCCGACTGAAAGAGAGCGAAGCCCAAAGCAAAAAGCTGAAGGCACTGAAAGAGCAACGGGAAAAAGAAAGAGCAAGGGACGCGCCCAAAGAACTCACGCAGGCTGATCGACTGGCTGAAGCTGCAAGGGTAGAGCGACAAAATGCTAAGAGCCTGAACCGGTGGGAGGCCATGGAGAAGAAGAGGCAAGAAGAACTAGCAGCAAAGTTGGCAGCTCTCAAGGACAGGAAACTGGAAGGTCCAGTCATCACCTGGTTAAGTGCAAAGGCCAAGTGGGTTGGGCCAAAACTGAACAAAATCGGTACAAGGGACGTGACAGATTGGGTAGGCCCACCAGAGATGAAGAAGCGTGGGAGAAAGTCAAAAGCGTACCTTGAGCAGTTGGCCGCAGAAAGGAACGTAGATTCAGGAGCAGCCACAGCAGCAAAAACAAGTACTGTGGGAACGCCGCAGGCATCACTCCCTATATCGGATCAGCCGAAGGAGCTGACCCAGGAAACGACAGCCACAACCACAATCATAACGACCACAACAACAGCGACTGTTGCACCTGTCGTGGAGAATGCACAACCGGAAATCACGCTCACTTCCCCACTGGAGCAAGTGGACTCGTTCTTGAGAGGGATACACGAATACACTAATATGCAAACGGACCGGCGAGTCAGTCCAGTTTCTCAACATTCAAATGTACAGCGAGATTCCGAAAAGCGACCAGAAATACAGCAAAGTTCGAGCACATTGCCAGAAAATATCCCGGGCTCTGTTGTCGAGGCTACGCCCATTCAAAACTCTTCTAGTAAGATTACGGAAAATGCCACCGTCAAGCCTGAAATACCCCCAGAGCAGACACATGTGCCGGAAGCTATCCCACCATCGGAGCAGACGCAGCCATCTGCAGCCATCGAGGATGCGGAGCAGATAGAGACGCCGGGAACGATCGTACAAGCAGAAGTGACGCAGCTGGCCGGAACTATCGAGCCGGCAACAGCACCGGAGCCTCCACCGGTTGTGGAAGACTCGACGCGGAACCTGGTCATTCTAGAAAATTTCCAGGAGCTTTCTACCGAGTCCCGGCAGGAATACTCCCTGTTCTACAACCATTGCAAAACTGCCAAACCCGCCAAACCCGCCAAATCAGCGAAGCACAATCACGAGGTGTGTCCCATCACAGTGTTGACTGCCCGATATCGAGATCCAGACATGGGTATCGCTTTTGCCAATGCAGCCGCATACAAAACGCTCCACGAGCTAAAGGAGCACAAGTTCATGTGGAGCACTATGCTCGGATGCTATGTTGGTCGGGAGGGGGCCACGCCAGCTCGGGGAGTACCAGAGGGTTGGGGTTGAGGTTGTCCTTGACAGGCAATTATACTTAAGAGTGAATAGCCAGGCGTGAAAGAATGCCAGCACCATCGTTTCTCGCAAAATGCAAATTCTTTTCGCTGATGATGATGATGATGATGATGATGGTGGTGGAATACCCAGTAGAATGGAGACTGGATCGAGAGGCTATGTCGGAGCGGCGGGTGAGGCTAGTGAGGCTGACCATCCTGGCCTCTGCACGAGGCAGAGGAACTTTGGTCCCCCCGGTCACCACCGTCAGTCACCCGTCGGATGGTCACTGGATGCAGCCTAGGCGATCGATTAGAGGGTCTTGGAGGGGTCATAGGGCTAGCGGCACATGCACCAGGTGCCGTGGCTCGCCCGTAGCCTCCTCGTCAATAGGCCCCTCGGTGTCCCCTGGCGCCCCCCTAGTGCCCCGAAACATTGCAGTCGCCGGAAGTGGTCTCGTCTGGGACGGGGCAAGACACACGCCCACTGGTGCCACTTTTAACGTCATCCACACATGGCGCAGCCTGGCACCCATGGAATGCACCTGAATGCGCCCAAGGCACTTTGCGGTGTACAACAAATAATCAGCTGCCAACCAAGTCGACGCCTTCCCTCTCCTTTGGTTATCCCTCACTCCACGTACTGGGTACATATACCTACTTCACCGCTCTCAATGGGGGAAGATCCTCCTCTGCGCAAAATCCAACATGGCAAAGGTTCTGCGGCCAGGAAACTGAAGCGCAGGAGTGGTGACTCACTCCTCACGCCTCGCTCTCTCACCCCAGGCGATAGCAGGAGGGACAAAGAAAAGGAGATGGCGGCCAGCTTCTTGCAGTTCTGGTAAGGCCACATGCCCATTGTCTGTCCGCGTTGTCGATCGAATCAGGCCTAACCAGCAACCACAGCGCAATGTGCGAGAAGCAGATTATGACTCCCTGCAACTCGATTCTCTATTGCAGTGAAGCGTAAGCCTCTGCATTCCTCCCTCTCTGCTCCATCACAGAGACTGACAAGCTATCAGATGCCGTCGTAAAGATGCCGCAAAACCTCTCTCGGCCTCCAATCTGTCCCTTGAATCTTCTTCGCCGCCGCCTTCCCTCGCCTCCTCTCCACGTCCTACTATACCAGCGCGCCTCTCCAGCGCTTCACCGGAACCACATCAAGATAAACCTGCCATTCGAATACCCTTTGATCTCCACGACCACAGATCAGATCTTGACCCAACCGAATGGAAACCCAAGATACCTCACCGTGGCGCCTCGACGAACTCTGAGGCATTCCGCTACTTGAGTCGCTTCCACCAGACACACAACATGGCCATCAGCAACGCTTCCGATCATCCTGACAATCACCTTGTCAGGCCCGACCGCCCACCGGCAACGCGACACAAGAGTACTCTGAGCATGTCTACCTTGACACCTAGCACCACGACGCCAAGTCTAGCCAACAGCCCCACCACGACATCGTCCAGCTTTGGCAGCATGTATGAGTTCAACCTGCGTCCGCTGGCTCCCCGCACCAATCCGCTGTATAGCACCAGCGCTGGTCACGCCAGGAGTATAGATTTGGTGACGCCCCATATCCCGCCCCCCGCCCCGGTGGTTGTAGGCGACGTGGCTCTTGACGGGTCGATTGCTAGGGTGGAATCCGAGGTTGACTTCTGGGGCAAGAAAGTGGTCAAGCCTGTCGTACCAGCCGCGACGCCAAAGGGCGAGGGACTGGGTGCTCTGTTGGGGAAGCATTCTTGATTCTTATTAGACGGTATTGTCTGCTGGCAACAGCGAACCAGACGATGGTTCAAAGGAATGGGTTATGGGAAGGTATGAAGCAAAACGTTGATGTGCTACCACGGAAATGCATAAATGCAAATATAGACTATTGATACCCTCGGAACTGATATTGCCCTCTCTCTCTCTCTTTTCCCCAATTTCCTTTTTTTTTTTTTTACCTGTACTCAGAATCCCAATCTGAAGGAAATGGAGATGGAGTTGTGCAATCATCGATGGCATCTACATAAATCCCAACTATGCATGAAAAGTCACCTCGACTCGACGGTTCGAAATACCAACGACTTGGCAAGCAAACAAGGGTTTAAAATGGCCCGAGAAAAGAGAGGCACAATCAACCCCAGTCACATAAAAACGCCGATGAAGTTTCCTCTCTTTAGCGCCCTTGATCCACTGGGATATGTCATGCTATACATCTCATTCATCGTTGATATCTTTTCGCCAAAGAAAAACAGACTGACAGACATCTTGCACTCAGGGTTTTGTCGGGCTTCGCTCTTGGCCTTGCCGCTACGTTAGCTTTTTCCCAAACCAATACGCACCCCATCGTAGATAGACAAGCTGCGCGGATAGGAGTCGACGAAGGGTCACAACATGCCCGTCGACGTTCCCTTGACACTGCCCAACTCGCCATACCGTCCCCTGTGTTTCGTCGTATCATACAGACTCAGTACTCTCATCGTCTGTCCGCCCGTGCTCTCATCGCCCGCGGAGAATGCATAACCCCTCTGCTTTCTCATCCGCTGCACCTGCCTCACCTTCCTCACCGCCTTCTGGAACTGTTCCATCCTCGGCCTATAGTCCTGCACGTTGTATTTCTGAATCTCCTGCACGTGGTGGTAACTCTGCGGGAAATACATTCTCTTAGCGTATTTCCATGCAAAGTCCCGTACAAGACAGACCGGTGGGAGGACGAGGCATAGTGCGTAGAAAACTGGGTACGTAAACATGACTGGAATGATCCCGTCGAGTTCGGTCGAAAATCCCGACCCGATGTTTGGTGCTGCGTAACTGTAGGCGGGGATGAAAGCCAACCAGATCACAAAGCTCCCCGGAATCGCCAGGACGGTCCATTTCGTCCACACGTTCGTGATCAGCGCGGCTTTTCCGAGAACAACCAACAAAATTGCGGTGTAGGTCGAGGTACCCCACACCCAATGGCCCGCAACCTTGCCGTCAGATAGAATGCCGTCATTCAGAAAGAAGTAGCTCGAAAAGATATATGCGAGGATGGAGTGGTAGAAGCCATTGGCGACCCATGACCAGAAGCTGTGCATGCGGAAGAAAATGCCTTTCTGGGTCAACGAATAGGATTGCGGGTAGCGATCCAGAAGACGAGCTGAGACATATTGATCAAATACGCCAATGGCGAAAGGCGGGAAAAATGTGAAGAGGACGTTGTAAAAGGAGAGAGTCCAGGATTCGTAGATGACTTGGCCGGAAAAGGCGTTTTGAAATGCGTACTAGTTGCTTGTCAGCACTGATCACCAATCTGACCGAGAACGGCATCTCCTTCACTTACCCAGAATTGCGTCATGAACATAGCAATGTTCTTGTAAAACGAGTACAAAATGACCTTGCTTATGCGTTGATAACTCCAAGCCCCATGCACAAGGAGCAGTTTTCTGAGATACCGGAATTGGCCAATCGAGACATCGGCACTGCGAGCAGCTTGTAGACCCTCCACGCCACTGATACCAACACCAACATGAGCAGCTTGGATCATGGAGACATCGTTGGCGCCGTCACCAATAGCCAGGAGAAGCGCCTTGAGATGCCGCTTGACGAGTTTGACCACCAGAGCTTTTTGCAACGGCGATACTCGACAGCAGATCACTGCCTTGCATATAACCGCCAAATCGAGGAACAACTTCTCCATATCCTTTTCCAAGGCAAAGGCTAAGGATTTGCCATCGATGACGAGTGCGAGTACATCCCGCTCGCCTGCCGCGGCTTGACTTCGCACCGCATCGTATTTCTTCTGCAAACTCTCTCGTGTTGCGCTGGAGTTCTCCTCGTTGATGATCAATAGTGTCATATCCTCACTGATCAATTTGCAGCTCATGCCGATGTTGATGGCGGTTTCCTGTCGGTCACCTGTGAGAACCCAGACTTTGATTCCTGCCTGTTGCAGCGTGTGAATGGTGTCTGGCACACCGTCCTGGAGACGATCCTCAATAGCAGTTGCTCCCAGTAAGTAGAAATCGTGCTCGATGATCTCCGCTGCTTTGTCGAGCTCGTCGGCACGATTGCCACCTACCGTGGTAGCCGCTTTGTCGAAAATTTGTCGCCATTCCTGGTACTCTTGTTCTGGAACCTCGCGCATAGCAAGACACAGTGTTCGAAGTCCTTCGGTGGCATAGTCCTCCAAATGCCGCAAGGTTGTCTCCACAGTCATATTATCTTTGGCCAGTCTCTCCATGATTACTGTATCAGCACCCTTGCAGTATATCCTAATCTTTCCGTCTGGACACCGGAAGATTGTGGACATACGCTTTCTTGTGGAGTTGAATTCGCAAACTGCCAGTAGCTCGTATTCTACGTCTTGGCCATCAACTTGCACAATCACTGAACGTGGTTTCCGGGCCACAAATCGGTATCCAAGCATGACAGCACCTTCAACCAAAGCGCCCTCATCCGGAGATGCAGCCTGGTATTTGATTTCCGATTTCTCGTCTTTGCGTTCGGGAATGACAGTATGACAAACGGCCAGCAGTGAGAGGAATTGGTGAATGACTGTCGCACTCTGGTGCGTCTTCGTGTTCTCACGGAGTTGCTTGAAATCATGAATACCGTCCAAATCATCAGGGCCTGTCGCCTTTCGGTCTTCCGGCACCATACCGGCATACTGAATTCCATGAATGGAACATTGCCTGAATTCCATCATGTTGCAAGTCAAGGTTCCCGTCTTGTCTGAGAAAATGTACTCGATTTGCCCTAGCTCCTCCACAAGTGACGAAGTTCGACATACCGCTGGGGTATCGGTGTCGGTGTAGTACATGTCCAAATCACTGCTGATGAGAAAAGCTTGGAAATATTTCACGATCTCGACGGTGACGAACAGTGACAGTGGGACCAGGTTGGAGTACAGGATCCAGTAGGTGCAAAGGTCCATGAAGAATTGCGTGGCGGCGTTGAAATTGTCGTAGTAGAGGTATGTCAATTTCTGGCCCGCAGTTGCGCGAACGATGAGATCCCCAATCGTGCTGACTGCGCTGAGAACTAAAAGTATGACAACGAGCATCAGAATCTGCTTGTTGAGCATCCGTTCCACATCTGTCCTCTTAATAGGCGTAGCGGTAGCATTTCGCATCAGCTTCGTTTCATGGCCCGTGAAAACAACAACCCCATGGACCCAGGGAGTGTTACGGAGAACCGCTCCACGGAGGAGTAGCTGGTCGGGTGTTAAGGGGTGTTCTTTCTCGCTTCCTCCACCAGCGACGGTCAATGTCGCCTCATACGTGTAGAGACTGCTGTTCGGCTGTTCTGACCTTATCCGTCCGTTCAGTCTTCCCAAGTCTGCAGGGTTCACCAAGTGTACCGTTTCCGGAATTGCCTGTTTGATTTTGAGGTTGGTCTCACCGTCGAGGTTGGCGGTTTCGATGTAACAAAGCCCTTCTGGTTCGGAACTCGTGAGGAGTACCAAGTCGGCAGGAAAAGACTCTTCCGATTCCACACGGACAATATCACCAACAGCGACGTTGATCCATTTCGTCTCCACGAAAGTCGAACCCTTGAGGACCTGTGCTTTGGAGTCGTTTAAAGTCTTGTCTGCCGTCTTTCGCTTCCAATCCTCCACGAGTTCCTTGATAGCAGATATCATCAGCACAATCATCAGCGGGACTATAGTTGTGTAAGGATTTGTGGGGGATACATTAGGTATTTGCTGCAGGACGGCCGTGAATAAAAAGAATAAGTTGGCGTATTTGGAGAATTGTTCAAAAAGGAACTTCGGCAGAAAAGTTGCGACGTTGTATTTGGCGGTGGAAACATGGTTGTCCACCCATTTGTTGGCAGCGTTCACTGGAGCATTGTTGAGATGTATGATCCTTGGTCCTAGGGTGGATGGGTCGACCTTCTTCCTCGTAAACATGTCTTTGATATTTTCGAAACTGAATTCCTTCTTCTCTCGGACTGGAGGTGTCTCGTCGGTGCCAGCTGTGTCTACTCTCGAGTTCCGCATACCAGCTTCCGTCAATGGAAGATTCATGTCAGAATAGTTGCTATTCCGTATCCCCAGCATCCCTTTTGCTCTATCCATGACGCCCGTCATGGACATAAGACTAGTCCGATCCCGTCTATGGTGCCGTCCGACCACTTTGACACCTCCACCTGGGATATGCTCGTCTGAGGGGCCTGCATTGTCGTAGTATTTGTATCCCGACTCTTCTTCGGTTAACTCCTCCCCGTCTCCATATTTTGCGTAGTTCTGCAGGTCCGAGGTCTGGGAGTAGTTTCGAGTACCGCTGTCCATATACGGAGCAGTAAAGGGTCGACTTGATGACGCTGCCGGTTGCGCTTGGCCAGCAGCGATCGGCCGCCCTCCGCCGACGAAGTCATCGTAGCTCGTTGATGGTCTCGGTTGCGGTTCGTCCGAGTCATCGATATTGAACACGTTGAGGAGTTGCGAGTCGTCTACGGGAGGGCGCTGCCCTGAACCGTAGACTGGCTGTGAATTCCCCAGTTCATCCAGTAAATTATTGTTGTTGTTGTAGTTGGAAGCTTGAGGCGCATTGGGCCTCCCGTCCATTTCTCAAGCGGATTGGCGCCAGAGGGGTTTGCGAGCAGAAAATCGACAAAGTGCGTTACCGTGCCATAAGTATCATGAAAGGCCTCTGTCACAGTTGAGGGTGTTTGCAGTTGACATGCTTCGCTGAAATGCAATATTGGCAGAGAAGATGTCAGCGTGGTTTGTTCTCGTCGAGATTGACGGTGACAATGGCAACACCAAGAGCCCCGGCTGCGATTTGGATGCGCGGCCGCAGGCGGAGCAACGCATCTAACCTTGGAGCCCAGAGTTGGAGCCCACTCAGCCCCGTGCGGGCAAGAGCGTTAAGTGGCTGGTCCCTATCAAATGCGGCTAGTGGAGCCTAGCGACAAGTTTCAGTAGCTTTACAGGCCCCAAGCGAGACACTAACGTTACAGGCTGCAAAGGCAAACAAAGATCACCCACAGGCTACAGCACACCCAGAGGCACCACAAGTAATATGTACCTAAACAAGAACTCGTAAGGGAGGGACAGCAACGTAACCACGTAATAGTCAACCAAGCATCAAATTTGCCTTTGTTTGCCGGGAGCCTAGAAAATATCCAGCTGCATCACACAGTGATGCCGCAACCAAGCCGCCGCCGCCGCCGCCAGTGGTTTGATAGATTCTTCCACGAGGGAGATTGATTCGTGGCTGACTGGATCCTCTAAGGTGATTCCTCAGAGTTTAAAAATGGCACCCGAGACTGCACTGCCACTTCCATGATCGCTGGGTGGTTATGCCAGATGAATCAAGCACCGACTTTCCTTTGATAGTGGAATATCCATCCATCCAGCATCATGTTCCTTGTTCTTCCCCCTTTTTCTTCAAGCGGCCTCATTCAGGCGTCGACGATATTGCTTTGAAAGATCCTCGTCCAACCGACTTATGTTCCCAGCTCACCCGTGGTCATCTCTCATTCACAGCCCGCAGCTCGGCAATCAGTCCGCCCACGTCTCGCTTGGTCGCATCCTCTGCTAATTTCTTAGCCACAATCCCATTGACCTCTTTCCCCTTGGCCAGGGCTGTGTTGATACACTTCAGCAGAACTAGGGCATCAATCGCGCTCCCTCCCATCTTGGAGACCTGGCATAATTCAAAGTCGTTCACAGTCAAAGTCACCGACGACTCTCGGACTTGCTCTTCACTGCGTGTGGCATCCAACAGGATGGTCTCCCCTCCGTGATAGAAGCTGAATGTTGTGCAAACGGGGTGATGCATAATGCTCAATGGAACCGGCGCTCGTTCGGCCATGGTGTATATCGTTACCTTTTCCCCGTCAACTGAGACATCAGGTCTTCGAAAGTGTCGCAATGCCGCCACAATCGCCAAACAGGCACAATCGATCAGACCACCGTCAGAATCAAGAACATGCACATCGGCTCTAATAGACCAGCATTTCGCTCCCGCAATAATGCATAGGGATTCCGTATCAATGGCACGAGATCGTCGTATAGCCTTTTCAAGAGTCCGAGACAATATCACTTCTTGCTCTGTTTGTCTGCCGACTTCGTACGCGGGAGACGCAATGGGGCTCAACTCAGTGACAATTGTGAAGATGCCATCAAATTTGCGGTCTTCAAGTGGCTTCGTGACCTCTGCTGAGATTTGAACATGTACTCTTCACACGCGTTTAGTATTGGCCTACATGTGCAGGAAGATTAACCTACCTCGTCCTCCCGAGACGCGCAGTGACTGTCCCGTATTCATCTCCGAATTCTAGGTCGAGGTTTCTGAATTGGTCAAGATGCCGCCCGTCGACTCGGACGCCTTGTTCCAGAGCTTGAAGGATGAAATTCCGCTCAATGTTGGAGATGTCGACTTCGCGCGGCATGTTAGCCAGAAACCGTGGGCTGAGACGGCAGGTATTGGTGACAAAGCGACTCTAACGCCATCCAGTATGCGGATTATTCCACGCATTCAGACAAGATTGGTGTGACTGGTCCTGGCTTGCGACGATTTTTCTCCTTCTCGCAAAGTCTCCTGCTTTGAAGCCGAGAAAACTATTCTTGCGTTAAACGATTTCTCGCTCCACCGGACTCATCCTTGTGGTGGCTACTGTGGGCCATTTCAGTCACCAACCGAAGATATCTTCCTCAACAAAATTATCGGCTTCGCCTCCTCTTCTTTTTTTTCTTTCCCGTCGATCCGCTTGAAATGTTTTCGTGTCGGGAACCAAAATTCTTCCCAATCTTCCATTATACTTTGCTTCTGGCTCATTGTAAGCTAGATAACGCCGCACTGCCGCAAGAACATTAAGATTTCAGTTACATGATCGTGATCTCAATTCACATGCTTCCGAAATGGCTGACACGGCGATCCACAAGCCGCCCAGACGATCCAATTTGTCTCTCATGCGAGATAAGCCGAAGGCAGAGAGCAGATTCAGGCGCTGGTACAGTATGTACATACGTACTTATCACGACAACACGCCACAGGCAAAAGCTACTTCAGACCTCCCCCCCTAGCGGACTCCTTTCTCCGTCCCAGTTCGGGACCAAGGTTGCGTCAGCCTTGTTCAAACTTTTCCACCGAGCCTCACCCATGTCCATATTTGTTGGGCCCCTATCGAGTTCTTCCACTCTCATGTCATTTTCCACATCACCCATTGGCAAGGAAGCGGTTCCTCGACCCTCGCCGTGCTCCTGGTCCACTTTTTGCTTTTGCCTCTGACTCGACATGTCGCTACGCAGTACTTTTCTACATATTGGGAATATCTGACAAACCTCCGACGCCTCCACCACGTGCAAGACAATCCCTTCTGTTATCGAAGACGTGGGTCTGCTAGTGATGAATTGTTCTTATGCAATTTGATTCAAGCTTTCTCTTGTGCCGAAAGGTCTATCACCGCAGACCCATTAGCTTCGCCGCCCCTCATGTGCAGCGCATGCCCGGTATAGCTTCTGACATTTTTACTCCTGATGCCTCCCTCTTCCGCAAACTTCTCAGCCCGTGATTCTCAGGCTTTTCGACAGCCTTTTGCCGAATGTATTTACTGCGTTCAGACATTTCTGCTCAAAACGTGGTAGTGAGCCAAATATATCTGGTTGATTCTTTGTTGCAACAATTCTCCTTTGTCGCCATTTGAGCCGGAATTTTCACCATTGCCACATCTTAATTGTATTACCACCCTGGCCAATGCTCTCCAGGCCACGCTCGTTCTCTAATATAGCAGGTTCTCTGGGGACCCGAAGCCATGGCTGAAAGAGACATACCGCTACCAACATCCGAGAAAACTAGCAATGATTCCGACGCCAACCCTACCAGGCGGCACAGTATCAGAGGGTTCAGGCATGGGAACAGACACCACCAGAAGGTCAAGTTCTCCAACGTAGCTGATGATGCGGGAGAGTCCATTGTCGAGGCGAGCACGCACGGAGACGTTCCAAAAATCCGCTTGTCTGATTCTGAAGACGTTGCCGACCACGGTCTTCCGGCTTCGGATTGGGCTGGAATTACACATGCTGCAGCCGCTCAAGCCCAGGACCGTGCCAGCCGCCTAGCTGATCGATTAAACCCTTCTCGGGCACAATCAAAGTCACATCAAGGATTGCTTATTTCTCAGAGCTCGACTCCTCAAGCGTCGACATCGCCTAGCTCATCTCCCCCAACAAAGCCGTTGATTGATTGGCTCGTTAATGACGACGACATCCCCCTAGAGCCACTCGAAAAGGACAAGCGTCCATATACGTTGCACGATGAGACGAGTGATGATGATACCGACAGCAACCCCAAGGCTCTGCACCGTGATAATGAGAATGTCGAAGAAGCAAGGAGACTGATTAGAACATTGACCAGCGCTCAGAACGCGACGGCATGGCAGGAGGAGCCACGGTCAGGAGCAGAGACTCCCGCGGTGGACAAACGCCTTCACGACTTGGAGTACGTCCCCCCTCCAAATCAGTATCGTCCCAGTGTCTTTGGCGCCCTCCTTGCCTCAAAACTAGCACATTTACAACGAAATGGAATTACCCATCCCACATACCACGAAGACCTTACCTCACACACGCCAAACAAGTACTCTCCAAAAGGCTTCTATTCCAAAGGCCATTCTCGCGCAGGTTCCGAGAGCCGTGATCATTCGACTCCATCATCTGGATGGGCTACGCCCTCTAAGAGACCGAAGTGGTATGACAAAGACAGTAATGAGCGCCAGTCAACCGGGTCTCTGGCAACGTTGTTGGCTCAAGTATCCGTGACCTCAGCAGCTGCTGCCGCACCTCAAACCAGCAATTACGTACCTCGCCCACCGCTTCATCATGCAAAGTCCTCAAACGGCATGATTGCGACGGCGGTTGACATGATAAAGCACCCTGGCAACTATTTTCATCACAAATCTACGCAGTCATTGCTGATAGATGAGGAGCGAGTCATCCTGGATGTCGCCGAAATCATCGCATGTCGAAAGTATCTAAAAAAGCTAGCTCGATGCCTGATGGCAGTCGGAGCACCAACTCACCGTCTCGAAGAATATATGAAGACTTCCGCACGAGCGCTCAACATCGACGGTGATTTCCTCTATATGCCAGGCTCGATGCTGGTCTCGATCAATGACAGAGTTACTATGAGTACAGAAGTCACTCTGGTGAAGGAGTCCCAAAACGTGGATCTCGGAAAATTCAGAGACGTCTTTGACGTTTACAAGCTAGTCATTCACGGCAAATATACGGCCGAACAAGGGACGGCTGATCTAGACGAGATCATGAGGAAGCGCGGAAGACATTGTCTTCCGCTCCGGATTTTTGCATATGGCATCGCCGCCATTGCGGTGGGCCCTTTTGCTTTTGCCGCTCGACCAGTCGATTTTGGTCCCAGTTTTATCCTGGGGTGCATTCTCGGTTGGCTGCAGCTTGTGGTGGTAACCCGGTCGGAACAGTTTTCACACGTGTTCGAAATACTGGCATCCGTCCTTATCTCATTTGCTTCCCGAGGCCTGGGTTCTATCTACCATAAAGGCACTGCCGTGTTCTGTTTCTCGGCTATTGCACAGAGCAGCATAGCCCTGATTCTGCCAGGATACATGGTGCTGTGCTCTGCGCTGGAATTACAAAGTAAAAGCATTGTTTCAGGGTCTGTTAGGATGGTATACGCCATTATATATTCCTTGTTTCTCGGTTTTGGAATTCTGATCGGCACAGTTGTTATGGGTACGTCTCATTCCTTCTAAAAGAAAGCTAAGCAGGACTATCTACTGACAGAATTATAACAGGCCTCATTTATCCCCAAGCACAGAGTGATGTGACTTGCAACACCCCCATTTGGTGGAACGATTCCAACCATGGACCCAAACTTCTGTATGTCAGATTCATTTGGGTCCCGATATTTGCAATATGCCTTGCTATCATCAACCAAGCAAAATGGAAGCAAATACCGGTCATGACTCTTATTGCCTTTGTCGGGTATCAAGCGAACTTCTGGATCTCGACCAAACTTTCGAACAACATCCAGGTGGCCAACGCGATTGGCGCCTTTGCAATTGGGACAATGGCTAATCTATACTCTCGTTTTTTCCATGGCCTGGCGGCTGCCGCCATGCTACCGGCGATTTTCGTTCAGGTTCCAAGCGGGCTCGCGGCAAGTGGGAGCCTGGTGGCAGGCATCACAAGTGCCGATCAAATTACCGGGAATTTGACAGGTGTTAGTGTCATCAACAACGGCACTGCAGGATTCCTGGACGCCCAGAACAGTACAAGCAGTGCGAGTGTTTATAGCGGTACGATTTTCAATGTTGGGTATGGAATGGTTCAAGTCGCCATCGGTATTAGCGTTGGTCTTTATTTGAGCGCTTTAGTTGTGTATCCTTTTGGAAAGAGGAGGAGTGGGCTGTTCAGCCTATAAATGTCATAGCATAGTTTTGCTTCCCAACGAACATGCATAGGTTTGACCAACTCGCGATAGACAAAGTTCGTAGTGGCAAGGCTGAGCTGCATGCCAAGCTCTGTAAGGCTGCGAACCTCCAACTCACACTTGCAAGTTTTCGTGACAGATCTCTTTCGTAGCAAGCACCTGCGTCTGCTCCGCTCACTGTCCTCGTCATTTCTTGAGGATTTTCTGCTACCGACGTCCTAGCATCTTACACCCAACATGACAACAGGCAAGCTCTTTTCGCTTTCTTCTTGTATCGCATTCTGACTCTGGAAATAGCACACCGACCGACATTTGATCCGGCTCGAGGCAAAGAGGCGCAGCGAGGTCCAGCTTATCATCAACGGCTACTACCAGCGCACACTCTTCTTAAAGTTCGGTCAGTCACCCTCCAGTCTTCGCAAGTAAGTCCTTCTAACGACTATCAGACAACCCGGACAAGGCGGCACCGCGGAAGCCGAGAAGAGAGATCTCAGAGCGGAGCTACTTGCAGCCGAAGCAGCACATTTTGCAAAGACAAAAGGCACATCCGCGGAACCCACGAGCAGCACTCCTAAGCCTCTAAAACGAGAACTCGAAGACTCCTCACATGCCGGTGATGGTGGTGAGAACGAAGACCCCGAAACCAAACGAAGAAGGATACTGGAAGAAACCCGAGAAATCGATGCGGATTCAGATGGAAGCGATACAGAAAGCAGCGACGAGGAAAGCGATGAAGAAGATGAGACGGCAGAATTGATGCGCGAACTTCAGAAAATCAAAAAAGAGAGAGCCGAGCAAAAGGCACGCGAAGAAGCCGAACAGGCTCAACAAGTACAAGACCAGCGAGAACGAGATATTGCGCTTGGTAACCCGCTACTCAATCCGAAGGCCTTCAACGTCAAACGGAGGTGGGACGACGACGTGGTCTTCAAGAATCAAGCTCGAGGGACAGAACAGAAGGGGAACAAGGAATTCGTCAATGTGCGTCCACTCCAGGCCGTTGAGACATATGGATGCAGGCAAGCTAATGAGAATACAGGACTTGCTAAGGTCGGATTTTCACAAGAAGTTTATGGTAAGAAAGACTCTACGTGGGACATCTCCTCTGATCTTACTAACCCGTTCTATTTCAGTCGAAATATGTCCGATGAACTATCCCCGCCGTTTACAGCATTGGAAATGGTGGCCTTCAATGAAGGTTGATGACTGCCAACGTGCCATGATCTTGAAATCTTCCTCTGAGATGAGACAAGAAGGCAATCCTGCCAGCTGAATCGACACAGAGAGGTGGCGAAACATCTGGTGGCTATGGACACGGCCACGTGCACGACCGACCCAGCTGAAAGAGCTGCAGGGTCGTGCATTAGACATGCTGCTAGTACTGAAGTTCGGATCAAGGGGCACCGCGGCCAGGGGGTCTCGGCAGGGGCATGTGCTTTGGATCGAACTTTCATGCAGGTGACGCCGACAGCCTAAGAGCAAGGCAGGGTTTGCAAACTCCGAAGCAGACTGTTCTTTGGCTGTTCAAATAAAAGTAGTAAGATCAGTTTGGTTTCCTTAATTGGGAGGCACTGACGCTGCAACGAACAGTTGGAGAGCATTACGAGATGTAGCCAGATAGACCCTTGGTGGACCCGAGAGAGAGAGAGAGAGAAGAGGAAAGAGAACTGGACGAGTGGAGGGGGTGCTTGGGGGTGGCGCCCAGCGGCGGCCTCACCAGCCAAAGGACCCAGGGGGTAGCATGGTGCCTCCCGGCATGAAAAGGAAAAAATGGTTGCGGGCAGTTCTCTTTTGGGGGGATACGAGGTACGGGACGCGTTGACGAGTCCAATGCAGGCAACGTGCAGAAAATGCAGAAAATGCGTGAGATGCACGAGATGCCGTCATAATCTGGCTTCCAGTTTCGCAGCTGCGGGGTCAATTCACTCGCTCCCTTCCTCCCTCCCTCATTCCGCAGCCTCTTCCACTCTCACGCAAATCTGGCACCAGATCGCCCTCGATCCATTCCCTATGCCCTCCGCTTGTGGCAGAGATGAGCCCTCCTCCCCATCAACAAACAAAGGTCGGCTTCTGGAGCCTGCTCAGACGCAGCACCACGGCCGGGACAAGGTGTCACCGCGACGCAACCCATTCCCCTCCTACCTCGTCCTCAGCCAATGCTCGCAGCCGGAAATGACGATGCTTTTGCGGCTTCCCAGCTTCCTTGCTCTTTCTGCTTGTCTGGGTTCAGCTGTCTAACGCCTGACCTTGTTTCACGCGGGGTCCATCTCCCAAGTCATTGGTTCTGCACCAAGTCTTACGTATGCTATGAACAACATCGCCTCAGTTTGTCACTCGCGCCTGACGTGCTTCGGAATGGGTTCTGTTAGAGTGTAGTGAGGTTGGCCGGTACCTTCTTCTGCTCGCTTGCTCCCATGCTGCCCTTGTGTCCTTTTATAACCTCGCCTTGCTCCTTGAACTCACTCATAGCTCTTCAATCCCTCAACTCCTCGAGCACTTGATACTCGCACTCTCCTAAACAAGCGAAAGCTGTTATCTACAATGTCCTACGGCGATGACAACGTACGATCAAGAATCCAGCTCGAAGTTGAGCTGGTACTCTGCTGACATCCTCTAGCGACGTGGTGGCGGATACGGTGACGACAGCTACGGTCGAAAGACTGGTGGAGGTCTAGGGGCTGATGACACCTATGGAGACTCCACCTTTACCGGCGGCAGAAGCACTGGTCAGGACAACGAATACGGTGGGTGGTCGTCGAGTCCTAAAAAGACCTCGGTGAACTAAACATACATGCAGGCATGGGCAGTGGCAGGACTCGCACACAAGACACCGGTGGCTATGGTGCAAGTGACGATACTTACGGCTCCGGAATCCGGGACACCTCAGGAGGCTACGGAGGCAGTGGCCGTACTGGGGGCGGCCTAGGGACCGATGACACCTATGGAGATTCGACGACTACCGGCGGCAGAAGCACTGGCCGTGACGCTGAATATGGTAAGTTTGTTTCTAGTATTGACCAATCTAAACCTAACCACGCACAAAAGGTATGGGCAGTGGCAGGACCGGAGCTCAATCGTCCGGCGGCTACGGCGCAAGTGACGACACCTATGGCTCCAGCACTGGCGGTCGCGGTGGCTATGGGGACGATAGCATTGGTCGTCGCGGGGACGACTTCAGCTCTTCGGGGGGCACTTCAGGGGGACTCGGTATGGCTCCCATGAGATGTCCCGATAGCGACTAACCTGAGGAAGGCACTGATGATACCTACGGTGATTCGACCCGGACCGGAGGCATTTCCACAGGCCGTGATAACGATTACGTGAGTGCTGCCCTGCTGCTGTAGACCGACAAGGCCTCCCAAGTGGTATTGACAAGCTTTATCTCCAGGGAATGGGATCCGGCCGCACCCGAGAACAAGAGCAAGGCGGCTTTGGCACCGGGAGCAGCTACGACGATGACACTTCGAGTGGCAAGAAAGATTCTACCATGGGCAAAATGATGGAGAAGGCGGGCAGTATGTTCGGGAGCAGCAAGTTGGAGGATAAAGGTGCAGAGAAGAGACGTGGTGCCGGCAACGATGACTATTAGCTCACGGTAAAGAGAAGCAGGGATGGTGCTGGTGCGCCGACAGTGTACACGGAGCGGAATGAACGAGACATTTTGCCAATATGGCAATTATGGAAGCATTGACCGCTTAGGCAGATAGGACATTTCGCTTGGGAGGAATGCAAGGTATCATCCAATACGCCGTCCGCTGCGTAGAAATGCAACCCTTCGAGATCAGTCTCAATCTCTATACCTTCACATAGCATCACCGCCGTTCCCAGCCGACGACCCGAATCTCGACACCTGCCTTCTCGTCCTTCATCCACATCTCCTTCCCACTACTATCCAGAGGCGTAAGTTCTTCTTCGTCCTCGTCACCGCTCCGGTCGCCCTGTCTGGTGATAGCTTCAACAGCACTTTGCTTCCGCCTCCCCAAATGCTGAGGCAGCTCCAGCTCGCCTCCGATCCACTCCTGAACTTTGGACGGAGAGACATGCTTCCATTTCGCGGATTTGACGCCTAGATGAGGGGAAGGCAAGAGGTCGGGAAAGAACGTATCGCATTCAAAATCACCATGCCCTCTTTTGTCGCCGCTTGCGGTGGTCGAGGAGGGCATTCGGCGGATCTGCGTCTGCAATATTCTCACTTCGAAGTGCTGCTCGCCTCCTCCTCCTCCTCCTCCTCCATCAGCGCTGGTTTCGCCCTCCGTGTCCGTCCCCGTCTCGCTCCCGGCCGGCGTGGTGGGCGTGTGAGGACTTGTGGACGAGAGGGACAAAACCTGTCGATATATTTCGCCGCCGCCGATGCAGAAGATCTTGTGGATCGAGAGGGACAACGAGGGGTCCCTCCCCGAGCCCGGGGCTGATGTTGGTGCGGTGGTGGCGGTTGCAGGTGGTATGTGGATCGGTGTCTGCGAGGAGAGCAGGGAGAGTGTCGAAGGGAGCGAGGCGGAGATGAGGATCGGAGATATGGACGCGTGCTTGGACAACGTGAAGGTCGAAGCTGGCGGGACCAGAATCGTGCTGCTGCGCCGTCTCTGGTTTGCACTGCTCTTCGATGTCGAACTCGACTTTATCTTCGCGTTTGTTTTGGCGGATGACGACGATGATGGGAGGACATGGAGTTCCCACTGCGATGCCGCGTCCATCCCCTTGCTGGCGGGGGATTTCAACTCCTGGAGGATCTTCCACCCCAGCTCTTCGGAGTCGGATCGCGTGATGATCACGTTCAATCTCCCCCCCAGCGGCCGGAACTTGGGGGGAATGCTCTCCCAGGTCTTGCGGCCCATCACCACGGCATTGAGCGTCCTCAAGCCCGTCGGTCCCGCGGCCGATGACGACGAGGAAGAAGCAGAAGACTCTAACCGCGACCCTGCCTTCGCATCGCCAGGGACGTCCGACGTGACGTTTTTGAAAAACGCCATGTCCGCCCGGATCGGCAGCCAAGGCAACTTGCCCTGGTGTCCGATGCCCATTGGCGGATTCAGCGAGGTCGCCACGACGATGTAGATGGGTTTCGGACGCATGAAGATGGGCGTGACGATTGTCGTGGTGATCTTGATGATGCGTTTGGCTGACGGGGAGAGCATCCTCTCCGGCTCCTCCTCGTTGTTGTCGTCCAGATTGGGCGGGAGGAGGGTCGACGCGGACGTTGGGAGTTCCGTTGGCGATGGCGGTGCTGAGAGCGTGGTTGTCAGTGGTGTTGGAACGGACATTGTTCCCTCGGTCCTTTGGAGAGTTTCTTTTCTGAGTCGGGGTCGGGAGATATTTTCGTGTCGTGTTGTTGCGGGCCGTTACTGGCTATTCCATCAAACCGGGGAGTTGGAAATATCGACGCCTCGTTCTTGTTTCCCTGCGCAACGATGATTGAGGACTGGGGATCGTTTTCTCACAATTCAATTCGTTGATTCATCTCTCTGTTTTTGTCTTTGTCTCTGACTCTATCTCTATCCTTCGCTATCCTGTCTTTCTTTCGTGTCTTCCAAAGCCCTCTGTTTCAGACAGACAGACGGATAGACAGATAGATGCGTAGAGGGAGAGAGGGGGGGTTCAAAAGAGAAGACACATCTAAGTGCGGCCCCGGCAGATAACGAGGTAGTCCATCCAACACCTACAACATTCATACCTAGGAAACATTTGCAGCAGGCAGGAAGTTTTGTAGGTAGCGAGTGCAGATACAGCGACGTTCTAGGCCTGCCCACCGCCAAAGCGTTCAAACCTCTCTCAGACATGGCCTGCTGCGGGAGTCCAGACGCGAAGGGTGTCAATTCCGGGCCCCTCTCCCCCGTCACCTTGTTTCCCCTTGGCGCGAGCACTACCACCACTACCGCACTACTGGGAGCTGGGAGCCGGGATCGCGCTGCAGACGGAATACCTAGGTACGGAGTACGGGGGACGGTGGAGGTACCTAAGTAGAGGAAATATGCAAGTGCTAGGTAGGTATAGGCAAGACTTAGCCATCTAGGTATACACCTAGTTCATATCTGGGTATTCAGCTCATGTAACTTGGCTACCGTACATGCCTACTTCTAGGCGGCGACTTACCTACCTACATACCCGGTACATACCAAGCCGCCAACGTAGCGGGCTAGGTAGCTAGCTAGAAGGGCTAAGCGAGGGGCACCATCGCACAACCCAATCCTCTTTTTCATTTTCATTTTTAAACCCCTCGGTAGTTGGAAAAATACAAAAACTACCTAACTTGAAGGTGCTAGGATTGAGAAGCATGCAATAAGCGGAATAAATTATTGGAGGGGGCCTGTATTGAGGACCTGACTTCAAGGGTTCATGGAACTAGGGAGACGGTCGATGGTCGTGCACAATTCAATGCCGCTGTCAGTCTACACAGCGTTATGATCACTCCAAGTGTCCACGCATATAGCCGCAAGTGGTCTCAATATCCATTAGTCTTTGCTGTCGCTTAGATCGAGCGTCGTCTCGTACTTCTCCAGAAACTTCTTGAATCCTGCTTCCACCACCTTGACGTCGTCCTCCATCTTTCTCCTTGCCGCCTCGTCCTGCCCATTGGGATCCCGGCCATCGTGGTCCCCAGCCAGAGTGTCCAGTCCGCCAAAGAGCCAGATCTCCTTCATTGTCCGCGTGAGCATCATGATCTCCTCTGCGGCGCGGACAATGGCTGTCGACTCGACGTCGAGTTGAAATTGTTGCACGGCCGTGTCTATCAGTGATGGCGGGGCCGGAGGATTGCCCGTACCTGCGGCAGGTTGCCCAGCTGTATCGTCGAGGGCCACGGCGAGGATGTTCTCAAGCCTCTTGATCAGCGTGGTTGAGAGGGTAGTGATGCGGGCTGGATGGAGGGCAGCTGTCAGAACTCTGTTGAAGCATTGCAAGTCCAACCAACATCCATTGGATCAAGGCGACGGGGAACAGTAGCGGGAACAAAACCACTTGGAGGGCCAATGACACTTGCCCGGTTCGACTTGCGCATACCTTGTAAGAATTTGGCAGACGGCACGGCGTCCGAGACAGCCTCTCTTTTGGTTGTCGATTCCATCCTGCGAAAGGTTCAGGTCCGCCCCAGCCTTGGAACATTCAGCCTCCACTCATCAATCAGCTCTCACCGAAGTCTTACTGTCTTTTTGCAACCCCTCAACACCTTCCAAACCAGGCTGGCCTTCGGGCGGAGGGACTTATTAGCCCCAGATCAAATTCAGCTGATTTTTGCCTGAGTGGGCCCAGTTTGTTCATACAGCTCCTCACGAGTACAATCGACCGCCGGAGTAGACGTAGGTCAAGGATCAAGCAGAATGTCCTGCATCTCGCGGTAAATGAGGGGGGAAACAAGATCCGCGTCAACTGCGGCGGAGTTGCGCGTAGAGAGGTAGAATTTCGTTGACGTGGTCTCTACATTTTCTTGACTGAGGTTCGTGCACAACCAAGCGAAATCGATGTGTTGCGCATAATCCAGAAAGTGAAGTATCTGGTGGTGTTATGCTCCGCTGGAGTAAGATGGTACGGTCGAGCATCTACACAACAAATTACAACACAGAAAGCAGGGGACCAACATTCTTACACCCGCTTGCACCCTCCAATTCACTGCTCTTGTGATCTTGTTCAATGAACCGGGACCCAGCCCATTGATAGATACCTCAGGTATCAATGCTCTTTTGGCAAAATGTCTCAATAAGGTGTCACTTCGAGCAGTCTATTGGCTCTGAGCTTTGATCAAGAGACCACGCAACGTGTGGATCTTCTCAAGTCAGTCGTACTTGCTTACTCTCGGGGTGCCTCTGGCTTCTGGCTTTCCAAACGAGAGGTACAAGTAAGCATTGGGTTCTTACTTCATCCCGTTAAGGCTTCATCACCATCATCGAGATACTGGCGAGCCGAGTGGATACGACAAACGTTGCATTTTTCTCGCTGCCTCGGGATCTTCGAATGGCGCCTGCCACTCACCTGCGAATGATGGCGTGCCTTCGCCACATGTTGATAAATTTAGCATCGTCGGTCGACGGGTTTGATTCGATCAGCCCTTTGCCAGCCACACCGTGTCTAAGACATACCAGGAACGCCAGGGACTTTTCGGGAGGGTGAGAAATTCTCCGCAGCCATGCCACCTTCTTGCGACCAACGCAAGGCACAGCTTTGTGCCCATTTGCAGTATACAAAATACAGTTGCTCCATTGCCCCAGCAGCGTGTCCCCCCTGACGTCAAATCCATGCCCCGGAATACTCGGTGGTGTGGACCATATGCGCAGGTGCAGGATAACATTGGAATCGACTGGAAGAACATCGGTATCCACGATCCACCGTTTGTGAGACATTGCGTACAAAGAGTCGAAGACGACTGTTGCTTGCGAATCCTCCTAGCTATGCTTGTCCACATTGAGTACTTGGTTTTTGACTTGGGCAGCAACGGACAAATAAGAGATACAGAAATGGTCTGACTTAGCGAGCAGGAGCCGGTATACCGAGTTGCTGCGGAGTCAGACCAAATCCACACCTACAAGTAATCGGATTCTCACTTCGCCTCCCAACAACGGCCCGCCAAGCTCACAACTGGTGCCCGGATTTGACGCACATCCTCACACATCAACACCATAAGCTGGCCCAGCTGGATCCCAGCCTCTGGTTCTTCCTCGTGGTAATGGGCCACTATAGCCTCCACGTGGTGGGGAATCCGACCCAACGTGCATTGTCCAGCCTGCTTAGCTTTTTGTTACGATGGGACGTTGCCCTGCTGCGCCTTCAGGCTTTTTGGATGACGATCCAAGAACTCACCCATTCGGTGTCCATCTCGGTCGGATTGCCCAGCTGAACGGTAGGTATAAGAAAGAGGTGCTTGCACGCTCTTCCCGTTGAACCCTGCCATCAAGCCCTTCTGTCATCAGAACATCCTCTATACAACCTCTCCTGTCATTCGCTGTTTTCATTTAGTTATATACACATTCGTTCTTCTCGCCCAAAATGGCAAAGCCAATCGTTCTCTTTTCACTTTTGGCTCCTGCTCTTTCAGCGGTCTTGCCTCGCGGTCAAGAGAGCTCACAATCTGGTTCTGCCTGGAACGATTGGGCCTCATCAAGTACTACGACGGTAGCTCCGTCAAGCACCTGGGCAGATTGGTCCTCAAGTTCTTCGGCCTACACAACTCCAACCCCCAGCACAACTTACTCGAGCACTAAAGGCTGGCAAGAATGGACGAGCTCGACCTCCACCTGGACGCCCAGCACGACGAGCCCGAGTACCAAGGG